ATCTACTAGTTGTCCTTCTTCATCGTCCTGTCCATCAAATATCAACTTTCTTGTTTCACCTTTAATGGGACAGGTGACCCAGACAGTATCGTAATAAGGGAAAAAGCCATCATTGACGATATCCATGCCCACCAGGATTTCAGTATCCGTCGTCTCCATCCATACATGAATTTCCGTAAAGGCGGCACCTGTTTCATGGTACAAAGTATCACCATCATCTTCATACAAGACAAAGGTCTTTCTTTTGGAGATACCTTGTTCAGGGAAGATCTGAACTCTACGCTCGTCATCGGGGGAAGCATGTACATGACGCATGACTTTACCAAAACACATCATGGATCCGGCTCTAACAAAAAACGGAGCGGCAGCGTCTTCTGTTAGACTGGAGGGGACCTCGACATATTCCCCTTGTGATTTGAAATATTTCCCGGTTTGGTAATGATACCATGCGGTCTCTGATGGCAGGTATACCTTTCTTGTGGTTTGATTGGGTTCATATATGGGGGCTACGAGGATGGATGGACCCATCATGAATTCAAAGCCCTGAGTGTATGTGTTCGTATCATGCTGATGGTCGTAAAACACGGGTCGAATAAGAGGCTCGCCTTTAATGTAAACAAGTGACACATACAGCGTATAAATAAACGGGATGATACGATAACGAAACTGTAAGGCTGCCCGAATTGTAGGTAAAACGTCAGGAAACTAGAAACATTTTGTTATAAGTGATCAGAAGCAATTTTTTTTTTATAAAAAAAAGGGGGGAGGTCTTACCATCCAAGGTTCTGTGATTGAACCATCTGTGTTCCATGAGTGAATGGAGAATCTAGGCCAAAAGACACCTTGCTGAACCCATCGAACAAACATTTCCGGATCAGGTTTTGGACCGGCAAAGCCGCCAATGTCATGACCATAGCCAGCGGGCATGCTACAAAGGCCGGCCCCTAATCCCATGGGTATGTTGTACTTGATTGTTTTCCAAGCGGTGGTATTATCGCCACTCCATGTTTGAGAAACCAGTTCGTTTGAGTACGGTGTGGCAGATCGAGAGATCAAAAATGGACGTTGATTTGGGCTGTGTTCGATGATGGCTTCATAAGAAGCTTGAATCATGAGGAGGGTTTGTAAGGGAGTGCCCACCTGTTTTGCTGATGATTGAACATTGGGAATGACAGGACCAGAAAGAAAGGGAACGTTTGAATCTACCAATGTTGAGTATTGGTCGGGTGGCACTTCACAAGCAAAGGTATGACTGTCATCGGTCAAGGAAAATTCATTGTTATCGAGCCATGGTATATAACCTTTATCTAAAAGTTGAGATTTGACATGCGATTTCCAATAGGCGTAACCCGATTGACTTGTAAAATCAATATAACTTGCTTGACCCATGGTATGCATGTCACCTCGCCATTGCATGACTTTACCAGGCTCATCCTGATTCCAAAAGAAGGCTTTTTTATCTGCCAATGATTTATAATGGGGATGACTATCCTCTAATAACCATGGTTTGACATTAGCAAAAATCCGCATACCCATTGCACTCAACTCCTTGGCAAGTTTCACAGGGTCTGGAAATCGAGTCTTGTTCCAGGTGAAAACACAGCGATCACCCTTTTCATTTATAGTGTAACCAGAAGAGAGATGGATACCATCGCATGGTATATCATAGGATTGACATTTACTTGCAAAGTCTTTTATTTGTGTTTGTGCGTCTTCGGCTTCCGCGTAAGCCATGGCGGAGGCTAAGTAACCTAGTGAGTAACGGGGAGGAAGGTGACGAGGACGGCTTGTGATCAGTGAGTAATTGTGAACGATGGAGGATACAAAGGGGCCATGAATCATGTAATAATCGAGAACACCTGCTTCTGATTGATAGTAGGTATAAGGACCCCACATCTATAAAAAAAAAGGGGGGAAGTGTTTTGTTATCAGCCTGTTGTTTTTGTGTGTGGGGGGGATAGATGAAGTGAGTGTAATAAGCCCAACATCATGATTTATTTACCGCATCATTTTCCTGACCCAGGTCAATGGTTGATCCTGAAAAATTGTTGTAGTAAATACCATAGGCCTGTTTGGAACGTGTGGATAGACTAATGTAAAAAGGACAGAATTTATACAAGGGATCTGATTTTTCAGCGTCGTAACCCATACAATCCAAACGATCGAGACGGAAACGACGTCCTGTGAGGTCTAAAGAACCTGAGCGTTCACCCAGACCATAATAGAGATTTTCGGTGAATTTGCGTTGATAATGCCACTTGTTACCGGATTCATCGTAAGCGTAAGATCTATAAGGAAGGTCCTGAGCAAAGGGAGTGAGGTCGCCTAGATTGAACCAGGCGAGATGAAAGGACGGTTGGAGTGTGACGACTAAACGAACGGCGGATGTGGCGATTTCTATGGATTGTTCGTCGCTTTTGATATTGACGCGTTGAGGAAGATGATCGAGGGTATCTTGAGAAGTTTTTTCGTCTTGGGGAGTAAGATATTGTACACGTATCACGTCGCTGCTGACGATCATGATGCGAACACGATGGCCATCGGCGTTTTCAAAAATAAAGGGGTGATGATTATTTTTGAGTTTGAATCCTTCCGCTATTTTTTGCTGCATTTCTTATAAAGAAGATTTGGTTAAAAAGTAAAAGAAAAGGAGGGAATCGTGAGTTCTGGGAAAGGAGATATAAAGTAGTATCGCACACCACATGATGATAACGTTTCAAAAGTTGAGTGTAACAATGCAAAATCGCTAATGCGAAAAGAACAGGAAAAAAAAAGTGAATGATAATTTATTGAAACGGTTAGTGTATTCATATGACAATCATCAATTTGGCTTCATGAGATGATATCAACGCTGAAAGGGAAGGGAGGAAAGTATGCCGAATTTTGAGGTCTGTGATAAAAAAATAGAGGAGGGTGGGGATATTTGAAACACCGGGGATAAAAACGTCACGAGCAGGGTGTGCTTAGTAGAACTGTCAGTTCTTTTTTTGCAGAAAGTTTTTTTTTTTTTTAGTTGTTTCTACATTCTTTTTTGATACATATAAAAACCAATGGCTTCACAAGAGTACCCCGATCCCGTCAAGGACTTTAAGGGCTTTCAATCGTCATTGTTCAAAGCACTTGTTGCAGCGACTGCAGCAGCCAACAGTATTCCCGTGGAAGAAGTTGGATTTTATAGATCTTTAGATAGAGATTTTGCAAAGGATCTTGATCACGCAGGATCCAGCTCTTTAGCGATTGGTAATGCCTTATTACAACAGTGCGCTATCGATTCTGGATTGGAAGTGACGAATTTTGAGGATGTGGATGATGTTATTCAACGGTATGGTGCTGCTACCGATGTGTGTGATGGATTACTCGAGAAGGCTGTAAGTCATACTTCATGGAATGGGAATGGGCATGGATACACTGAGGAGGGTTATTGACATGATATTTTTGTGTGTGTGTGTTTTTAGGATCATTGTTTAGACCAAATTCGTGGAAAGGGAGTTCCAGAAGATATTAAGCAAGATGCACCCGAGGTCACACAAATCGCCACCAAGGTAAAAAGAAAAAAAAAAGAGAGAGATATAGATGAAAGCGTAGCGAGACTTATACTAGGGGGAAAAAATATAGGATAAATTGGAATACAAATTTTTACATGCCAACAATGTTGTCCGTCCTCAAATTAAATTCAAAGATGCGGTAGATAACTCGAACTCGACACCCTTTGAAAGAAAGATCAAGTATAAGCCTCATGCACTTGTTCCTCTTGATTCGACGGCGAATTTAGAAGAGACAAATAAATCGCTCCCCCACCCTTATGGACACGAGATTAGACACATTGAATATCCTCAGCGTATGTTTGAAAGAGCCGAACCTGAAATGTACAAGCCTTACGAGACCACTTCGGCGATTTGGGTGGATACAGAGGAGAAGTTGATGGAGATGATGAAGCGTTTGGAGGGAGTAGAGGAATTGGCGGTAGATTTAGAGCATCATAACTACCGTAGTTTTCAAGGATTTACCTGTTTAATGCAACTGAGTACGCGCGATGAAGATTTTGTGATTGATACATTAGAGCTTCGCGATAAATTGTGGATGTTGAATGAATATTTTGCCGACCCCAATATTGTGAAAGTGCTCCATGGTGCGGATTCTGATATCATTTGGCTTCAACGTGATTTTGGTCTGTACATTGTCAACCTCTTCGATACCTATTTCCCCACCAAAGTATTGGAATTCCCTCACCACGGTCTTGCTTACCTCTTGAAAAAATACTGTAGTTTTGATGCCGATAAAAAGTATCAATTGGCGGATTGGAGAATCCGACCTTTACCTGTGGAGATGTTGGACTATGCACGTTCGGATACGCATTTCCTTTTGTATATCTATGACTGTCTTCGTAACGAATTATTGGATAAATCGACGTCGGAAGGTAACCTTGTGAAGATCTGTTTGCAACGATCCAACGAGATTGCGCTTCAAAAGTACGATAAGGATGTGTATGATGCGCTTACCGGAACGGGACCCGGTGGATGGAAGAACATGTTGGCTAAATGGAAATATGCCATGAACCCTCAGCAGTTGGCAGTTTTCAAGGCACTGCATAGCTGGCGTGATCATACGGCACGAGAAGAAGATGAATCGTGGCGTTACGTGTTACCTAATCATATGCTTTTTGCGCTTGTGGAGCGTATGCCTGTGGATTCCAGTGGGGTCATTGGATGTTGTAACCCCTGTCCTACGCTTGTGCGCATGAATGCTCAAGCTATTGCGTTTGAGATCCAGAAGGCAAAGAGAGACGCTGCGCTGGTTGCCAAAGAGTCTGCATTTATGGAAGATACGAAACCACAATTGGAGACGGTGACTACCTCAGCACCCTCGGGTGTGACCACGACCAAAATGCAAGTGCAGCAAATTAAGAGAAACGTTTCGAATGTTGATCCTGCTTTGTTTGATTTGAAAAAGGTCAAGAAATTAAGAGCTGCCGATGTTGCCAAATTGGAAAAGAAATCATCTGCATTGTTTGGCTCTTCTTTGTAATAACAACTAATAATATATACAAAAAATAAAATAAAATAAAATAAAAAACTCCATCATTTTTACATATCATTGTTAGCTATTCAAGAAAAATGTCAGTTTTGACTGCACGGAAAGAGGGGGTTGGTGCTAACTATTCTTATGAATAATTACGTATACTTGAAAAACCGAGAGGATTCCTTTGTAAAACAGCTGATAAATGTTTTTTTTTAAGGATTTGTCGATTTTCTCACGACGTTATATAAAAAAAAAGGGGAAACATGGAAGTGAATAATCCTTATTTGTGTAGAACCCGAACATGCAGTAGGATGCATATTCACTTTATGTCATTTATGAAGCATCTTTAACGAACTTGACTAAAATAGCGTCATGTTTTTTTTTTAGTTTCTACTTTTCCCCCCCCCCTCCCCCCTTGACCTGATAAATATAGAAAAAAGAATAGTTACTCTTAAATCCGTTATCTTCAAGATACATTGCATGAATAGTATTTAAATCATTTACTGAGATATTTATTTATTGAGCAAAAAAAAAAAAAAAAAAAAAAAAAGTGATATATATATAAAAAAAGAGAAATCAAAAAGTTGTTTATGAAATAAACATCAAGTGCAATTATGAATCGTACCATCGATCGAGAATATGATCGAGTATGCCGACCAGTAATTTGGTAATGTGATCGAAAATAGGATTGTAAAATAAGAGATTTTACTAAAAAAAAAGAGGGAGTGATACAAAAAAAAGTTTTGTATATAAAATCATGCATCTCTTTTTTTTTTTTTTTTTACATCTTTTTTTTTTATTATTTATTTACATAATTATATCAAACCAAATGACGCCGTTACCCACCGTGATTGCTTCTACACATGGATATACCAAAGTGACGGATTTTCTCTCGAGACAATTCGAGACATACAACGACCGACCGCTTGCACGCTACTATGTGAAGGGTGATGAAAGTTATGGGGTATTGAGTTATGGCCAAGTGGAACGACTTGCTACGAATTTAGCTTTTAAGCTGTCTCACCGGATTTCCAACGTCGTTGCTTTGCTGGGAGGACATGATATTGACTATTTCATCCTCTTGATTGCGCTTATGAAGTTACAAGTGACAATTTTTGTTATCTCGCCTCGGAACTCTGTTGCGGCTAACGTGGACTTGTTGGAGAAGACACGATCGGGGTTATTGATAACGAATAGTCAACTGGCAGGGATAGCAAGAGCTTCTGCTGAGGGTGTACGTGGTGTTGAGGTCTTTGTGATGGAAAGTATGGATATACATGCACTTTTACAGGAACCGTTGTTGGATGGTGAATTGGATATAAAAGTATGTTTGGATGAGGAGGATGATTTGAATCGAAATGTTTTTATATTTCACAGGTAAGAGGGTGTTACAAGAGAGGCTTTTTTTTATGAGTAAGCTTTTTACTAAATGATGACCTTTTTGCCGTTGGGGGGTTGCAGTTCAGGATCGACCAGTTACCCAAAACCTATTTATATTACGAATCATAACTTATTGTGTTCACTGCAAGTTTTTCATGGACAGCTTCCTGCTGGTACAATCGATGCTTCGGATACCCTACTCTGCTGCACGCCATTGTAAAGTATCTTTAACATGTACAAAAAAAAAATTTGTTCAAACACAATGACCACTAAAAAAATCGTCATTTATTTTATTTTTTTTTAAAAAAAAAAAGGAGCCATATCTTTGGTTTTGTAGCGGTATTCTCTAGCATGTCACTTGGAGCTAGTATTGTAATTATTCAAAAGCTTCCGGCATCACAAGAAGAAATTAAATTTGCGCTTGCGTTCAACCAATGTACGATGATGACAGCTACGCCTATTTTATTAGAGGACATGATACCGTATCTGGAACAGGGACAACAAAAAGATTTTTCGCATGTACAGCGATTGAAAGTGGTACTGGTGGGTGGTGCACCGATGCGACGTGAATCGGGTGATTGGTTTCACCGACATGGTGTCAAAGTGTCCAATGCGTATGGAACAACGGAGATGGGACCCAGTATGACAGCAGGTATGGATTTTAGCAAAGGTTGGAATAGCATGTACCCATTTGTTGTGGATGAAAAGGGGGTAAGTTATCTACAGTTTGAAACGAATGATGAGGATACACCCGATATCAAGCATTGTTATATTCGAGGCGAATGTCCTTTATTGGCCAAGGGAGTGCATAATCGATCCGATGGAGGGTACAATACCAACGATTTGTTTCGGGAGGATGGAACGAATCCTGGTTATTACATTTATGTGGGTCGTCGAGATGATATGTTGGTCATGGAGAATGGGGAGAAAACGAATCCAATTCCGATCGAAAGTTGTGTTGTGGAGAATAGCCGAGTGATTTCTCGAGCGGTTGTACTTGGTCATGGACGTGCTTGTACGGCGATGCTTGTGGAATTGAAGGAGGAGGAAGGGGAAAGGTTGTTGAGTGAAGAGGAGATTTGGCGAGATATTCAAAGGGCGGTTGAAAAAGCGAATGGAGACAGCCCCAATCATAGCAAGTTATTTCCTCAAATGGTAAAGATCTTGAAAGCTCATGAACATTTACCGATCAATGTGAAGGGGGCAGTGATACGACACCAGTGCATGACAAATTTTGGAAAGGAGGTGGATCGCATGTACCTGGATTTCCTATCTGGTAAGAAAAAGGTTCAACGGAAGGAGGAGGATAATAATAGAACAGTATGGACGACGGAACAAGTGAAGAGGTTTCTTTTGGAGTGCCTATCCCAGCAAATCGATCCACGTCATCCCGCCGCTGGTACCGCTACTGGTACCGCTACTGGTGAGAACGGTATAGAACACCAATCCGTGTTTGATTTAGGATTGAATTCGATCAGTGCGATCGGAATGCGTAACCAAATTGCTGAGCAATTCCCAGATATTCCATTGAATTTTATTTTCCAGCATCAAAATGTATTTGCCATGTGTCAGTCACTTTGTGGGCAATCGCAGTTGGTGGATGACGGGTATGAGGCTACACAAGCACTGGTTCAAAAATATATCTCCAAAGCCAAGCTGGATTTCCCCAAGGCACATCCGCCCCACGAGATCATGAAGAAGAGGGTAGGGAAAAAGCCCACGGTGGTTCTTTTGACGGGAGCTACGGGGTCATTGGGGACATTTATCTTGCGAGATCTGCTTAGACAAGAAAAAGTAATGAAAATCTATTGTTTGATCCGAGTGCGTGATGGTGAAGATATGATGGATCGACTTGAGCAAGCTTTTTGTGGACGCATGCTTGATCCGCACATTTTAAAGACCGACCGTATTAAACTTTTGCCATTACGTTTAAGCGACGATGGACATGTTGATCCCATGTGGGGTTTAACAGCGACGGAATATAATCAATTGAAGTCAGAGGTAACGGTTGTACAACATTGTGGTTGGGTATTGGATTTCAATATGCCAATTGAGTATTTTGACAAGACGTGCATTGAGCCGTTTTATGAAGAGATGGTGAAATTTGCGTACCGGCCTGAAATGAAGGAGGAGGAGGAGGAGGAGCCAATGGAACTTTTTTTTATCTCGAGTGTGTCTGCTACAGCGTTATGGGATAGTCAAAGTGTACCTGAAGAAGAGGTTGGACTGGATCCGAGTGTGAGTTTACCGATGGGTTATGCTCAATCGAAATATGTAGTGGAAGCGCTATTGGGATATTTAAGACGAGAAAAGAATTTTCGATGTGTTGTTCAACGCGTGGGGCAAGTGTGTGGGGATACGAAGCATGGTGTATGGAATACGCAGGAACAGTATCCCATGTTGATTGTAGGGGGTGGATCTGTGATGCATGTGATGCCCGATCTTGTTGACACTGTGGTAGATTGGATTCCTGTGGATGTTGCCTCTGCATGTATTACAGAGAGGATGATTTCTCCCAGCGGTGGTGGTGGTGGAGAGTCAATTCAACATATTGTGAATCCAAAAAGAATCCGATGGAAAGAATTAATGCGTGTTATGAAGGAAGCGGGTATGCGATTTGATATGATTGATCTGGAATCTTGGGTACGATTATTATCTGAGGATAAAACGAATCCTTGTTATGGATTATTGAGTTTCTTTGAAGCAAAAAGTCGACAGATTGTACGTGGTGAACCGATTTACTGGGAGACCGAAAAGACGGGCAAGAGTAATTCTCGTTTAAACGATACTCCTGAGCTACATGTTGATTTGTTCAAAAAGTTTTTAACTCATTGGGAATCTGTGGGATACTATAATGCCAATGTTTAGATCCCAGTTCTTTTTTTTTTTCTCATAATAAAAAAAAAAAAGAATTGATATATGGTCTGATCCATGATGGTTGGTATCGAATGATAAATATTTTGGTTTTCTTTTTTTCTATACACACACGCATGCAATAAAAAAGAAGTAGATGAAACACGCTACAATAATATATATGCTAGTTACAAATGTAACGAGTTTTTTTTTTCTTGTGATCTTATATTATGAGATGATTTTTTTTTATTCTTGGGTTGGGGGAACACTTTCTTTTCACAATTGTAAGAGTGAGAAAAAAAAGAAGGTGAGCATGGATGAATTGTTACACGGCCCATGGGCGAATATGTACAATGAATAAATTAACATTTTATTGTTGTCTTTGAGAGACCATGAGGAAAAAAAAAAAAAGTTTAAACTATTCATTGATTGATCCCTGGCGTTTCTTTTTTGTGTAGTTTTATTGAGAATGCATTAACATGATGCGCTGCTTGGTTGTTGCCACGTTATGTCTTGCATATTGAGAAGGTATCCATGGATACAATGTTTATGTGAAAGATGGGGAGTTGTGTATGACTTGATCATTGCATGGTTTCAGACAATGGAGGTACATGAAAAAAAAAAAAAAAAACTCCGAGGATGACACATAAAGAGAGAGAGAATGCATATCAGTGTGGGGAAAAAATAAAAAATTCTTGTGCGATGCAAGTTTAAAAAAGAATCATGTTACCTAAAAAAAAAAAAAAAAAAAAAAAAAAAAAAATTCTTCATTTTGCTACCCCAGTGAGGTAACGATAAGTGTTCTAAATAAAGTATAGATTCAAAATGTCAACAGACACAATGTGTAAGTTACGGATAATTGTATAAACCATGGATTCACATGCGCTCATCATTGGAATATAATTTTGATCCGAATAAAAAGTTTATACAGGGATTTTTCTGATTTATGGGATCGAATATAGGTTTATTATACTTGTTTTGGAGAAATAGAATCCAAATGCGTGTAGAATAGATCTCCCAGCCTCTTTTTTCTTTTTCTACGTTCTTTTCTTTTTTTTTTTCCCCACACTAGAACAATTCTGTATAAATTACCCGTTTGTGTAATACCTTAAAGAGGTTATAAGGTTATGCGATACTGTATCACCTGTACTTAGATCTGCTCATCTTTTTCCCTTTTTGTTAAATGCGTTACTTAGGTAGCAGATAGATGTCTACAGATCAAAAAAAATAAATTTTGGAGTATCTTTGGGGGTGTGGTTGATCTGGAGAGGAGAGGGTAGAATAAGATTGCATGCAAGTTTATTTTGGATGCAAAGATATATATAAAAAAAAAAAAAAAAACCCGCCAAGATAAAAGAGTGGGAAGATGAGTAACCAATGACAATTATGAGAGAGAGAGAGCTGCGTGTGAATGCATTACGATGCTGTTATTCATCATTAAAGTCAGAACGAAATTCGGGGAACACGGGAGAACCGGTGAGTGTTTTAGTGGTGGGAAGAGTGTCTACAGAGACATTAAAAGGTTTGTGGGGAAATTTTAAGGTTACACCAAACCTTATCTGGAAATTGAGGGGAAAGAAATGAGATCAATAAATAGCCCTTTTTTTTTTTATTTTTTTTTAATCTTTTCTTTATTCTTTTTTCTACATTTTAAATCTTTTTTTAAATACAAATGAATAAGCAAGAGATTGAAAAGGTGGAAAGTGTGAACGGAGGAGATCAGAATGATGATTTGAGTTTCAAGCAATATACAGAGAAAGAAGAAGAAAAGAAGAAGAGTCTCTTTCATCGTGTCAAGGATTCTATTTATCAAAAGCCCGAAAAGACAGAAAATGTCTGGCACTTGTTAACCAACTTGACAAACACACAGAGAATTACTTTTGCTGCTGGTAAGTCAACCCCCTTTTCAATTTAATCATGTTATAAAAAAACCCTTATTAGACGCTAAAACCCTCTCATGTATATTATTTTAGCATTCTTTGGCTGGACTTTAGATGCATTTGATTTCTTTTCTGTGTCCTTGTCAGCTACTCGTATTGGTAACAAAAAAAATTAACTGTACTTATCCCTTGAAGAATCTTTTTTTTTAAAACTTTTATTTTATTTATGATGATTAGCTGAGACTTATGGTGTCCAACCATCGGAAGTCACAAGTAAGTAAATATTCCCTTTTTTATACAATTTATATACTAATTTGAAAACCCTAATTTAGGTGCTATTACTACTACTTTGGTAAGCGTCCCCCTTTTTCTCAAAAAAAAAAAAAAAAAAAAAAAAAAATGTATTCTCATCAATTGGAAAAAATAGATGCTACGTCCAATTGGTGCGTTAATCTTTGGTGCTTTAGCTGATAAATTCGGTCGTCGTTGGCCTTTAATGATTGACATTGTATTGTTTTCGGTGATTAATATGGCGAGTGGTTTTGCGCCTAATCTCAAGGTGTTTATTGCGTTACGAGCCTTATTCGGTATTGCGATGGGTGGTGAATGGGGTTTAGGTGCTAGTTTAGCTTTGGAGGCGTTACCTGTGGAAGCACGTGGTTTATTCTCGGGTATCTACCAACAGGGTTATGCGTGTGGTTATCTTTTGGCGACCTTGGTGAATTATGCGGTAGTGCAGACGGATTCTTCCTGGCGTATTCTCTTTTGGGTGGGCGCTGGATTTGCTCTGTTGGCGATTGTGATTCGATTCTGGGTACCTGAGAGTGAGACATTTGAGAACCAAAAGGAAGCACGCAAGATTCTTGGTAAATCATTGTTGACAGAAGCCAAGGCAGCTTTCAAGAACCATTGGTTGCGTATGATTTATATGGTGATTTTGATGGCCTTTATGAACTTTTTCTCACATGGTAGTCAAGACTTGTATCCTACTTTTTTGACAGCCCAATTAGGATATACTTCTACACAACAAACTGTGACCAATGTGGTGATGAATATTGGAGCTATTGTGGGTGGTACTTTGATGGGTTATTATTCGAATTATTTCGGACGTCGATTTATCTTGGTGTTGTGTGCTATTTGTGCTGGTGCATTTATCCCACTTTGGATCTATGCTCCCAATATTCAATCACTTCAGTTTGGTGCTTTTATGATGCAGTTCTTTGTACAAGGTGCCTGGGGTTGTATCCCCGCTCATATCAATGAATTATCGCCTGCTGCTTTCCGTGGTTTAATCCCCGGTTTGGCTTATCAGTTGGGTAACTTGATCAGTGCAGCATCTAGTCAAATTGAAGCTACGATTGGAGAAAAGTATCCTCTCAAGAACGATGATGGTAGTTACAAGTTGAATGCTAAGGGACAACATATTGCTGATTATGGTTTGACGCAAGCCATCTTTATGGGTTGTGTCTGTGCTGGTCTGGTCATTGCAGGTATATATATCTTGTATAAAAAAGTCTATTTTTTATGTGTACTCACCTATTTCCCCTTATTAGCTTCTGTTGGTAAAGAAGAACGTAACAAGGACTTTAATGAACACCTTACAGAAGATGATAATGGACGTGCCGTTGCACCTGAAGATGTACATGCTCACAAGGTTGAGCAAGGACAAGCTGAAGAAAAACCTAAACAATAATCATACCTTAACCCCTCTCCTATGTGTGTGTGTGTATATATATATATTATTTCTTATCCCTTTTTTTTTTTTATCTTAATAAATTATCCCCCCTCCCCCCCTTTTTTTTTCTCTTTCAAATCTATGGATCAAATTAAAAAAAAAAAAAAAAAAAAAAAAAATTGGTTGGGGGAGCACTAAGAAGAAACAAGTCCAACCAGAGAAGAGTATGACTGGTTGATACCCAGCGATAACCTTATTTGAAAATAAAAATAAAAAAGTTTATATATAAGAATAAAAAATGGCGTGTTTTTTTTGACTTTTTTTTTTAGGGGGGGGGGATGTAAAAGTTGTGGCACAGAGAAAGTGATTCATTTCTTATTGAGCTGTCAATTTTTTAATAAAGGGGGGGAAAAGAAGAAAAGGTTTCTTTTTTTTTTTTTTTGGTGTGACAGAGGAAAAAAGAAATATCTCCGCCTCTATGTGTGTGTGCGTGTGTAAAAAGGAAGAGACAATAAGAAAGTCTGCATATAATAAATTTTAAGTTTGGGGTTGATGTAAATCAGGATAAATATTTAATCACTTTTTTTGTTCCTTCAGTGTGAAACCCATTTTTATTCTTTTTGATCTGAAAGGTTTTTTTTTGATTTATATTACACACTAATGCAAAAAAAAAAAAAAAAAAAAAAAAAAGTGAAACCTATTCACCATAATTAACCATGTTTCCCGACCCTGGATTTTTGATAAACCGCAGTAATTTCCTTTTTTTTTTAGTCCCGAAAAAGAAGGACAATAACTTTATTTCTGAAGTGAACGTTTCTTTCCCCCCGTGATTTAAGTGGTACTGTAGTGATTATTTGGCAGTTTTTTTTAGATGTTTATTTTTTTTTCTTTTTTAAAAATGGGATGTTATAAGAGAGAGGGGCTGATTTAAATTAGAAAAAAAAAAGAGAAAAAAAAAAAAACGCACGGAGCATAATTTTAAGATTCCGAAAGAGATAAAAAAAAAAAAGAAAATCACAGCAGAGCATTCCGAGGGGGATAAAAGTAGCTTTTTTTTTTCTATCTGGGTGTGTATGTGTGGGGTAGGTTTTATTTCTTTGATATATAAAAAAAAAAAACTGTCAAATCATAGTTTCACATAGGCTTTCTCAAAAAGAAGGGACGAATGAAAAATAAAAAAAAGAATGGTTGAGCAATTAATTTTCGGGGACAGGTTAGAGCTTGGATGTGACACTAAACTGTAAACGTAAAAGCCTTTTCAGCTTTCGTTCGTTATAATTGGCTTTGTTTCATTGAGTATTCCCCCCTTCTTCTTTTTTTTCTCTCTCCCAAAAAAAAAAAAAAAATCTATGGGTTCTCTTGTTCAATGAGCACAAATATTATGATTATCTCCCCCCCTCCCCTTCTACCTTTTTTTTTTTATTTTTTTTTTCTCTCTTTTATTTTTTTACTTTTTTTTTCTCTCTCTCTTTTCTCTCTTTTCTTTTTTTTTAAAATCCCGTACCTGAAAAAACAAGCTTGTTTTTAAGGGGCATACATTTACATATAAAAACATTTTATCACCCTGATTATATATATTTATATATATATATATATATAAATGTCAACTGGAAAGAATATTCGAACTTTAGTCGAATCCGGTAGTCCTATCCCTACTCAGAATCATAGTCCTGAACAACCGTATTATTCTGTAAAGTAGACTAACTCTCTCTTTTTGGATGAAAGCTAACTCCTCTCTCTCTCTCTCTTTTTTTTTTTAATAGTTGGATGCGTTCTATGCAACATTACTCTCCAGAACATTTGTATCGAGCACAGAGGCAATTGCCTTTTGTAGGGATTTATGTTCTACGCATGGATTTACTGTCAAACAAGAACAAAGCACACACAAGGTAGATTTTTTTTTTTTTTTTTTTATTTATTTATTATCAAAAAAAGTTTATGTAAATAACCATTTTTATTTTATTTTTAAAATAGAACATATACGTCTATTGTTCGCGGGAAGGACTCCCGGACTCTCATCGTAACCCTAAAGTGAATCCACAAAGAAATCGACAATCCCAACGCTGTGAATGTCGATGGCGCATTGTATTATTTGAGAATCTAAAGACGAGTTGGGAATTTCGTAAATCACAGAATGCGGAAGCTTTCATTCACAATCATGCTTTACTACGACCCGACGAGATAAAGAAGGAATGGCCGCGTCAAGTATCTGAAAAGATATTTGAGTTGGCACGACAACGGTTACCTACCAACGAGATTCGACAACAGGTACGAGAACAGTATCCGGATATCTCGTGGGACGATCGTCGTTTTTATAACCGTCTTTCGGAGGAACGACAAAAGATGAAACAACGCGATACAGCTCAGAGAACCTTACGTCTTGTCAACCGATGTGCTCAAATCTGCATGGTCAATGCCGGAAGTGAAGATTTGTCTCATTACGTTGAATCCAAGCTCGTGTCCCTGTTACAAGATACCTGTAAATTTGCCAATATCAATAGTAATTCAATTGGTATGCCCATGAATATGGCCGGTCTGGAATTTGAAGGAACAAAGGACGTGAAACACGAGAATGAGAAATCACCAAAGAAATCCTCCTTTGAATCCTCCTCTTCTTCAACGAGTTTACCTAAAGGTTATTTGGCAGTCCCGATTCCAGAACATACATACCATGTCAAAATGTACAGCCAAAACTCTGCTGGGGATATTCGACGAGCCATCTTTGATATGCAAAGAGCACCCCCTCCTCCTTCCTCTGTGGTAAATACCAATCCACATTTGCAATATGTGAATCAACCACGTAGAAGACGATCGAGAGCGTTATTTGCGCCTGAAGAAGATACTGATTCAATGGACTTGGATACGCCACCACGAAAATTATCGCGTCAAGTGACTTCGTCCATTTTGAACGATGATGAATTAGATGATATGTCTTCACAGTCGTCTCCTTCTAATTCACAGGCCTTACTATTTGCCAACACGAATGCCGATATCAATTACAGCCATCCATCCAATGTATTCTATAATAGTAATGCAGATACAACCACGACCACAGCAGGAGGGGGATCCACGAGCCATGCGTATCTCTCTCAGTCGGACCTATACCCTCCTTCTCGACCCATTGGACAAGGCATGTACGATCCCAATACGTTTGTTACGAATCCGACGACGACTTTACACGAAAGACCTCATTCAATGACATTTGGTGCACCCATTCTTCGTACTGCCAATACACAAGCTCCAGTGCGACCACCACCACCACCACCTGGATATCCTCCTGTAAATTTCACACAGTTGCAGAGTATGATTGAAGAGAATGACAGTAAATCCAGATACTATCCCATGGTCCCACCTACGAGACAACAGCAACATCAGCAGCAGCAGCAGCAGCAGCAGCAGCAGCAACAACAACAACAACAACAACAACACCAACAACAACAGCAAGAGAGTTTTTTGAATGAACAAATGTTTCCTTCTACAAGCAGTTATCAACCCCACAATGTATTCCCCCCACCCCCACTTCCTCCCCACCAACAGTATATGACCCCTCATGAACAATTATTACAACAACAACAAAAGAGAAAGCAACAGTATTATCAACAACAATTGGAAAGACAACATGTTGAAAGACAACAAGATCAACAGTTGTATCGTAGAGCAAGTGGTCCTGGTTAAAAAAAGTATATTTATATATATATATATAAAAAAAAAATGTTTTTTTTTTATTCATTTTTTTTTTTACGAAAAAAAAAAAAAAAAAAAAAAAAAATAATGTATAGCTTTTTAATCTGTTAATATCTTTTAAAAAAAAAAATATGTAAACCCCCACTTATTCGTATATTGTTACTATTATTCCACCTTATACACCCCCTCTCTCTTTTTATTAAAATAAAAATTATGACTTACGGAAAAAAAAAAAAAAAAAAAAAAAAAAAATCACGTTTTCATCTATAAAAAAAAAGACGCGTTTTTTTTTTTTTTTTTTCTTTCTGTTTTTTTTTTCTTATCAAAAAGTGTCTGGGAAAAAAAAAAATAAGGTGCGACAGCCATCTGTTTTACACATGATTCACCATAATTAAGCTATACAGTTTTTTACTAGCCTGACAATAAACAAAAAAAAAAAAGAAAAAAAAGAAAAGAAAAAAAGTCGGGCCACAGGGGTGGGTAGGGTTTTTTTTTTTGGGATAAACCATTAAAATATGTTACCCTGTTGTTACAGAATGAAAAAAAAAAACGTGTTCCTTTTGCTAAATTGAGAGGTGTCACTTATTTTGTATGCAAGCTGTAATGAAAAAAAGTTGTTAAAATCTCTAAAACGGACTTTTAAGAAGAAAAAAAAAGTCACCCACTCCAAATCGAAACACATTCCCGGTTTAAGAGTTCATTTAGACGCTCTTGTTGTCCCAGTCATCTTAAAAAAAAAAAGCGGGGGGACCACATGATCTCTATTTGTTGAGAATTCATCTTGACATCTTTTTTTTTTTTTAGTCTGTGCCATTTTTTTCTGAAAAAAAAAAAAAAAAAAACTTTAATAGGTGGACCGTGTGTTAAAGGGTATAATTCATGGTTTTTTTTTTCTTCGATAGATCAATGATCCCAGGGAAACAAAAAGTGAACCCTCTTTTTTTATTGCATCATGTTGCTGTTAGTAAAAAGAAAAGGTGCCATTGAATTCTTTCTTTCTCTTTTTGTTTTTCATAAAAAAAAAAAAAAAAAAATCAAAAAAAACTAAACTAATAAAAGGGTTCAATTGATACTACTGCTAGTTTATGTTTTTTTTTTTCTAAAAAAAAAAAGCACGTTTTTTTTAATGGCAACTCTGGGGGAGGGATCGCTGTATCATGAAGGATGCAGCGATGGAGATTTTCTGAGCTGGCATGAAAAAAAAAAAAGATGTACGACGTGAAATGCCTAAAAGAGGAATAGGTTAATTAAAAACCCAAAAAAAAAAAAAAAAACTCTTTTATAAAATGTTTATATATTTACAGTCACTTATGTCATGATATGCCCACCTCCTTTTGAAGAGGGGGGGGTGTTAAGGGGGGGTGGGTTTGTTATAAAAAAAAGGAGGGGAGGAAAATAAGTAGTGCCTTTTTTGTTTTATGGCCGTAACCCACTTTCTTTTTGCCCTTTTTATCTTTTTTTTTACTGACTGATATAAAAGATGACTTTTGATTTTGAAGAACGTGCGGGTGATTTAATTGAAAATGTGACGGGAAATGAAAGTGTTGTGCTCTACTCTAGTCAAGATTTCAAGTTGGTGAATAAAGGATGGACGAATACGTTTCGTCAACGCTACGGGAGTCAATTGAATGCCCAAAAGAAGACGGTAGGTCAAGTAGCGTATGTGACAACCACGATGCAACATGGGCGTTGCCATGTGTTTTATTTGATTGTGACGCCTAAATCCTACAACAAGGCAAATTATTCAGATATCGAATCGTGTTTGATTAGCTTGAGAAAGTTGTGTGAACAATTGGACGTGCGTCAATTGGCTTTAGGTCGTGAATTGGGTTTATTACAAGAAAAATATATCAAGGATGTACTCTTTAATGTATTTCAAGGCAAGTTTTTTTTTCTTTTGTGTTTACTATTCATTTTTTTTTATAACTCTCTCTCTCTTTTTTAGGCTGGCACGGTAAAATCGTCATGTATCTTGGAGAATCCTAAAAAAATAAATAAAAATAATAAAAAATGTGTGCGGGGGCCCGACTTTTTTTTTTTCTTTTTTTCTCACACACACACATTTTTAAAAATGTCTTCAGAAGAAGAACCTTTATTCAGTAGAAATAGCCATGGTCAAAGCCATTGGAACAGACTTCGAAAAAGTACCATGGTAAAACATATAAAAAGACTGTTTTCTTAATTGTATAGACCTAATTCTTTCTCCACCCACCTACAAAAAAAAAGCTGATTCGTGCAGTATGTGTGTTTTCTCTCCTCATTAGCTTAGCAGCCGGCACATGGATTGTACAAGCCTTTTTAAGCAGCCCAGAAATTGATTTCTCTAGTTTAAAAGATTATTGCAAGGACGTTTCAGCTATTCAACCTGACGAGTACACAGTACGTCATCAACAATTAGCAGAGACATTAAAGAAGGAAGGAGCCGATGCTTTAATCATGGAAGGAGGAGCCAGTATGGTGTATTACACAAATATCGAATGGGGTTTAACCGAAAGAGCCTTTATGGTTGTACTTCAATTAAACGAAACAGAAGCCACGGGTATTCATACCACCATTATCACACCTGCTTTTGAATCCACGCGTGCAAAAGAAAGTTTAAAGCATGCCCATTTACCCGATACCATTCAACCGAGTATGGTAGAGTGGTTAGAGTACAAGTCACCCTTTGCGTCCTTGGGTGAATTATTAACCACGAGTCAACGCGTGATGGTGGAACAAAATGCACGCTTATTCATTTACAGAGGTGTATCTGAAGCCTTGTCTGATACCAGAGTGGATATGGCACCACGATCTATTCGTATGTTACGCATGATTAAATCGGATGGTGAATTGGATATTATGCGATGTGCCAATACGGTGACCGAATTAGCGATTCGTACGGTTCGACCTCATATCAAGATTGGCATGACTGAATTTGATATTCAAAAGTTGATGACGAGGGCATTGAAAGAAGCTGGATTGACGAATACGTGGGTGTTGGCACTTGTGGATGAGAATGCAGCACTTCCTCATGGTTCATCCAGTGAGCAACGAGTCAAGGAGGATAGTACGGTGTTAATTGATACGGGAGGAGAATTTTTGAGATATCAGTCGGATGTGACGCGTACTTTCTTTATGGGACAACGTGGTACGAATAATCAGACGATTGAGGATGCGTGGTATTTGGTACGTCGTGCCCAGGAGAATGTGTTGAATCGTACGGGAGCTGGTCAGAATTGTGCTGAAGTGGATTTGACGGCACGTCATGTCATTGAGAAGGGTAACTTTGGTCCGTTTTTCACACATCGTTTGGGTCATGGTTTAGGTCTGGAAATGCATGAAGAACCTTATATGAATCAAGGTAACCGAGAACAATATTTAGCTCCTGGTATGACCTTTAGTGTTGAACCTGGTATCTATGTGACCCATGAATTTGGTATTCGATTGGAAGATCCCGTCGTCGTTCGAAAGGATGGTAAATTAGAGTTATTAACCATTGGTTTAGCTCAAAATCCCTGGACCCTTTAAACCCCAGAAAGAAAATAAAAAAATACTGTTCTCAGGGGCGCATAATTGTGGCTTGGTCTTTTTTTTTTTTTTAAGTTGAATTTTTTTTTTTTTTTTTTTTTTAAAAAGTACAACTCTTTTTTTTTTTCTTGCCATGTCTGATTTAAAAGAAGAGAAAATTCAAGACACGCTTGTTGATCAAGAACAAGAAGTCGAAGAAGATTATGAAGATTATGATGATTATGATGATTATCTCGATGATGAATTGAACGATACTGACATGTGGGACGATGCGACTGGAGGTAAAAAGGAAGAGAGAGATAACCACTTTTTTTTTTTTTGGGTTTAAAAAGTAATTGAACAAGAAATAAATAGATTTCACGAAACAATACAATAAGCTTCGTCAACAAATTGCACCCAACAGTTCGTCAGATAAACCTGCACCTGCTGTCAATCGAAAGATTGCACCTGTCCCTCTTCAACGTACCGTGGATGCAGCCAATGCGACAGGTGGCACGGTTGAAAAGAAACAAATGTTGGATAGTCAGATTGATAGTTTAGGGCATTTTGCTAGTCGTATTCATATTGGAGAAGATTACAATCCTTCCAAGATTTCATCTTCAGTTGCTAGTGATATCAAGTTGAGTTCCAAGAAGGCCAGTGGTGACAAGTAAGTTTTTTTTCGTATTAGGGATGCAAGAAGAAAAAAAAGGGGGAACTAATTCTTATGGAACAGAACGATTCAACGTGATAAATCCGATCGTGCTACAGTTGAACAAGTACTTGATCCACGTACACGTATTATTCTATTCAAAATGTTGAATCGAGGTATTTTTTACGAGATCAATGGATGTATCAGTACGGGTAAAGAAGCCAATGTGTACCATGCCATGACAGAAGATGGTGAACATCGTGCGATTAAAGTGTACAAGACATCTATTTTGACCTTTAAGGATCGTGATCGTTATGTGACAGGTGAGTTCCGTTTCAGACACGGTTACTCCAAATCCAACCCTCGAAAGATGGTGAAAGTATGGGCAGAGAAGGAAATGCGTAATTTAAAACGTATTCAGGCAGCGGGTATTCCTTCACCTACCGCCATTATCTTGCGTATGCATGTCCTTGTCATGGAGTTTTTAGGTGATAAAAATGGATGGGCTTATCCTCGTTTGAAGGATGCACAGATTGAAACATCGAGATATCCTGCACTTTACTATCAATTGGTGAAGAATGTACGTACCATGTATCAAGTGTGTCGTTTAGTGCATGCGGATTTAAGTGAATACAATATCTTGTGAGTAAAATGTGGGGGGGGGAAGAGAGAGAAAAGATGACTAAAAACATAAACTAGGTACCATTCACGTAAACTGTATATTATTGATGTATCCCAATCAGTGGAACATGATCATCCTCACGCCTCTGAATTCTTGAGAAAGGATCTTTCAAATGTGACAGATTATTTTGCCAAGAAGGGAGTCCGTGTGATGAGTATTATGGAATTATTCAAGTTTGTGACGGATGTGTCTTTTAGTAATGAAGAAACGGTGGTGGATGCACGTTTAGAACAAATTCAAGAAGACATGAATGCCAACCCTAATCTTGAGATTAATACAATTGAAGATGAGATCTTTATGAAGTCTTATATACCCACCACTTTAGATGAAGTCATTGATATCGATCGAGATACCTTGATTGTTGAAGAAGGTGGAGGAAAGAATCTGGTGTATGCGGATTTATTAGGTACAGGTGTGACTACTTCCATTCAACAATTGGATATTCAAGATGATGAAGAAGAGGATAAGGCAGTTTCGGATGGAGAGAGTGCATCTGACAACGATGATGACGACGACGATGAGGAGGATGAGGATGAATCTGGCTCTGAAGATGAAAATGGAGAAAGAAAGCCTAGAACACCTAGAGGAAAAAAGAATGAGGATAAGGATGATAAGAAGGATCGAAAGAAAAAGACCAAGGAAGAAGCAAGAGAACGTAGAAAGCATAAACTTCCCAAGGCTGAAAAGAAGAGAAAGATCAAGACAAGTTGTAAAAAGAAGAAGTAAAAAGCAAAAAAGCAAAAAAAAAAAAGAATCGTGTATGAGGTTTTTTTTTTGTTGGTTTTCTCTCTTGGAAATTTGTATATATATTGTCATTATTATTATTATTATCACTATAAAAAAAAAAGATTAGAAAAATAGGCTTACTTTTGTGAATAATATTCCTGTCAATGCTTGATTTGTATAAGCGGAAAAAGGTCAAGAACTAATTTATGTCAGGATGAGATCATTTCCTTGTTGGGAATGCATGAATCAAGTCTTTCTATGCAACAGAAAAATACTGTTATTCATAGTTTTCACAGTTCCATGCCATTTTTTACATTTTGCATCCTATGGTCTTGAAGGCCAATCAGTTAGAGCTCTAAATCTACTGACACTAAGTATCCCTGACTCGGTTGTCATTGAACGTGATCTGATAATGAATTTTGTTATCTATGAAATAAGTTCATTTATTTCTTGATATGAATAGTGAAAGATTACGGTTGGTACTCAAGTGATAGTAGCACTCGGTTGATACGTTTATTACAAAAGATAACATTTTTCTTCTTGAACTTGTGCACAACAAAAAAAAAAGCTAGATAAATCGTTGCCCATGATGGTAATAGGCTAAACTAAAAGGCGAGCAAAGATGTATTATCTTTATTATCTTGGATGTCAATCTTTTTATTTTATTTTTTTTCAAACTCAAAAAAAGAGAGAATATAGATGCTTGTAAACATTACAGACCCCATGATTTGGTTTCCAAGGTTTTTTTTTGATTGATCTAGGTCGTATGTTTTTTTATGGGAGAGGTCCTTTTCGCTTATAATACGATCTTTTTTTATGGTGAAATAAGGATGGTTATTCATGTAAGTGATGGTTTTTCTCTTAAATAAAAAGTTAAATGTCATTGAATGATGAAGCAAAAGATCTATATGTAGATAGCAAGGGAATTCTATTTTCCGCATGGTCAGCCAAACCTGTTTGTATTATTAAAGTCGACCCATTGTTTACGTTAAGCGGATATAAGAAATTCTTTTGCGTCTTGGCAGCCTATAAATTATTATTATTTTGACTCTTCCGGATCCGCTTTGCTAAAAAAAAAGGGGGGGGTGGATGGGCTGAGCACAAAAAGGGGAAGGGGGGGTAGAAGTATTTTCAAAAGGGAAATACGTTTCACCAAGAAGACCCACTTTACTTGGCAAATACCATAAAAACAGTTTTTTTTTTATAAAACCTCCCTCCTTATTAAATGCATTTGCAATAAATAAACAAGAATATATCCGTCATTCAATCAAGTCTTAATCAAGAGAAGAAGAAAAAAGAAAAGAGAGCTAATGCAGCAAACATGTATCGATGATATCACGTCACCTCCCTTTTATAAATCATATGGTCTGAATGACGATTCTTCTTTTTTTATGAAAATGTAAAACGAATAACAACAGCCACTCGGTATTATTATTTTTAAAAAGATGGAGTAACAGCCACACCGTCTTAAACCAATGGTAATTATCACGTTTTCTGTGAAATGTAACACAAATGACATGCTGTAAATTTCATGTAAAAAAAAAGATACATTTACGCTGCGCTAATTGTTTCTCGATATGGTGGAATTATAAAAAAAGATGGGGTAGTTTAAAAATCAGTTTTTTTTTTTTTTTTTCTTTTTTATTATTTTTTTATTCTTCTTTTTTTTTTCTTGTTTTGCATACTAATATGAGTGGGACATTAAAGACATCGTTGCTGAATTATCCCTTTGAATTGGTTGCGCCTATGGCAGCTATTGGATCTGTACTGTTATTGCCATTGGGACCTTTATTGATACCAAGAACGTATATCTGGTTCTTGTTGGTTTATTTTACCTTATTTTTGTATACACAAGTAAGTCATGTCTTCAAGTTTTATCTGACCGCCAGCAAGATAAAGGGAAACATTCGTGCATGGAACCAACGTTCAGTAGTGGAAGAAGAAAAGACATCTATGAGCAAGCCTCGTGAAAGGGTAAATGATCAAGACTTGGATGATATGGAGACATCACTTCAGTTGTATGAGGAAAATCATTTTATTCATGCCTTTATCGTACCTAATTATGCAGAACCAGAGGCTCTTTTAAGAGATACAATCAAGCGTTTAGCCAATCACAAGTAAAGTGAGGAGAAGGCCAAAAGGGAATATATATTTTTTTGACTCATAAGAAATCTCTCATTTTTTTTTTAGGAATGCTCAAACGAATTATGTCATTATTTTAGCCATGGAAGCATCTGAATTAAATTATGAATTGAAAGCGGATAGTTTAACAGAATATTTCAAGGATAGTTTTCTATCATTTATTGTCACTGCGCATCCAGCTGATATTCCCGGAGAAACGCGTGGTAAAGGATCGAACGTTGCTTTTGCAGCCCGCCATGGGTGTGCGCAAATGATGCAACAAGGGATTGATAGAAGAAGAGTGATTCTTACCGTTTCGGATTCGGATTCATCTATTCCTGAGCTCTATACAAAAGAGGTAACACCTTATACAATTAAGGTTTTTAGTGTTTATTTATAACAAGACTTTCTTCTTTTTAGGTTGAAAAATCATTTACACAAGCCGAAGACCCCTACTTTTTATTATTTGCACCACCCATTTTCTTTTCTCGTAATTCCTTTGAGGTACCAGCGGCGGTAAGAATGACGGATATCACCTGGTCAGCGATGGTGATGTCAAGTTTAAGTAATGGTCGTGGCTTATCTTTTCCTTGCTCAACCTACAGTCTTAGCATGGTTTTAGCAGAGAGAGTGGGATATTGGGATACAGACGCTGATGCAGTTGGAGAAGATATGCACATGATGTTGAAATGTTTTTTCAAGACAGACGGACTTGCACGATGTTGCCCGATCTTTGTACCCATTAATCTCACCAATGTTCAAACGAACGGATACCTTGCCAACATGCATGCACGATTTGTACAGGCCAAAAGACATTACAATGGAGTAGCCGATTTAGCTTACACACTGAGAAACTCATTTGGGGTCAAGGGCAATGTCAATGTATTTGCATCCAAGAAAAGTATGTATGCATCTCCCAACTTTTGGTTGGATAAACTTATTATTTGTATCAAGGTGATGGAAGCCCATCTGATTCCTGTCACTTCGGGTTGGTTGATGTTTGCAGCGGTACCTTTGATGCAGTTTATTTTGTTTCCACCAGCGAGTATCACCACGGTATTTGTTCCAGCCGAAGAAAATCCTATCCTCACTTCGGAATTCTATGCTAATTTGTGGAACATAGTGAGGATCATCACGGTGTTCTTACCGTTCCCGTTGTTTGGTACTTTAGCAGTGTATGAGGTACTTCATCGTACCATTGATCGGGAACTTTACCACAAGGCAGAAACTCGTACATGGCGTAACATGTTTGATTATATCTCTTTACCAGTGGCTGCTTGGGCTTTTATGACCATTCCATCTACTATTGCTTGTATCAAGCGTCTTTACAAGTCTAACAGTGAATATATTGTGGCTGAAAAGTTCTTTGATGAAGAGTAACAGTGGATACCCCATCCATAGGTCAAACCACATGTATTTAGAATCATTCATACACTTACATCCCCCCCCTCCCCTTCCGCATTTCTTTATTTTATACACTAATTCTTCTCCCCCCTTTTTTTTTAATCTTAATTCTAATTTCTTTTAATAATAAAAATGTACAGTGAAAAAAAAAAAAAAAAAAAAAAAAAAAAAAAGACAGCGGCTTTAAAAAATTAAGGGGGGTTGTATGCAGAGTACTGAACATTTATATGCTGTGGGAAGCTTGCAGATTTTTCTTTTTATTGTTCTAACGATAAACATAACTGTATCAAGTCATTTTGTTTTTGTTCGTAGTCATACAATAAAGTGAGATATTCTCAATAGCTTTTTAATTTACACCTTTTGTTTCTTTTGTGAGCCTAACAGATTTTTTTTTTTTTTTTTCGCATGAGGGTTTTAAACATAACATGATGGTACCTACAGATCGTAATGTCCTTTTTTTTAAAATCATTGGAGAGAATTAAAAAAAAAATATGTCATCATCTATTAAATCAGTAGGAATGCTGTTAAATCATGCCAATGACAATTTTTTTTTTTTTCTCATAGAAGGTAAAAGAATTGGTGTAAGGTAAATGCATGACGGCGTATGGCCGGACTTTTAAATGGTTAACTAATCCCAAAAAAAAAAAAAATGATGGACGTCATGTCTTTATAAAGGGCTTTAGACGACTCTAAAGTAATAGGCATCTTGTTAATGTTTTTCCCTCGTTTGTTGAGTAGATGGTTGTAAACCATAGCCTTGAGCACTTAATCTCTAAAAATACTTTTCTGAAAAAAACGCTCAAAAAGTGGGATTTAAAATGTTATTGGTTACTTAAAAGAGTTTGGTTACACAAGTAACATGGAAGTCAATCCTTTTTATCTCAAATCATAATGTAAATCATGGAGAATACCATGATACGCCACATGAATCTATCGAGAATCAAACGAATATTTTAATGGGAGTAGCAGCAAAAATACCTTACAAAGATAAGATAACATAAGCCATCACATGCAAAATAAACAAAATAATTTTTTTGCATGAATAAAAGATTTTTTTTTTTTTTTTTTTCATTTTCATTGATATTAAAAACCCGGCTTCGTGCGCAAGCCCCAGGAAAAAACGGTGTCTTAAAGTAAGAACATCCATACGATCATGAACAACAAATACTCAGCGAACCCAATCACTCGTCTGCCAAATGAGCAGGTAGAGAGCACGAGGACCGGAGAACTCCAGGCAATGAGGCCATTTTTTTCTAAAGAAGAAGAAAAAAAAAAAGAAAAAAATTTCAGATGAAAAAAAAGTGCCCCTTTATATATCTTTTTTTTTTTCTGTTTACTTTTCTCATTCTAAAAAAATCATAACTTGGGACTGTTGTTTTTAACTGTCTCTATTTGAATTTTCGCATGACTATTCTTGTTTAGGGGAGGTTTTTACCTTCTCTTAAAACCATTGTCTCTTTGTTTCCCTAATCATGATCTCTTGAAAATTACTCATGTTGTAAAGGTATACTGTTTCTTTTCTAATGTTTCTTCAGTTTTTCTAAACTGTTGTGTTTAGATTTACGCGTCCCATGAGTCGGCCCACAAGTAAATTTGATGAGGAGTTGCACCGTACGATCGTCTTGAATGTTTGAAGGTCTTTCTGTCAAAGTTTTGATTTACGACTGATACCGCTCTTTCGATGAGGTTTGGTCAGCCTCAAGAAGGGTGAATAGGGCTCCAATTTGGGGAGGAGTTATTCATATGTGATAGCACTTGTAAAATTGCCTTGCATAGAAGAAAAACGAAGTGATATCTGAGGGTATTTTGGCGATCCGTATCGTGAAGTGCTTAGCGGATTACCCAAGGGATGAGATACTATTCTTGCTGGGTTTGTAGAGGTGCGTCTTCTTGATGTGAAGGATGTAGAAAGGGAAGCGGAGGAGATAAAGGATGAGACATGTGTTATTGCAGAAGAAACCTCGGAAATGTTAAAACCCACATCATGCAAGAATTTGACAATTTCTCGTCCCCGCTTAAGTTTTCAACCATCATGGATATCCTCCAAATGAACATCCTTCGATGGCTCGGTACGTCTTTAACTATAAATGTATTTGGAAGCAGGAAAATACTCTGTAGATGCTGCATTGAACCAAACCGACATTTTTAAGAACGGGGATGCGGATTTATAGCAAGAAGGAAAAAAAAAAGTATTGTATTAGACATGATATAGCCGAAGTATTGAGGAAAATAGATATGCTAATTCAAGTAGATACAAGTATTTTTTGTTTGGTACGTTGATGTATGTGATAATGTTAATTTGCGTTAAATAAAGTGGGAAATATACACATAAAAAATATGATGTAAGCGATGTCTTTTTTTTATTTGTTTCCATATGCTTAAAAGGGGAAGGATAGCAAAGGTCTCTTTTCCCAGACACTAGAGATTTTTTCACGGAAGATTAGTCTAGCAAAACAAAACACTGCGCTTCAATGTTAGTAAGTGTTAGATGGAAATTTAATTACATGCTTTACCCCGCCATTGACTTCATGGTCATATAAGGTTGTTGTGCCACAATAAAATGGTTACCTAACAAACACTGTGTTCTCTTAAGCCTCTTCGTATTTGTGCTTTCGCCGCTTTTAACATCGTGTTGTGGAGGAAAGATGGAAGAACTCTATGACTATTCTCGGCATAGATACTGTATTAACATCGGTAAGCGACTTAGTTTTTAAAATTACGACGTTGCTTACTTCGTATAGATTTGGGACATGACATGATCACCTCTATGGTGGTAGCCATTAGTAAACTTACAAAAAGTAATAAAAGGTTAGTCGACATCGAAACCGCAGAGTTTATACGCGTTTTTTTGTTTTTTGTTATTTTTTTGTTTTTTTTTTTTGACGAAATTCCTTTTTAAAAAAAAGTTATGAAATCGAATACCGTACCTCAATTTTATATGACACTACCACCAGAAATGTCATTGCCAGAGGAAACAAGGCCGATGAAGCGAATGAGGAACCAAAAGGGTCCCAAGAAGGCGTTATTTATGTACGCAACACCTTAAGCGAGCTTGCTGACATTTATTTAAAATCAAAGCAACAATACTTCGACACTACGGCACTGTACGCGGTCTTGTACGAGGAAGCTATAGACCTGTTACAAAAAATACTGGATCAACATAAAAAAGAGTTGAATACAAGTGAAAATATAAATTTTTGTTACTCTTTGAACCTTCCAACCAGTTGGGATCATGAAATAAGAGAAGAATTGTTCCTGCCTCTATTCGTAAAAGCTGGTCTTCTCCATGAAAATGATGGTCCAGGCAGGCTGGTGTTTTTTTCGATGTTAGAGTTAAATTTTCAGAACATGCAAGTAACTACAACCTACCATGATGCTAGAAACATAAAGTACGGTGATCAGCGCGTTATGTGTACAGTAAATTATCAAGGTGCATTCTCCGTGGATTTGACATTGGTATCAGCTCAATATCCTGCTTTCGGATTAGCAGGAAGAAAAATGGTGCCACAATTGTTGAAACAGGCTCACTTTGTAATCCCTTATGGACTAAAAGAACTACGATTGTCATTAATAGCATGTGTGGAAAAGCATTGTGATCCTACGTTATCATCAGAATCTATCGATGACATGCTTAAAAAACTCAGTCAAAAGTACGAAGGAATCAATTATTTTGTAAGAGTTGATTAAAAAGAAATTGGGAAAATAATTAAAAACATTTTTTTTTTTTTTTTTTTTTTTTTGCCAGAGATATCCAAGTGATGTTTTAGATGATCAGCCATTCCCAGACTTGAAATCTCGCTGGACGAATAAACCAATCACTTTACGGGACATACTTGAACATCTTTCTGGTTTTGTTGAAAAATTCTTTAGAAATGAAGTAGATAAATTTCTTGTAGGCAGGAGCAATGTAGCACCCAGGCCATTAGACATTTTGTACACAGGTCGAATCCCGGAAACATTTTTTGCTATGGGGCTAATCTCAGTAGTTAATTGTTGGTCGAAAAAGTATTTCAGGGAACTAAAAGAATCTTACATATCCGCGGAACGCGGTCGTGATACCCCCATATTCGAATTCTTTGAATTTTATGACCGACAAGATGCAATTGGAGCGCTTTTACTAAGCCATTTGGAAGAATTTAACTTGCGCAGAAATCCAGTTATACTATCCAACGAAATAACAATGGAAGAACCCAAAAGTTGCTTAAAGCCTATTATCTTCATCAATATCGGTAAATTTACTCTTTAATAGTATCGGATTTGTACTTACCTATTCTATTTTGAAACCAAACAGACATATCGCCTACACGAATCCAGACTGCTTTTACATACCTAGATAAAGATAGACAAGTTGGACAGAAGCAAAATATCGAATGGTAATAGTGTTAGGCGTCAAAATATCTTGTATGAGAAAGTCCAACTAAGTTCCATTTTATTGCATAATAGTAATATGCAACCATTGAATTTTTTTATCAAGCAATCAGAAATATATCAAAGACCAGTACTACACATATCAAATAGGTAAAGTTACTAAAAGAAACGCTTATGCTTGTCAATTCTAATTGTACGTTTAGACTGAAGTTACGTTTGGAAACGATTTTTGATGATTATCTTAAATTATACTCCAATTACATCGGACAGAGGATGATAATGGAGACAACAACTAAAATATCTGACCAGGTTTTAAGAAAAGAGAAAACAAAGAGTACTTTCAACGATTATATTAGGATAAAAACTAGCAAAAATCGATCGAAGGAAATCAGAAAGTTATTTGTTTCCTCAAACCCAAGCCTATTTAAACAGCTTACGGCAAACTTTGACATGGACGATCTTCTTGTGTCGAATGACAAATTTTCTGCTTCGGATAGCGAGGGATTTACAACATGCCATCCAGGTTACATGTATTTTTTTATGCTCACATATCTGCACTGTCTCAACAAGCAAATAGAGGAAAAATTGGAAAGTAATTTCGGAAAGAACTGGCAAGCCAACAAAATTTGGTATGGTGTCTCTATTGATAAAAATCTATCGGACAATGTATTCGGTACAATAAAGAAATTGGAAAAATCATTCTTTGCAAGTGGAATACTTGGGAAGGACGACGACCTTCGACAAGCAAAATTCTGTACCCGTGGCGAAGAAATTCTACCCGCTATCCAACACAATTATCAGCATTTGGACTTTGGGTTGAAATCATACTTTGTTGTTGTACAGATATTTTCAAAGCATATTCAACTCAGTTTGCATCAAGTGGTCAAACTGGCATCACCCGGAGAAGATCCAGCGTCCATCATTATTCAGGATGAAATGATACAAATCAATGATGTATATGACACACTTTTTAAGAGTATTATGAAGAGCATACAAATCAATTATCAAGTTGACTATTGTGCCACACATAAGTACGGGGAAGATACACAATATGATTTCCAATCATTTGAGATATATAGTAATATCTATCGAAATTTAAAACCATGCGTTGTTGAACTTGTAAGTTGGTATACCTATGATTAGCGTCTCATTGTATTAATTGTTTTTTGGTAGTTCGAAAAAAACAAAGCACATTTAGACATGGATTCCAAAATACAGCTAGATATCAACACGAAATGCGATTGCAGTATCAGTATTTCTCTTCGTGACATTATTGAAGTAGGCCTTATGTCAGTAATAGAGAGTATAGCAACAAAAATAATGGATTCTTTGACCAACAAGAGACTATTTGGAGACTATATACCGAATTACATTTTTTTGTTTGGAGATCCGTTCAATCTGGGGCAAGGTTCAAAGATCCACATTGCATACACCATGATTATGCAAAAAGCGATTGATGACGGCGTATATATTAAAGAGAAAGATACAAAGATATTTGTAATAAGAGAATTTATTTTCCAATTATTGGAGACGTTTTTATCTGGAAAAAAGCCTTACATGTTTGAAAGGTTTGTCACTGGAACTTTGTGCCAAGTATCAAGCAATACATACGGGATACGGATTCCATATTTAAACCGTTTTACCCCTTTCACACGACTAAACAGTGATGGTGATATCAAAAATACTATTGCAGATGATGGTAGTTATTTGGTATTTATTCAGAAAGGGAAGCCAGTTCCAACAAAAAGGCATATTATTCAAAGCAATGAACCAAAATGTAAGTTCGTTGCCATGATTGTTCTTCTTTGTTTGTTCTAATGAGACCCACTTCTACTTACACATAGATACCAATTTAGAAATTCTTCAATTAGAAATTTCACCCAGTACTGTTCCGGACAAGTATGCTCTATTGCACGGCGACACTCCTGGTTGTACTACTGAAATATTCTACTCTAATTTGACGTTCTATGGTTTTCTGAGTACATTTGTGGTAGAATATGAGCAGAGTAGCATTAATTTATCTATCAAAGTATCAAGAGGATGTATGTGCGATATTGATAACTATATTGATAACCCTTATTACGAAACCGAAAATATCCTGGAGCCATTGACACTCGCGTATATTTAACATATCACTGCTACAATAAAATCAACCTCTTTTTAAACCACCGTTTTACCTGCGTGACTTTCAATTTTAAAAATCCCCCTTCACTCTCCCCCGACCCCCCCCCCCCAGGGACACAATGGGCCCTTTTTTTATTTAAAGAAGAAACACTTTTTCATAAACAAGACATGCCTTTTGGATTAAAAGTACCTTCCAAGAACACACTGATTTTCAGTGGTGTTGCAGGTGGCATTGCAGGTCTCGTCTGTTTCAGTAATAAATAAGCCCAAGATGCCAGAACAAGACTTGCTCAACGAGTTTCTTTCCTCGCTGACAGACCTTGTGGTGTCCATGTAAGTCTTTTTCCCCTCTTTGATCTCTTCTTTATTGTCCGCACCCCATAAGAAACTAGGAAATGCCTCGTAAAGTCACAGTGTATATTACTGCACCACCTGGTTATGGACTTGAAAAGAGTCGAACTTGGTTTCGTGAATATGTCAAGGTAATATAATACGCCAACCCACCGACATGTATAAAAAAATAAACTGATACGCTTTACTTGCTGCAGCCTATTCTTGTTGCAGGTGCTGTCGATTACGAAATTAAAGAAGCTAAATCACCTGGCCAAATCGAAACTTCTGTCATGGAAGAAATTGTTCAACGTCGTCGTGAAGCCGTCGAAGCAGACAATGCAGAATCAAACGACCACGAACAATTAGAAAACAAGTCCAACACAGGTTTTACATCACCTGTAGAGAACATGAATAACAAGAAGAAAAGTGAAGTGGTATCCGATGGTATTTTAGCGATTGGTAGAAATGCAAATCGTGAAGTGCTTAGCGCATTAGGCAAGGTACGAGATGACAAAGGATGAGACATCTGTTATTACAGAGGAAACCTTGGAAATGTTAAAAGCCACATCATTCAAGAATTTGACAATTTCTCGCTTCCGCTTGAGTTTTCACATATCATGTATATCCCCCGAATGAACATCATTAGATGGCTCGGTACGTCTTTGATTATAAATGTATTTGGAAGCAGGAAAGTACGCTGTAGATGCTGTCTTGTATCAAACCTGACATTTTTAAAACCTGGATGCGGATTTATAGCAAAAGGAAAAAATGTATTGTATTAGACATGATATAGCCGAAATATTAAGGAACAATGTACGCTGTTTTGAGTAGATACAAGTATTTTTGGTGAGTCAGTGTTAGTGCCAATGTTAATTTGTGTTAAATAAAGTGGGTAATATATAAAAAATATGATGTAAACGATATCTTTTTATTTGTTTCCATATGCTTAAAAGGGAAAGGATTGCAAAGGTCTCTTTTCCCAGACACTAGAGATTTTTCCACCGAAGAGTAGTCTAGCAAAAACTAATATCGCACTGCAATGTTAGTAGGTCATATGAGGTTTCGTACTACAAATAAACGGACTACTCGTAAGCCTCTTTGTATTTGTACTTTTGCCGCTTTTAACATCGTGTTAGAGAAGAAAGAAGATGGAAGAACTCTACGACTATTCTCGGCATAGATATTGTATTAATATCGGTAAGCGACTTATTTTTTTAAATTACGGCGTTGCTTACTTCGTATAGATTTGGGCTATGACATGATCACCTCTAAAGCGATTGCCATTAATAATAATATAGAGTTGAATGAAAGGTTAGTCGACATCAAAACAACATAATTTATACGTGTGTGTTTTTTTTTGTTTTTTTTTTTGACAGAGATTCCTTTTTGAAAAAAGATTTGAAAAAAAATACAGTACCTCACTTTTATATGACACTACCACTAGAAAGGTCATGGCCAGAGGTAAATTGGCTGATGAAGCGAATGAGGATTCAAAAGGGCTTCAAGAAGGCGTTATTTATATACGCACCATTTTAAGCGAGCTCGCTGACATTTATTCAAAATCCGAGCAACAATCTTTCGATAATACCGCAATGTATGCGGCCATTTACGAGGCGGCTATGGAACTGTTACAACTGTTACTGTATGATTATAAACAAGAATTGAATAGTGTAAATATGGATTTTTGTTATTCTTTGAATCTTCCAACCAGTTGGGATTATAAAATAAGAGAAGAATTGTTCCTGCCTCTATTCGTAAAAGCTGGTCTTCTCCATGAAAATGATGGTCCAGGCAGGCTAGTGTTTTTTTCAATGTTAGAGTTAAATTTTCAAAACATGCAGATGTATAGAAGATTACAGAAGGGTACAAATATAAAGTATGGTGATCAGCGCGTTATATGTACAATAGATTATCAAGTTACATACTCCGTGGATTTGAAATTGGTATCAGCTCAATACCCTGCTTTCAGATTAGAACAAAGAAAGTTGGTGCCACAATTGTTGAAACAAGCTCACTTTGTAATCCCATTTGGACTAAAGGAACTACGATTGTCATTAATAGCATGTGTGGAAAAGCATTGTGATACTACGTTATCATCGGAATCTATCGACGACTTGCTTGAAAAACTCAGTCAACAGTTTGATGGATTTAGATATTTCGTAAGAGTTAATGGAAAGGAAATTGGAAAGATAATTAAAATATTTTTTTTTTTGTTTTACCAGAGAGAAGATAATGTTTTAGATTGTCAGCCATTGCCAGACTTGACATATCGCTGGACGAATGAATCAATCACTTTAAAGGACATTTATGAACATTTTTCAGGTTATGCAGAAAAATTCTTTAGAAATGAAGTAGATAAATTTCTTGTAGGCACAAGCAATATAGTATCCAGACCATTGAACATTTTTTACACAAGTCGAATCCCGATAACATTTTTAGCTAAGGGGCTAATGTCATCACTTGAACGTTGGTCGAGAAAGTATTTCAGTGAACTAAAAGAATCTTACATATCCGCGGAACTAGGTGATAATTCCCCCATATTCGAACTCTTTGACTATCGTCGCCGAAAAAATCCAATTGAAAAACTTTTAGAAAACCGAATGGAAGAATTTAACGTGCGCAGAAACCCAATTATACTACCCAGCGAAGAACCCAAAAGTTGCTTAAAGCCTATTATCTTCATCAATATCGGTAAATTGACTCTTTAGTATGATCTGATTTGTACTTATCTATTCTATTTCGAAACAAAACAGACATATCGCCTACACAAATCCAGACCGTTTTTACGTACCTAGATAAAAGTAGACAAGTTGGACAGAAGCAAAATTTTGAATGGTAATGGTGATAGGCGGCAGAATATCTTTTATAAGAAAGCCCAACTAAGTTCTATTTTATTGCATAATAGTAATATGCAACCATTGATTAGTTTTATCACACAATCAGAATTGTATCGCAGACCAGTACTACAGATATCAAATAGGTAAAGCTACATAAAGAAACGCTTATGATTGTCAATTCTAATTGTGCGTTTAGACTAAAGTTAGGTTTAGAAAAGATTTTTGGTGGCTATCTCAAAATTTATTCAAATTACAGAAGACAAAGTATGATAAGAAAAATATTAGTGAACTCGACACCCAAATTACTTCACCAGGCTCTCCAAAACATGCGGAAGAGGAGAATTTTAAGCAGTAATGGAAGGATAAAATCAAGTAAAAAAATTAGGCAAAAGAAAATTAGAAAATTATTTGTCTCCTCCAACCCAAATCTATTTAAACAGCTTACGGCAAACTTTGACATGAACGATCTTTTTGTGTCGAAGGACGGATTTCCTGTTTCGGATAGCGAGTCATTTACTACATGCCATCCAGGGTACTTGTATTTTTTTATGATCACATATCTGCACTGTCTCAACACGCAAATAGAGGAAAAATTAAAAAGTATTGTAGGAACAAATGGGCGAGCCAACAACATTTGGTATGGCGTCTCTATTGACAAAAAGCTACTGGATACTGTATTCGGCTCAATAAAAAATTTGGAAAAATCTTTCTTTGCAAGTGGAATACTTGGGAAGGACGACGAACTTCGAAAAGCAAAGTTCTGTACCCGTGGTGAAGAAATTCTACCAGCTATCCAACACAAATATGAACATTTGGACTTTAGTTTGAAAACACACTTTGTTGTTGCACAGATATCTTCAAAGCATATTCAACTCAGTTTGCATCAAGTGGTCAAACTGGCATCACCCGGAGAAGATCCAGCGTCCATCATTATTCAGGATGAGATGATACATATTCATGATGTATACGACATACTTTGTAATAGTATTATGAAGAGCATACAAGTCAATTGTCAAATTGATGATTGTACCACGCATAAGTATGGGGAAGATATGCAATATGATTTTCAGTCATTTGAGATATATAACAATATTTATCGAAATTTAAAACCGTACGTTGTGGAACTTGTAAGTTGGTATACCTATAACTAGCGTCTCGGTGTATTAACTGCTTCTTGGTAGTTCGAAAAAAACAAATCAAATTTGGACATGGATTCCAAAATACAGCTGAATATCAACACGAAATGCGATTGCAGTATCAGTATTTCTCTTTGTGACATTATTGAAGTAGGCCTTATGTCAGTGATAGAAAGTATGGCAACGGATATATTGTCTTCTTTGATCAACAAAAGACTATTTGGAAACTATGTCCCAAATTATATTTTTGTGTTTGGAAATCCGTTCAATCTGGGGCAGGGTTCAAAGATCCACATCGCATACACCATGATTATGCAAAAAGCGATGGATGACGGCGTATATATTAAAGAAAAAGATACAAAGACATTTGTACTTAGAGTGTCAATTTTCCAATTACTGGAGAAGTTTTTATCTGGAAAAAAGCCTTACATGTTTGAAAGGTTTGTCACTGGAACTTTGTGCCAAGTATCAAGCAATACATACGGGATGAAGATCTCATCATATGATACAGACGATTTGATGCCTTTCACCCGAATAAACAGTGATGGTGATATCAAAAATACTATTTCAGATGATGGCAGTTATTTGGTATTTATTCAGAAAGGGAAGCCAGTTCCAACAAAAGGGCTTATAATTCAAATCAATGAACCAGATTGTAAGTTCGTTGCCATGATTGTTCTTCTTCGTTTGTGCTAATGAGACCCACTTCTACTTACACATAGATATCAATTTAGAAATTCTTCAATTAGAAAGTTCAACCAGTACTGTTCCGGATAAGTATACTCTATTGCACGGCAACACTCCTGGTGTTACTTATACAATATTCTCCGGTAATTTGTCGCGTTATCGTATTGAAACACTTGTGGTAGAATATGAGCAGATTAGCAATAATTTATCTATCAAACTATCAAGAGGATGTATGGGTAATATTGATGACTATATTGATAAACTTTATTACGAAACCGAAAATATCATGGAGCCATTGACACTTGCTTATATTTAAAAAATCACCGCTTCAATAAAATCAACCTATTTTTAAACCACCGTTTTACCTGTGTGACTTTCAATTTTAAAAATACTCCTTCACTCTCCCCCGACCCCCAGGGACTCAATGGGCCCTTTTTTTAAAAAAGAAGAAACACTTTTCATAAACAAGACAAGCCTTTTGGATTAAAAGTACCTTCCAAGAACACACTGATTTTCAGTCGTGTTGCAGGTGGTATTGCAGGTCTCGTCTGTTTCAGTAATAAATAAGCCCAAGATGCCAGAGCTAGACTTGCCCAGCGAGTTTCTTTTCTCGCCGTCAGACCTTGCCTTGTCCATTTAAGTGCTTTTGTTTGATTGATCTTTCTTCATTGTCTCACCCTCAGAAATAGAAAATGCTTCGTAGATGAAAACTTAGAAAATTTTAAACCCACACCTGCAGAAGAAATTGGTCATTTCTCATTGCTACGCGAATCTTTACCCGTCATGCATATACCCATATCAATATTATGTAATAAATCAGTATTCTTTACCAAATTTACATGTATCATCCTGGGCTAATTAAAATGTACTGACATGTAGGAAGATAAGCTGTTGCTGCTGTCTTGAATTGGATTAGACCTTTTGAGAAGACGAAGAAAAATGATACGCTGATTCAGTTGATCAAAAGGAGTTTGGGGGTGTTGAGTACGTTTCCAAGTGTTATTATGCATGAATAAGAGCTGAGAAACTAGAAAAGACATTTTCTTTTTTATTAAACTTCTCCACTTCTCACTTCTTAAAATGCCAAAATTTATACACGTCTCTCTATACACCTAGTGGCGTGTTATCCCATTGCAAGCGTTGTCTCTCTGCTTCCCTAATCATAGTCTTCTGAAAACTACCTGTGTTGATAATGAGACAGAAAAAAAAATACCTTCTGAACTGTTGTATTTAGATGGACACGTCGCATGAAGTTACACACAGGTAAATTTGATGAGGAGATGCACCGTACGATCGTCCTTAGTGTTTGAAGTTCTTTTGTCAAAGTTTTGATTCACGACTGATACCGCTCCTTGCATGAGGTTTGGTCAGCCTCAAGAAGTGTGAATAGGGCTCCACTTGGGAGAGGAATTATTCATATGTGATAGCACTTGTAGAGTCACCTTGCATAGAAATCTTCCTGGCTTGATGGTCTTCTTTGAACTATAAAATGCAAGTTACCTTCATGTAACTCCATCTGTATTTTCATCCCTTTCAAAATGTGTTTAATCGTCCTTTCCAACCTACTATTATGCACAATCGAGATATTGTTTTCTTTTCCTTAAAATGAGCTGAACACTTTCACTTATTGGGATTTAGTTCTTGTACTTTTCTACAGCGGTCGTGGTGGAATATAAACAGTTAGAAGAACAACGAAGTGATATCTGAGGACATTTTGGCAATCGGTATCGTAAAGTACTTAGCGGATTACCCAAGGGATGAGATATTACTCTTGCTGGGTTTGTAGAGGAGCGTCCTTTTGATGTGAAGGATGTAGAAAGGGAAGCGGAGAAGACAAAGGATGAGACATCTGCTATTGCAGAGAAAACCTCGGAATGTTAAAACCCACATCATGCAAGAATTTGACACTTTCTCGCTTAGGCATGAGCTTTCACATATTATGGATATCTCTCGAATGAACATCATTAGAGGGCTCAGTGTGTCTTTAATTATAAATGTATTCGGAAGCAGGAGAATTCGCTTTAGATGCTGCCTTGTATCAAACCGACATTTTTTAAGAACGGGATGCGGATTTATAGCAAGAGGGAAAAAAAGGTATTGTATTAGACATGATATAGCCGAAGTATTGAGGAAAATAGATATGCTAATTCAAGTAGATACAACCATTTTTGGTAAGTTAGGGTATGTGACAATGTTAATTTACATTAAATAAAGTGTTTATTTGTTTCTATGTGTTTAAAGGGGGAAAGATAGCAAAGGTCTCTTTTCCCAGACACTAGAGATTTTTCCACCGAAGAGTAGTCTAGCAAAAACTAGTATCGCGATTCAATGTTAGTAGGTGTTAGATAGAAAGTTTGAATGCATGCTTCAACGCCGTCATTGAGTTCATGGTCAAATAAGGTTTCGTACTACAAATAAACGGATTATACGAAACGCCGTGAACTCGTAAGCTTCTTCGCCGCTTTTAACATCGTGTTGTAGAAGAAAGAAGATGGAAGAACTCTATGACTATTCTCGGCATAGATATTGTATTTTTATCGGTAAGCGGCTTATTTTTTTTTAAATTACGGCGTAGCTTACTTCGTATAGATTTGGGCTATGACATCATCACCTCTGGAGCGGTAGCCATTTATAAATGTAACAAGATTGTTAAAAGGTTTGTCGACATCAAAACAGCAGAATTTGTACGTGTATTATTTTGACAGAGATTCCTTTTTAAAAAAAAGTTCTGAACACGAATACCGCACCTCAATTTTATATGACACTACCACGAGAAATATCATTGCCAGAGGCAAAAAGGCTGATGAAGCGAATGAGAATCCGAAAGGGCTCCAGGAAGGCGGTATTTATGTACGCAACACCTTAAGCGAGCTCGCTGACATTTATTTAAAATCCAAGCAACAATCCTTCGACACTACGGCATTGTACGCGCTCTTGTGCGAGGAAGCTATAGACCTGTAACAAAAAATACTGGATCATTATAAACAAGAATTCAATAGCGTAAATATGGATTTTTATTATTCTTTGCATCTTCCAACCAGTTGGGATTATGAAATAAGAGAAAAATTGTTCCTGCCTCTATTCGTAAAAGCTGGTCTTCTCCATGAAAATGATGGTCCGCGCAGGCCGGTGTTTTTTTCAATGCTAGAGTTAAATTTTCAAAACATGCAAATAAATGCAAAATTCCATAGTCCTAGAAACATGAAGTATGGTGATCAGCGCGTTATGTGTACAATAGATTATCAAAGTACATACTCCGTGGATTTAAAATTGGTATCAGCTCAATATCCTGCTTTCAGATCAGCAAACAGAGACATGGTACCACAATTGTTGAAACAAGCTCACTTTGTAATCCCGTTTGTACTAAAGGAACTACGATTGTCATTAATAGCATGTGTGGAAAAGCATTGTGATACTACGTTATCATCGGAATCTATCGACGACTTGCTTGAAAAACTCAGTCAAGGTTACAAAGGATTTAAAAATTTCGTAAGAGTTAATGGAAAGGAAACTGGAAAGATAATTACAAACATTTTTTTTTTTTTGCTTTGCCAGGGAAATCGAAGTAGGGTTTTAGATGATCAGCCATTGCCAGACTTGAAATCTCGCTGGACGAATAAACCAATCACTTTAGAGGACATACTTGAACATTTTTCTGGTTCTGTCGAAAAATTCTTTAGAAATGAAGTAGATAAATTTCTTGTAGGCAGGAGCAATACGTTACCCAAGACAGTGGACATTCTTTACACACGTCGAATTCCGGAAACATTTTTATCTGCAGGGCTAATGTCATCATTTAATTGTTGGTCGAAAAAGTATTTCAGGGAACTAAAAGAATCTTACATATCCGCGGAACTAGGTTATGATTCCCCCATATTCGAACCCTTTCACTGTGCTTTACGAAAATATACAACTCTAGGTCTTTTAGATAACCGAATGGAAGAATTTAACGTGCGCAGAAACCCAATTATACTACCCAACGAAACAACAATGGAAGAACCTAAAAGTTGCTTAAAGCCTATTATCTTCATCAATATCGGTAGATTGACTCATTAGTAGCATCGGATTCGTACTTACATATTCTATTTTTAAACTAAACAGATATATCGCATACACAAGTCCAGACTGTTTTTACATACCTAGATAAAGGTAGACAAGTTGGACAGAAGCAAAATTTTGATTGGTAATGGTGATAGGCGGCAGAATATCTTTTATAAGAAAGCCCAACTAAGTTCTTTTTTATTGCATATTAGTAATATGCGACCTTTGAATAGTTTCATCGAGCAATCAGAAATATATCAAAGGCCAGTACTACACATATCAAATAGGTAAATCTTCTTAAAGAAACGCTTATGATTGACAATTCTAATTGTGCGTTTAGACTGAAGTTGGGTTTAGAAAAGATTTTTGGTGACTATCTTCAAATATACTTAAGTTACAAAAGAAATGTGAAAAAAAGATTGCCAGTGAGCCCAGAATCCGGACTACTTGGCCAGGCTTTCCGAGACATGTGGAAGAGAAGAACTTCAAATAATGATGAAGGGATAAAAACAAGCAAAACCCCGCTAAAGGAATTCAGAAAATTATTTGCCTCCTTAGATCCAAACTTATTTAAAGAGCTTATGGCAAACATTGATTTGGACGATCTTTTTGCGTCGAAGGATAAATTTGGGGATGCGGATAGCGAGTCATTTACTACATGCCATCCAGGTTACATGTATTTTTTTGTGATCACATATCTGCACTGTCTCAACAAGCAGATAGAGGAAAAATTAGAAAATACTGTAAGATTGAGTTGGAGAGCCAACAAAATTTGGTATGGTGTCTCTATTGATAAAAAATTATTGGATACTGTATTCGGGTCAATAAAGAAATTGGAAAAATCATTCTTTGCAAGTGGAATACTCGGGAAGGACGACGAACTTCGAAAAGCCAAATTCTGCACCCGTGGTGAAGAAATTCTACCAGCTATCCAACACAAATATGAACATTTGGACTTTAGGTTGAAAACACACTTTGTTGTTGCACAGATATCTTCAAAGCATATTCAACTCAGTTTGCATCAAGTGGTCAAACTGGCATCACCCGGAGAAGATCCAGCGTCCATCATTATTCAGGATGAAATGATACATATCAATGATGTACATGATACACTTTGTAAGAGTATTATGAAGAGCCTACAAATCAATTGTCAAGTTGGCTATTGTACCACGCACAAGAGTCAAGTAGATACACAATATGATTTCCAGTCATTAGAGATATATAACAATATTTATCAAAATTTAAAACCATGCGTTGTTGAACTTGTAAGCTGGTATACCTATAATTAGCGTCTCATTGTATTAATTGTTTTTTGGTAGTTCGAAAATATCAAGTCAAATTTGGACATGGATTCCAAAATTCAGCTGGATATCAACACGAAATGTGGTTGCAATATAAGCATATTTCTTCGTGATATTATTGAAATAGGCCTTATGTCAGTAATAGAAGGTGTAACAACAGATATATTGGCTTCTTTGGACAACACAGAATTATTTGGAAACTATGTACCGAATTATATTTTTGTGTTCGGAAATCCGTTCAATCTGGCGCAGGGTTCAAAGATCCACATAGCATATACCATGCTTATGCAAAAAGCGATTGATGACGGTGTATATATTAAAGAAACAGATACAAAGACATTTGTAGTAGGAGAATTTATTTTCCAATTACTGGGGATGTTTTTATCTGGAAAAAAGCCTTACATGTTTGATAGGTTTGTCACTGGAACTTTGTGCCGAGTATCAAGCAATACATACGGGATGCGGATTTCATCTTTAAACGGCTTTATCCCTTTAACACTACTAAATGGTGATGGTGATATCAAAAATACTATTGCAGATGACGGTAGTTATATGGTATTTATTCAGAAAGGGAAGCCAGTTCCAACAAAAGGGCTTATAATTCAAATCATTGAAGAAGATAGTAAGTTCGTTGCCATTATTGTACTTCTTCGTTTGTGCTAATGAGACCCACTTCTACTTACACATAGATTTTAAATTAGAAATTCTTCAATTAGAAAGTTCAACCAGTACTGTTCCGGACAAGTATACTCTATTGCACGGCGACACTCCTGGTGTAACTTATGAATTATTCTCCTTTTATTTGACGGGTAGTTATATTAGAACATATGTGGTAGATTATGAGCAGATTAGCTATAATATATCTATCAAAATATCAAGAGGATGTATGGGCGATATTACTGACTATATTTATTACTCTTATTACAAAACCGAAAATATCATGGAGCCATTGACACTCGCTTATATTTAACATATCACTGCCTTCAATAAAATCAACCTATTTTTAAACCACCGTTTTAAACCTGCGTGACTTTCAATTTTAAAAATCCCCGTCCCCCGGGACACAATGGGCCCCTTTTTTTTAAACGCTTTTCTTAGGGACAGCCAATTTTTCCTTAGGGACAGCCAAAGTGCACGTAGTCGCAACGTAAGATCTATGGTTTGGATGTTCTGTAGACATGGGAACAAAGATATACAATCAAAAACAATGTAAAAATTACAAATAAATGTACATCAAGCGATTTATACTTATTTTGACAATTCTATTATCACTCTTTCGCCTTTGAGCTCGTTTGAATTAAATCTTACGCAGAAATATTAATGTTAAGTCCAAACGAGAAGCTGAAAGTTAGCTTTAAAATACATATACTGGTTTAAACTATGTTAGTTGTGATAAATGTGTATATATTTCAAGTTATTAAGCTCTATTGACCTCTTGATATCGATTAAAGTATCATAATCCCAACATTACGACTACGTGCACCCTGGCTGTCCCTAAGAAAAATGGCTGTCCCTAAGAAAAATGGCTGTCCCTAAGAAAATTTGGCTGTCCCTAAGAAAATTTGGCTGTCCCTAAGAAAATTTGGCTGTCCCTAAGAGACCCGTTTTTTAAAGAAGAAACACTTCCCATAAACAAGACATGCCTTTTGGATTAAAGGTACCTTCCAAGAATACGTTGATTTTTAGTGGTGTCACAGGCGGCTTTGCAGGTCTCATCTGTTTTAGTAATAAATAATACCCCGTCATTGAGTTCATGGTACATAAGGTTTCGTACTACAAATAAACGGACTAGACGAAACGCCGTGAACACATAAGCCTCTCTGTATTTGTACTTTTGGCGCTTTTAACATCGTGTTGTGGAAGAAAGAAGATGGAAGAAGTCTATGACTATTCTCGGCATAGATATTTTATTGCTATCGGTAAGCGACTTATTTTTTTAATTTACGGGGTTGCTTACTTTGTATAGATTTGGGATATGACAAGATTACCTCTATAGCGGCAGCCATTATTAAAAATACAAGGGATGACGAAAGGTAAGCCAGCGTCAAAATAGCACAAATTATAAATGTTTTTTTGACAGATTCCTTTTTAAAAAAAAGGATTGAAAACGAATACTGTGCCTCATTTTTATATGACACTACCACCAGAAAGGTCATTGCCAGAGTCAACAATGTTGATGAAGCGAATGAGAATCCGAAAGGGTTTCAAGAAGGCGTTATTTATGTACGAAACATTTTAAGCGAGCTCGCTGACATTTATTTAAAATCCAAGCAACAACCTTTCTATAATACGGCACTGTACGCGGTCTTGTACGAGGAAGCTATAGACCTGTTACAAAAATTACTGGATATTTATAAACAAGAATTGAATAGTGTAAATATGGATTTTTATTATTCTTTGAACCTTCCAACCAGTTGGGATTATGAAATAAGAGAAGAATTGTTCCTGCCTCTATTCGTAAAAGCTGGTCTTCTCCATGAAAATGATGGTCCGGGCAGGCTGGTGTTTTATTCAATGTTAGAGTTAAAGTTTCAACACACACATGGATTGAGATACTGGAATGATGCTGAAAACATAAAGTATGGTGATCAGCGCATTATATGTACAATAGATTTCCAAGTTACATACTCTGTGGATTTGAAATTGGTATCAGCTCAATACCCTGCTTTCAGATTATCAAATAGAGACTTGGTGCCACAATTGTTGAAACAAGCTCATTTTGTAATCCCGTATGGACTAAAGGAACTACGATTGTCATTAATAGCATGTGTGGAAAAGCATTGTGATACTACGTTTTCATCAGAATCTATCGACGACATGATTGAAAAACTCAGTCAACGCTACGATGGAATTAATTATTCGGTAAGAGTTAATGGAAAGGAAATTTGGAAGATAATTAAAAACATTTTTTTTTTTTTTGGCCAGACATATCCAAGTGATGTTTTAGATGATCAGCCATTCCCAGACTTGAAATCTCGCTGGACGAATGAATCAATCACTTTTAAAAACATACTTGAACATTTTTCTGGTTTTGTTGAAAAATTCTTTAGAAATGAAGTAGATAAATTTCTTGTAGGCACGAGCAATACAGTACCCAGACCATTGGTCATTATTTACACAAGTCGAATCCCGCACACATGTTATGCTATGGGGCTAATGTCATCACTTGAACGTTGGTCGAGAAAGTATTACAGTGAACTAAAAGAATCTTACATATCCGCGGAACTAGGTGATAATTCCCCCATATTTGAACTCTTTGACTATGATCACCGAAGAGATGCAACTCAAAAGCTTTTAGAAAACCGAATGGAAGAATTTAACGTGCGCAGAAACCCAGTTATACTACCCAAAGAAACAACAATGGAAGAACCCAAAAGTTGCTTAAAGCCTATTATCTTCATCAATATCGGTAAATTGACTCCTTAGTAGTATCCGCTTCGTATTAATTTAACCTATTTTAAAACCAAACAGACATATCGCCTACAAAAATTCAGACTGTTTATACACACCTAGATAAAGATAGACAAGTTGGACAGAAGCAAAATTTTGAATGGTAATGGTGATAGGCGGCAAAATATATTTTAAAAGAAAATCCAACGAAGTTATATTGTATTGCATATTAGTAATATGCTACCGTTGAATTGTTTTATCAAGCAATCAGAAATATATCAAAGACCAGTACTACACATATCAAATAGGTAGAGCTACTTAAAAAAACGCTTATGATTGTCAATTCTAATTGCGTGTTTAGACTAAAGTTAGGTTTAAAAAAGATTTTCGGTGACTATCTTAAGTTATTCTCAGGTTACAAAAGAAGTACGATAAAAAGAACACTAGTGAACCAAGTATCCAAATTACTTGGCAGGGCTTTCCGAAACATGCAGAAGAGAAGGATTTCAAGCAATGTTAAATGGATAAAAACAAGCAGAAATCGACAAAAGGAAATCAGGAAATTATTTGTTTCCTCAAACCCAAACCTATTTGAACAGCTTACGGCAAACTTTGGCATGAACGATCTTTTTGTGTCGAAGAACGAATTTCCTAGTTCGGACAGCGAATCATTTACTACATGTCACCCAGGTTACATGTATTTTTTTATGATCACATATCTGCACTGTCTCAACAAGCAAATAGAGGCAAAACTAGAAAGTATTGTAGGAACGAATTGGAAAGCCAACAACATTTGGTATGGCGTCTCTATTGATAAAAAGCTATTGGATACTGTGTTCGGCTCAATAAAGAAATTGGAAAAATTGTTCTTTGCAAGCGGAATAATAAAGAAGGACGACGACCTTCGAAAAGCAAAATTCTGCACCTGTGGTGAAGAAATTCTACCAGCTGTCCAACACAAGTATCAGGATTTGGACTTTAGGTTGAAATCATACTTTGTTGTTGCACAGGTATCTTCAAAGCATATTCAACTCAGTTTGCATCAAGTGGTCAAACTGGCATCACCCGGAGAAGATCCAGCGTCCATCATTATTCAGGATGAAATGATACATATCGATGATGTATATGACACACTTTGCAAAAGTATTATGAAGAGCCTACAAGTCAATTGTCAAGTTGACTATTGTACCACGCACAAGAGTCAAGAAGATACACAATATGATTTCCAATCATTTGAGATATTTAGCAATATCTATCGAAATTTAAAACCATGCGTTGTTGAACTTGTAAGTTTGCATATAGCTAACATCTCAGACTATTGACCACTTCTTGGTAGTTGGAAAAAAACAAATCAAATTTGGACATGGATTCCAAAATACAGCTGAATATCAACACGAAATGTGGTTGCAGTATAAACATATTTCTTCGTGATATTATTGAAGTAGGCCTTATGTCAGTGATAGAAGGTATAACAACATATATATTGGCTTCTTTGACCAACAAAAAGTTATTTGGAAACTATGTACCGAATTATATTTTTGTGTTCGGAGATCCGTTCAATCTGGCGCAGGGTTCAAAGATCCACAAAACATACAGCATGCTTATGCAAAAAGCGATTGATGACGGCGTATATATTAAACAAAAAGATACAAAGACATTTGTACTAAGAGAATCATTTTTCCAATTACCGGAGACGTTTTTATCTGGAAAAAAGCCTTACATGTCAGAGAGGTTTGTCACCGGAACTTTGTGCCAAGTATCAAGCAATACATACGGGATGAAGATTTCAGGGTATACCCGTTCGATCCCTTTCACCCGAATAAACAGTGATGGTGATATTAAAAATAGTATTGGGAGAGATGGTAGTTACTTGGTATTTATTCAGAAAGGGAAGCCAGTTCCAACAAAAGGGCTTATAATTCAAATCAATGAGCCTAAAGGTAAGTTCGTTGCCATTATTGTACTTCTTCGTTTGTGCTAATGAGACCCACTTCTACTTACACATAGATATCAATTTAGAAATTCTTCGATTAGAAAGTTCAACCAGTACTGTTCTGGACAAGTATACTCTATTGCACGGCATCACTCCTGGTAATACTTATCAATTAAGGTCCAATGAATTGTTATATTATGGTATTGGAACATATGTGGTAGAATGTGGGCAGATTAGCAATCATTTATCTATCAAACTATCAAGAGGATGTATGGGCGATATTGATGACTATATTGATCAACCTTATTACGAAACCCTAAATATCCTCGAGCCATTGACACTTGCTTATATTTAACATATCACTGCTTCAATAAAATCAACCTATTTTTAAACCACCGTTTTAAACCTGCGTGACTTTCAATTTTAAAGATCCCCGATCCCCCCCCCAGGGACACAATGGGCCCTTTTTTTATTTAAAGAAGAAACACTTTTTCATAAACAAGACATGCCTTTTGGATTAAAAGTACCTTCCAAGAACACACTGATTTTCAGTGGTGTTGCAGGTGGCATTGCAGGTCTCGTCTGTTTCAGTAATAAATAAGCCCAAGATGCCAGAGCTAGACTTGCTCAACGAGTTTCTTTCCTCGCTGACAGACCTTGTGGTGTCCATGTAAGTCTTTTTTCTTTTCTGTGATCTCTCTTTCTCGTCCTCACCCCATAAGAAACTAGGAAATGCCTCGTAAAGTCACAGTGTATATTACTGCACCACCTGGTGGTGGACTTGAAAAGAGTCGAACTTGGTTTCGTGAATATGTCAAGGTAATATAATACGCCAACCCACAGACGAAAACATGTATAAAAAATAAACTGACACTTTTTTACGTGCTGCAGCCTATTCTTGTTGCAGGTGCTGTCGATTACGAAATTAAAGAAGCTAAATCACCTGGCCAAATCGAAACTTCTGTCATGGAAGAAATCGTTCAACGTCTTCGTGAAGCCGCTGAAGCCGCCGAATCAGCAAGTAATGCAGAATCAACCGACCATGAACAATTAGAAAACAAGTCCAACACAGGTTTTACAACACCTGTGAATAACATGAGCAACAAGAAGAAAAGTGAAGTGGTATCCGATGGGATTTTAGGGATAGGTAGAAATGCGTATCGTGAAGTGCTTTGCGCATTAGGCAAGGGATGGGATTATATTATTGCTGTGTTTGTAGAGGTTCGTCTTCTAGAAGTGTTAGGACATAGAAAAGACAAAGGATGAGACATCTTTTATTGCAGAGGAAACCTTGGAAATGTTAAAAGCCACATCATTTAAGAATTTGACAATTTCTCGCATCCGCTGGAGTTTTCACATATCATGGATATCCCCTAAATAAAAATCATTTAATGACTCAGTGCATCTTTAATTATACGTGTATTCGGAAGCAGGAAAATACGATGTAGATGCTGTATTGAACCAAATCGACATTTCTAAGAACGGGGTCCGGATTATAGCAAGAGGAAAAAAAGTATTGTATTAGACATGGTGTAGCCGAAGTATTGAAGAAAATAGATATGCTAATTCAAGTAGATACAAGCATTTTGGTAAGTTAGTGTATGCGCCAATGTTAATTTGCGTTAAATAAAGTGGTTACTATACATATAATAAATATGATGTAAACGATGTCTTTTTTTATTTGTTTCCATATGCTTAAAGGGGGAAGGATAGCAAAGGTCTCTTTTCTCATACACCACAGATTTTTTCACCGAAGGGTAGTCTAGCAAAAACTAGTATCGCGCTTCAATGTTAGTTGGTGTTAGATAGAAACTTTGAATGTATGCTTCAACCCCATCATTGACTTCATGGTCATACAAGGTTGTTGTACCACAAAAAAATTGGTCAAGTGAAACACTGTGTTCTCGTAAGCCTCTTCGTATTTGTGCTTTCGCCGCTTTTAACATCGTGTCGTAGAAGAAAGAAGATGGAAGAACTATATGACTATTCTCAGCATAGATATTGTATTGCTATCGGTAAACCACTTAACTTTTTTATTTACAGGGTTGCTGACTTCACGTAGATTTGGGTTATGACTTCATCAACTCTCAATTGGTAGCCATTAAGATACTTACAAAGAAAGATAAAAGGTTAGTCAACATCAAAACTGCCGAATTTATACGTGTTTATTTTACATTCTTTTTTCAAACGAAGATTTGAAAAAAAATACAATACCTCTCTTTTATATGAAACAACCACCAGAAATGTCATTGCCAGAGGCGACATGGCTGATGAAGCGAATGAGAATCCGGAAGGCCTCCAAGAAGGCGTTATTTATGTACGCAACACCTTAAGCGAGCTCGCTGACATTTATTTAAAACCCAAGCAACAATCTTTCGATAGTATGGCACTGTACGCGGTCTTGTCCGAGGAAGCTATAGACCTGTTACAAAAAATACTGGATCATCATAAAGAAGAGTTTATTACAAGTGAAAATATAAATTTTTGTTATTCTTTGAATTTTCCAACCAGTTGGGATTATAAAATAAGAGAAGAATTGTTCCTGCCTCTATTCGTAAAAGCTGGTCTTCTCCATGAAAATGATGGTCCAGGCAGGCTAGTGTTTTTTTCAATGTTAGAGTTAAATTTTCAAAACATGCAGATGAATACAAATTTCCGGAGGAAAAGAAACATAAAGTATGGTGATCAGCGCGTTATGTGTACAATAGATTATCAAGGTACATACTCCATGGATTTGAAATTGGTATCAGCTCAATACCCTGCTTTAAGATTAGAACAACGAAAAATGGTGCCACAACTGTTAAAACAGGCTCACTGTGTAATCTCGTTTGGACTAAACGAAGTACGATTGTCATTAATAGCATGTGTGGAAAAGCATTGTGACACTACGTTATCATCAGAATCTATCGACGACATGCTTGAAAAACTCAATCAAAAGTGCGAAGAAGCTGGTTTTCATGTAAGAGTTAATTAAAAAGAAATTGAGAAAATAATTAAAATCATTATTTTTTTGCCAGAGAACAACAAATGTTGTTTTAGATGAACGGCCATTGCCAGACTTGAAATCTCGCTGGACGAATGACTCAATCACTTTAGAGGACATACTTGAACATTTTTCAGGTTATGCAGAAAAATTCTTTAGAAATGAAGTAGATAAATTTCTTGTAGGCAGGAGCAATACAGTTCCCAGACCATTGGACATTTTTTACACAAGTCAAATCCCGAAAACATTTTTAGCTCAGGGGCTAATCTCATTAGTTGATTGTTGGTCGAAAAAGTATTTTAGTGAACTAAAAGAATTTTACAAATCCGCGAAACCCGGTGATAATTCCTCCATATTCGAATTCTTTGACTATCCTCGCCGAAGAAAAGCAACTCAAGAGCTTTTCGAAAACCGAATGGAAGAATTTAACGTGCGCAGAAACCCAATTATACTACCCAAAGAAACAACAATGGAAGAACCCGAAAGTTGCTTAAAGCCTATTATCTTCATTAATATCGGTAAATTGACTCTTTAGTAGTATCGGATTCGTACTTACCTATTCTATTTTAAAACCAAACAGACATATCGCCTACACAGATTCAGACTGTTTTTACATACCTAGATAAGGATAGACAAGTTGAACAGAAGCAAAATATCGAATGGTAATGGTGTTAGGCGGCAAAATATCTTTTATAAGAAAATCCAACTAAGTTTTGTTTCGTTGTATAACAGTAATATGCAACCATTGAATAGTTTCATCAAGCAATCAGAACTATATCAAAGACCAGTACTACAGATATCAAATACGTAAAGCTGCTCAAAGAAACGCTTATGATTGTCGATTCTAATTATGTGTTTAGACTGAAGTTAGGTTTAGAAAAGATTTTTGGTGACTATCTTGAATTATACTCAAGTTACAAAAGAAATGTGAAAAAAAGAGTGCCGGTGAGCCCAGCATCCAAATTACTTGGCCGGGCTTTCCTAAATATGCGGAAGAGGAGTACTTCAAGTAGTGATGAAAGCATAAAATCGAGTAAAAATCGACTACAGGGAATTAGATATTTATTTGTTTCCTTAGGCCCAAACATATTTAAAGAGCTTATGGAAAACATTGAAATGGATGATCTTTTTGTGTCGAAGGACGAATTTCCTGCCTCAGATAGCGAGTCATTTACTACATGCCATCCTGGTTACATGTATTTTTTTGTGATCACATATCTGCACTGTCTCAACAAGCAAATAGAAGAAAAATTAGAAAGTAATGTAGGATCGAATTGGCGAGCCAGCAACATTTGGTATGGCGTCTCTATTGATAAAAATCTATTGGACACTGTATTCGGCTCAATAAAAAATCTGGAAAAATCATTCTTTGCAAGTGGAATAATCATGAAGGACGACGAACTTCGAAAAGCAAAATTCTGCACCCGTGGCGAAGAAATTCTACCAGCTATCCAACACAAATATGAACATTTGGAATTTAGGTTGAAATCATACTTTGTTGTCGCGCAGATATCTTCCAAGCATATTCAACTCAGTTTGCATCAAGTGGTCAAACTGGCGTTACCCGGAGAAGATCCCTCGTCCATCATTACTCAGGATAAAATGATACATATCGATGATGTTTATGGCACACTTTGTAAGAGTATTATGAAGAACCTACAAGTCAATTGTCAAGTTGACTATTGTACCACGCACAAGAGTCAGGAAGATACACAATATGATTTCCAGTCATTAGAGATATATAACAATATTTATCGAAATTTAAAACCATGCGTTGTTGAACTTGTAATTTGGTATACCTATAAATAGGGTCTCAGTGTACTAATTGAATCTTTGTAGTTCGAAAGAAACAAATCAAATTTGGACATGGATTCCAAAATACAGCTGAATATCAACACGAAATGTGGTTGCAGTATAAACATATTTCTTCGTGATATTATGGAAGCAGGCCTTATGTCAGTGATAGAAAGTATAACAACAGATATATTGGCTTCTTTGACCAACAAAAAGTTATTTGGAAACTATGTACCGAATTATATTTTTGTGTTCGGAGATCCGTTCAATCTGGCGCAGGGTTCAAAGATCCACAAAACATACAGCATGCTTATGCAAAAAGCGATTGATGACGGCGTATATATTAAACAAAAAGATACAAAGACATTTGTACTAAGAGAATCATTTTTCCAATTACCGGAGACGTTTTTATCTGGAAAAAAGCCTTACATCTTTGAAAGGTTTGTGACTGGAACTTTGTGCCAAGCACCAAACAATACATACGGGATGCGGATTTTATCAATGTCAAGCGCTTTGATACCTTTCACCCGAATAAACAGTGATGGTGATATCAAAAATACAATTTCAGGTGATGATAGTTATTTGGTAATTATTCAGAAAGGGAAGCCAGTTTCAACAAGAAGGCTTACAATTCATATCAATGAACCAAAAAGTAAGGTCGTTGGCATGATTGTTCTTCTTCGTTTGTGCTGATGAGACCCACTTCTACTTACGCATAGATGTCCAATTAGAAATGGTTCGATTAGAAAGTTTAACCGGTACTGTTCCGGACAAGTATGCTCTATTGCACGGCGACACTCCTGGTAGGAATGATTACATATTTAGTATTCATTTGACGTCTTATGCTATCAGAGAATTTGTGGTAGAATTTGAGCAAAGTAGCAATGTTTTATCAATCAAATTATCAAAGGGATGTATAGGCAATTTCAATGACTATATTCATAAACCTTATTACGAAACCCTAAATATCCTCGAGCCATTGACACTTGCTTATATTTAACATATCACTGCTTCAATAAAATCAACCTATTTTTAAACCACCGTTTTAAACCTGCGTGACTTTCAATTTTAAAGATCCCCGATCCCCTCCCCCAGGGACACGATGGGCCCCCCTTTTTTTTAAGAAACACTTTTCATAAACAAGACATGCCTTTTGGATTGAAAATACCTTCCAGGAACACATTAATTTTTAGTGGTGTCGCAGGCGGCTTTGCAGGTCTCGTCTGTTTCAGTAATAAATAAGCGCAAGATGCCAGAGATAGACTTGCCCAGCGAGTTTCTTTTCTCGCCGTCAGACCTTGCCTTGTCCATTCAAGTGCTTTTGATTGATTGATCTTTCTTCATTGTCTCACCCGCAGAAATAGAAAATGCTTCGTAGATGAAAACTTGGAAAATTTTAAACCCATACCTGCAGAAGAAATTGGTCATTTCTCATTGCTACGCGAATCTTTATCCGTCATGCATATACCCGTATCAATATTATGTAGTAAATCAGTATTCTTTACCAAATTTACATGTATCATCCTGGGCTAATTAAAAATGTACTGAAATGTAGGAAGAGAAGCTGTTGCTGCTGTCTTGAATTGTATTAGACCTTTTGAGAAGAGGAAGAAAAATGATACGCTGATTCAATTGATCAAAAGGAGTTTGGAGTGTTGAGTACGTTTCCTAGTGTTATTATGCATGAATAAGAGCTGAGAAACTAGAAAAGACATTATCTTTTTTATTAAACTTCTCTGCTTCTCACTTCTTAAAATGCCAAAATTTATACACATCTCTTTATACACCTATTGGCGTGTTATCCCATTGCAAGCGTTGTCTCTCTGCTTCCCTAATCATAGTCTTCTGAAAACTACATGTGTTGATAATGATACAGAAAAAAAAATACCTTCTGAACTGTTGTATTTAGACGGACACGTCGCATGAAGTTACACACAGGTAAATTTGATGAAGAGATGCACTGTATCATCGTCTTTGGTAATTGAAGGCCTATGTCAAAGCTTCGATATACGACTGACACCGTCCCTTCACTGAGGCTCAGCCAGCTTCAAGAAGGGTGTTTGGGTTCTCCTCAGGCTCTAATTGGGGGAGGGGTAATTTATCTGTGATGGGTCTTGTAGAGTTGCATTGCATATTAACCTTCAATGCTTGATGGCCTTTTTTTATACTACGAAGTGCAAATATATCCTTCTCTTTTTACGGTTGGCCACGGAAAAGTGTATCCGTAAATGATAGTAACTAAGGCTCGAGTGTCCCACCTAGTATATCTTTATCATTTGAAAAAGAAAGTAGGCTTTACGCAGGATGAAGACCTTTTACTAGACAAGAAGTCATGTCTGGGCTGTCAAGATTAACTGGCAATTACAGACACTGAACACTTTTATACTTATAACTGGTTCCATCTATGATAATAACCCCCCTCCTCCTCATTTATCTTAAGATATTTACCTTTGAATATAACCCCATTTTTGAATGAACATACACTATGGCGGAAATAATGGCAACTATCTGCCATTTACTTCACAAAACTGCCATTTTTTTGGCGTGCAAAAGTGGCAGATATGATATTCTATAATAACAAAAGAGGCACAACTGCCATATTTTTGGCTGGCAAAAATGGCACCTTTAACAGTTGAATGAAGCCAAGAGGTTCACTGCTGCTGTTTTTTGGTTTTAAAAAATGGCACCTATTTTAGTTTGTTGAAGACAAATCATTCACAGCTTCCATTTTCCTGGCTTGTAAAAGTGGCAGTTATGATATTCTATAATAACAAAACGTTCACAGCTGCCATTTTTTTAAACGGACAAACCCTTAACCTTTCTTTTAGACCCATTCTTTTATATTTGGTAGGCTCACATTTTTCTTATTCATCGTTATTATTGGCAGTAAAGCACGTTTTATTGGATTGTTTATTTATATTTCAGTGGTGTATAGGAGGGTTTGATATAACTTTAACCTTTTTATTTAGGTTTGTGGTTGTATATATGGCAATAAGATATACCATTATAATGCTTGGATGTTACTTTAGCTTATCTTTGACACTCTTAACACTCTATAAAGGTATTGTTAGAAAATAATAATATTTTAATTAATTCTGCATTTTATTACCAGCCTTAAGTTCTGATGTCGATAATTATTTGACCGGTGGTGTTCCTAAAATGTCCTCGTTTGAGTGAAAGGTACACAGAATAAATAGTCTATATTTAAGCAGTATGATATCAATAAGAATAAAACATAACTTTTTAAAAGCTATTTACCTGTAAAGATAGAACCGTCTATTGATGAGAACCATTATCCATGGAAAATGGTTATATTATACAGACGTGCTTTAGTTTGATCAAAATAACAAAAATAGGCTAAATTTTTATCTAAAAAAAACCCCTTTAGTTTTTTATACAGATTACATGTCATTGCTTCAGTCATTGCAAACATACCCAATTCCAACATATTTGTTCACACTTTCCGTTATTTTGAAGGGGCTATATACCCTTACCATCGTTATTTGAAGGCTATTTATTTTAAATGATAAATAAAAGTAAAAGAAAGAGAGAGAAAATTGTAAGCTAAAAGAACGCTAAAATACACACTAATAAAGAAGCTAAAAACCAGAATGGACCAATCATGTCGACCTGACACGACTATTATCTTCTTCTGGTTCTTTTTCGTGAAGATTCATTCGCTACCTCTGGTGGAGGAGAACTGTATAAAAAATAATTATCGCATATGAGTATTCATATATCATGCATGAAAAACAATAAAAAAACTTACAGCACGTCTGCTATGATGGGGGACTCATCGCGACCCATATTTTCGAAAGCGTCATTGATAGAGTCTGAACTATCGGGATCTTGTTGATTCTACATTTTTTTTTTTTTTTTTACCTTGTTAACGATATTGATGACATAAACCGCATAAGAATTTTTTACTGTTACCCTTCTTCTGTGTGTTTGGTTGTCACTTTTAAAGCTCTCCCTTAACAAGCTTTTGGCACACCACATTCTCTTACACTGGTATATTTTGAACCCCTTGTCATTCGCAAGTTTTTCCAGGCGCAGCATCTTCTTTATGAATAAAACTGGTTTTTAAAATAATAAAAAAATGGCAGTTTGTTACCATTTGCTTCACAGGCGCAAAAAATCATTTTGTATACGGTAAGCCATCAAATTCGGATCAATATCGCATCAAATTTTTGGCATATACCAATCTAATTTTAACTTCGAGATAGTTTTTATAACATCTAAACTACATATTGACGGTTCCAGAGATGTTTTTGAAGCATTTTTGTTTTTTTATGATATTGTGATCATTTGTAGCAATCTTTTACTCAAATCTTATTGGCCGGGGATATCGAGCAAATAAAAAAATGGCAGTTATGTTTCCATTTAATTCACAGCTGCTGTTATGTCCGCCATAGTGATATATGTCCATATTTTATGAATATATTCATCCTTCTTGAATCATCCAATTTTTTTTATTTCTGGATAAACGAACCTGTTTCTTCTTCCCTGACAATAATCGTGTACTTGACAATGACAATGTTGCTAACATGCTTCGAGAATCTACTAGTAAACGGGTAAAATTAAAGGAAAGTGGGCACACCGTTAATTTGATCTCTATTGTAAATTCAGGATATATTAACGAATCAGCTCTTTTTTCAAACAAAAGGGGAAGGTAACACGGGCTTTAACATTTTTCTCCCGCAGTGACTGCTACTGCTTCAATTTTAAAGTTTTCACTGGTGTTTTCACACGAATCACCAGAGGTCCGAAACCTTACAGTTTATCGGAACATGTTTGACGACATGTGTCCCACCGATCGCTTTTGCTAATGAGCTAATCTTATACGCCATATATTATAGTAGATTGAAATAAATAATAAAAAAAAAAAGTTCCTCGACAAAAAGTACAAACAAATAGTAGTACAACATGACCCGCAAATAACAAATAATTATAGAAAAATACAAATTACTCTCACACGTCAACAAAAAAGAGTTTCGTCTCTGTTTTTTGAGATTTCCCATTTATAAAATCTTGACTTGTTTTAACAGGAAAACTAGATCGATCCTTTTTGTGAAAAGACCGTTTTGCAACATGTTACACGGGTCTGTTTTTTTTTAGCATCCTTCTCTTTTGAAACGAATTCAGTGTGGCACATTGGGTGTGTGTGTTATGCCTAACGTTACACGTCCCAATTTTGATTTTATGACATCTTGTTCATGTAATTTTTATTTGAGGTTTAGTGGGAAATTATTTTTTTTATAATTTCATATTCAGTCACATCTAAATCGTCGATAAGTGCTTGTTGACGAGGTTGAGAACTAATGATGAAATCATCCATAGTAGTATGCATATATTTTATTTTTTTAATTAAAAAACCTTTTTTTTTTTTTTACTTTAAATTCTGCACTTCTTTTTTCATTTATCTCTCTTTTACTTTTTTTTTAAATCAAATATGAAACTTTTATTGATCACAGTCTTATTATTTATCACTCAAGTATATGGATACCTTGGCGAACGCTATTCACCATTCACTGTATCTGTAGACAAGCATCAAGTGCGACGTGGCGATACGGTTCAAATCAGCTGGTAAAATGTCAACTTACTTTTCATCTTATCAAATTTTCTGACTTTTACAAAAAAAAAAAAATATAGGACGTTAACACCAGGCGTTCAATTTCCATTATACGGTTACGCTTCTGCTAAAACTTCAAAAACAGATGGTAAAGAAAAAGTACATGTATATCTTTTTTATTTATTTAGCTAACTCTGTTCTATCTTAGTTGGTTTATTAGCACCTAAATCTTCACGTACAGAACATTATTTATACCTTATCGACAGTGATCTTTCAGTACGAGATGCTAGTTATACATGGACCGTTGATGATGATACCCCCACAGGCAAATACGAAATTGGCATTGGATTCTTTTATCATGAAGTGTCTCCGGAAATCCACGTCATTGAGTAAAAAAGAAATCTTGTGGTTAAAAGCAACAACAACAAAAAACACTGTAAATTATTATATCCCCCCATCTTCCCCCTTAATTTTTCGTTATCTCTTGTTTTATTCTGAAACATCTTGTTTATACATATACACCCTTTTTTTAATTGATATTGTCGCAAATAAAATGTCGTACATTTATATAAAAAGGTGTCACACAGGTCAGGGTTGTGCAAAGCCAAAATAAGTCGCATGTTGCTGTGTAGACCCGAGGCTGATCTACAATATCTAACAACCGAAACAGGTCAACGCTCTTGGGAATTTACTATCCGTGTCTTTTAATAATGTCTACAATAGGATTTACATGTATAAGAATACCCGTGGGGGGATCATAAACCAGTAACAGGACAGTTTTTTCATGACGAATTTTTTTCATTAAAAATTAAAAAGTGGTAGCTTAGTTATCCCTCATGATGATGAAAAGGGCAACTCTATACATGTATCTCGATCTCTTTAGTCAGAACATGATTAAAAGCCCTCGGGGATGGAAATTCAGTTTAAGTTTAAATAAAAAGACAAAGCTGTTTAAAAAGTGAAAAGGAGGAGATACAAACTGAGCTGTTTTTTTTTCTACACGGTTGTCAACAACTGTAATGTTTGTTATACAAGCTACAATGTACTCCCGAAAAGTACATACAAAATATGAATGACTCTCGTTTGCAAAAATTGCTTGTTAAACTTTTTTTTCATTGAGAAATCACAAATCGAGATTTTTTTTTTTATAAAAGCAAGTTTGGATAAATGACAAGAAGGTTATAGAAGCTACAAGTTTTCAATGTCATTTGCATGAATTTCAATGTCAACTATCCACCACAGTGGTTACACCAAAAGTGCCCTGTTGTTTCGAGACATCATCTGTGTCATCGTATATACTAACAGGCTAACAATGTATACCCCTCCGTCTCAATCACGTTATTATACAACAGCACAAATCTGGATGATGTGGTCCACTGGACACGCAATGTTCAAGCAGAGCATGTTCTTAAATGTTAATTTCATCATAATAATGCAGTGTGAAGTTATGATTGTGACTACTGTAAGGATTTTAGAAAGTTCACTATGTGATCATGTAAAAGTCATGCCTGGGTTTTTGCTTTTGCCGTGTAACATGAAACAAATGGAATGGGGGCGGGTTTAGCAAGTGAACGATTCAGATAGAATACCATCTCTAAAGTTATTGTTATACATCACATTGAATTTTGCACCGTTTGGTCATTTTAGAGGGATAATGTAATGTCAGATAGGAGCCGAACATAGAATGATTCCGGGGTTGTATTAAATGTAACCCAAGCCTATTTTGGTCCACCGGAAGCAAATCTGTGTATTAGGCCTCGGGGATGAATGACAGTCGGTAATTAACCTTATCGACTTGCTCTATATGATTTTCAGAAAGAAACTATCACACGTATATATCAAGAGTACACATAGACAAAAAAATTTCTTTTTTGCTTGATGAACAAAAAAAAAAAGGCCTTCCTAATTTTTTTTTTTTCACTTGAATTAAGAGAGAATATCAAACGTTAAGAAATTATCCCAAAACTGGTTATTGAGTTTGTTATGAGGAAGGGCTTTTTGCAAATGTCCATTTTAAAATGGACGCTCTAAATACGAAAAATCAACAAATATATTTAAGAAGCAATAAAATAAAAGATATATATATATGTAAATAAAATTGGACTTTTTTTTCTGTTAAAATAATCTAACACTTGTAACGACTCATCATGCTTTTTATATCCAACGCTATTCTGGTATCACTTTTATTCATCAGTGTGGGCTACGCACAACCCATGACAAAAAAACATCAATTTAAAGTTGCATTAAAGAAAGGTTATTCCAACCTTTCCAGCAGTGGTAGTGGTACGGATCAGCCACTAGTTTCTTTTCTAGCCAAACAAAAGCAAACCGCATACAACCATGGCAGTGGTAAAATAATAAATAATTTTTTTTTCAAAAAAAAAGATAGCCATAAATTTTAACTAAACGATGACAAGAAAAGGTTACTATGGTGAGATCAGTATTGGTACACCAGCACAGAAATTCAATGTGATTTTTGACACGGGAAGCTCGGATGTGTGGGTTGTGTCAAATAAATGTAAAAGTGATATTTGTGATAGTCATCGTAAATTCGACCATCACCAATCAAATTCGTATAATTCAGAAAAGGACGAAGACGATGATGAGGATACGCTTTCGGTGGACTATGGTACGGGGTCCGTGCAAGGGCATTTGGGAAAGGATAAGGTGAGTTTAGCGGATGGACAGATTGTGATTCAAGAGCAAGTAATTGCGGATGCATATACACTCTCACGCGACTTTATCGGTTCACCGTTCCATGGTATATTTGGTCTGGGACTTGCTGGACTGAGTAGTTCACAGCACGATCCACCTTTTCTGTCGATGATTGAACAAAACCTGGTGGAGCAGCCAGTGTTTTCGATATATTCGCAGCATAATGCGGGAGAGATTGATTTTGGCGGGATTGACAAGGATCGATTTGAGGGAGAGATATCGTATGTGGATAATATCGATTCGAGTTACTGGATGATGGCGATTGATTCGATGGAATTTGAAGATCAATCCTTTCAGGATCGAAAGGCGATTATTGATAGTGGGTCAACTTTAATTATTATGAACAAGAACGATGCTAGTTTATATCATCAATCGATTCCGGGAGCGATGAGTAATGGAGATGGAACGTGGTCGTTTCCTTGCAAGAATGTGAATACGTTGGGTCCATTGACCATTAAATCTGGTGAGACCACCTTGACCATACCCGCCGACAAGTTGTTCTTGACACCCATGAGTGCAACCAGCAAAAACTGTCTATCGGGCATCTCGGATCAAGAAATGGAAACTGAGAATAGTTGGATTTTAGGTGATGTGTTTTTAAAGAATTTTTATACAGTATGTGATACAATGAAAGAAGAGTAAAATGGGGGAGAGTTATTTAAAAATTTTCTATTAGGTATTTGATGTGGGACAAAATCGGTTAGGGTTTGCTAGAGCCATTGAAGATGACAGTATGACAGATCCAGCTTATCAGAATGTTTTACTGTGATTTCTGTTCTTGTAATAATAAATTATCCTGACTTTTTTCTTCTGCTTCCAAGCGATGAAAGATATCGTCTAATTCTTTGGATTGTGTGTCGGGGACAAATTTGATGGATAAGGGACGTTTTAATTGTGCATGAGAACGGATCAAAGTATTCAACAATGGGGTATAATCTTGTAATCCACGATGTACATTTCCCTATAATTTTCAGTTTTAGTTTTTTTTCATGATGTTTTGTATAAGCTTCACAATGCGCATACTCTTTCTCTTTTCACAGCAGAGGTGGGTTCGTACAAGACTCGGCATTTTCTCAGGTTTCGAGATACTTTGACACCACGAATGGTTAAATGATTTAATGTGACCCATTTCGTAGGCAAAGTTTCCAAGGTGTACATGGTAGAGATGGCTCGATTTAATCGTTCAGATAACCGTTCCTGTGCAATCGTGGGTGTAGCATCAAATTCGTTAAAATTGACAGGTCTTGCAGGTGAAGTATATAAATCTAAAGCGCCTGTATCTGGAGAAATCTATATATTTTTTGCATTAGTTGTATACTTAAAAATATGAGTGTTGCTCTTACAAGATTGCCGTTATCATGTCTCTTCTTTTCTCTCTTTGTCTTGAAGAATCGAAGACAAGGTCCAGGGATCATGGTTTCGTCCAGGATCTGTTGATTTTGAGGGGTGTAACGAGGGAGACGTGCTGGCTTGGGTTCTTTGGGTACATGCGTTGACATAGATCGAGGGAGAATCAATTTTCCCTTGGGTAATTGGTGTCTTATGAATTGCATGTTTGGTTGAGGTTAAAAAATATACAAATGGTAGGGGGATTTACAGGTGTACAGAGGAGACAGTAAAAAAAAAAAAAACTAGTGCCAAAAGACGAGCTGAGTTATTTTTTTGGGTTGTGGGCCGGAGAGTGAAAGCAGTCCGGACCGGGTCTGGATAATTTTCGAAGCGAGTGGGGGGTGTGTGAATTACCATTGAAGGCAAGTGGATTAGTTTGATACGATGTAATACCCTCCTCTTTCGCCATACATCCATATTCAAGATGAAGTAATGATCAATATACAGAATCCATCCAACGCAAAGCATCACTGACACACAATCATTATTATTATTAGGCTTGAGATTTGTTCTTTCTCTGGCCACAAGATCTACCCTTCCAAGGGTAAGACCTACGTCCGTATTGATAGCAGGTAAATATTGTATAAAAAGTGAGATATGGTATAGAATGAGTCAAACTAACACTTTCTGTGTAGAGTAAGTTTCTTTTTTTCTAGGACGTGACATGACAAGATAAAAAAAAACATTCTGGAAATACTTACATTTCGTTTTTTTTTTCTTTCTGTTAATAGCATTTCCGTTTCATCAGCGGTAAGGCTGCCTCTTACTTTATCCAACGTTTGAACCCCCGTAAGATCAAATGGACTGTCATCTACCGTCGTTTGAACAAGAAGGGTATGACTGAGGAAGCTGCTAAGAAGCGTTCTCGTCGTACCGTCAAGCATGAGCGTGCTGTTGTCGGTGCCTCTTGGGATGCCATCCGTGCCAAGCGTAACCAAAAGCCCGATGCCCGTGCTGCTGCTCGTCAAGCTGCCATCTCCAAGTCCAAGGATGCCAAGAAGGCCGCTGCTGCTGCCAAGAAGGCTGCTGCTCCTGCTGTAAGTTCTATATAATTTTTGTTTTTATAGTGGTGGTAAAACTGATGTTTTTATTTTGTGAATAGGGTCAAGCTAAGGTTAGCAAGCAAGGTGCCAAGGGTTTCGCCCCTAAGGCTGCTGCCACCTCTCGTTAAATCGATTTTATAACATGAATTTTTTTTTTTCTTAATAAAAAAAAAAATTATTAGTTGCTTTATAATTTATAAACGTTCTTTTATTATTGTTTTGAGATTGCAGGAATACGTCAAGGTTTATTGTAATCAACCTTGAGTGTTTACAAACAAATGAAGGGGGCCCTCGATGTATCTTTTTGTTTTTTTTTTTTGATCGCTTTACGAATAAAAATCCACGCTAAAAAAAAAATCCTTCTATCGTGTCATTGAATAAGAACAACATTATGTCCTGATGTTAACCTTGTCTTACTTTCGAAACGATCACTGTGACGGTTGAAAGGGCAACGTTTTTTTTTTGACAGGTTTATTTCCCAATTTTTTTTTTTGTCTTTTCGTTTCACTTCCTTTTTTTTTTATCTTTTCGATAATGTCAGCCAGCATGGATTTGTCTCGCATGTGTAGCGTTGGGTTATTAACCCACGAATGTTTTGATGATCTTGGCAACTTCATTGTGCAAGCGGAAGAAGCAGGTCATGATTTCGTGGTGACTCCCATCTCGCACCCTACTTTTCGACGCGTCTTGAATGAAGATAATGCCACAGACAAGGAAACGCAAGAGAACTGGAAAGATCGTCCCGTCTTTAACCGCAACGATTTAGTCATCAAGTCAGCCGGTAATACTTATAGAATAAGAGAGAGAGGGACATATACTAAAGATATCGATATATGAATGAATGTAGAATGGTCTGGAAAGGCTATTGGGTTATTAGCAAACTGGATCCATCTTGATTCAACCAACGCTGAAATCCGTCTTTGTTCCGAGTTGGCTTTAAAGCAAGAAATCGAATGGGCTTGTCATATTAGTTTAACAGGTCTTATTTTCCCTTCTTTGCCCAAGGGTAGCTTGTTCAACACAGCCAGAGCCATTAACAATGCTGTACGATCCATGTCATTCACACAGGTAAAGAAAAGAAAAGGGTGATATTGTGTTTGAGGGGTAGAGTAAACTCACAAAGTTGTAATAGTTTTTGGTGAGAGTGCCATTAACTGATAAATCTGCAGTACAATCCAACCTTCCCTGGAAACAATGGAACCGACTCAGAACATTGACAGAATACAACACGAAAATTGGTGTAGTGCTTGAGCTGACCTCCGAGTTACCGATTGACGAAAAGTTATTGAACATGTGGCTCGCTGAGCCAGTAAAGGCAGTAATTGTGCCTGCCGAGATCTTTGTGGAGAATTCCAAGGGATATCCTGTGCTGACGAAACCTCACCAAAAGTTCATCAAGAAATTGATGGACAAGATGAAGCCCGATATGATTGTGACTTTACCTAACACACCGATTCACAAATTAGCCACGCCCTCTTCTTACAGTGAATACATTAGTTTCTTGAACCGCAATTTACCCGAGTTACAGGACGTGGACAAGTTTGCTACAGGTTATCAGGATTATTTGCAGGCTCCTTTACAACCTTTGATGGATAACTTGGAGAATCAGACGTATGAGGTTTTTGAAAAGGATCCCATCAAGTATCAACAGTATGAAAAGGCGGTTTATAAAGCATTGATGGATCGTGTTGAACATAATTCGGATATCGTCACGTAAGTTTTTCCGGTGGAAGGGGGATGTGTACTATCTATAGGAGGCTAAATCCTTTTTTTATTGGGGATGTAGTACAATCATGGTGGTAGGTGCTGGTAGAGGACCTTTGGTCAATTGCTGTTTACGTGCGTCAGAAAAGTCCGAACGTAAGGTCCATATTTATGCGCTTGAAAAGAATCAAAATGCGTTTGTTACGTAAGTTATAATCGATGGTGGGGGGGGGATGATGTGATGTAGACTAAAAAGAAAAAAATGAATACACGACCAAAAAATAGATTACAAAATGCGAAAGCGGATGTATGGGGAGATAAGGTGACACTTGTATTTGCGGATATGAGAAAATGGAAACCTGCCACGCAATGTGATATTTTAGTAAGTGAGCTTCTGGGATCATTTGGCGATAATGAATTATCACCCGAATGTTTAGACGGAGCGCAAAAGTTTTTGAAGGAGGATGGTATTTCTATTCCTGCGAATTATACGGCGTATGCTTCACCTTTGGCATCGACCCGATTGAACAATAATGTGGCTGCTTATAAAGATTTGGAGCATTATGAGACGCCGTATGTTGTGATGTTTCAACAAGTATGTGAATTAGCAGCACCTAAACCTCTTTGGGAATTCAGTCATCCCAATAAGCAAATCGGTGTTGAACCCATGAACAACTTACATAATGTACGTTATAGTCAAGTTTCGTTTGATGTGGAGCATGATATGGTGATGAATGGTATTGCAGGATACTTCGAATCTGTGCTTTATAAGGATGTGATGATCTCCATTCGTCCCGAGACACATTCACCAGGTATGTTTAGTTGGTTCCCTATCTTCTTTCCTATCCGTACTCCTGTTCAAGTACCCCAAGGCTCGACCGTTACCATGGATTTCTGGAGATTGACTGATGCAAAGAAGGTGTGGTATGAGTGGACAGTGTCTGTCTATGGTAGTGGAGGTCAGGAAATGACCGTCTTACCTATTCACAACGTGCAAGGCAGATCCTACTATGTCGGACTTTAGTTGCTTTCTTTTTTTTTTGTAAAACACACGATGACATGTGTGATCTATCATCCCAAAAAATAAAAAAAAATAAAAATTGAAAAAAAAAAAGAGGCGCAATTGAGCGAATGAGCGAACAGTAGTTTTGCAAGGATTTGCGAATACCCGCAGAAATTGATTTTCCGCATTACGGGTGTAACCTGTAACAACATTTTGCCATTGTTGTGTTGTGCTATGTAGAGATTTCATTATCCGATTTTTATTTATTTATTTATTTTAGAATTTTTTTTTCTTTTTTTCCTTTTTCTTTCCTGCATATATAAAACCATAAAAAAAAAAAAGTCCCTGCAAAAAAAAAATTGAAATGAGCAAACAATTACGGTTTAAAGCCTTATTTTCAAAAAAGGCAAAACAAGCACTAGAAGATGCGCAGGTGGAACGAGAAATTCAACGAACGGAGTCGACGTCGTCCTACATGCAAAAGAGGCGCAAGATCTATGTGAATATGAAGTTACCGAGTTCAGAGTTTGACGACAATGGACGTAGGATAGAGCAGACGTATGCGCACAATCGAGTGCGTACCGCCAAATATACACCTATTTCGTTTATACCCAAAAATCTGTTTGAACAGTTTCGTAACGTTGCCAACCTTTATTTTTTATTCCTTGTCATTCTTCAGTGTATTCCATTGTTTGGTGTAGTAGAACCGGGAGTTTCCGCTATTCCCCTCATTTGCATTCTCATCATTACTGCCATTAAAGACGGCATTGAAGATCTAAAACGAAACCAGAGCGATCAACGAGTCAACTGTGCCAAAACATTAACGCTCAGTCATTGGACCAACGTCAACATCCCAGAGGAAGAAAAGAAGGGCCGATTTCATTTTGTGAATGTGTTTTTAGGCTTCTTTTGTATGATGGCAGGTGTCGACAATCGATTTTCACATGCGTATCGGATGTCGCTGGTGAAGGACAAACCCTCACCCAGGGTCAATCTCAACTTTGATGATGATAAATCTCCCTTAAACGAAGTAGAAGAAAATAATTCGATACCAGAGATTGTAGAGGCAGAAACACCTGATTTTTTAGCTCCACCATCATCCGCCAAATTCTATGATAAAGTACGATTACGGTCAGATACTATTCGATCCGAAATCAGCAATATTTTCACCAACAAGGTCAAGTTTTACCGTCCTGGGTCGATTCCTCATTCGGTGTTACACCGTGCACCTACGCCAGATGTCAGACGTGTTTCTTCAGTGATGCCAGGTGCGTTGAAATGTTCCGATTTACCTGCGGGTGAACCGCCAGCTGAGCATTGTAAAGTGTGGTGGCAAGAGGTGCAATGGCAGGATGTAAATGTGGGTGATTATGTCATGATTCGAAATGATGAAGATGTGCCTGCCGATATAGTTATCTTGTCAACGTCAGAAAAGGACAATTTGTGTTACGTTGAAACTCAGAATTTAGACGGTGAGACCAATCTCAAGGTACGACAGGGCTTAAAGGCGACAGGAGAATTGCGATCGGTGCATGACTGTGAGCGCGCTTGTTTTTATTTCGAGAGTGAGCCTCCACATGCCAACATCTATCAGTACAATGGTGTCATGCGCTGGGATATCGAACAGCCGAATGCGGGAGGTGCTACCAGTGTGTCACATCAAAAAACAGAGGCTGTCACCTATAACAATCTCTTATTACGTGGATGTGTGCTTCGAAATACCAGATGGGTGATTGGCATCATTGTTTACACAGGTGATGAAACAAAAATTATGCTGAATTCAGGAAAAACTCCATCCAAGCGTAGTAAAATGGCTAAATCCACGAATCCTTACGTAAGTATTCCTTGTCACACAACAACAAATATTTTAAATTTTTGTTCTTACAAGTGACACAAAATATTCTATTTAGGTCATTGCCAATTTTTGCATTCTGGCTGTACTTTGTATCATCAGTTCCATTTTAGCAAGTACGAACTTTTATGCCCCTGGTTCTTCTCGTTACTTTGATTTTAATATCGATGGTTCCAGTGGTTCTTATCTAGGTTTTGTGACTTTTTGGTAAGAGATAAAAGCTCACTTTACATACGCACATAGACATCTAACCCTTTTTTTTTTTCTAAATACATAGGGTGACCTTGATTCTGTACCAAAATATTGTTCCCATTTCACTGTATATTTCCGTAGAGATTGTAAAGACATTTGCAGTAAGTAGACAAAATAGGAGGAAGAGGAGGGGGGGGGATAGATGCAAGAAAACAAGCGTACTCATACATTGCATTGTGTGCAGGCTTACTTCATTTATGCAGATATAGACATGTATTACGAGCCCACTGATACACCGTGTGTGCCCAAGACGTGGAATATTTCAGACGATCTTGGACAGATTGAGTATATATTTTCGGACAAGACGGGTACATTAACACAAAATGTGATGGAAGCGCGTAAGTGTACGGTGGGAGGCGTTGCGTATGGTATTGGCAAGACGGAGACGTCGATGGGAGCGGATATTAGACGAGGATCTGTTGTATCGGAGAAGGAGATGGAAGCCAAAAATGAAGCGTATTTGGAAAAGGCACGAGAGGAAATGTATCGACGTCAGGAAGAACTCTTCACGAACAAGTATCTGGGAGACAAGCCTACGTTTGTGGACCCCAAGTTCTTTGTGGATATAGGCAAGGAGGATAAGCATGCGACGGATATGATTCATTTTTTCACGACGTTGGCACTGTGTCATACCGTCATTGCGGATCGTCCTGATAAACAGAATCGACATGTGATTGATTATAAAGCACAATCACCGGATGAAGCAGCGTTGGTGTCATCTGCACGGGATTTAGGGTTTGTTTATTTGGGCCGTGAAGCCAACACCTTAACGGCGGAAATCCTGGGCAAGAAGAAGAAATACGAGCTGATGAATGTGTTGGAATTCAACTCGACGCGTAAACGTATGAGTGTCATTTTGAAGCCAGAGGACAGTGATCGTATTGTGTTACTGTGTAAAGGTGCGGATTCGGTGATTTACGAACGATTGTGCTCTGATTTCGGAGATCAGGAAGAATTGAGGCAATCACAGACCGAGTTACATGATGTCACGTTGGAACATTTGGAAGAGTTTGCGAACGAAGGTTTGCGTACGCTTTGTTTGGCTTATCGGTTTATCTCGCCGCAAGAGTACAAAAAATGGAACAAACGATACCAGGAAGCCAGTGCGGCTATTTATAATCGCGAGGAAAAGATTGAAGAAGTGTGTGAGGAGATTGAGACTGACATGTTGTTGATGGGTGGTACGGCTATTGAGGATCGATTACAGGATGGTGTACCTGAGACGATTGCAGAATTAGCGCAGTCGGGGATCAAGCTGTGGGTGTTGACAGGTGATAAAACCGAGACGGCGATTAATATTGGATTCTCCTGTAATTTGATTACGTTGGATATGGAACTTTTGTTGGTTCGAGCGGATAATCGAGAAGATACCCTAAAATCGATGGAGGAAGCGCTGGAGAAAGCCAACACGGTGGAAGGAGATAAGAAATGTGCTCTTGTGATTGATGGTACGACGTTGAAATTCGCTTTGGAGCCGAAGAACAAGGACTCGTTGTTAGGCCTGGGTATGCGATGTGCCAGTGTGATTTGTTGCCGTGTGAGCCCAAAACAAAAGGCCGAAGTGGTTCGTTTGGTGAAGAAGGGTTTGAAAGTCATGACGCTGGCCATTGGGGACGGTGCCAATGATGTTTCCATGATTCAAGAGGCTAACGTTGGTGTGGGTATCTCTGGTGTGGAAGGTCGACAAGCGGTGATGGCTTCGGATTATGCGATTGCCCAATTCAGGTTTCTGCAAAAGCTGTTATTGGTACATGGTCGATGGTCTTATTTGAGAACAGCTGAAATGATTATGGGCTTCTTTTTTAAGAATATCGTTTGGACTTTTGTCTTGTTTTGGTACCAAATCTTTTGCCAGTAAGTAATATAAAGAAGGGGTTCATGGAAAATAATAGCATGATAAATTAACATATCCACTAGGTTTAATGGATCCATGATGTTTGATTACGCCCTTGTTGCACTTTACAATCTTATTTTCACTTCGCTGCCTATTATCTTTTTGGGTATTTGGGATCAAGATGTGAGTTCCAAGGTGTCACAATCCTACCCTGAGATGTATCGTATGGGACTTCGTAACGACAAGTTTAAATCATGGCGGTTCTATTTGACTGTAGTAGATTCTATCTTCCAATCTGCTATCTGTTTCTTCTTTCCTTACATGCTTCTTTTAGAAGGCGGCATTGAGCCCAATGGAAGAGACCAAAACGGCATGTATGAACTAGGTACGATTATTTCGGGTATCACTGTGATTGTAGCGAATTTCTTTGTGATGTTATCGTTGTACAGTTTCACATGGATCCAGGTTCTGTGTATCTCGTTGTCGATTTTATCCTACTATGTATTTGTATGTGTGTATGCTCAATTCAATACGTTTATCTTTGCGGGTCATTCCGCCATCTTTGGTACGGGCAGTTATTGGTTGGTGCTGATTTTGACGGTGGTAACATGTTATATCCCCCGTACGGTGGCCAAGCATTATTTACATCAGTATCGTCCCTATGACAATGACATTGTACGAGAAAAGGAACTTGTTTTGCATGATGGTCGTACCCAGGGAAACCATCATCATCGGGATAGTGTTACTACCAAAGTGAATCCGGAACCTCCTAAAAAGACTGGATCTAGTTCTTCAAGCCCTGTACTATAAACCATATAACTATAATTATTTATTGCCAATTTTTTTTCCTCTTTTTTTCTGTTTTTTTTTTTAAAAAAAAAAAGGTTGTATCATTATGTATAGAATAATAATAATAATAAATAAATCATTAATTTATAGACAATGATGTAGAATTAAAAGTATTTATACACTATGATTTTGAAGATAAGATACAAGAATAAAAAGAGTGTAGCCACCAGATAGACAAAGTTGACCTGCCTTGCAATGAATCTAAGCGATATCTTCTTTGGCATAAATTCGGGTCGTTTATCAATTGGTAAGTATGTATTATACTATATATATATATATTTTTAGATAAGTGAGATTAGTACGGAAAGTCATTTGTATTTATCAAAACAAAACTTTACATGTTCGTTGATTTTAGCATCTGTCTTGATGGACCAGCGCACAAGTGGAGCTATTTCGTACGAGCGGATATAGGTTTTGGCACGAATGCCAACCGCAGGAATATTATCGTATGAGCAAATGGCTCTGCCTTCTCGAACCGCTCTGATCTCTTCCTGTGTTAAGAGAGCCCCACTGCCAACACACCTTGGTCCAATAATAGCTTCCTTTATCGCTTCCTTTTCTACCGGTTTTCCAATCAATTTTTCTGTTGGCGCTGGCGGTGGGGTGTTTACTACAGGTTTTTTGCTAGTTGGATCTAATGATTCAGGTACGATCTGGTGAAAACTGTTTGAAATCTATGGCGGAGTTTAATTTTTTGCATAATTTGTAAAAAATGGCGCTGTCAAAAAAAAAAAAAATTACCTTAAACGTTTTGTGGAGATTAGAGCTAGTTTCTTTTAGTTGAGCAGCATATTTATTCAATTTTGAAGCTGTTTGTTTTCCCCATCCTTTTGCTTCAAAGATACTGGCAGCTGTATTCATTCCATTAAGCGTTTTTAAAAGGGCGTCTGAGCGAGGAGCCATATTTTTTGCGTATAATCCTTTTGGATTCCAGATCCCGTTTATGCCATCCAGTGCCACCAAGAATTTATAAGTGTCTGATATTTTTTCACGTACGACTTTGTCCATGGTATCGGTATTATAAACATGCCAAGCCAATTGCCTGAATGGATCGGATGTAAATGAGTAGGCGCTCGCTTTTAATTGTTTCAAAGCCTGCTCTGCCAATCCTAAAAATTCCACAAGTCCCTTTGCTTTCAATAAATTGTTGATGCGACAGAAAATACGTAATTGTCCACTCAGGGTGAAATTCTCAACGAAATTGGAAGTGGTTATGGGTGTGGTGTATGCGCTACTGGTGGTGGTGGTGGTGGTCGCGGTCGCGGTGGTGCTAGGTACGGGTTCCTTGTAGGTGAATGTCGATGTGCGTTGTAAAAACACGTCGACATGAAAGAAATAGAGCGGTAAATTATCCAATATGAATTTCGACCAACCAGAAGTGATAGGGTTATACTCGGTATTATCTGAACTTCGTGGAGTAGCTCCTAATTTCCAAGGTGCTGCCCAAATGGACCATAGATCCAGCACATCCAAATAATCATCGTGCTTACTCCAATTGAAAGCTAATCGCGAGATTAGCATAAAGAGTTCGGTCTTCATGTCATTATAGACCCGTGTCAATACTAATTTCTCATCCATGAAGCATTGCTTGATATCGTGTTTGACGATGTATTGAACAAAGACGGTGATGTAGTGCATCAAATCGTTGTTGACTTTTCCGTTTGTGGCAATCCATGTGGTACGAATCCAGAGTTCCATACAAGCATCAAAGAGAAATGAATTAATAAAGGGTGGGAAAGAGGTGTCGGAGGGTTGGATAGTGATCATGCGCTGCAGATATTCGTCCAAGAGACTGCTGTAAACACCAAGTTTGATGGCTTGAGTTACACCGGGTGATAGATATTGACCGGGTGCCGTTGCTGTGGAGGTCGTAGGTCGAGTTGTTCCGTAAGTGGATGTTCCGTAAGTGGGTGTTTTAGGTGCGTTATATGCGGAAGTCGGTGTTCTTGGTATCTGACTATTAAACGTGTTCGTTGTTGCTGTTGTTGTTGTCGTTGGGGTAGGCGATGAGGCAGGTAATGGAGGCCATGTAGGAGCACTGATGAAATAGTATAAATAAAATTGCAACATGGTGAATCGTATTTTTCGGTCACCTCCCATTACAGAGGGAAGTAAAGTTGCTTGTCTTGTTGCAGCTACTCGAATGTCTGTAGCGTTTGAATTAGAGGAGGAAACTATGTATGTACTGTTACTGTAGACTTTAGGTAATAAATGAACGGAACCTAAAGAAAGCACTTTCTTTACATCGGCCTAAATGAAAAGATCTAGTCAATATCTTTGAATGTGTGAAGAAACGTGTATTCTTACAGGAAGTGCGTCCGTGATGATGTCAAATGAGTATTCGGGGTAGGCACTTAATTTGATCAAGGCCTGAAAGAATTGACCTTTGACAGAAAGTAAGTCTCTTATTGCCTTATTTTGAATGGGTGTCATTTGTGTTTGTATCCAACCCCTAAACGATGAGCGTCAGTATGGGTGCTGTGTATTTTATTTATTGCTTTACTACCTTTTGGAAGGTGCACCAAACATGCAAACGAGAAGTTGAGGGAAGGCCTTGTGAAAGGACTTTACTTTTTCTCCAGTAGGAACAGATACATTGTTGATATACATTTCGCAGTATTTACTGAAGTACTGACATGTAGCAGCCGCATTCTGATCCTTCATGGGTTTCGAATTCTCCATCGTGTACAACTAGATCTAGTTCAGAAGTTTTTAAAAAAAAAAGAAAAAGTAAAAAATAAAAAGCGTGGCGACACTTTTAAAAAAGCTTCAGAAATAATTGACTGCTTTATTGGGCAATTGTGGACTAAACACGCATACACATACACACAAAAATTGATCTGGTTACATGCAATCTGATTGTTTCTTTAAAATAAGGAACAATTGATGGAGAAAAATGACTATCGATAAAACAATGAAATATCTCCCAAGGAGCAAGATTTTTTTTTTTCTTTTAGGGTTCATTGCCGGTGTAACATTCGTTTAAATTAAACATTGTCCCTCCCTGTCTGCAACAATAAAATTTTCTCAAAAACAATCAATGCAAAATAGTTGAAAGAGCGTGTTTACTCCAATGAAATTTAGATTAAAAATAGAACTGTAAATTGCCCTCAATTTTACCGAATAATCTCATGTGTTGAACAGAGAAAGCGCTTTTGCACTTGCTCGGCCCTTCAATAACTTGCAATTCATCTCGGTCGGATTAAGTTGCAGACAGCAAGAGGTACACGATTCTTCAACTAGAGTTATGGTTCCAGAGTCTGTCAAAATTTTAATTGTTTACATCTCTATCGAGAAAATATGTGGTACGTTTAGTCCTAGCATTTAGGCAGTATCCAGTTTTTAATCACTTTTCTGCAGTATACATATAATCGAGATTTTTGAGTGTGCTATCGATCATATGCTGAATATCTTCTTTTTCTAAACCGTTAGATGAATCCATTAAAAAGCAATTTCTGAAATTTAGCCCACCTAAAAATCTTCAACCTTCATGCTTTTGTTACCACATTTTTTCTCAAACTATTCGAAATCATTGAGCTCTATGTAATCTACCAAATGAAGTACTGGTACAATTCGGTTTATCAAAAATGTTTGTTCGTCTCTCATTTTTAATTGTACAGATCTGTTATATCTTTGTCAGCATATATTGTGCTGCTTCAATAAATCGTTGCTCGATTTATGACTGAAATGTTTATTGTTGATAAGGCCACATGCGTGTTAGAAGCTATTGATATGATTCAAATTTCAGTACATCTAAAACAAATTTATAAATAATAGTGAAATGCATCGTAACAGATTAAGGCAAGATTGGTCTTCCAGCTGTATTGTGTCCATAAAACTCTTATATCTTCTGTTATCCGTTTCTTAAATTAAGCAATTATTGCTATCATTGTCAACTTATTTACAATGCACTTTTCTTTTCTTCTCACTTGTGCCGATGTTTTTTATCTTTTGCAATACTTTTTGAAACTAATGTATATGCATTTCGATGGTTGCGTCCATCCCGTTGGCTTTATTTACAGCGGGAGACCTTTGATCAATACTTTAAGTTTACAACATTCTGGGATGTTCAGCTTGTTTCAGTAAAATACGTTATACATGTACTACTGAGCATATTATCTAGAGAAAAACAATGTGAAACTTTAACACTGCTCATTCTACACGCACCCTAATTTTTTTGGGAAGAGTTATGAAATAGAAAGATGCGACCTTCTGTCTGTGTGTGGGTAAGTTGGTCAGTTATACTTGGCACTCGACAGACCTAAAAATCCCAAAAAGAAATTAGTTTGAATAGGCGCATATATCCAATTTATTAAAGCATTATTTCAGTAACTATCTATTACAAAGTTACGAACCTAAAATAAATTGAAATAGTGGCCATACTGGAGTCGCTTTTGAGGGGAAAATTTGATTTGGATAGACATTATGTTATCGTTGCCAATTTCATTATTGTTATCACCAGTTCTCCCATATTTTTTTCGGAGTGAATATGTCGAAAGAACCCGAACGCTCATTGGTAATGGATGGATTGTTTTAAATTCGATTGAACAAATATCACCCTCATCTATGAGCGTCAGCCAAAGATGGATTTTATGGATAAGGTAAAGTTTTATTGAAGGAGTGATATGTTAAATATAAGCGAGTGTCAATGGCTCCAGGATATTTTCGGTTAAGTAATGAGGTCTATAAACATAGTCACTAATATCGCCCAAACATCCTCTTGATAATTTGATAGATAAATTACTGCTAATCTGCTCATATTCTACCACAAATGTTCTGATACGATAATACAACAAATTCATAGTGTTTAGTGCAAAAGTCACACCAGGAGTGTCTCCGTGCAATAGAGTATACTTGTCCGGAACAGTACTGGTTGAACTTTCTAATTGAAGAATCTCTAATGTGATATCTATGTGTAAGTAGAAGTGGGTCTCATTAGCACAAACGAAGAAGTACAATAATGGCAACGAACTTACTTATTGGTCCATTCATTTGAATTCTAAGCCCTTTTGTTGGAACTGGCTTCCCTTTCTGAATAAATACCAAATAACTATCATCTCCTCCAATCTTATTTTTGATATCACCATCACTGTTTATTCGGGTGAAAGAGATCGAATTGCGAAAACTTGGAATCCGCATCCCGTATGTATTGCTAGATACTTGGCACAAAGTTCCGGTGACAAACCTTTCAAACATGTAAGGCTTTTTTCCAGATAAAAACGTCTCCGGTAATCGGAAAATAGATTCTCTTAGTACACATATCTTTGTATCTTTTTCTTTAATATATACGCCGTCATCAATCGCTTTTTGCAAAAGCATGGTGTGTGTTTTGTGGATCGGTGAACCCTGCCCCAGATTGAAAGGATCTCCAAACACGAAAATGTAATTCGGTACATAATTTCCAAATAGTCTTTTGTTGGTCAAAGAAGCCACTATATCTGTTGCCATACTTTCTATCACTGGCATAAGGCCTACTTCAATAATGTCACGAAGAAATATGCTTATACTGCAACCACATTTCGTGTCGATATCCAGCTGTATTTTGGATTCCATGTCCAAATTTAATTTGTTTTTTTCGAACTACCAAGAAGCAATTAATACATTGAGACGCTAGATACAGGTATACCAACTTACAAGTTCCACAACGCATGGTTTTAAATTTCGATATATATTGTTATATATCTCAAATGACTGGAAATCATATTGTGTGTCTTCCTCACTATTGTGCGTGGTACAATAGTCAACTTGACAATTGACTTGTATGCTCTTCATAATACTCTTACAAAGTATGTCATATACATCATGAATATGTATCATTTCATCCTGAATAATGATGGACGCTGAATCTTCTCCGGGTAATGCCAGTTTAACCACTTGATGCAAACTGAGTTGAATATGCTTTGAATATATCTGTGCAACAACAAAGTATGATTTCAACCTAAAGTCCAAATGTTGATACTTGTGTTGGATAGCGGGTAGAATTTCTTCACCACGGGTACAGAATTTTGCTTTCCGAAGGTCGTCGTCCTTCCCGAGTATTCCGCTTGCAAAGAATGATTTTTCCAATTTCTTTATTGAGCCGCATACAGTATCCAATAGCTTTTTGTCAATAGAGACGCCATACCAGATGTTGTTGGCTTGCCAATTCGATCCTACATTACTTTCTAATTTTTTCTCTATTTGCTTGTTGAGACAGTGCAGATATGTGATCATAAAAAAATACATGTAACCTGGATGACATGTAGTAAATAACTTGCTATCCGAACCACAAGATTCATCCTTTGACGCAAAAAGATCGTCCATTTCAATGTTTGCCATAAGCTCTTTAAATAAGTTTGGATCCAAGGAAACAAATAAATTTCTAATTCTCTTTAGCCGATTTTTGCTTGATTTTATCCTTTCATCACTGCTTAAAGAACTCCTCTTCCGCGTATTTTGGAAAGCCCTGCCAAGTAATTTGGATGCTGGGCTCACTGGCAATTTTTTTTTCACATTTCTTTTGTAACTTGAGTACAATTGAAGATAATCACCAAAAATCTTTTCTAAACCTAACTTTAGCCTAAACGCACAATTAGAATTGACAATCATAAGCGTTTCTTTAAGTAATTTTACCTATTTGATATGTGTAGTACTGGCCTTTGGTATAGTTGTGATTGCTTGATGAAAGTATTCAACGGTCGCATATTACTATTATGCAATAAAATGGAACTTAGTTGGACTTTCTTATACAAGATATTCTGCCGCCTATCATCATTACCATTCAAAAATTTGCTTCTGTCCAAGTTGTCTATCTTTATCTAGGTATGTATAAACAGTCTGGATTTGTGTAGGCGATATGTCTGTTTGGTTTCAAAATAGGTTAGGTTAAAACGAAGCCGATACTACTAAGGAGTCAATTTACCGATATTGATGAAGGTAATAGGTTTTAAGCAACTTTTGGGTTCTTCCATTGTTGTTTCGTTGGGTAGTGTAACTGGGTTTATGCGCACGTTAAATTCTTCGACTTGGTTTTTTAAAAGCTCTCGAGTTGCATCTGTTCGGTGATGATAGTCAAAGAGATCGAATACGGGGTAAGCAACACCGGTTTCCGCGGATGCGTAAGATTCTTTTATTACCCTGAAATACTTTTCCGACCAACAATAAACTAATGAGATTAGCCCCATAGAAAAAAGTGTTAGCGGGATTCGACTTGTGTAAAAAATGTTCAATGGTCTGGGTACTATGTTGCTCCTGCCTACAAGAAATTTATCTACTTCATTTCTAAAGAATTTTTCTGCATAACCTGAAAAATGTTCAAGCATGTCCCCTAAAGTGATTGAGTCATTCGTCAAGCGAGATTTCAAGTCTGGGAATGGCTGATCATCTAAACCATCATTTTCTCTCTGCCAAAAAAAAAAAAAAAAAAAAAAAAAAATGATTTTAATTATTTTCCCAATTTCTTTTCCATTAACTCTTACGATATCATCAAATCCTTTGTACCCTTGACTGAGTTTTTCAACCATGTCATCGATAGATTCTGATGATAACGTAGTATCACAATGCTTTTCCACACATGCCATTAATGACAATCGTAGTTCCTTTAGTCCAAACGGGATTACAAAATGAGCTTGTTTCAACAATTGTGGCACCATCTTTCTATTTGCTAATCTGAAAGCAGAATATTGAACTGATACCAATTTCAAATCCACGGAGTATGTACCTTGATAATCTATTGTACATATAACGCGCTGATCACCATACTTTAAGTTTCTATCAGCATAGTCGTATCTACCTACCTGTATGTTCTGAAAATTTAACTCTAACATTGAAAAAAACACCAGCCTGCCCGGACCATCAATTTCATGAAGAAGACCAGCCTTTACGAATAGAGGTCGAAACAATTCTTCTCTTATTTTATAATCCCAACTGGTTGGAAGATTCAAAGAATAAAAAAAATCCATAACACTATTGAATTTTTGTTTATAACGATCCAGTATTTTTTGTAACAGGTCTATAGCTTCCTCGTACAAGAGCGCGTACAGTGCCGTAGTGTCAAAGTATTGTTGCTTTGATTTTAAATAAATGTCAGCAAGCTCGCTTAAGGTGTTGCGTATATAAATAACGCCTTCTTGGGACCCTTTTGGTTCCTCATTCGCTTCATCGGCCTTGTTTCCTCTGGCAATGACATTTCTGGTGGTAGTGTCATATAAAATTGAGGTACGGTATTCGTGTTCAGAACTTTTTTTAAAAAGGAATCTCTGTCAAAAAAAAATACACGTACAAATTCTGCAGTTTTCATGTCGACTAACCTTTGATCATTTCTTGTAAGTCTATGAATGGCTACCGCTCCAGAGTTGATGAAGTCATAGCCCAAATCTATACGAAGTAAGCAACGCCGTAATTTAAAAAATTAAGTCGCTTACCAATAAAAATACAATATCTATGCCGAGAATAGTCATATAGTTCTTCCATCTTTCTTCTACGACACGTTGTTAAAAGCGAAAAAGTCACAAATACGAAGAGGCTTACGAATTCACGGCGTTTCGCTAAATCCGTTTATTTGTAGTACGAAACCTTATATGACCATGAATGACAGGGTAAAGCATGCAATTAAATTTTCTATCCAATACTTATTAACATTGAAGCGCAGTATTCCTTTTTGCTAGACTACTCTTCGGTAGCAAAATCTCTAGTGTCTGGGAAAAGAGACCTTTGCTATCCTTCACCCTTTAAGCATATGGAAACAAATAAAAAAAAAGACATCGTTTTTATCATATTTTTTATATGTCTATTACCCACTTTATTTAAACGCAAATTAACATTAACATATGCACTAACTTACCAAAAATACTTGTATTCACTTAAATTAGCATTTCTATTTCCTCAATACTTCGGCTAAATCATGTCTAATACAATACTTGTTTTCCCTCTTGGTATAAATCCTCATCCCGTTCTTAAAAATGTCGATTTGGTTCAATACAGCATCTACAGCGTATTTTCCTGCTTCCAGATACATTTATAATTAAAAACGCACTGAGCCACCTAAGGACGTTCATTCGCGGGATATCCATGATATGTGAAAACTCAAGCAGAAGCAAGAAATTGTCAAATTCTTGAATGATGTGTGTTTTAACATTTCCGGGGTTTCCTCTGCGATAAAAAATGTCCCATACTTTGTCTTCTCCATGTCCTTACACTTCTAGAAGACGCACCTCTACAAACACAGCAAGAATAAAATCTCATCCCTTGCCTAATGCGCAAAGCACTTCACGACACGCATTTCTACCAATGGCTAAAATACCATCGGATACCACTTCACTTTTCTTCTTGTTGTTCATATTATCCACAGGTAATGAAAAACCTGTGTTGGACTTGTCTACTGATTGTTCAAGGTCGGTTGATTCTGCATTACTTCCTTCGACGGCTTCACGACGACGTTGAACGATTTCTTCCATGACAGAAGTTTCGATTTGGCCAGGTGATTTAGCTTCTTTAATTTCGTAATCGACAGCACCTGCAACAAGAATAGGCTGCAGTAAGTAAAGAGTGTCAGTTTATTTTTTATACATGTTTTTTTTGGGCGGGTTGGCGTATTATGTTACCTTGACATATTCACGAAACCAAGTTCGACCCTTTTCAAGTCCATCGCCAGGTGCTGCAATAATATACAAAGTGACTTTAAAAGGCATTTCCTAGTTCTGCGTGATGAGACAACGAAGGGAGATCACAGAGAAAAAAAAATCACATGGACATCGCAACGTTCGCCGTGCAAGTTTGTTTCCGGTATCTTAAACGTATTTATTACTGGAATAGTTAATACCCAATCCGCCGGCAAAACCGCTCAAAATCAGTGTGTTCTTAAAAGGTACTTTCAATCCAAAAGACGTATCTTGTTTATGTAAGTTCAGCAAATAAAATGGTGGTTGAAAATCAGTGTAATTTTATTGGAGCAGTGATATGTTAAACATAAGCGAGCGTCAATGGTTCCATTTTAGTTCGGTTAATGTAATCAGGATAAAAACCATAATCACCAATATTAACCATGCATCCTATTGATACTTTTATAGATAAACTACTGTTAATTTGTTCACATTCTACCAATCTTCTTCTGAATGAACTAGACGCAAGAGTGCCAACCATATTATAATTTATACCGGGAGTGCTCCCGTGCAACAAAGCATACTTATCCGGAGCCGTACTGCTTGAACTATATAATTGAAAAATTTCTATGATGGGATCTTCATCTAAGTAGAGGCGTATCACATTAGTACAAAAGAGGAAGAATAACTATGACAACAAACTAACCGCCTTCTTCGTTGGTTTGAATTATGAGACCCTTAGTTGAAAATGGCTTCCCTTTTTGAATAAATACCAAATAACTACCATCTCCTATAATGGTATTTCTGATATCACCATTACTATTTATCCGGATGAAAGGGTAGAACATGCCCGTTTCAGAAGATCCGACTCGTATCGCATATGTTTCGCTCGATACTTGGCACAACGTTCCAGTGACAAATCTTTCATACAGATACGGCTTTTTTTTAGGTGCAAACAGCTTTAGTAATTGGAAAATTGATTCTTTTAGTACAAATGCCTTTGTATCTTTTTCTTTAATATATATGCCGTCATCAATCGCTTTTTGAATAATCATGGTGTATGCTGTGTAAATCTTTGACCCGTACGTCAGATTGAACGGGTTTCCAAACACAAAAATATAATTCGGTACATAGTTCCCGAATAATGTTTTGTTGGTCAAAGAAGACAATATATCTGTTGCCATATTTTCTATCACTGACGTAAGGCCTACTTCAATAATATTGCGAAGAAATATGCTAATACCACAACCACATTTCGTGTTAATATTCAACTGTATTCTGGAATCCATGTCCAAATTTGATTTGTTTTTTTCCAACTACCGAGAAATTATCAATAAACTGAGACGTTAGCTATATACTAACTTACCAGTTTAATAACACATGATTTTAGATTTCGATAAATATTGCTATATGTCTTGAATGATTGGAAATCATAGTGTGTATCTTCCTCATCCTGGTGTGTGGTACAATAATCAACTTGACAATTGGCTTGTATACTTTTCATAATATGCTTACATAGCGAATCATATACATCGTTGATATGTATTATTTTATCCTGAATAACAATGGAAGCTGCATCTTCAGATGTTGATATTTTTACTACTTGATGTAAATTAAATTGAATATGTTTTGAAGACACTTGTGCAACTATAAAGAATGATTTCATCCTAAACTCTAAATCCACCAGTTTTTGTTGAATAGCTGGTAAAATTTCCTCTCCACGAGTGCAGAATTTTGCCTTTGGAAGATTGACATCCTTCCTGAGAATTCCACTTGCAAAGAATAATTTTTCTAACTTATTTATCGAGCCGAATACAGTATCCAATAGGTTTTTATCTATAGAGACGCCATACCAAATGTTGTTGGCTCGCCAGTTCGTTCCTACCGTACTCTCTAATTTTTCCTCTATTTGCTTGTTAAGACAATGCAGATATGTGATCATAAAAAAATACATGTAACCTGGATGGCATGTAGTAAATGACTCGCTATCCGCATCCCCAAATTTATCCTTCGACGCAAAAAGATCGTCCATTTCAAGGTTTGCCATAAGCTCTTTAAATTGGTTTGGGTCTAAGGAGACAAATAAATTTCTAATTCTCTTTAGCCGATTTTTACTTGATTTCATCGTTTCACCACTGTTTAGAGTTCGCATATTTTGGAAAGCTTGCCTAAGTAAGTTGGATGTTGGCTTCACTGATATTCTTTTTATCGTACTTCTTTTGTAACCAGAATATAATTTAAGATAGTCGCCAAAAATCTTTTCTAAACCCAACTTCAGTCTAAACTTACATTTAGAACTGACAATAGTATGCTTTTTTTTTAGTAGTTTTACCTATTTGGTATGTGTAGCATCGGTCTTTGATATGAGTCTGATTGCGTGATAAAACAATTCAATGGTTCCATATTGCTATTATACATTGAAACGAAACTTAGTATGGTATTCATTTTAAAGATATTTTGTCGCCCATCACCATTACCATTCAATATTTTGCTTCTGTTCAACTTGTCTATGTTTATTCAAGTATGTAAAAATAGTCTTAATTTGTGTAAGCGATATGTCTGTTTAGTTTTAAAATAAGTAAATACGAAGCCAATATAGTAATATGAATTAGTTTTACCGATATTGATGAAAATAGTAGACTTCGAAGAGCTTTTGGGTTGTTCCGTTGTTGCATTATTGGGTAGTATAACTGGGTTTCTGCGCATATTAAACTTTTTAATTTGGCTCTTAAAAAGCTGTATACTCGCAAATCTTACATGTCTGTCCGACATACTGAGTCTATTAACTGTTCCATCTCGGCGTAATTGGTAAGATTTTGTTGTTTCTTCGCTATACGCTTCTGAACACTTTTCAACTAATGTAAGTAGCAATAATAATTCAGGATTACCCCAGGCTTGGGTTGTACAAATGATGACCATAGACTTGGTTTTTGTGCTGCTCGTGCCTCCAAGAAGCTCATCCATTTTATTTCTTAGGACGTTTTCAGCAAAACAAGACAAATGTGTAAGTATGTCCTCTGAAGTAATTGATTGAATAGCACTGATCTCCTTTCTATTTAATCCGTATAGCTTAAGCTGTTGAGAGCTTAAGTGTTGAAATGGCCGAAAGGATAAAACGGTTTGAAACGGGTAAGAAGACTAGTAAAAAAAAATGGTTTTAACAAGCGTTTTCCCAAATTCAACCTCTTTCCACTCTTACCGAAAGGTCAAAGCTTTTGAATTTTTGACTGAATATTTCAAACATAGTGTCGATAAATTCCGATGATAACGTAGACTCACATTGTTTTTCCAAACAACTTATCAGTGACGATCGTTGTTCTTTTAATCCATTATAAGGTATTTCAAAATGAACTTGTTTCAATAATTGTGGGCTAAATGTTCTTGTCTTTACTGCAAAATCAGCATACTGAGCTGATATCATTTTTAAATCCACAGAGAATGTGCTTTGAAAATCCACTGTACATATAATGTACCGTTTACCATGCTTCATATTTATACGTTGTTGCATTTGTATAAATTCAAAAGTTAAATCTAGCTCCGACATAAACATCAACCTGCCCTGACCATCATTTCCATGGATCAGACCAGCTTTCAGGAATAGAGGCTGGAACAATTCTTCTCTTATCTTATAATCCCAATCTGTTGGAAGATAAAAAGTATAACAAAAATCGATACTCGAACAATCCGACTTTTGTATATAATATTGCAGTATGTCTTGTAACATTTTTATGGCTTCTTGGAGAAAAACGGCGTATTGTGCCGCTCGATTGAAAGATTTTTGCTCGGAATTCGAATGGTAATTATTGAGCTCGATAAAAATGTTGCGTACATAAACAACGCCTTCTTGGTGCCATGCCGAATTCTGATTTTCTTCCTTAGTCAGGTCACCTCTGGCAATAACCGTTCTAGTGGCAGTGTCATTTAAAATTGAAGCATTCCACCACTTTTCAAAACTTTATTTTTTTATAAAAAACAATTGTTTTGTCAAAACATAATAAGGTGGATTCTGTTATTTCATTCTGTACAAACTTCCAACCGGAATTCTCAAGTACTTTAATGGATGTCCTGTTAGAACGGATGGTGTCATGATTCAAATCTATACTAAGTAAGCATCGCTGTAATGTAAAAAAGTAAGTTGTTTACCCATAATAATACAATATTCATGTCGAGAATAGTCATAGAATTCTTCCATCTTCTTTCTTCTACACCACGTAAGTGAAAGCGGCTAAAACAAAAATATGAGGAAAGACTCACTCCTTCATTAAAGTCCAATGTGTCACAGCAACTTTGCGTGGCCAATCAGTACAGAAAATAGGGTTGAGATATGCTGCTTGTCTTCTTTCATTCTTAATAATTAAAATGAAATTAACTTTTGCATTGGTGTAATTGCAACTCAACATTAAAGCCATTGCGGCATTTTTATGATGTTATCTAAAAGAAAGAGAACTAAAGAGGACAGAGCCATATATCGTGTACGCTTGACCACCACTAAACAGACTGTTTTAAATAATACATGGTACATCGTTCCAGTGACAAAATCTTTCGTACATATACGGGTTTTTTTATATAATTTGTACACCTGGCTCCAGCAATGGCCTAATAAATTCTTCTAATACGAATGTGTTTGTAATGTTTTCTTTGAGCTGTACACCGTCGTCTATCGCTTGTGGCAGTAATATGTTCGACATGATGTGGACTGATGAGCCGCAACTCAGATTGTAATGGAAACTGCACCTTTTGAAGGCGATGTCGGTCTAACAGCTTGGTTCAGAGTGACCTAAATATGCTTTGAAGACACTTGTACGACTAGAAAGTAGAATTTCATCTTTAACTCCAAATGCACCAGCCTTTTTTTTTTTTTTTTTTTTTTTGATAGCAGGTAAAATTTACTCGCTACAAGTGCAATTTTTTTGCTTTTCGAAGATTTTCATTCTTTCCGACCATGCCACTTGCAAAGAATAGCCTTTTTCAATTTTGTTATTGAGCCATAACAGTGTCTAGTATATGCGTTTGTCAATAGAAACAACATACAAGATACTGTCTCTTCGTCAATCAGCCCCAAACTTATGTAGAGATATGTTATCATGAAAACAAAAACATAACATGGACGATAATAGCCACTACAAGTCATTTAGTTTTTGATAGCTATTATATCGTTAAAAAAAGTTGCCCTTCTCAGTGGCCCTTTTCAATATCATTTTGTATGATAACGAACTCCATTCACAACGCACAAAGATGTTAATTTTTCAGTTACGAAAATTAAATAAAAAAGAACACGGCAAATGATCCTTTCCTGTCGCACTTAAGTTAAAACTAAAGGGGAGATCCCACTAGATAAAGAAGTCTAAATTGAAAATAAAGAGTACCCCGTGTCACACCATGGGCTATTAAAATTACGCATATTTAAGCGCTCTTTCCTGTGCTTGCCAAGCCAAGACGTTTTTACATCCCGGATGATCTTTATACGAAAATATCCGTGAAATGAATCTAGACAGTTTTATTTTGGAACATGGAGTATATATTTTTTTGCATGACAGTATTAAAAAATGTTGTTTATTGTAAATGATATTATATGAGAAGAGTGTCTATTGTGTAAATAAATGAAAATAATAATATGCTTTTTTTTTGAAGGTGAAAGATTTTAGATGCAATTTTTTTTTTTAATGAGCGTTGGGGGAATGGACCAAAGGAATATATTCAGGAACAAACATGGAGCTTTGAACAACATCACTCAAGATTTCACCTTCTTGTAAGATAGCGGTAGCAACGTTTTCCTCATAGGCGACCTCACAGACACGTGTACCGACAGCCAAAGCGACTTCACGCAAATGAGTGACACCAGGGAAAAGAATACCCTCCTTTAATTGTTCAGGTGAAGCCAAATCGGCAATGGTGTTGGCAGTTTCCAAAAACATGTTGGGAGTTACTGTTCTTGCTCTGGAGACGGTGATACCGAGACCAAGACCAGGGAAACTGTAAGAGTTGTTACATTGGTTGGTTCTGCACACTTTGCCGTCGGGCATTGTGACATCAGCGAAGGGACTACCGGAAGCGAAAATGGCACGACCGTCTGTCCACTTGAAGGCTTCTTCAGCGGTACATTCAGCACGGGTATCAGGGTTACTCAAGGGGAAGACAATGGGCTTTTCTTGATACTTAGCCATGGTACGAATGGCCTTTTCTGTAAAGACACCGGGAACGCCAGTTAAGCCAAGGATGACGGTAGGCTTGACTTGCTCCACGAGATCTTCCAGAGAAAGACGATCTGACAAGTCAGATTTCACATAACATCTTTGACGCTCGTCTAATTCTTCGTTACGGGTGTCGGTGGGTAAAAGCGGGTCGGCCGTGCTTAAAGCGGGGTTGCCAAGGAGACCGTGTTGATCCAGCATCCAGATACGAGAATAGGCTTCTTCGCGAGATTTAACCTTGCCTTGGGCAACCATAGCATCGACAATGCCTTCACATACACCCACACCGGCGGAGCCTGCTCCGACACAGATAATACGTTCCTCGTTGAGGTCTTGTTGAGAACGGCCACGAGCTTTGAGAGAAGCAAGGATACCGGCCAAGGTGATGGCAGAGGTAGATTGAATATCGTCATTGAAACAGGTGATTTTATCACGATCTATTAATAAAAAGGTTAAAAAAAAATTAAAATAAAAAATAAGGTATCGGAATTTACATTTGTTTAATAAGTTGTATGCATGAGGGTATTTGAAATCTTCAAATTGGATAAGAGCATCTGTAGAAGGAAAAAAAGGTTAGAGATCAGGTCAGATGGTAAAGGTTAAAGAGAACTTACTAGGCCATCTACTGTGAACAGCAGTTACCCATTCATCAACAAAGGTATAGTATTCATCACCGTCTAATCTAGGATGACCCATACCAAGATAGAGGGGATCATTTAATAAGGATTCGTTGTTTGTGCCCACATCCAAAACGACGGGAAGCACAGAACGAGGACGAATACCACCGGCAGCTACGTACTAATAAAGATGTGTGTTTAGTGTTTCAATCGGCGCTAAAGGAGGACAATGGAGACTTACCAAACTGAGTTTGCCAATGGGAATTTGCATACCGTTTGCACCCAAATCACCCAAACCAAGGACACGAGAACCATCGGTAACGACAATGACATCGACTTCATCGTGAGGCCAGTTATGCACCATGGCAGACATGGCACCTCTATCTTGAGAGGAGAAATACATACCACGAGAACGACGGTAGATGGAATGTGACATTAAACATGCTTCACCCACTGAGTAAAAAAAAAGGTTATTAGTCGCGGGAAATTACGGGGGGAAATCGAAAAGAAGAAAACTTACCAGTGGGGGTATAAATAATCCCGGATAATTCATCCAAGTAATTGATCAACAATTTATAAAACAAGATTTCGTTTCGATCTTGAAGGGCTGAAAGAAACACAAATTTGGACAATGGCGTTTCTAATGCGTCTAAATTACGTTTGATACGAAGCAACTGTTTGTCCATTTCTTGACAACGAGGAGGCACTAATCCACGGATCGAAAGTCGCTCTCTTTCTGCAATACTAAAAGCAGTACCTGAAAATCATACAAAATTTAATTTTCTGTAATTTTTTTTTTTTTTTTTTTTAATAATGTGTACCTTTGGATAAGAGTGGATCGTGAATGATATTCACACCTCTCAAAGGTGTTAATTGAACTGTCTTGTCCTTTCTAGGATCAGTACCAAGTCCAATAGCTGAGGCAGGAAGACCGTAATGACGACGGCCGAATTGGCAACCTTGTTTTGCAAGATTGCTCAATCGTGACATGTTGCGAGCAGACAACATTGTAATGTTAATAAAAGAGTTACGGGAGTAAAAATAAAATAAAAAATCTAGATTTTTTTTTTCTGCCAGTTTTATATGATTTCGCTCTCCCCGCCTCTACCCCAACCCGTGGATGAATATCCATAATAAAGGATCGGCCATTCAATCTATTTTGACAAGTGGACTCATCTTCACCCCCTTTCAGGGTTTAATAAGATTATCCAATCAAAATCGTGCATATTGCTCGGCTGAGGTAATCTGGGGGGATTCCCAATTTAAGGTCATGGGTAAAATTTCTCCAAGCTCCTTGGAAATAGTATGTATCCACGGTTTACTTTTTCGATGAATTGCCTAAAGTACTGTTGGTCATACAAGCGATAAAATAGAAATCAGTGAAAATGAGACATAATCAATAAAACTCATTCAAGGTCATCCATGTTCAGGATTCCGATTGGATTAGCAGTAATTGTATTCATTGCAGGTCAGCGATGGATGGCGGGGTTACTATTTTATTGTTTCTTGATGGCTGTGCGTATTGGCTGTGTTTCCAATGACAGTAGATGGCTCAGCTTGTATGAGATCGAACCACTGGATGAATCATGACTGTGAGTAAGGTCATCAAAGATGTTGAAAAGTAGAACTTTACTAAGAAATTGTGAATAACTTGCATTTATGACACGATCATTATGACACGATCATTACATATTCGGAAGAAATTATTTAATTCCCTCCACATGCTGATTTTCAGCATGTGGTATCTCCGTCTGTATAATAATTGTTAACGGGCCTTTTATCATCGTTATCAAAGATAACTTGAATGACATATGTACTAATCAAGTTAGCTGGAAACTAGCATGTGCTCTTCCGGGTGTTTTTTTCAAAGTTATCGAAAAGTTCCACTGTCAATTCACATGGTGGCGTATTGTCGCGCCGAACCAGCCACTAAACGTTTATGCTGAATTTAGTTTTAAACCTCAACGACAGGCACCTGAGTACGCGAGAATAAACCATGTCAAAAAAAAAAGCTTTCTGCTTCATTCAGTTTTTAAGACTGCATTAGGTACATTAATAAGTGTCATGTCAGCGAGAATCACACGCGCTGCAGATTACGAGCAACAAGTAAAATTTTGTCAGGTATGTACAACACAAAAGTTTTCTATAACGTACCCACAAGAAGAAGAAAAAAAAGATGTATTCACACTTGTTTATAAAAAGTAAAGTTGTTGGCATGTTTGTAAGAGACCAGTTCGAATAAGACGCGTTCCCAGCTTAATACATATAGCCGTCTTCGGCGTGCTTTCATGTGATTTTTTTTTTTTTTTGACTTGTGGGGGTTTCAATTTAAATGCCTTCAAGATCTTGTGAAGCTGTTTTTATGTCTGCTCGTATACGCATGTCCGACAGAACGTAAATATAGTATTTATCCTAAAGTGGATATACCCTTTGGGACGCGATACAGTAATTGCACTGTATCATCAGCTGCTCATCCGCAGCAAAGCTGCTTTTGTTGTGCCCAGGCCTAAAAGCTGGGCCGTTTAAGCTAATGAACATACCTTTGTACGAGAACCTTACCGCAGCGAGTGGCATAAAAGGGGGCATCCCAGTGTTGTGGCTACTGGAGACTGGTTGAACCAAGTATGATATAAAGGTTTTTGGTCCAAGACATGTATTGGTATTTCTAACTTGTGGCAATTTTAGGCTCGTCAGTTGTTGTGCCACTATATAATGTACAGAGTGGATACCCAAGACATTAAGAGTCATGTTATTTATGAGCTGCAAAGACATAATCAATGGCTATGACCTGATACATCATTGGTAATAATTTATCAGGTCGATATATTGTGTAGTACATGTTTATTCATAGTTAATAGCGGATTGAAAGGACAATGTGAAGAGCAGTCGTACAGCGATCATCCTTTAATCGCTGAATTAAAAATATTTGGTATGACAATGACTACTCACTTCTTTTTGGTTATGTGATCTTTCAAAAATAGGATACAAACACAAACGAGCTATTTCAAGTAGATACGAGTGTAGGACAAGTATAAATAATGAATGGGAAGATCACAGAATGATATAATAAATGGATTTAGCTCATCTATGGTGGTAAATAGAAGCAAGAGATGCAGGTAGGTGTGACCTGCGGGTGAAAAAAAACACATCATTCGTCGCTACAGGAAGATTATGTCGCGTGACGCCGTTCAAGCGGGTTAGGATTGGCCTACAAACTGGAACCGCTCCATGCAGTGTTCTTATTTCTTATAGTTAGTCAATCCAACACTGACTAATGTGATACAATGACCACCACCTCCTCCTTCTCCTCCTATGTTCTACTAACTGATGTTATTAGGCAAACTGTTTATTTGATTTAAGGAATGTGACGGCTGATTGTTTATGCAGATAAAGTTACTTTGCCCTCCTTGTTCTTGGCAAACAGATCGTCGTCTGTGCGCAAACAACAAGTCTCTTGGCAGCCCCCCCCCTTTACGAAATCATGAAAAATACAAAATAAATTACAGGGACATGTATAGAATATAGGCAGTAAAAAGATCAATTAGGGGGTGGAGTGTGGTAGGGTAGAGAGTATGAGAAGGTGGTGGTGGTGGGAGGTGGGGGGTATTATTACTTTATTATTACATCTTTTTTTTTATTTGCTCCACGACGAGCTGTTAAATCACGCCAAACAAAACACAAGTTACCAGCCAATTCCATCTTTGGCTTTCTACCTCTTTTTTTCTTGGGGATGCTTAAGGTGTTGTCCATATTGAGATTAGTAAAAGTATTCTGTCCTTGCTGTGTGGGCCAATGTAAGACCATGTAATCTTCGTCTTGTTTGGGTGGTATTTCTTGATGCTTTACATCCCATACGGTGGGTGTAACAAATGTCCAGTTATTATCGCGTTGACGAGACGTTGGACTGCATGTGGTATTTGGTGGTCTGCCTCTTTTCCTCTTGACGGGTGGATCTTCTAAAGGGTCGTTCATGAGTGACTTTATGGAGCAGGTGGAATTAGTGGATGCGTTTGAAAGTGATCTAGCTCGCATGGGTGGAGGTAACAACAAGCTTCGTGGGGATGCGTGTGGGGATGTTAATTGAGGCGGAGTGTCAACGGATAGTGATTCCATAAATGGGGAAAGAGGCGGTAAAGATACATCTTCTTCGTCCAGTAATAATGAACTGACAGGTGGTAGTTTACATTCAAAAGTACTCTGGCTGGGTGAAGGTGGATGTAAAAAAAACTCTATCGTCTGACTCATTTTAAATAATTTTTTTTTTTGTAAAAATGAAAAAAGAGAGAAAAAAGGTCCTATTTTACCATCTTTGGTAAATAAAATAAGTTCTATAGAATCATAAGAAACTTCCGTTTTACACTACTTGGCCGGTCACAAAAAAACATTTTTTTTTTTTTATATCTTCCTGTTTTTATTGTAACAAATCATGTATCCGCTTGACACGTAAAATTCAAGGCTATTTATATCTCGAACAGACAGGGCGAAAATTAACATGCTTTTATTACTCGTAGAAGAGGGCTATTCACAAAGGACTCTTTCCTGTCAGAGTTGCGAAAGGAACAAGTTCGAAATGACAAGACGTTGCAAGAGATCAATAACCAAGTGACAACACGTGAAAATTATGGTTTATTCGGGGTCTCTTTTTTGACGTATCTCATCCATGATTTACCACCAAATGAAATACTCGTAAAATTGGCATGTATGGTTCAACACATGGACTATTTAGCCGACCATCTTGAAGCCCGGAGGATGATTTTTTCATTTTGTTTAAAGGTCCGTTTGAGAAATGTCCATATTTGGGATATTTAAACCCTAAATGAAAAAAAAATTAGATAAGAAGCAATCAGATGCATTTATTTGACGCTCAAATCAATCATTTGGTCTATACCTTGTTACAAGCATGTTCGTTCTCATCAGAGGTATGGCAGAAAGAACTTGATGGGTCTTCCAGTGACAAGCTTCTGTAAGTAGAACACAACACCCCTTGCATGAGAAAAAACAAATACTTACTTTTTAAGCAAGCCTGCAGTCGTATAATAACATCATCACAGAATATCTATACAATCCAAGAAGCTATCCCCAAAAAATTGTCTTCGATGAACATCTATCAGATGTTGCCTGTATAAGGTATGTCCTTCACTCTACATGGATATCGCGTCTCATCCTCCCTGTCTAGATTTGCACTGTTCAATGTCTTGTATGGAACAGACATGCAACCTCTTCAATATAATCATGATGATACATTCAAGGTAACTATTCTATCATAATATATATATATATATATATGTCTAATTAATATCTTGTGTATAGTTCTCTGATGCATGGGTGCAGCTATTAAAAGAATCCAAAAGATCGAATGCATTTCTGATTGAGACGCAAGTGATTGAAAATGCATTAAGAAACCCAGAGGTTAGATAAAATAATAATTGTAGTACTATCTATACTAAACTGCAAACACAACAAAGAAAAACCTTGCATGTTATGCCATGGACCTAGATTCGCTTACTCTATCCCTTTCTTCCGATGTATTTGATACAGTGATACGAGAAGCTTGTCAGTCCTTAATCCACACCCACCCCAAATTCATTCCTTACATTACGCGGGCACTGATCCATCTTTTACAAGTGGGTAAGGCAACCTTGGATGAACAGGTGAGAGAAAGGAGATATATATTTAAAAAGAGTATGGGAACTCATGTTATAAGGCAGATGTATCAACAGTACATTAGGATGTGTCAAGCAGCTTGGTTAGAAATATTCAAGAGAGAATTGGATGAGATTGTTTTCAAAACTTTTCAGAAAACTTCTCCCACAGTGCTCACAGTGTCTAAATACTGTGCGTGTCTGACTCAGTATGCTCGATATACGCAACAAGATATGGAGCAGTGGAAGGGTTATATGCGAGATATTTGGAATGACTATGACCGATGGAGACGTGTTTATTTGAAAAGTACAAACACTCGAGATGATAGTTTAGGATGGTTTGGAGAGATGTTTAGTGTAATTTGTTAAGATAGACACCATCAATAGCAATATCACCAAAGGCATTTGTTTGATTTTTAGGATCTAAATAAAAAGACAGACCATTTTTCCAGGAAGCGGAGAAGGAACCATACACATCATAACCATTTTTGTTCCAGCACGAAGCGCTTCCGCCGTGCAATTGTCCCACCACACGATGATTAGCATCAAATAAAGGGGATCCCGAACTACCGGGTTCGGTCGTCCCCCGTGTCCAATGCTCTACTTTCCAGTGGTCTTTATCGGGACATTCGGACCAACAGGCAGGTAATAAATGTCCGTTGTAAATTGACAATTTTTTGAAATCTCCACTGGGATGATGAATACCCACTAAGGGTGGAGAAGGCTCATCGATCGTGCTCCAGCCTGCCAAATACACGTCATAATGTTCAGGGATGGGTTCTTGTAGCTCAAACAATGCATAATCAGATATCACTGAACCCGCTGTTTTGATAACATCAGACATCACGTTTTTTTTTTTTTTCACACACCTATTTTTTTTTTTCTTTCTTACCTAACCAATTCAGCCCATGAAGTGTGTCAGACTTACTCGACATGATTTGTCGGTACCCGTTGCAAGACCGACGTTGGTGGTTAAACATGACAATATCCGTGGCTGGATTGGACGATCCGGTACAATGGTAAGCCTAAATGTGTAGAATAGAAGAATTTAGATGGGTGGTACAAGAACCGTTTTTGTTGTTTTTGTTTACCGTCAATAACAATTGTCTTCCATCATGTTCTGCATTATTTAATAAGACGCCAGTACAATACACTTGATTTTCGTCTGTTAGTAATACGGCTACGGATCTTGCTTCCTTGGACCAACTTGAAGCTGCAGCATCGCACGACGCATCGACATTACATTTACCGGACTGGGGTCTACGTTTACGTTTCATAACATGCTGTTGACTGTTGTCTTCCTGCGGATAGTTCATTTCATCTCTTTGTTGTGGATGATGAGGTAATGACTTGAAACCATAGACAAGTCGACTGATACGGATTCTTGGAAGTTGTCGCACACGTGCTGGGGAGTAATATTCGATCGTGATAGAATCTCCTTTTAACGGTGCTGTAGCGAATTGATTTGATGCTTTATTCGATGGAAAAGCAGTGAATGCACCTAGAATTTCCTAGCTCAAATTCAGAGTTACATTTACAGAAAAAAAAACTTTTTATATATTTCATTGACTCTCTCTCTCTGTCTCCTGTCTTGTTTTATTTTACCTCGTGGTTATAGACGTAGACTTCTGAATGTTCAGGTATCCACCATTGATCAAAAATTAAACTTAGAGAAATGGCACCTGGACTGGATAACTTTATTTGCCATCGCCAATCGCCATGACGATTAATGAAGACGGTGGATGCATGATCAAAAGAGATAGAGATGGGGATAGATTTGGCAAATCGATAGGGTTTTAAGAGTTTTTGTGGTTTATCATTATCGTTCAGGAAACGAGGTGTGGGTATATGATGGTGATTCAATTCGTCTCTTAGTGAAGATTGTCCGATATACGACTGGAAGTGGCCAGCTGTACTCACTTGACCGTTTGCCCTCATGACAAATATCAAAAGAAGAAGTATCGGTAAATATCCAAATGTAATCATTTTTTTTTTTGTGTAAGCGAATGAGAGGGGAAAAGAGGGAAGAGACAAATAAAAGGAGGGAGGGGGAATAAAAGAAAAAAAAAATTATAACCCCTACACAATAGGAATTCAGGTTCGTGTGCCACAGAACAGCTTGGTCCAGCCACAAGAAAAAAAATCTCTTGGTATTAATAAGCGCAGCATTTTTAGAAATGACTATAAATAATGCACCCTTTTTTTTCATTTTTTTTTTTTCATTATCAATATATACTTTATATTTCTCTTTCTATCTCTCTATTAAAATAAAATGGTTCGTGTCTCTGTATTAGGTGGTTCTAAAGGTTGCTCTCGTGCTATGGTTCTTCAAGGCATTGAACAACATCAATTCAAGTTACTTGTCCGAAACCCGGACACTATGGATTACACACAAGAACAAAAAGCCAAGCTAAATATTGTCAAGGGAGATGCTCTTGATCCCATTGCTGTTAAAGAAGCTATTATTAACACGGATGTCCTCATATTTTCTATCGGAAGTGCCTTCAACTTTAAGAATCTCAGTATGGTGAATCCTGGTCTGTGTCATGATGCCATGAAAGTGGTGTTAGATGTCGTAGATGAACTTGATGAAACCGAACGTCCTCAACGTATTGTTGTTATTTCTACTACCGGTTTGGATGATATGAGCGAGGTTCCTTACTTGTTCCGCCCTCTCTATCGCTTATTACACGCGCCTCATCAGGATAAAAAGGCTTTGGAGGCATTAGTGCAAAATGAGAACAAGCATGTTGCGGATTGGATTATTGTGCGTCCCAGCTTACTTACAGAGGGTAAATTGGTTGGCAAATACAAGGCGGATGTGGGTATTTCTGGATACACGATCTCAAGAGAAGATGTGGGACATTTCTTACTGCATCAATGCATTGAGCCTACTACTTGGATCCAAAAGAAGGTGGTGGTCACATATTAATTTCCTGCTTTACCCTATTACTTGCTGTATAAATCACTTTTAAATAAATCACATAATTTTTCTATACTCTTATCAATGGTTACACCATTCATGCTCATAAGTATGATGATATTTTTGAAACTATAAGCAATTACTTTTTTCTAATAGAATTCGCATGAAGGGAAAGATTTTTGCGCTGAGATCATACAAGTCGACTGCGACTGAGTTCATTTAGTTTTTTAAATACCCAAATATGGAGAATAGTGACATTTGCAGATCTCCCGAATGACGATTTCACGATTTTTATGCCAAGACTGAACACAGCGTTCGACCCTTCTTTTTCAAAATGCCCAATTTTATGACTCAAAAATCTGTCTCCGAGGCCGAATAGCGGTTTTTTTTTTTTTTTTTTTTTTTTTTTTTTTTTTTTTTTTTTTTTTTTTAATCTCATGGCATAAAGAGGGTACAAATTATTTTTTATTGAAACAAACCGGTATTGTATGAGTCATCTGCATCATCTGTCAAGTATAGGTGTTGTTGCACAATTTCACTGGCGAGTTAAAGTTTAAGTTGGGTGTCTGCATACAATTAAATGACAACCGCTATATCCTGAACCTTCTGAGCTTTAAGATAATGCGCGGATTCACATGCATCTAAAACAGCGGGTAAGCTTATATAATGATCACAATGAGTACTTCATCTAAAAAAAGAACCGCCATAAGATTTTTAGCATTTTTACCCAGCTTTTTGAAACAAGGAAATTACAGGTTCATAAATAATAAGCATGAATCAATGAACTTAAAACAATATGGTTACATGTATTACACCTGTTTATCTTGTAACAAAGGTGCCTTCTATGTTATAGCAGATATAAATGTGCGTAATAAAAGAGTCCTTTTGTCTTTTAAATTTACAGCTTATAAAAAAAAAGGCAAGATTCAATAATGTATGTCCACTGGGAAGGAAATCCTCGATTGATAGAGGACCATTATATGAAATGGTACCTGATGTCTGACTTGACTGACTACCTCTATAGCGCCAGGTATTGCATAACTACCTCAAAAGGCTCCAAAGTAAAAGAAAGGGTGGTACCTATGGTGCTACAATCCACACAATTACCGGCCACTCGAGAAAAAAGGTTTCCTCTAACCGGTCAGTATCTTTGTCAGTCTCATGAGCCATGGAGAGAGAAAATATATCGTTTAGAGATTAATTTGAATCTGCTATTTGATATATGCGTACTTCCACCGCCGTATGCATTGGATAAGACTCGAGGCAAAATGGAAGGGGAAACGCTAGAAATGATTGATCGTTTGCTTCAGTATATTTTGAGCGCACCGGACACGATTTATACCCAAGATTTATTCGAAGATTATTACAAAGTTGTCTGGGTCGAAGATAATGGTGTCGTCATAAACAGCTGATAAATTATTATTATCAGTCATGCCAAGAACTACAGAATCTTAGTATGGTTATTTTTAAGTTGTACAGCCCATATTATTAGCATCAAGCTGCCGATGAATTAATTAAACAAATTTAGTAAACATCAAAGCTTGAACACTATCTACGCCATTTGAATTCATTTTTTTTTTTTTTTGAAGCTGTGAAGATGCTCATACAATAAAATAAAACCAATATGAAACATCAAAGCATCTGTTATAACCATTTGAGTGCTTATAGGTACCAAGAAAAACTGAGTGATAAGATTGACTTTAAGTGTTTTATCCGAAAAGCGGTGCAATTGGGTAGCATTTGACTTTTTGTTTGGGGAGGGGTTCACACAATATAATTGAAACTCACTTTACTTTTCAGCACTGACCTTGGAAAAGAGCAATTACAGTTATTGTGCCAAACCTTTTCCCCTCCCATTTTATTGTTTTATAACTGTGTGTGTTTTTAATGGCTAGAAAATCCCCTTGTCAACGTAAATAAGCCTGGGGACGTGGGGGGCTCTTTGGTTCCATTATTGTTACTTACTTCTTTTGTATACCCTTAACAGACTGTAAACAAAGAAGACGTAAATGCGAACGATCGAGTGAAAGCGAGCCTTGTCAACGGTGTGTAAAGATGAGAAAGACGTGTGTAGCTCAAGACGAGACATTCGAAAACGAGAGTTCTGACGAAGACCCTTTTTTAGAGTGTAAAAACAATGTGGAATTAGAGATAATCAGTCAACAGGTCAAAGATCTCGAATCCGAGTTGGAGCACCTGGAGATCAGTCTGAATCAACAACGAGCGCTTGTGAAAAAGGCGGAACCAAGTTGGGATATACGCTGTGTGGATGGGCAATTTCGACTTGAATCGCAAATTAAGACGGTAGAGGAGCTCATGATGTATGGGACAGCTGCCATGCGATATTTATCACCATTTGGAAAGACGTTTGGTAAAACGTCGCTAAAATTTCAAAGGCTGAATCCAAGCTTTATAAAGTCAGCCATGAAAATGGTGTCTCATTTCGAATTTGGGGGGAACAATGGAAAGATTTCTGCCGCCGTGATATCGCAAAGCTTCTCCACCGAACTCTTTCAGTTCATACAACCAAGAATCTTTCTGGATGGGCTTGTGGATTTGTTTTTCAAGTGCTTTAATACTACATTTCCAATGGTGCATGAGCCTTCTTTTCGGGAACATTTTAGACGATTAAAAGATCCTATGGATGACGCTATCACATTGGCCATATGCTCCCAAGCGGCCGTGTCTACCTGTGAACATTCCTTCTTTGACTCCCAAGAAAAACGATGCGTGGGGGAATTTTTTTACCAGCGGGCTATGGACAGGCTACTAGAAATGTTTGACGATCCCGATAAGGCCCTTGAATCATTGATCGTCATTAACTTATTACAGTTCTTCATGACCGTGACATTACGTGTATCCGATAGTCAAAAATGGGCCACCATCGCTTCTTTGCTCGCCTCGCATCTTCAACAAGAATATCCAGAATGCTTATCAGTAGACACTAGTTTACCATTGCATACAAGAACGAAATATGCTACTATCCAGCGTAATACGGCAGTCGCTGATGGTATTTTGGCATTTTTGGATCTTGTAACGAGGAACCGAGGAGATGATTTCATCTGTATCAAGGGCCAGTTTGATATTTTACCGGACGAACCCAAAGCGGCGAGAGGATTGCTTGATGCAATGAACCACACTATACTTTTAATGCATCATCCCGCATCTCTCATTGTTGTAAAACAAGCACGAAAAATGGCATTGGGGGAAACTGCTGAACTGAATTTTGAAGAGATTATTCGGTTTGAAGGCGTGGTAGTAGATTGGTGGCATAATTTGCCTAGTCATTTAAAGATGTGTTTGGAGCCATACAATTGTACAGCGGAATTAATAGAAAAAACTGATGAGCTACCGAAATTGATGACGATGTGTTTTTTGTATGCCTTGACGTTGGGTGTGCACGAATGTTTGATTGAGCCAACGTATAAAGTGGGGTTGGAAAATGTGAATGGTACTGTGAGAGATAGAGCGATTTATCTATCAATGGAATCGACCAGTATGCTACTTTTACTTTCTAGAAAAATTGCATTACTGGATTCTATCTGTTATTGTAAGTAGTTTGATGATCATCCATTTATCTTTTCTAAACTCAATTTAACTTTTTTTAAATAATAGCACCTGCAAACCTTCTGATTCGATCGATAGATTCGTTGATGGTCATTATAGATATTAAAGATGAGCAGTTAGCGAAACGGGCGAAAACAAGATTGGTTGAATATATGGGAGTTTTGAAAAAAAGCATATTGAACGATCATCAAGTATCATTGGCAGTTTCACCGTATTTCAATCGCTATGCATCTGCGGACAGTAATGCAACCTCTTTACCAGAATTATATAAAAATTATCCTCTACCTGCTTCGGCCTTTATTTTCGACATTATTAATTCTACCATTAACGAAAATATCGGCGATGTAGAAACATACCTGCAATCCACATAATAATATTCATTTTCAATGAGTTAGAGAATTTTTTCACCGCTAGACGTAACAATTTGTTTTTCTTCTTTTTATATATTTAAATAAACCAAAGTAGTACATATTATATTCTTTGTTCTCTGAGATCAACAGGGAGAGGGTCAGTGCAATGAGTGTAACCATGTTGGATAGACAGTGATTTTTATGATTTAGCATGGCCTTCTTCTGCTGCGCACATGCAATTAGATAATTGAGTAATTGGTGATTTATCCTTACTGGGTACGATGTAAAAGAAAAGGCGCTTTTAATACATGCCATTTAAATATAAAAATACATGATTTAAAAGAGGCAAAATAAGGAGAGCATACAACAACAACAACAACAACAGAAAAAAAAGGAGGTCAAGGGATAGCTGGCTACTGCTGCGATAATATAAAAATTAAGGGCAGGAAAAAAAAGAAAAAAAAAATAAAAAAATAAAAAAGAAGAGGAGATTATAGGAGTCCCTTCTGTTATTTGATAGTCAACAAGTATATATAGGACAAAGTTCCTAGATTTTAGTTTGAATCATAATATATATTCAGAACATCTCTTCCTCTTTTTTTTTTTTTCCTTCTCTCTCTTTTTGTTCCCTTTTTTTCTTAATAATGGCTACAAGGCAACCATCATCTTTTGATGATCTTTCAGAAATCAACAACATAACAGAAGAGCTTCTTGTATCAGCACTTCGAGATCGATTTTTACAAGACCAGATATACACTCGTGTTAGAAATTCATTACTAATCGTAGTCAATCCGTATAAAGACTCTCGTGCAGAAATTCAGGAAACAAGTGAAAGATATTTAGCGGAATACAAAAATACAGATGGTAGAGAGAAGCTACCTGCTCATATATTTCAGCATGTGAACCAGGCTTACTTTCATATGAGAAGAACTGGAAGTGATCAAACCATTGTCTTAAGGTAATATCTCTTTCTTTTTTTTATAAAAAAAAATAGATTTTTATTACACTCCCTCCTTTAACCCTTAACCCTCTTTTTCTTTTTTTAGCGGTTTATGTGGAAGTGGTAAATCAGAGATGCACCAATGGGCTTTATATCATTTAGTCACACTTAGTAATCCGAAAAAGCCATCAAAAGTGCAACAGTTAGTTCAGAAAGCTTACGGGGCTTTGGAAGCCTTTGGACACGCCAAAACAACAGTGAACGACAATGCATCAAGATTTGGAAAGTATCTGGAATTACAGTTCAGCGAACGAGGTCGTATGGTGGGAGCCAAATTTCTTGATTATATGCTTGAGAAATCGCGCGTAGCACATACCTGTGGTGATGAGCGAAATTTCCATATATTTTACTATGTTTTGCATGGCTCGACGTCTGAAGAAAAGGCCTTATTACATTTAAATGAAGCCTCCTCTTATTTATATTTATTTAAAACAAAGGAAGCTGCAAGATTAGCCGGCGGTCTGGTTTTAGAAGACACAGAAAAATATAACGAATTAAAATTACTTTTAAGGTCTTTGGGCATCAACAAAGTGACTATGCTCCAGATCACTCAAATTATTTCTGCCATTTTACACCTTGGCAATTTACAATTTATCGACGATGCGACGAATATGCAAGATTCAGCCATTGTGAAAAACACAGCCGAGTTGGACATTGCAGCTGAGCTACTTGGTGTGGAAACAAAAGCATTAGAGACCTGTCTTACCTATCAAACAAAATTAATTAAACGTGACTTGACAACCATATTTTTGAATGCGGAGCAAGCGTCTGTGCAACGAGATGCACTTGCAGAAGCACTCTATTCGCTTTTATTTGCCTGGTTGGTCGAAAGTTTCAACAAGAAGCTGTGTAAATCAGAATTTCAAAATTTCATTGGCATCATCGATTTCCCAGGGGCTACACCAGTGCTACAGAATGGGTCCTATGATCAGTTTTGCGTGCTCTATGCGAATGAAAGACTGTATCACTATATGCTACATCAATTATTTGAAAGAAATACTGAGGTGTATTCTATTTTGAATATGCCTGTTCCAGCATTTAAAGGTGTCAATGATGAATGTGTTCAACTCCTGACTGACCCTCAACAAGGTTTAATTGCCACCCTATGTCGCCAATCACTCACCACAGATCGCCCTGAACGTTGCTTAGATACATTTAGACAACATTACCGCAAAGACCCATGTTTAGGCTCAAAAACCGTCTTTGGCGAAAAGGAAGACAAATTCACCATCCAGCATTTCACGGGTACCGTTGCCTATTCTCCACTGGAATTTGGTACGAGGACTACCGAGACGTTATGTGCCGATTTTATGTCATTATTTGGAACACAGCAACGAGGCAGCATGCATGATGCACCGACCAATGGATTGGTGACAAAGCTATTTTCTCAAAAGACGATCACAACCGAACGACACCCCAAGAGTACGCACATTGTATCTGGCCAACAGTCTGCCAAGCCTCATCGATCGCCGTCAGTTAAGCGAAAGTCCACCACCGCCATCGAAAAGCCAAGCACGCCATTAACCAATAGCCGTGCGGGGCAGTTGAGTGAGGGAGTTCAAGATATTATATCGTCCCTGGGAGCGACCAAGACCTGGTTTGTACTTTGTCTTCGTTCCAACGATCTATTATTACCGCACTCATGTGACTCCAAAAAATTAACGGCCCAATCCAAACTTTTTAATTTGATGTCGCTGGTTATACGAGCCAAGCATGAATACACCATTCAAATGGATCTGCAGGAATTTTGTGATCGATATGTGGATTTGATACATGCAACGTCTGTTGATTTAGATGCTGAGCCCAGAGACAAGTGGCTAGCCTTACAAGACGCATTTCATTGGAATGAAAAAATGATGATGCAGGGTCAAGATAAGGTAAGAGCAAAAAAAAAAAAAAAATCCTGTTTTGTAAAAAAAAAAAAAAAAAAAAAGATTATTTATAAACAAACTTTAATGCATGTTGAAAATAGGTCTTTTTGACAGAGACTACATGGTCGTTTTTAGAAAACAAACTTCGAGCTATGGAAAAACGTGAACAAAGAAGAGCACGATGTATAGCAAAAGGAATACCTTTTGGTAATATACCTCTTTTTCCCCCCTCGTGCTAAATGTTTTAAGTTATCACCCAATCTAACAGTCTGTTTATTTTAGTTGACGATGATCTTTTATGCGATGACATGAGTCAAGCATGTTCACAACTTGTACCACCTTCTTGTAGATCTATCACGGAAGCAGGATCGATATATTCGGAAGAATGCTTTGACGGTTGCTTTGAGGAAGAATCTAATTCGATTTGCTCACATCAATGTGATAATAGTAGCGTAATTCAGACTACCATTACAGATGATGGAAAGCAGCAGCAGTACCGTCATCTTTTTGAAGACGAGGAATCCGAAGACATGATGCTTAAAGAAGAGCAACAAAAATCCATTGCGGAAATGTCTGAAGAAAAAGGAAAGAAGGAAAAAGAAAAAGAAAAGAAGAACAAGGACGCGCCACGAAAAACGAGCCGCTCAAGAGGGTGTTGGGTGATTATGACTTGGATGACAACGTGGTGGATTCCCAGTGTGGTCATGAATCGTCTATGTGGTATGCGTCGAGCCGATATTCGAATGGCCTGGAGAGAAAAGTTGACACTCTGTGGCTTGATTTTCTTACTGTGTGCCGTCATGATTTGGTTCATTGCTTTCTTTGGCCGTTTAGTTTGTCCCCACCAAGACTTATTTACCCAGTCTGAGTTGCAGGCTAAAAGCAGTAGAGATGATGCGTACGTTGCTATTCGTGGAGAGGTGTTTGATTTGACTTCCTTTGCGCCTCGTCATTGGGCTTCTGAAGTTATTCCAACAAATGCTTTGTTCCAATATGCTGGGCAAGACGCCAGTGATCTTTTTCCCGTTCAGGTCTCTGCTGTATGTGATGGCATTGATGGGACGGTTCCCAAAGAAGTGACCATTGATGCACATATCAATATCACCGACTCAAATGCAGTCTATCATGACTTCCGAAACTTTAGAGAAGACTCCCGACCCGATTGGTATTTTGAACAAATGGTCTATTTAAGAAGAAACTACCGTATTGGATTTATGGGTTATGATCCTGTAGACATCAAAAACCAAGCTTCCTATCCTGTTCAAATCGGTGGTATCAATGCCCAGCGACAGTGGGCAATATTACACAACAATGTGTTTGATTTGACCTCATACATGATGGGTGGCCGTGTTCCTCGTGCAGCAGATGGTGAAACCGTGCCAGCCAGCATCAACATGGATTTTATAGACAATTCGATTACTGAATTATTTAGACAATTAGCTGGTACCGATATTTCTGCTCATTTTGACGCACTTCCTCTCGACAAACAAGTGAGAGAGCGTCAATTGATCTGTATGCGAAATCTGTTTTTAGTGGGAAAGGTTGACACCCGAAACTCATTGCAATGTTTGTTCTCGGAATATCTCTTACTGCTGATTACAGGGTTTCTTTGTAGTGTCATCCTGTTCAAGTTTTTAGCAGCTTTAGGTCTAGGAAGTGAGCGTATACCCGAAGAGTATGACAAGTTTATTATTTGTCAAGTGCCCTGTTATACTGAGGGAGAAGAGTCACTTCGAAAGACTATCAATTCATTAGCAGTATTGCGTTACGACGACAAAAGAAAACTGTTGTTTATGATTGCCGATGGTATGATTGTTGGCAGTGGAAATGATAGATCTACCCCAAGAATAGTTTTAGATATATTAGGCGTGGATCCCAACATAGATCCTGAGCCAATGTCTTTTTTGGCGCTTGGTGAAGGACGAAAGCAGCATAACATGGGCAAGGTCTATTCTGGTCTCTTTGAGTGCTCGGGTCATGTGGTACCGTTTGTTGTGGTGGTGAAAGTCGGAACACCCGAAGAAAGACAAAAGCCAGGTAACCGTGGTAAACGTGATTCCCAAATGGTGTTGATGCGATTCCTAAACAAGGTTCATTTTGACTCACCGATGACCCCTCTCGAATTGGAGATCCATCATCAACTTAAAAATGTGATTGGTGTTAACCCTGGGTTTTATGAGTTTGTGCTCATGGTGGATGCAGATACAGAAGTACTTCCTGATTCTCTCAATCGCATGGTCTCATGCTTTGTTAATGATTCGAAAATTGTTGGTTTGTGTGGTGAAACCATGTTGTCTAATGAAAAAGACACTTGGGTGACTATGATTCAAGTCTACGAATATTATATTTCGCATCATTTAGCAAAGGCATTTGAGTCTCTCTTTGGATCTGTTACATGTCTTCCTGGATGTTTCTGTATGTACCGTATTCGATCTACCACGCGAAATCAACCTCTGCTTGCTTCTAACCAGGTTATTAACGATTATGCTGAAAATCATGTGGATACGTTGCACAAGAAAAACTTGCTGCATTTGGGTGAAGACAGATATCTTACCACGTTGATCCTGAAACATTTTCCTAATTACAAAACAAAGTTTACTCCCGACGCAGCATGTATGACAAATGCCCCTGATCAATGGCCAGTTTTACTATCACAACGTCGTAGATGGATCAATTCCACCGTTCATAACTTGGGTGAGCTCATGTTCTTACCACAATTATGTGGTTTCTGTTGTTTCTCGATGCGTTTTGTAGTCATGCTAGACTTGTTGAGTACTTTAGTTATGCCGGCTGTGGTTTGCTATTTAGGTTACCTTGTTTATCAGCTTTGTACAAACTCAAATCAGGTACCTCTCATGTCAATTATTACGCTGGCAGGTGTGTATGGTCTTCAAGCTATTATTTTTATACTTCGACGCAAAGTAAGTTGAATTGTTTTATTTTTTTATACTCTTTTTTTTTTAAAACTGACACGTTTTTTTTTCTTTAGTGGGAGCATGTCGGTTGGATGATTGTTTACATACTTGCTATTCCGGTGTTTTCGTTCCTGATTCCACTCTATGCATTCTGGCATTTCGACGATTTCTCTTGGGGTAACACACGTATCGTTGTTGGTGAAAAAGGTCAAAAGAAAGCTGTAGGTCCAGAAGAAGGCATATTCGATCCAGAGTCTATTCCCACCAAATGCTGGTCTGAGCATGAGCAAGATTTGATGGAAGAATGGGAGAAGGAGACGAATTGCTCCAAGCACAGCAAAGAATCCGAGTGCTCTTGTGAAAAGCATGAGGAACATGAACATGAGCAAGAGCAAGAGCTTTCACATACTCACTCACATTCACATACACATTCACGCTGTTCTTCAGCGTCTTCTTCGCCTGCTCACTCGCATTTTGCTGAAGACAATGATGAAGAAGAAGATAAAGATGTTGCATGTTCTTTATACAGTAAATGCAGTACGTCGAATCTTACGCATCATCCACAACAGCACTCTGCTGGATCCATCATGTCGCACACGCCTAGCTATAATTACGCCAGTAGTCGTCGAAGTGTTCCGAGAGTGGGAAGTATTGTTGGAGGCGGTAGCAGCATCCATACGGAGACCTTTAATAGTGCTCAAAGCTTTACAAGGGCACCGTCTGTTGCGGGGTCTCACTCATTCTTTGCAGTACCAAATGATGCAGTGATCATTCAAGAGATTGAAAGGATATTAGATCATAACGATCTTATGCAATTGACAAAAAAGCAAGTCCGTGATACATTGTCTGACATTTTTGGCATGGACATGAATTGTAGAAAGGATTTTATTAACAAATCTATTGACCAATCATTGTCACTTAGACTTTAACAAGCTAAAGTCCTATTTTAGCTTTGTCTCCCTTCTTTTTGTATTTTCTCCAAACTCCCAAATTTTTAATTCTTTTATTTTTTCAAGTAACTCATTACATAACTTTTTTCTTTCTATACAGTACTCGCCCATTGTTTGCATTCTCTTCTTTATACACTCAGCATTACTTTTTTTCTTTCCGATAATATATTCAAAGATATTATTTCCATGTATCAATTTTTTCTGTGTCCCATTTTTTTTTTCCCCCTTCAATTTTTTTTAAGCGTAACTGCAAAAAGTAAAAACATTTTAATCCGGCCATTGTGCTACAAAAGGCAATCAAGTACGTCATAGCATAGTAACTCCGAATTTATGAGCCAAAAAACTAGTATAAATGGCTTTGATCGACAGTAGTCCGATCATGCAGTGTAAACTTTCACAGGTTTTAAACTGCAAAGAAAAGACAAATGTAACCAGGTTGTAATTGGTCCAGACCAACACGTTACAAAGACTTTTTTTTTAGGATGCTCTTTTACGGTTAATACTATTTCCCAATTGGAGGTCTAAATGGAGTTGCAACTGACATAAATATAGGAAGACCCTGACTGCCCACCTTGAAATTTTTTTTTTGGGAAGGAAATTGAAAAAAAAAAGGTGAGCGGGAACAAATGAGTTATTTAATGATAAAAAGAATACAATTCTTGTTTTTTATTTTAAATGCAGATAAGGAACCAGTCCAGGAAACATATTTCTTTATCGAAAAGAGTATGTGGGGATTTGTGTATAAATTTTTGGGGGATAAATGATATTGACATCAAGTCAGAATATCATGTTTCTACCAGAGAAATATGTAGTAAAAAAAAAAAAAAGTAAATGTGAATGATATAAATTAGTTGAAAGACCAAGTGATAGGAACTCTTCCACGAGCCATATCAGCAATTTTAGCAAAGGCAGCAGGAGACAAATCCAAATCACCATAAGCACAACCAGGACAGGTATCAACAATGGTTACAATGACACTTCCATTGGGACCCTTAGCAGTAATCTTCTTACCACAGAGAGGGTTGTTGTTAGGGTTAGCACCGTTCTTCATTTGACCGTAATTCAAGGCAACAATGTAATCGCTATCTGAACTGTCATGACCACAAGAACCCATACCAGTTCCGTAGTAAGTAGCGTCACCAGAGTAGCCAGATGAGCCAGATGAAGAAGCGCTCTTCTTTTTGGTGATAGTGGGAGTGGGTTCAGCGGAAGTAGTAGTGGTAGTGGCTTTAGCGGTAGTGGTAGTAGCAGTAGCAGTAGAAGTTTGCTTGTGCTTGTGTTTCTTAGTGGTGGTAGTGGTGATTTCTTCGCTTTCTTCTTCGTAATCTTCGTTATCCTCGTTATCTTCATGATGCTTTTTGAATACATTGATTTTGAAGGGGGAGACAGATGCCAATTCTAATTGAGCGGATTCATCATTGACAATAGGAGCAGCAGATACCAAGTAAATACAAGCAACTAAAGCAATAGCAAAAAAGAGGGCGACACGAGAAGAAGTAGACATGTTTAGAAGAAAGTGGAGGAGAGATGCTTATTGTTGATGATAATGGGGAAATATAATTGTCGATCAGAAATTCCATTTCTTTTATACAAAAAGGTCAAAAGTCTAATCCCGCTCGCGTGGGCAAGTTGATCCAATGTGGCCCGATCCCCCTTATTGCAGTTCCCTCATTTTTGTCACCTAAAAAAAGAATAAAAAAAAAATTTACGGGGCCCTCAATTTTATTGGCGCTTAAAATCAAATAGCAAGATGCTTCGCCCGCATGTTGGAGCCTGGTCCTACGTTCTCATTTTTGGGTCATCTATTACAAAACCGCTTCAAGGTGCTGTGTTGCCCTATGAGTAAAAAATATATATATGTATTCAATTCAAACTTTTTGTGAGCAGTACTCTTAAAATATCACACGATGAATTTACGATATTAATTAATGAAGAAGATAAATATAGTATTTTTCAAATAAACAAGCATAATTACCATATGTTTCCTTATATTACTGTTTTCAATTTGTACAAAAAAAGGATCAAACTATCGGACATCGTATGCAATTTGTGTTCAAATATCGGCTCTGGCCCTTTTCTTTTTGCGCAGACAGTTACACGAACATGGTATACTCCCTTTCGCCCGCCAAAATAATGATCTCCTCCGAAATATTTTTGTTGGTTGCCAATATGCCGCTGAACAAAGTATCATGAAACAGGGCCAATTAATTGTAAAATGTCATGACTAGCTTCATTTGAAGGTCGCGTATAAAAAAACATTACTAATCCGCAAAGTTTTTCTGTCAATTCTTACCAAGACATTCATGAACGGGAATTCAAATTTTATGCAATCAAAAATGCCCGTCGCTGCTCATCTGCTTATGTTATCGAACAAAAAAATAGCCAGTGACAAAAAAAATGTCCTTATCCGATTAAGAAAAATGGTTATACCGACGATGCGTAAGACGAATAAGAGTCCCTTGAAACATCAGGTTTGACAATAAAAAAAACAAAGGGCCTGGACTTTAAGACGGTACACGAATTTAGTAAAAACTTACGGAACAATCAACATCAAAACAAGTAAAAAAATTTCTATTGTTTGATAGTGGCAAAAAAGCATGGTAAACATAATAGGTTAGCAGCATTTTTTTTTTCCTTCTTTTTTTTTTTATGACAGGGACTCCGATACCCACTTTTGCACCAGACAAAAACGGGTGTTTCCATCGTCGTGTAAAGAAGTCCCTTTCTTTATATTAAATCGTGAAAATTACGTTAATAAACAAGAGTACCAGCATAGCCACCTAATTTATTTTAACGCTTCTCATTGGCCCATTTAACCTAATATATGCCTGCAATTGATCATTCCTTTTTTTATTGCATGTCCTTTTTGTTTAAAAAAAGCTAATGAGTATTCAACATCAGCATGCTCAGGAACGTATCAGAGACTCTGCAATTATGTGCACGGACGACTTTTAGCCAACTAAAAAGAAGAGAAAAATGCTTTCTCCTTTGTTAGTGGCACCAAATAACTCGGGGCGTCGAATCCAGGCCTTAGCATGGTTTGTTAAAAGTCCATCGCTTTGATGGTAAATAAAACTATCATCCAATAAGATCGAGCGGAGCTGGTACCCAACCAGATCAGTGTGGATTTTTCAGTGCACATCTACCCGTTTATTTTTTAATTCAATTCAGACTATGGCCATAAGTGGCCCAGGAAAGCAAGGTCCAGAAATAAGATGTTTGTTTCTTTTTCAAATAAGAAGTAAGGCATCGAGAATGGTCGTTCATGTTACACTTTTTTACAATTATCCTCCTCTTTAATCACAGCTGCATGGAATTTGCTGGAAACGAGTAAACAAAATTCCATGAATTGTTGCTATGGTAAAAAAAAAAAAAAAAAAAAAAAAAAAAAAATCGAATTCATGGAATTTTGCTAGAGCAAATCTTAAGTGATACCTACGGTTCTTAGTGTCTATAACGGAGTATATTCGTCAAGTTTAATAACGTAACTTCTTTTATTTTTGTCGTCACTGATGAGCACCAATTTGTCAACGCCATCTTTTGTTTGTTCAAATTAAGACATGACTGATCGATCATAATATTGTTGCATAAGAGTGACAGCTACCTTTTCATTATAATTATGTATATATATAAATGAAGCTGTATAGAACGCCATATCATAAACAAATTTAGCTTCTATGGATGTAACGTATATTCACAATTATATGTGTTGATATTTTTCCATAAGATCTGTATTTTTTTACTTCTTATCACCGAAACAATCTTTGTTTTGTGGTACATAGTACAAATCCGGCAACTGTTACCATTTATCAAGTATGCCGGACGTACCGTAAAACAGATGGAATATCGCTTCTTATTTTTCGAGCCGAATAGATGTAAAATAATAATGTCATCATTACTGTAATACTTGTGATGCGGGAACCCAAACAAAGAGACGGGTGAATGTTTGTCAAACAAAACTTGATTGAAACCCTGCAAAATATTTTACGATATGATAGTATCTCGATTGCATTTTTAACACTGTATACGAATTCAATTGATACTTTCATTTCAGATGTTGCATGTAATTTCAAACTAAAAACCTGATTTAATTTTAACAGTTAAACAGTTAAGGTTTTTTAGTCAATTGTTTACGTTATGCCTTTTGGGGTTTAAACCCGCATCGGCTTTTTTGGAACATGCGTCCGTCCATTTACACCTTCCGTTCGTGTAGTGTAACGCCATCTTATATGAGACCGTCTCATTTGTCAGTCCCTTTTACAGAATTACTCGCCACCAGGTACAGCGCTATATTTTAGTGCGAAGCCAGAACTAAGCGGATTTGATCTAGGCTACAGAGAAAAACGTTGGACGGGTAACCAATCGCTTGTATAGCACCCTGTGGTGATCTAAACGGCGTTTAGAATGTCAAAATGGCCATTTTGATTGATGCGAAACAAGGCAAATAATAGGGCGGCACTTTTACTTTTATGCACATAGTTGTTTGCTTGTGATTTGCTCAGGCCCACACTTTTTAGTATTATTATAGTTTAGTGGTCGTCAACTCTTGCCTTTTCCTCCAACTTCTCATCCTCTGTGTTTTTAGAAGTGTCTTCTACGAGGTACTCATTTGTACCCTGAGCATCTCAACAGCCATCTCATCCCACTTCCATTCCATCAGTCGTAAAGTTATTGTAGTTTTCGTCTGGAATATAGTTCATGTAGTCCATTTTTATATAAAAGATGTCTAATCCGAAAGAAAGAAAATCGTCTGAAAACTTGCTTTCAAGTTCCCGACCAAAAATACTCTACTTGTTATCGATATCGACGTTTTTTTCTTGTTACCTATGATATTTCTTACTTGAAATGTTATTGACCAAGAAGCGAAATCCACTCCACTGATCGAAAACGGCGTCTTTTCTCCTTGTCGAGTCAATTATTTTTACTCATTACCAAGCATGAAGATAATACTCATTGAAACCTTCACATTAAATCATTCCGTATTTTATTTTTGTCACTCTAAAGAACAGCTAAAACATCAACATTGCTTTTGTTGGGTCAAAAAACTACCTATGTATAAACAAAGATACAACTAAACAATAAAGATTATAATTGCTCCTAAATCATAGCGATGAATAATAAATAACCGAATTGTGCTATAGAAGTACAACATACTATGGATAGCACTTTCCTACACCGTGTGGTTAGATATTGCTCTCATATTTAAGACAGAAACGAAAGTGATCTGTTGTCTTTGTGTGATAAATCCCAGGCCAAAATCAACGAAGGTGATGTAGCCATTGAGACCGGGCAGAGCAAACGCGCTATTAAATGTTTACATGATACTTTGGAAATCATCGAATCATATAAGTCCAAATATATAACGAATGATACCTCACTAGCAGCATCATCAGCAGCAGCATCATCGTTCGAAAGTGAAAAATGATCCTTTGTGGATGATTACATTTAAAGCCTTGGAAACGGAAGGACGAATTCAAATGCTTGATTGGAAGAAGCTCAACATCAAGACTTTTTTCTTGAACCTCGATGAGCCTTCAAACCCGAAGAGTGCTTATGATCGTTTGAGAAAGGACCTTTCTTTGTTCTTTGTTCTTTTTCTTTTTCTACATTGTTAAAGCCAATCTCATATGGCTTAACGTTATACAGAGGGTGATCTTTCCCAATAAATACTATCTTGTAATTGACTCTTATTTCATATTCTGTTAACACTCTTTTAACAGCATTGTTGATTATTTGTTTGTTTATTTCTTGACTTTAAATCAAAAAATTTCTCAAATCGACTACATTCTGGTGCTCACTTTCATACTACTTTCCTATTAACGTTTCGTTAATAATCATAATTTGCCCTTTCCTTTAAGAACTATTACTGGTGCCTTAACAGCAGATGATTGATAAAACAAGGACAACGAATTAAATAGAAAGCAGATAATGAATATTTATTATTCAATTCTTTACTCCCGTAATTATTAATCTTGAGGGATAATTGTCAAGAAATAACATTGAAGCATTAATATTACCAAGTAGTTACTATCATGATGAAATAAAAAATCAGAGGAGGGGAACTCCTAACCATTTGCTCGTTTAGTAATCAGTATCTGCATATAATAATAATGATAGATTTATAAAACCCTTAGTCCCGACGTTTATATATTGATAGTGTACTTTCTACGTCTCAGTCCTGTAAATGATGGGTATTCAATTGTACATCATATTTAGCAAAGCAGTTTTTTTTTTTTAATAAAAAAAAGATGATCAGACAACTGTGATGCTTGCCTAACCCGGATCACTACCACAACGTGAGTTTACAACAGTAATGCATTTAATTTCAACACTCCCTGCAAATTAAGGAGTGTATAAATGATTAACGAGCAAAGAAAGGCCAAACATTTCAAGTCCGATTCTTGACAGTGAGGAATGCAAAAATGTCGACATAAAAAAGCTAAAAAGAGTTGCACTTTATTTTATAGTGGTATAAAAGGTTTAGATTGAATAAAACATATGAAGCAGTATCCGGTAACACAATGACCCTCATCCGGAACGTGACCTTGTTCAATGTTCGTTTTTCTTATATTTACATGAATTGATGGAATAACTTTCGACATTGCATCTTGGTTTCAGCAACTTGGTGCATCAACATTGCGTGCTTTTGGTTACATTTATCAATATAATCCATAACTTCAATGTATTCCATGACGTTGGTTGACTTTGGTACAGTTTTTGGTTTGTTTTCAATAAAGTTCACCTGTTGGTCTCCAATCAAGTCTTCAAATTTAATATTCACTTCCATTGGGCTAGTTTTAGTATTCACTTTTATTTTATGTAGTTTATCTTGTTTGTCGTCCAAATCGATTAAGTCAACTTCTCTGTTAATGTCATAAAAGTATATAATGGGGTTGTTAATGTCAGCTGTCTTTGTTAAAAAGCTCATTTTAAAAAAATTTATCGGTTTTTGATTTACGCAAAAAAAAAAAAAAAAAAAAAAGCCTCTTCTCAGCCATTGTAAAGATATAAGATGAAAATGTTGTCAGTGATTGCGCACTGTTGTAATAATTAAGTAATTTTTTTTATTAAGAGATATATTAGACGGGTGGTTGGTAATAAACGGGTGGTGGTGATTGAGGTTTGTCCATTGATGGGAGCGGAGTAGATGGTCTACGATTATCAAATGATGGACTCTCACTATTTTTTAGAGCAATCATTTGATCGGGGCTGTCAATCATGATAAAATTATGCCACAGCTTGTTTCGAGTATCATCATCTTTTTTTCTATAGGCAATAATAATAACAGTAATAATGGCGACGGATAGTAAAATACATAGTATAATTAAGAGAATTTCTTCTGTAGTGTTTAATTTTATTTCTGCCATCTTTTGTTGGAGTAAGAGAGGAAAGAAAGAAGAGAAAGAAAAAAAAGTGGGTTTTTGTAAGCATATCTCCTTGACTCCCTTTCAGTTTAATAAATCCATTTTATCCATTGCCTCTATTAACACATCCTCTCTTATAGATTTCGAAACGGATATAATCTATTCCCTAATTGTCAGATCACATCATAAATTATCATAAAAGACTTACATTTGTGTATTTTTCCAAATCCTTTCTTAAATGCTCCTGCTTATATTTTACCTGTTTTGCCAAACTTGCATATTTTTCTAATAGTAATTCATTTTCATTTTTGATCTACCAGCTAAAAAGTTAAAAGAAACACACAAAAAACTCCTTAGATTCTCCTTACTCTCTCAAATTCTACACGCAATTTTCCTCCCTCCTTTACTTTCTCTTTACAGCTCACTCCTCTCATTACTTGTTCTGGTGTAGTCACTACTCTATTATTCTTCTTAGTTTTTTCTTTTTTTCTATAAATGTCTGTTTTATGTACCTTTCGTTAACCGGAGATCTTTTTTTAGCTTCTTGTATTGTTTTATCAAATTTTTCCATATTTGTAGTAATCTTCATTTTTTCAAGGTCTTCCTGTACTAATTTCTATTCAAACTACAATTAATTCTATTTCTTGTACTACTGGTATCTGCATTACCTTTAACTCTGCGGCCATATACGCTTGTCCTTGCGCAAGCGCCCCCCTTATATCGTTATCATTTAGTTTAGTTTTGCGTGCGTTTAATTCGGCTTCTAAGGTATCTAGACTGTGTTAAACTGTCAACTCTCGTCCCTTCCCTCCTTTGTTTATCTTTTTAAGAAAAAATTCGGCTCTTACGATAAATGTTTTGCGGTAAGATTGATCCATTTAGTTGCAAGTAAGTTAAATTTAACTTCTGTTGACTGAGATTCCTGTCCATTTTGTTTTGGTTTGGCTACATGCTGCTCATCCATCGTTTATGAAATATATTAAAATGTAAACTATAGAAGAAGAAAAAATATAAAAAGGGGAAAGGACTCTTTCGTGACTTTGTTATTTGAAAAAGTGAAATATTCCATTTCCTAATTGTGATACTATCAGAAACATCATAATGCAGACACCTTTTTCTCGTAAAAAAAAAATATGGCTTTATACGTCTCAAATGAAAGTAACTACTATCAAGAGCGAATCAGGTGGGGCTGAGTAGTGACAGTCATGTAAGACAAATAGGTAACAACAACAAAAAGGTGTCAATCATTCTTATAACTGTGGAGAATGAATATTGCCTCAATAAGATGCTCTAACAAGTAAGCAATCTTTTTTATACATATATAATGTTATAAGTATAAGTTCGCTTTCTAGGTGAAAGCATTATTTGGATGGCCCACATGCTTGAGCAGGTCAGCGAAGCGGACTAAGCGTTTAGCTAAATTCAATCTGCGCATATCTTTTCTCCTCTTCAAACCGAGCAAGAAGGATATCGCGACCTACTCTTACTAAAATGATCCGTCCACACCTACATATCCTTCAAAGGATGTCAAAGGCGATGAAACTCCGGTAGAGACCTGTGAATATAGACTTCATCTACCTTGTGGTTGACATTATGTTCCTTGAACCTGAATAGTAGTGCTAACTAAAGCCGCGGCCGTAATGATACGCGACTTTTTCATTCGTAAGAGAAACAGGTGGTTTCTTGAAAAAGCAAAAGGCAACACTAACTAACCTTTTCATGATACCTTTAATTACCTTCATAAAAAAGTTTGCTTATAAATAAATATACAACAAGGGTAACCGATCGAGTTTTATTTATAAACTGATATACAAGAACTGATTTCTGTCAGGATGGTAAGATTCGTTATATAATTTCGCATAATGCTTGAGCCTTTATTTAAGATAGAAATGTTTGTAAAAAGCCACGTACAGATATTGGTCAATTATAAATTGCAAATAATCACTTGAATAGGCGTATTTTTTAAACATGTGTGTAGACTTAATTTATCTTTGCAGCAATAATATTGTAAATTTCACAAATCGGCCAAATCGAAATAATTGATGATCATCATACTTTTGGTGAAACCAGTCGATTGTTAGCCTTTTCGTAAAAATTATTTATTTAATACAGCATGCACATTACCCAAGTGCAGATATCATCTATGGAAGAAAATATAAAATGACGAGAACAGTCATCCTTTTCAGACTATGGCGTAATGGTGATGTACATGATTAAGCGCAATTCGGCTGTTTAAAAATTTATCAAGTAAAAAGACCACAACTTTTTTTTGTTGTTGTATTACTTCTTTAACTAAAAGAGTTTTTAATGACAATAGAATACCCCATTGCAGTTTCCATACTCGCCTCCTACTTCGTACTAATTGCTGGGCTCACTTGGCGAGTAGCACCCGATATAAAGCATAGCATTAAAAACCATTCGCTAGGTGTCATTATTTTTTTATGTCTCGCTGTTGTTTCCTTCATTGCCACATGGACGTACATGTTTAAGTTTTTCTTACACAGTTACATGGAGTGGAAGGCATTAGCTAACTACAAATACGACAATGTCAGTTTCTCGCTTTTAAATTCCATTTCTTATTGGTTACATGACGTGTCACTTTTCGATAGTGCTTGGAGACAGGTATGTGTTGGTGCCTGGCAATGGTTATGGAGCCATCAATTATGCAGTTTGACTGTTGCTGTTTGGACACCTATTTTAGCGATTGAAGGTATGTAGAGACATAAATCACGATATCTTGCGGTTGATTAATGGGCTTATATAGGGTCAAGACGCCGTATTCCCTATGTTTGGGCTTACATGATTTTAGGCCAAGTGGTCGCGATTTCAGTTGCTTCTTCCTTATTCTTTGCAGTCATGCTGGTTTACCCATCAGGTTTCCACCAGAACGTATCTAAGAAATTACTTTGGACCTTAGGAGCATCTACTGTAGGTGGTATCATTACAGTGATAATTTCACCATACGTTGCATCAACAAGTGGATTCATGCCAAATCTTTTGGTGATGCATATTCTATTAATATTCCCTTTGGCCTCCAAGAAATTTATTTACATGCCACAATTCGGTTCAATTTCAACACCTTTAATCATCATTACACTCTATACATTCGCAGCTGGAGCCAACCTTTCCATCTATATCAACCAATGGTTAACTTGTTTGGCAACACTCGAGGTTAAATCCGGTAGCTTTATCTGTGATGTATATACTGCCTTAATTGGAACTTTCTTTGGACATCCCGCTCAAACCAGTATCAGTTACGATATCGTGTGTATGCAAGTCATCTCAGTAGCATGGATGCTAATTAGTAGCAAGATCCGTGACAAAGAAATTCCCTCATGGGTTTTAGGCTTGGTGCTTTTGACACCTGTACTTTCTGCATCTGTTACTTTGCCTCTCTTCTTTGCAGGTTGCGAATATAGAAATGTTCTCAAAAATGATTAATAAATAGGGATTTGATCCTCCCCCTTTTTTTTTTTATGAATGTTGTGCAATGAATATAAGTATTTTTTTTAAATGGTAGTGAATAATCTCCAGACACCTTGAGCATATTGAACAATTTCGGACATACCCATCTTACTCTCACCATAAACGCGATCAACAAAAGTGATGGGTACTTCACCAACTGTATAATTGAATTGTCTGGCTCTAACAATCATCTCCATTTGGAAAACATAGCCCTTAGCGATAGTTGCATTAATCAATTGGTAAAGGACATCCTTCTTGTAAAGACTATAAAAATCGTTAGCATACCTGCCCCGATCTTTTTTTGAACGTGTAACATACCGGAAACTACCAGTAAGATCTGATGCGTTGGGACGGAGCATAAGTGTAGCTAAGAAATTTGCTCCACGACTTTTTCAAATAAGATTGCATCAATTTAACATGCTCATACTACAATTGTCTCGTCTTACCTGACAAGTTTACGCTTTAAATCCCAACCATAAACACCACCACCGGTCTTATAACGAGTTCCACTGACAATGTCAAAGTTGTTTTCTTGTTGTAACCTAATAATCCAGACAATTAATAACTAAAGACAAAGACACGATTTAATCCACTTACTTGATCATCTGAGGAATGAATTTAGGCTATGTATCGATACAGGAGTTAGCACATGTATTAGTATATACGTAAAACTTCTTACGTGATGAGAAAAGTCAGCATCCATAATAATGATATGAGTACCGGTGGCAAATTGGAGGCCGTGGACATAGGCAGTACCCAAACCAAGTTTACCTGCACGAGGTTTTAATTGCTAAATTAGAATCGTCAGTATCCAGGCGTAAAAGTAGACAGACAAAAATATACTTTACAATACGGTCTTCACCGTAAATTTTGATGAGTTCCTTTGCAACGTCTTGGGTTCCATCAGGACTATTGTCATCGACAATAATAATTTCCCAATCAATGGCTTGTTCCTTGAAAGTCTTTGCAAGAAGCCAAGTGATAATGGGTAAATTTTCGCGTTCTTGGTAAGTAGGGAGGATAACGGTGTACTTGTTTTGAGTCATATTGGTGTCTTGTACGTTTAAAACTGCGTGTTCGTATACGTTGTCAATGGTCATTAAAAAGAGGAGGAAGAAGAGTGTTGGACACTTTCTATTTTTTTTATATATTCAAAAGACGCTGTTTAGACAACCAATCATAACAAACGTCGTATACAAATAAAATGTGTCTAAATATGAGGATATCGTCTGTCAAACTTTATTTAGCGGGATACATATACGCAGGAAAACGAAGGGGATGAGGTACAGTCTAATAGTACGCTAAATCATCATCATCGTTATCAGCATCATTTTTAGTGACAAAGATACTCGCAATAGGGGCATTTTCAGCAATCTTTGTAGCGATAAATATACCATCTGCGGCAACATCGGTTCTTCTCTTTTTAATTATATCCGATAAGTCTTCTATTTGACCTCTTTTAAATTCTGTTCTTGGTAGTGTGTCGTGTTCCAAGGAATAAAGTGGATGTGACTCCTCCAAAGGCTCTTTTCCAAATATGTCAAAATCTTTACCTTGGTATATTGTTGTTGAACTGTTAACCATTTTTCGTTTATCTTTCAGAAATAGTAACTCATTGATCTTTGGTTCATCTTTGGTGATTTTGTACATGTCCACCAAATGCCTGTCTCTCTTTTTCCACATTTAACCAAAAAATAAATAAAAATAAAAGTGACAAAGGGAGAGCGAAAAATAAATAAAAAACTTTTTTCACTGATTAAGGTATCTACACCTATTTTAATATTGCCCCATCATTATTTTCCTAGCTGTTTACACAGGATATTAGTAGGCATAATCTCTCAAAATTTACTTTTAGCAGTACAAAGCGTCTGTTGTTTTCATGTCAAGTATTCTTATTTCATCATCCTTGACAATTGCATATTGCCTTAAAGGCAGGACTCGCCCATGTGTCGTCAAATCACCGCAATCACTGTATAGTACGTATTCTCTATAAGATGGTTTGGATATGATCCCCTCTGCATACTTGTTAGTTATCATTATTTGTAAGAAGTGAAATCACTTACGATCATTCTTAAACAATTGAAATACGGATGCCCTTTCATCTCCTTCTTTTACAATGGATTGATCATGTAGCAGTAATTGGTCTACCAACTCGTATTGCCTAGGTAACTAACAAATTATTCTTGGTATATGTACGTACGGCTTTTGAATTTAGTTGTTTACTTTGCGTAATAACGATATCGCGTGACAAATCATGGATTCTTGTTGACGTATATTACTAATCACACCATCAAAGGTTTTTTTCCCGCGGCTTTTTGTACAGTTTAGTGTGTTATTTCATATGCGCATTTAGGAATACATACCGGAGGTCCTCCCATGCAAATTCAGATAATTCAGTGCCTAAACGGGCTATTCCGTTCGTTACATTTTCACTGTATCTAGTAATTGGGTGCGTCGAAAGAGTATCATAAGCTATTAATCCTAGAGTTGGTAACATTCTAAAAAAAAAAAAAAAATCAGTAAAAATCATCCTTATTTAGGTTTGGTTTATCGACATTACATTGAAAAAAAATCATATACTGATGTGGTTTCCAAAAAATAAAGCCCCTTTTCTGCTTCAACAGATATGTTGAAAAGCGGCTTTTGACGTGAGCATGGTATTCTACGGGAGCATTTCCATAACTCTTGCCAGATATTACTTGGTTCAGACATTCTTGCACTAAGATGCCCTCCTTCTTCACCATCATCTACTACCCAATCTTTGGGTGAGTGCCACCTCACAAAATCTTCCAAACAAGCAAAGGGATTGGCGGCTTTGAACGCTTGCATATCTGAATAGAGCTGCGCTGATTGTAATTTAGCTCGTTGTTGAGTGGCATTTTCAGATGTACCCAAACTCTCAAATACATTGGCTTGTTCGTGGATCATATCTTCTGTCATAAATCCAGGATCCTGCGTGATTGGAATTTGCATAACCTCACCAGTTTTCAGTAGTTTCAAGGTATCATGTTTGTGCGATTGACCTTCTGATAGCTTAGGATCTTTGATGGTTGCTGCCTCTGCTTCCAATTCATCCGCGATATTTGATGCGGGTATGTAAGGTAAACTAACGAATGATTCTGCCATGGCGTTATTAGGTATTATCAAGGACGATGACGCTGAATCCTGTTTACTGGCGCTACTAACAGATTCTTCCTCCACTGCATCTAAAAATATATCACTATCGTCTGATTCAGCATCCTCAATATCTGATGGCTCAAAAGAGACAGAATCCTAATGGAGAGGTTAATAACACCAAAGTCTACCTGGAAAGAAAAGCTTACATTGATAGCAGACTCCGAAAGACTACCATCCACAAAATTTTCCAACATGGTTTGGAATTTTGATGATTTTGACTGACACTCATGTTCGCTTGAAATGTTATCGAATAAATCGGAAGGATGTCTAACTGGCTTTGTATCATAGTTCTTTGTATTTCCATTTTGGGGCAGGTTTTGTAATTTACGGATAATACAACAATTCACCATAGATATTTTTTGATGCAACTAGACCAAAAAAAAAAAAACAGTTAACTAACTTGAAGTATCAAACAAAGAAAGAAAATTTTTACAATGTTATAACGCAGATCAATGCCTAGTGAGCTACTTTGGTCCATATTTGTAGTGGAATCATAAAGATATGGATCCAAGTCAGGTATGGGTACCAAATTTTCCCAATGCCAACGAATCTTTCTCAGCACCTCCAACCAGATAATCTTTAAAAAGCCTAAAAAGTTTGAAGCGTTCTGCTTTTTCCCATTTTCCGATGTCGGTGAAGCCTCCTCAAGTGTATATAACATCAAATTCCATAAAAATGAGCGATAAGGTACAGAAGATCCAGTTTTCAATCGTAAACATAATTGCTTTGTTGATAAAAATCCTTTTGTGGCAGTTTCTTCTTCAATGGGCGATTGCATCGATTCAAACAATGCATTGATTACGTTATCCACCTGATCTGATTTAAAAAAATTGACTTGCTGGTCTCCGCTTCCCATTGTATGACTATTTGCTGGTGCAAATAAGTTTCGCATTAAACTAATACTTTCGCTGATTGAGTCATCGTTACTATCATCATATGATGCGATATAGTCCTTATTTGAAGGATCTTTATTCCACGAACCAATCGCTTGTTCTAACAGGGTGGATAGGTAGGCTCTTTGTTGAGATTTGGGTGCAAGTTCGCGTGATATCTGCCATTGCTTTGCTGTTAGCGCATCCATATTGGTTTGATACGCATCATCAAACAAAGTGTCTTGAGATAAAGGAAATAATGCACTTAATGTCAGGGACCTGAGGGGATCGTTTAAAGATCCAAATTGTAATTGATGTACTTCAGGTTCGTACAACTGTTGTACACTTTGCTTTTTTTCTGACATAGTTGTATCGTCATCATCATCATCTCCCCAAGATTCGAAATCATCACTAAAGCTTAATTTTCGCTTTACCACTGGCTTTGGTTCCTCCCAGATTTTCCAATTTTCGTCAAACCAATTTTTCAGGCTATATGTGTATACAGCTGACACCTTAAAGTTCTCAATCATATCACCTGGTTTGCCTATATATAAATTATATGAATTAATATATAATGATGTATAAATGAGTACATGACTAACCATATTCTTCTCGATGGACACAAAGTTGTTGCAAAAACAGGGTTTTTAATCCGTCCAAATAAGAAAGTTGCGAGCTTGGTGGAGTTGTGACAGACATGTTGAACCTTACTTCTGTTTCAGTCAATGCGTCATTTGTATTAGAATTGAGCATATATCCCATATACATGCCATATCTACTATGTCCCGTTGGTACGAATACAGGTACTTTACAACCCACATTTTGAAAAGCGATGGCGCATGCAGAGATGATTTGTTTTGCCTGCATCATATCTACGGTAGACTTCCCTCCATGATTTAAAATTTTCTTCTTCAGCGAGTCATTATTTGGTTCCATAATTAAAATCCTATCCTGTCCTGTCCATCGATGCAACGGGTGATACTGTTGATGACCAAAATAGTAAAAATAATCAGCGGCCAAAGGAAATCTTTCCTGGTGGTCACCTTGCAAAGGATGAAGATGGTAAGTGAAATGAAAGGAATCGTCTCCCATAATAAGCGTTTCTCGTCTGGTAAATTCTAATGCTGAGGGATGACTAATGGCAGCTCCATGGTTTTCTAATTGTTGGTTGGAAAATATTCCATAGGACCCATCTTTTACCCCCCACGAATAGAGTGTTTCTTCAATCATGGTGACAAATTTTTCAAAATCAGTGACTGAAGTAAAGTCCACAAACATATAGCGTGAAATGTCATCACTGCAGTTGGAGCTCTGTCGCCGTTTTGTTGTCATTTCGTTCTTTTGTGTAGCGTGTTTGAACCAAAAACAAAAAACAAAAACAAAAAAATGCAGGTTTGCAATTTAAATTACTTTAAATTCAGACAATGGTCAGACAAACTATAAAGTGTTTTCAGACAGATGCACAGCAATAAAATGATATTCAGACAAATGCAAAATATTTACAGAAAAGTGTAAAAAAGATATTCGAACAAAGACTTGATTGATGATAAGATACATACCTAGATCACTTCTGTCACAAGGCATCTAAAGTGGAAGTCATATTTATTTTGACCAGCGCTTCACAATTGGCAGGAACAAAAGTTATACACTTTTACGCAAAGTGTATAGATCAGACGAGCTTTATGAGGAGACATAGCGCTGTTTGCTTGTGAAAAAATAGTTTTTACAACTCGGAGACGACGATGAAGTCATTATGTAGCAATTTTTAATACGCGTTATGCTTAACAATTATGTTTTTCATTTAGAAACAATAGTATCGATTAACAATTGAGAATACCTGAACGGGAAAGAGTTGCACAAGTATTAGTAACAAAGCACTTTTTTTGTAGACATACAATGGCTGTTCTCTAAAGAACTTGGGGAATCTGAAGTGTGGTGGTCACAAAATCCACCGGATAGTAAACTACAACAACTGTGATATCTTTTGAAACCGAGACGTCTTTGGATCGAAACATATGTTCACTATTGCTTCCTCTATTTGGAGTGGTAATGGGTCTCCAAGTGTCTTTCAAAGACAAAGCGCCGTCTCCAATGTGGTTGATGCACCATCATCGGTGACGGCTTAAAGATAACTGCAGGTAAACCAAATTTATCTCTTCCAAACCTGATCGAAAACTGATTTCACATATGTCTGAATCTCCATTTTATTTCGTCTGAAAATGGTAAATCAACGTCTGAAAAAAAAACTAACATTATCTGAATTTAAAGCGTGAAAACTTCACATCACTTTATGTCACAAGCTGTTTGTGTCACATCCGGATGGGTGTATGTAGCATTTGCTTATGCAATTGTTTGGATCTTTTTTTACGTGATTACCCTTTTTTTTTGTTTTATTTTCTTTAAATTATCAACAATGTCGATAGGAAAGAGTACTGTTGCTATTCTATCGATTCTTTTAATCTCAAAATGTATAACCTACGCTTGGTCCAATGCACACGACATCTCGTCCCATACACTCGTGAGACGGGATCAACAGTTCAAGGTAGACGACTCGAAAAAAAGAAAAAGAGCTTCATGGCATTGAATTACTAAAAAGGATATATATATATAAAAGTGTGATAATATTTATTTACAACAAGATCAATGTGGTTATGTTCTGGAACATTGTATGGATGCCACTCCTGGATTATTCAACTACATTCAACTGTATTACTGTTCCTCGTTTCGCCCATTAGTGTTTATCTTTATGGTAAAAAGCTTACAACGACAAAAACAAAAGGAATTTAGTATTGAATTTAATCGTTTAAATAGTGTGGATGGTTACTGTTCTTATTTGGATTTGTTGGTATCGCAGCTTCAGATTTCTTTTGTAAGGAACTAATAATTAGGACGGGATATTTATGGTTTTCTAATTGTGGGGTTAAATAGGTCCTAATTTACAAACAATTGCTTCTGCATTGCATTTATCTGAAAGTTTGGTAAATCAACAACACCCAAAGCAAACCACGCATTAATAGACTCAATCCCATTTTTCCTTATTAGACGGGTGTCACTTTTTTGGCTTTAGGCAACGGCAGTCCAGATCTTTTTTCAACATTTAGTGCCATGCATTCCAATTTAGGCTCGCTGGCCTTGGGGGAATTAATTGGAGCTGCTGCCTTTATTGTCAGCGTCGTAGCAGGGTATTTAAAAAACAAAGAGTAGGTTCTTGAAGGGATTTATGACTAAAAAAAAATCTGCGGTTTAGATCCATGTGTGCTATTAAACCATTCCGAGCGAAGAAGTTCAGTTTTATTCGAGATGTGTCATTCTTCACTTGTGCCATCATACTGGTCATGGTCATTGTATCAGACGGTTTGATTCACTTGTATGAATCCATCATTCTCATCCTATTCTATGTCGTCTACGTACTCGTTGTTGTAGGAGGAAATTACTATATGAAGAAACGCTCCAACTATTTAAATCTGGTAGAACGCGCTCGATTGGAATATGAAGAAAATGGAACAGATGTGGATATTCTATTAGGTGGCAATGATACCAATGGTAAAGTTACAATAAAAAAAGAGTACCGGAGGTCGTTTCTTATATTTGCATTTAGACACGGATATGATGATACATGATGACGAAATGGAACTTTATGACGAAGGCTTTGAAACGGAAGGATATCAAGATTTCAATCATCAAAGAAATGGCGTGCATCCAAAATTAAGAATTCGAACATCCTTGTTTTCCGCCATTGAAGTAAAGTAATCCTAACCATATATTAACCTACTCACACTCACTCACACACAAAAGTTTCAAGATGTAGTTCAATCATTGAAAAGTACAAGCACGAGGTTTAATACAACACGTCGTCGTAACAGATCTTTACCCACACAGCAACATTTCCCTTCACGAACTTCCAATTACGAAGATTATACGGATGAACTCTCCTTGCATACAGCAGATAGTCAGCATGGCGTACCCACCGTTACCTCCAACACTCAAAAAATAACCGCCCTTTTCGACCAATTCTTTAGTTCGAGTAAGAGACGTTATATGCGACACCAAATTCAAAAGCACTTGTTCCCTTCTTTCATCGGCTTTCGTAAAAAATCTATCTTTAGTAAAACAAGTTCGGTACTTTCCGCTCCCGTCTTTTTCTTATTAGCAATCACTTTACCCGTCGTTAAAGAAAATGCTCTCTCCAGCCATGCCTCTGTAGAATTAAATGACGATACCGCACAACTGTTACAGGATTACAATGATAATGAGGATCAACAAAATGATATACTCCTCATGAATGCCGCAGAAGATGCTACCTGGTTAAAATGGCTCACTGCAGTCCAACTCGTCGGAGCTCCTACTTTGATCTCCTTTGTCTTGATCTCTCAACATGTCGTTTCCCCTGCGATCGTCTTGCCCGTTGCTTTCCTTTCTTCCGCTGCTCTTTCCCTATCTTTTTGGTTCACCACAAAATCAACTAAACAACCAAGATTGTATTGGATGATGTGTTTTATTGGTTTTGCCATAGCCGTTGTCTGGATCTTTTTAATCGCTAATGAAGTCGTCAGTGTCTTGCAAGCTATTGGTATGGCTGTTGGTGCGAGTGAAGCCATCTTGGGCTTAACCATCTTTGCCTTGGTAATTGTTTATATATATATATATTTATATGTAGGCCAGTTTGCTTATATCTCCATCTTTATTTCATTCGGTAGGGTAACAGCTTGGGTGATTTTGTTGCTAACGTAACCATGGCTAAAATGGGATACCCATTAATGGCCATGAGTGCTTGTTTTGGAGGACCAATGTTAAGTATGTATTCTTTCTTTTTTTTTTCATACACGTACATATATATTAAAAAAAGATACTGATGCTTGTAATGACTAGATATTATGCTGGGTGTTGGTATTGGCGCTACCTATGTGACATCACAAAGAAATGAGCCTTACGCTATCGATGTATCTAAAACCATTGTTGTCACAGCTGTGGGGTTATTGGTCGTGCTAATTTCTTCCTTGATTCTTGTACCTCTAAACGGTTACAGAATGTCTAGAGGGTTTGGATACAGTTGGATTGCTATTTATTTGATATGTACCACAATCAATCTATATATTGAAATCATGTCCTAGTTTTTTAGTGTTAAAAAACACTATTATTTTTTATACATATACCTTATTACTCTCAATTTACTGAATTTTGAAAAGTCCGCCCGCTTTTTTTGACATTTGTGTGAGGTTAAATTGCCCATAATAATGAGATCAATTTGACCAGGTGTTTGAAGTTAGTTTGCCCAGCTTTTTGAGAATAGATTCACCACCATTTTCAATCAAGTTGTCCAATTTTTTTAGCCAATCATCATAAACAACATTCGTAAAAATGAACTTCTTTTATGGAGATGGAAAATGTGGTATTGTGGATGAATCTGGCGAGGAAGCAAGTACTTCCGTCATTTCGATTAAGAAACTTGACAGTTTTAACTAGTATACTAAAGCCAAAAATCTTCCTTATTGAGAAAAAAAGCTCAGAAGGTCTCACTGGCAAAAAGCATGTTGCTTCTCTTTCATGTATAGTTTCTGTCGTATTTGAAGAAGGTTATACGAATACAAATACTCGGGTGTGAAGAGATAAGAGTTCTAGCTATTCAGCACATGCTCTACAAAACACGAATGGAGTTAAATAGTATTCGTTGAGCATAGTTTTGAGCAGCAATACTCACATACACAGTGTTACATTATTACTGTATATTAATACACCTTTATTGATACAAAAATAAGACTGCATTCGCTAGATAGCTACGATTCACCTTTTGATGAAAATGATATCAGCTATGCTACTGGATTTCAGTACTAGTGAAATAGCACAATAGAAATATATGCTTCGAGAATTATCAAGGAATACATACAATGTCATGCAAATTTTTAAATACATTTTCTTTAATCACACGCGAGTGCTTGTTGTAACAAGAAAGTGCCAAGTGTGACGCATCATAGTTTTAATATCTTTGAGAACCTCTCATGCTCTTTTTATTCAGTATAATAATCTTATGCACTTTTTTGAACACACCAACACTTCAAACATATTTTTATCTACAACATAGCCAGTTTCATAATACATATCTTTTTATTTCCTATAGACTAACTTAATAATAATCATATTTTTGTTCTTGAGCATAAAGATTACTTGGTTCTGGTGGCGGTGGGGGTTTTTGCTGTACGAGGAGGGTTCCATGAACCACGAATCCAAGTTTGCTTGGTAGATATAGCATCATCAATAGGTTCGGGAGCTGAACGTTTCGCCGACTTTTGATGACCACGGGATGCTGCGAGATGATTATCATAAATATTGTGGATTTCGATACATCGATCTCTAAAACACAATAAATTGAATGCTAGGTTCATATACTGATCAAGCGAATTCAATGAAGCATCGACGCACTAAGGCAGAAAAAATGACAGTTATCAGCCTTTTACTTCACAAATCTGTCATTTTTTCGGCGTGCAAAAATGGCAGATCTGATATTCCATAACAGCAAAAGTGGCACAGCTGCCATTTTTTTTTTTTGGCTGGAAAAAATGGCAGCTTTCCCAGTCGAGTGAAGCTCAAAAAAATGGTGCTGGGCCTGGTCAAAAGGTGGTGCTCTTGCGTTGCAGAGAGATCTTACACCGAATCTGATCAATGGAATGGAGGGGTAAGTCGATATACTAAATTATGAGGAATTCAGTTATTTAACAGAAATATATTACCTTCGACAGCTACTTTGCGACTTGGCACACGTATCTTCTGAAGCAAGTCAATTTGAAGAACACCTCTCGGAGCGTGTTTTGTCCAGTCCAACATTACTTGATTCACGTTCCACACATAATTAAGCAGCAGGATCCCTTAAGGAGTAATTCTGCAAGATCCATGGACAGAGTGATTGGTGTAGACTCCATGCTGATCAAATCAAGAAGAATAGGCGGTAGAAATGCAAGTATGCCTATCGAAAGATCTGCAATTCATAATTTCATCAACGTCATTATCGATATTACAATGGAAATTGATTCGATTGAACCGGCCGGACCAGGTGACATCGATTTCATGGATCTTCCTGACAGCCTGAATGAGGTGCAGCTTTGGGCTCCGCTTGGTGTTAAAGCCTATCCGGATGGTGAGCTGGTAGAAGGTATTAGATGTGGCCGAGTAAAGGATGCCCTATTTCAATATTACCGAAGATCTAGTGGTGTTAATGCTGCTACTTCTTTCGGCAATTCTGAAGTTTTCATTGCTTCTCGTGCTTTGATAAACAACACTGATTACTCCTTCAGTATGTACCGAAGACGAAGGAACGAAATTAGTCGGGGAAACCATTACGTGATGCTCACCACCAGCTACAAAAAGTAAGTTGTTTCCTATTTCTCATTGAGTTAGCTTCTCACTCCTTTTTTCTTTTTCTATTTTTACCTTAGCCAATTTCACGTTTCACATCGCTGTTGGCTTGTAGGTGCCGTTCAGTTTTTTTAAGCATGTTGACTTCAATGATATCCCCCAGTTTTTGGCACTGGTCGAAGTTATGAAACACCACAACGTGGCCCGACACGACAAGTCTGTTCCAATTGTCAAGGCTCGTTCAGACTCAGCCCTAGTAACATTCGGGAAATGTCTAGACCTCCGTATTTTTTTCAAATATATTTTTTTTATACCACTTACAGCAATTCTGGTTAAGAACAGCAGGCCAGTATGAACAGAACCATTCACAGTGAAATACCACTGTTATTCCCAGTCTGTGAGTTTCAAAACCCAAGAACCCTGCCTAGAAGGTCGCCCTCCTATAGCAAAGACTAGCCGTAGCCGCAATATTGCTGCAATATATCTTTTTTGGATTTAACGTCTTTTGAAAGAAACAAGAGTCATTGCTAACTAACCTTTTTTAATTTATCGGTTACTTTCATACTATAGTAGAAGTATGTTAAGGTAAAAAAAAGGGGGGAAGAATAAAGTGTGTGAACCAGTTTTATTTGTAGGCTGATAAACAAGAGCTTATGTCAGAATGATTTGATTGATTGTTTCATCATTTATAATGTTTGGGCCTTTACTTAAAATAGAGACACATCCAAAAAATCCCTTAAGAAAATCAAAACTTGGTAGTTGTATATCTGCGTTTCAGTAGTAGCTTGTAATGACAGTGCAACAGATTTTATGACAAACAGAAATAAGTCATCCTATGAAGTTTAGACGATATGGCATGTCAATTGACGTGTAGACCTTCACGTGATTCTAAAAAATACGTTCGACATCTACGTCTTTTTTTTTACGTACTTTTTTTTATACGGCAATTTATTTTCTACCTACTTTTCTATGCGCCTGTTTTCTAGTATTTGAAGGCTCAAACATATGGGTGATTAAATATACAATTAAATCATCCTGACGTAAGCCAGCTCTTGTTTATCAGTTTATAAATAAAAGTCACTTCTGGTTAAATAGATAAATAAAAACAATTCAATTATTTTTTCCTTCCCTTCTTCTCTTCATTCTTTTCTTTTTTATTCTTATGCTGTATAACACCATCTTTTTAAAGAGATATATTAAATATTGGGAAAAGGTTAGTTAATAACAATTTCTGTTTTCTATAAAAACACTAAAATATTACCTTTTTTAAGAGAAAAAAGAATAGACTCCCATTTTTTATTATCACGGCTAAGGCTAGACTTCTCTACATAATGAAGATTTTCCCATTACCCGTTGTAGGCATTGTAAGCCTGTATCTTACATTACCAAACACGGTGGGTAAGCCGTCTTTAGATATCCGCTGATGGTTTAAAAATATGTAAGAAAAGAATGAATCACGTGAATCTTAAAAATACGTACAAAAAGAACCCCTATAAACAAAAAAGTGTCTTTTGCTGCGCGTATTTTTTTCTTTTTCTTTTGTCAAGTGCCTGAGCAGTATAGATAAGGCATACACTCACTCAAATGGCAGAAAGCAAAGTGCCGGACGAAACCCTGTCAATTTTGAGAGATGCCTAAAAAAAAGACAGTTATTGGTCGCTCAAATAGACAACGAAACTATTGACAGCAGCATTGAGGTACTTAACATACAACATGGTTGCCTTTAAGAGTAACTAATAATCAGTTATTACATAGCGTTTTGAAGCTGAAAGTGTACAGGTAAAAAGGACATAATCATAACGTTGTGATTTCAGTCTCAAGCGGTAGTTTGATTCATTTAGTCGCGACATTCAAAACGTTTGAAAGCAAGAACTGAGGAGGTAAATTTTAAAACCCAGTCAAAGCAATTTTAACTAAGCAATCAAATAGCCCAACTTGATATATGCGTCAAAAGATACTTTGTTTTTTGACGGACTTGACGGTGATCTTGGCTCAAACCTAAAGAAGTATGCTACAAGTATAGTCCCAGTAACGAGAAAGCAAAAATACTTTCACTAGTAAGTTGATTAGATTAAGATGGTTTTTTATATGCTTTAATCATAAATAGTACATGCATTAATTCGGTTATTGATATCACGGCTTTCTCTCGAATTGCCTTTTTTCAAACTTTACCAAAGGAGACAAGGATTCCTATCATTGAGCATCTGGCATACCCAAAAATACAATTTGTCAAAACACCCTCAAGCCTAAGCTTAAGCTTATAAAAGCACTGCTTGTAGGCCGTGTGCTCAGCTTAATACACTGTGGATTATAATTTGGCTGAGGTCTCGTGGATGAAAAAAGTAAGTTGTAGTATCCTTCATTGGTTAATTGAAGCTGATCCCCTTTTTGCCAAAGGTATCAAATACCTACCAGCTTAAGCAAGTCATATCCTCCTACAATCAGCTCGAGACCACCACCACAATGGAAAAAAATGTGAAGAATATCTATCTCCATATGTAATGTCAATCTTATTTGGTTAAGAGAAAAAACTTACAGTCTACTTTTATCAATAGTATGGATATGCATGATCAAAAGCTATTTATTTTCAACCAGGAGAGAATCGCCCAATACTCCGAAGCTGACTACATTGTAAAATTTTGGGCATCTGCCTTTGAAACTTTCTTTGGGACCGATGAACATTTGTTCATACATTGGTAAGTGTACCCTAAAATCAAGTATATCATTGTCGTCTAATATTTTACTATAAGGGGTGACACCCAATCTTCTCCTTGTAAAAGAAACAATCTCAAGATCAGTCTCGATATGCGTTTTATGATAATGAAAAACAGCAAATATATCATGGATGGCGCCAACTGCGAATATGCGCGTAAGGCTATTCCCGGCAAGTTTTTCAAGGACAAACTTAAACTCATTCTGGCATCCATTGCATACATAAACGACATAATCATTAACTGCCCATACCTGGAGGAAGACGACTATCTTAATATTAAAATACCTCTTGTACAGATCATGGGTTTCGAGGGTAGCTTATCTATAATGCGTTTAAAAGATAAAGGCGTTTACGTTGTTGAAGAAATTGCCAAGCTCCGTTTCCCTACGACAAAAAAACAATTAAGAGAAGGAGGAATTAAAGAACTAGTCAAAGTTTTATCGTTATTAAAGGTAAGGATCAGAATCGATTTCTATTCTTATACACGTCTTTTACCTATTAACTGTCTTTTTTTAAACCAGCATTTGTTAGACAACCTTCAAGAGATCATGGAGGAAGAAAAATTCAACCATAAAGACAGTAAAATGACGGGAATCAGTAACGAAAGCCGACCACCACAACGGAATAGCGCATTCAAGGATTGGGTGACTGAAATTGTTGTCCCTCCCAACAGTGGTGATGATGAGGAAGAGGACGAGGAATATGAAGATGAAGAGAAAGAGGACGAGGAAGAGGAGGAAAGTAAGGTTTAGGTCTTAAACATGGAATGAAAAACGAAGGAAAATATCTTTTTTTATTATTAGAGTGCATCTGCTTTTCAGTAGTTCCTAAAGTGTTTTGTGACATTTTTGAGCATTCATCTCCGACTAGTACAAGTAATATAAAAGGAAATTTATTCATAGCCAGATTTTTTTTATGTGGGGGGATTTTTTTTTTTTTTTTAAGAAAATTTTTCAGTGGAAGTAATATTGGGGCTCCGGCTGCGATTTCATAGGCCGTCTCTAAAACAACTTCAGATCAATATTTCAAGCCTTTCAATTGATAAATTAATTTTAAAAAGGGTCACGCATCTTAAGAATATACTTTATAATATATATTCAAAATTACAAGTGGTTCTACTTAGTACATAAAAAAGGTTTAAACTTTTTTACCCTTTTTCAGGGTTGATGACATTGAGCCTCCGGCTGTGATTTCATAGGCCGTCTCTTAACAACTTCAGATCAATATTTCGAACCTTTCAATAGATAAATTATTTTTAAAAAGGGTCACGCATCTTAAGAATATTTGTTTTAATGTATATTTTAAAATTCAAGTAGTTCTACTAAGTACACAAAAAAGTTGAAGTTATTTCAAGCCATTGCTAACGATTATATAATCTGTTCCCGGTTTTTTAAATCCGTGAGCACAAACAGTGGGTTATTTCAAAATCCGATCACGGCTAATGATATTAGCGGCAGGTTATTATTGGCTCAAAAACCTTTTTGTACAGGTTGTGACATTTTTTCCCCGCCCCCACCTAAAAAAAAAATGTTGAATCCAGAATCTGTTATGCTTTTTAAATTGATATATGTAGATTCTCATTTTAATCAACATAAAAAACAATCCTAACCTTTCAGATGGGATATTAATTATAAGGAAAATGTGTTTTACCCATCTAAATATTTGTCTCTGCTTAAATTGTTTTTAGGTACCACCTAAAAGCAGATGCACTCTAAATCATTTTTTATACGGTAACCCATCAAATTTGGATCTAACTTTCGAGATAGTTTTTATAACATCTAAACTACATATTCGATGGTTCCAGAAATGTTTTTGAAACATTTTTGTTTTTTTATGATATTATCATCATTTGTAGCCATTTGATACACAGCTGCTGCCATGTCCGCCATAGTGCACTGAATGAAAATGTGTTCCAGTATACAGACCATTGTCTTGAAGTTCAAGTGGTCTTTGCCTACCAACGACGATTTTTATTGTAATAAAATAAACCTCCATACCACATATTTGCAGTGAATCAACATTATCAATGTGGCAACCGTCCAAAATAAATCTATCGACAATGGCTTTGGTTTCAATTAATACCTTGCATCGATCAGAATGAAACCTGACCTTTCCTGGATTCTCTTCAGCTGCCTCAGCAACTCCAACTTCATTCTCGACGTTGTATCTCTGCTTTATACTGTCATGTATAATACGAAGATTGATATTATATACCATATATGCTGAGAAGTACATATCATGTAATAACTATATCTTGTAGTGGCCTTTACGGGTTGCTGTTTTTCGCCTAGGATGCTTCGTTAACCGGAGGAGCCCAGTTTACGTTTAACAACCAACTTAGAACTGGTACGGACACAATGTAAAACCATTCTGAAGAGTGCACAGTATCCGAAAATAAACCTGGTTCATGTTTAATTGCCATCAGAATCTGCAACAAAACATGTATACAAAAAGAGATATCTTTTTTGCTAATGTCAATTACGGGATCATTTTCTTCAATCAACTTTTTAGCCTGAGCAACTACACTATATCATATATTCAAATTTACATCAAACCTGGTGAAATAAACAAAACTTGCCGCGCCAGAGATATCCACGCTGTTACGGTGGTTATTATCATAAGGAGTGTCTGAATGTAAAGAGCTGTCCAATTTTCATCAGAAGTCTTGGCTGGGTTATACGTTTTAAATATTGGCTGTAATATGTTGCTAATATATGCATATTCTTCTGAGACGTATTTCTTTGGCTGTTTGTACGTTGAAGATGCAACCATTGCCTATTGTCGAAAAAAAGTTTTTTCTTTATCACTTAAATATCATAAAAACTTCCGTGCTGTAAGAGAGGTAACTAACCAAGAAGACTCTTTTTTTTGCACAAATGTTTAAGGCAATAAAATATTTGTTTTTCTTTTTTGTCCTGTCATCCGAAAAGAAAATTTTTGTATTGGTTTTTTTTGGGGGTATAGAGCACTAGGCTTGGGTATACTTTATTTTTTTATATATCTATATCTATATCTATATCTACATCTATATCTATATCTACATCTATATCTATATCTATGTCTATATCTATATCTAAAGCACCAGGCTTGATGTTATTACAGGGTATATTATGTACATGCAGCACCAGGCTTGAGGATATATACAGGCTTGAGGATATATACAGGCTTGAGGATATATACAGGCTTGAGGATATATACAGACTTGGTGTAATTTGCAGACTTGATATTATTTACAGACTTGATAGTATATAGGCTTGATAATATTTACATGCTTTATGGTATTTACAGGATTTGAGGATTTAGGGGTGTATTGTGAATGTAAAGGATATATTCTAAGTGGTAAGGGTATATAATAAAGTAGTAAGGGTATATAGTAGAGTAGTAAGGGTATATAGTAGAGTAGTAAGGGTATATAATTAAGTGAAAGGGGTATATAATTAAGTGATAAGGGTATATATAATTAAGTGTAATGTAAAGGGTATACAGCTTGGAGGGTATTTTCTAGTGTAAAAGGTATCACTTTTCTTGTATATTTCTACTTCCATGTCTATAAGATATCATTTTTCTTGTCTATATGTCTAAAGCACTAATCTTGCGTATCTGTTATGTTGGCGACAGGCTTGATGGTATTTACAGAGAGTATGTACATGTAGAGAAAATGTTTGATGACTTGAGGACCAGGCTTGGGTATATGAGGGTATCTTCTATGACTACAGCACCAGGCTGAAATGCATGCCTCTATTGGGCATTTTGAATCAAAAAAAATTGATGAGGAGAAAAGAGAAGCGCTTCAACCTTGTTTTGCTTGATTATTAAATACATCATCTGGATTATGTTATAAATTGGTTTGTACTACTTCATTTTTGGCGTAAAAAAATAAACAAAAAAAAATTATGAGCTCTTTTAGGAACCCTCATAAACCAGCGACGGCCTTTCTTTACGGCATGATCACATAATATAAGAAAGGGCTGAATAGGTGTATGTAATTTCTTCATATTATACCGCAAAACAGAACATTTCCTGTTGACTAAAGTTTTATCACAAAGTTTTTTCTCACTTTTTATTTTTGATAAACAAAAAAGTAGTCTAAAATAGGGGGTAAAGATAAATTCAACTACATCATAAACAAACGGGTTTTACTATCTATGTCAAAAGAAAGAAACCTATGGCTTTATCAAATATCATATATACACTGCTGTTCAGTGTAGTGTTGTTTGCACGAAGAAGCATCTAAAGGATATGCATCGGTAGATCGTGATGCTCGATAAACTCTGGTTCGAAGAACTCGTGAGACCTAGGCATTCTCTTCTGAATTTAGAGAGATGTCAGTATGGAGCTTAGGGCTAGCTGCTTGCGCGTTTCAGTTTTTGTATGAAAGAAAGCATGGCAGTAACGAAAGTAACAAAAAAAAAAAACTCCCAGCGTAATTGTGTGTGATAAAGCTTACTTTCAACGTCTCATTTGCACTTCACCCAAAAAATTCTGCGTGACACCCAGATCAAACAAGCACAAAGACGAAAGAGTAATGACGGAATTGTTAGAGGAGGTTTGAATTGGTCAATATATATTCATTTGTAACAATTACATTGCTTCTAATTGTGTGTTCTTTCCAAGTCTTAACGGCAGCTACGTCACTCAATATTACACTGTGCTCTTTGTCCGTCATTACGAAAAATGTTGTTGATTAAATAAGGGCAGTTCTAGGCGCACCGAAATCGTGCTATAAAATAACTTTCTTACGTAATATATTCATTTTTGGTGCGCGGAATGGGGTGCGTCAAGAAATTTTTGCATGTTATGTAAGCGAAAGCATGCGCTATGACAGATCGTATTTATGTCTTACTTAAATATAATAAGGCCTTCTTGAGTAAAAATCACAGGTCTCACCTTTAAATTTATTTGCATTCTTATAATTTAACATAAGATTGACACGTATAATCATTTTCCCATCAATCAGGCTATTCCTTTATAGCATGCCAGCTCTTGTTTATCAGTTTATGAATAAAACTAGTTCACACAATTTTTTTTTCCTTTCTTTTCATTTTTTTTTTTTATCATCTCAAACAAATTCAAAGAAAATAGAAAATAGGGCAGCAGCAATGTAAATATGTGATAAGCTTTTAATGTTTCATAAGTGCTTCAATGTCTTGCACTTCTTTGGGTGCAATTGTAAAATTTTCATGTCCATCGTCAGTAATTAAGATAGTATCCTCGATTCGCACACCCCCAATGACACGATACTGATTAATTTTCTCCATGTTGAAATAACGTGCATAGGCTGGATTCTTTGTCCAGATATCAATACTCACATCATTAAAATAAAGACCCGGTTCTACAGTAACCACCATATCTTTCTCTAATGCTCGGTTCAAATCCAATGTGACTCCCTTCCTTCCTTTTTTAATCTGATGCGTCAAGATACCTATCCCGCTTCTATTTATCGTTAATTAAAAAAAATGACATGTCAATGTTTATTTTGCGCACGTACCCTCCAACATCGTGACAATCAAGTCCAACTGAATGCCCTGTGCCTATTATTTATGATGTAAGTGAAATTTCTTTTTATCAGGGTAAGATCTTGCTCATATTTAGACTTACCATGGAAATAAAAAGCGCGGTAAACTCCCAGCTTCATCAGCTCATAAGCATGTCCAACCAATATCCCAATACGTACAAGCTCGTAGCACAAGACTCGTACAACCAAGTTATGCATATCTCGCCATAATACACCTGGTCCAATGAGTTTCAAAACAGCCTATATTTGACATATCAGTAATCATTACAAAAAAAAAAAAAGGGAGTGTCCAATCAAAGATGACCTACATTTTGGGCCTTGAGTACAATATTATAAATAGTTTTGGCTTCTTCTGTGAATTTCCCATGTAAAGGAAAAGTTCTAGTTATATCACTACCATAGCATTTATACTCTCCTCCGGCATCAACCAAGATGAGTGTATGAGGACTTTTATCCGGGATCAGCCTGTCGTTATCCGTATAATGCAATACAGCCGCACGCGGGCCAGAAGCAACGATAGGGATGTAACATTGTCTTGCCAATCCATTTCTTGCACATGTCCATCTAAAATTGGCCTCTAATTCTGCCTCATTATACAGCGATTTATTCTTGCTTCCAACAAGAGACATAAGCGACATGTGAGCGTGAGATGAAATACGTGCCGAGTATCGAAGAATTGAAATTTCCCAAGGAAGCTTGATCAATCTTGCTTCATTGATAGCAATTCTTAAACGTGATTTGTCTAATTTTCCGTGGTATTCCTTTGGTATAGCAGATACATCCGTTGTATCTAAAGTAAAGATCACGCGCGGATCAATGTCCGCGATAAACTGTGGAAGCTGTTTTTCTGTGAGAACAAAATCTGCGTCGTACTTTTTTAATAATTCTGTAAAAGAATCTGGAATCCCTTTCCATAACTGTTCATCAGGGGAGACAGTAGGTGGAATTAAAAATATTTTGTCAATGGCAAGAGCTACCAAGATATGATAGCCAGCTTTTTCAATACCAGATAAGTAAAAGAAATTACTTTCTTGCCTGAAATCAACTTCAACATCCGTATCGTCCCTTGTGTGTGTCACACCACCTCGAAGGTAGAGTAAGGCACCAGTGGAGATGGGCGCTAGATTCTCTTTTACTTTTAAATAATTGGATCGTGTGGGTAACCTTTGAGGTAGTGGAAAAGAGTCATTGGAAATATTCATGAAAAAAAAAGGGGGGAAAAGGTAAAGAAAAGAGATGAAACTCAGTTTGCTTGATGTGATCTTGGTTCATCTGACGATAAAAACAAAAAACCTCCCACGCTTCTTAAAATTAAGGTTTAATTATGATAAGAAATCTTGTTAACCACCCCCACAAGAAGATCCGCAGCTAGATGATGAACTTCCACAAGAACTACTTCCTCCAGAACATGATGAATTAGATGAAGAATGGAAACCTGATGATGACCCAGAGTTGCTATGTCCAAAAGAAGATATACCTGCACATTGCGAAGAAGAAACATAATCTCCACAGTTACTCCATCCTCCGCAACCGCTCTTTTTGTTACGGTCTGTACTTGCTGTAGATTCCGCCCATGTCTTGCTGATAATATACCAATCAAACGCGTCACCCGCTGTATTATATCGAGTGTTTCTTTCAGCATAAAAACGGGTATAATTTTTTCGATTTTTGTGTGTCATAAGCACTGGAAGATTTTTAATACCCTTTGGGTTATAAACAGGCGAAGATCCCTCTATTGAATGGGAAGTTGTTTTTGTAAATAAGGTGGACCCTTCATTTGTTGTGCTACTTACTGGTTAAAAACACTAATGGCATGACCCAAAAATTCGGGTTACTCTAGATAATTTAAATTCAGATGTTGGCATATCATAACATACCTTTCGAATAGCGGGAAACCACTGGTATATTGTCTCCACTGGTCGTAATAAACGTGCCGCTATCATTCTTGGCTTAAATAAGTCTAAATTTTTAGTCATCTATGATTTCGAGTCCAATATATCCTTTATGTTTAAAACCTTTGATCCTTTAAAAAAGTACCAGTTAAAGGATATGTTTTTGTTTTGGACTAAAATATTGAACGACTTATTACCTAATATTTTCGTCCCATTGATCTAAATAGTCGGTGTCTGCATAATTAATACAATACAAATTAGTTTTTTTTTTTTCGATTTCAATACTCAGGTACATGACTCACTTCCACAAGTGCTAGTTCTAATTTCAATTTAATATGATTTGTTAGCATTTTATTCCTCCATCAACATATAAAAAAACATCATGCAATTTCATACCCTATAAATCCGTATTTTGAAGTCTTGACGTTTCCGAATTTACTGTCAAGTACGCTATCAGAGCTTTTCAATGTAATAAATTCCTTGATATCACCTAAGCCCATATACAATGAGATTGTTTTTTTTTAAATAATTTCAATAGTATAATTTGTCTTACGTCTGTCGTGAAAGCTTACTTTCTCCTTTTCGTACGATAATTTGTCCTCTTTTTCTTCATCATCATTGTTGCAATCCTCATTTTTATCCTCGCAACTCTCATCTTCTCGGTATCCTTCCTGATCTTTGTCTTGAGCATTATTAGGAGACGATGACTCTGATAAACGCAGCCTGTATGGATATGATTGTGTGTATGATCCCGGCATAAAATCAAGCCCAATCAAGTTTTTAATTTTTTCAGCGGTGGTCGCCTTTTCAGACGTGGATGCCATTTTAGGATGAGCACCTACATCGACAAAGGAAGTACAGAGCTCTATCGTCTTTTTCTTTTTTGAGGAAAAAAATTGTTTGAACTTTGTCTTGATTCCTGGATTTTCTTCTACAATTATTGGATTGACAATAGTAGGTGGAGTGAGATTCTCAGTGTACTCAGTGGGTTTTGCTGTTGTTGTAACTGTACGTATCTTACTCCTTACACTCCAAGCCAAGTCAGTCTTTTCGACATACTCCTTTAATTTTTCTTCAGGAATAGTATCATCATGATTAATTAATCTATGAAAGTGTTTTTGACAAAAGCTTCGATAGTTTTCGTGATGAAGCATGTGGGTGTGCCATGCAAGATCTGGGATATGGAACTTGTTAGCATTACCGCTTTTTTTAATAAAAAAAGTCTGTGAAAACTGACCTATCTCGTACGTTGGAACCGCTGTTAAACCATGATTGTCTTTAATCACATTTAAAAATTCATTGTAATGCCTAATACCCCGTATAATACCAGTAGGTGCGTCCCATAAAATAGACTTTGTTACTTTTACAGCAAACTTGTGCTGACGTGCTACAGCCTGTATTAAGTCAATAGAACTTCCTCGGTAAGGCGTACAGAGATAAGTACTCTGAATTGCATCGATAACAGCTAAAACCAGATAAATTAGAAACAATGTCATAATAGCAGCAATATGCCTAAGTTTATACCGTCTTCATGCCAAGAACCCGGAATATAAAGTTTCTTTCGTGCCATTTGATCCCTCAATGGTCGGAGCCCTTCATTGAAAGGCAAGCCCTTGATATCTTTGATAGGAAGTAAAAGTTTATTGTCATTTCTACCAGCAGTTTGGATACCTCTTGAGTCCAAGAGTAGTCCTCTAATAAATATGTAGAAAATGGTGAGTCTTTATCATTATGTATGCTGGTATCTCTACATACGCTGTCGTACGAACTTTAGTATTATCGGCTAATAAATTAGCTTTTCCAACATGCTTTACTGTGAACATGGAATTACAACAATGACATTGTAAAGCCACAGAATGATTTGTTCTCCATTCGGTATATTCTTTCCTATAAAGTACCTTTAGAAATGGAATGCCATGCTTTTAATAAAATTTGTCATACCATGGTGATTGTATACTAGCGTAACATACAATACATGTGACAGTTGCGCAGCCTTTTTTCAAAACTTCCTTTTCGGACAACTCGTAACTTTCATCGTTCATAACTAGCTTCCAGTCATACAATGGTGCATTGTTTGACTTGCTTTTTTGAAGGTCGTGCTTGAAAACAGTCAGATGATTAGAATAAAAGCACATTTAATTTATCAGACAAATAATTACAATCTGCTTAAGAGGAATTTCTTTGGCAGTAAATGGTGGTATGCGTATACTGTCTTCGTAAAAACGATAAGGGCTAAGCATATGTGATTGCCAAAAAAATGCGACATCTAGGGGGGTATCATTGGTCATTGATATGGTAATACATGACTCCTATATCTTACCAATGGGGGGTATGGCTCTATCTAAATTACGATAGTAGCGTTTTTTAGAAATCCATAAAAAGTAACGATATTCCGCTCTAACAAGATACATTTTCAAAACATCTTCCGTCATAGCGCTGGTAATATCCACGAATCTTTCTAACAATGACAAATAATACCAGCAATTTTTTACAGTGACTACTGAACTTAATGTGGGAAATTCTGAGGTATAATTTTCTATGGGAGGTTCTCTATCGAAATACATTTTAAAAATTTACAGTAAAGATAAAAAGAGAAAAAGCACCAACACCCGTTTTTTTTGGTGTCCTTTAAATATGATAAGCACATTGTCGTATTTGGGTACGATCTACTTAAAGAATAATTAAGCAAATCGTCTAAATAAATAAACTATGAAATTAAAACAACCTTTGATGTTGCATATCAGCATACGCTTGTATACTGCTATACAACTTCTCCTACTTCGAGTACATACTTCTATATAAAAGATTGCATGATTGGCCTAAATACGATATACGAATGACAGTTGGATACAGAATGCTATACCACTGAGTTACGATATCACCGATCGAGAAGAGAAACTTCTCAGATCAATCAAGAATTATAAGAAAGAGAAACTTAATATTAATAGTTCTCTCAATGGATTAGCTACCCAGAGAGAGAATAGAACAGCTATTAATATAAATGGTTCATTTACTTATATATTGATATAATTATACTGCTGATAAAGAGTATAAAGAAATAGTGTATGAATTAATGGATACCTAGCTTCTACAACCAAATATACAAATATCGATAAGACATTTTATATTTGGGATCGTAATTTATTCATTACAAAGATAATGAATAAATGATCAACTATTATGTTCTATTGCCAATTACACTTGACAAACAAGTATGCATCTTTTACAGTAACCGTTGCATGATCTGATAAATAAGTGTCTCGTAATACTAAAGATTTATTAGCATACTCATGCTCCCGATCCACTGATATGGGACAACGTTATCTGGAAACAATTCTAACGAGTAGTATCCATTTAACTCAAGGCGGGAAACAAAGTATAGATCTATTCCAAAACCAGAAAGGTTGACTCATCATTAAAACTCAGGAGAGTTGTGCAATATAAAAAGGATCAATTATTTCATAGCAGCAGAGTTCTTTTAGTCTATTTTTACCCTTAATAAAAATATACTTTTATCTCATTACTTTTCTATGTAATATTTTGTCAAATACCACACACATAATGTTGTACACCAATTGCGTTACTCTGGATACATAAACTGAATTATGCTTATATTTAGATCACATTATACATTTTGAGAAAAAGACTTTTAAAGCTACCTAGAGTTGTTAACATAATGCGGTGGCAGAACTAGGGTCAGTAATCCTAAACATCCACAGATAAAAAATCTCGGAGCTCAACAATGTCATTAAACAAAAGGTGCAACAACATACTTTCCTGGCAGTGAACGTTTTTCAGGTATTTCTAGAAATTTTGAAAAAAAAAAAACGATAACTATCGATAAAAGGTGAGGCCGTAAGAGATCATCTTTAACAGCATTTTTAATAAGGTGGTTCTGGACGCAGGTTTTAAAAAAAAACTGTCGTTCAAATATAAGCGAGAGTCAATGGCTCTCCGAAATTTTTAAAGTCTGGGCCAGTTAACCGATTGGCAGTCAATACTCTTACTGACACTTTAAGAGAATAAGTACTGTTAATATATTTACACTCTAAAATCATCATTGAGATTGGACGTTCTCTAAAACCGGGATGTAACAAATACTTTGAGCCTTCAGAGTATTGGTCTAATAGAGCACAATTTGTCAGTATGATACTACTTGAATGACTTAATTTGAGAATCTCTGGTATGGTACAGTTACCAAAATTATGGAAATTTCTGTTAGAAAGAAAGAAAAAAGGGGAGGGGGGGATTTAAAAATGGTAATATGCTTACCAGCCATCACCGATTTTTCGCGCCGTTCATTAAATTTTATCAGAAATCTTTTCGTTGGAATTGGTTTCCCTTTCTGTATAAAAACAAAGTAGCTATCGTCTCCCCATATAGTATTATTGATATCAACGTTGTAGGGTTTTTTGTCCTCAAATGTATTATGCCTTAACCGCACAGCATATGTCTCGCTTGATACTTGACACAACGTCCCAGTAACAAACCTTTCGTAAATATATGGCTTGATGCAAGTAATTGGCTCTAATAACTGCAAAATTGTTTCTCCTAATACAAATGCCTGTGTATCTTTCTCTTTAGACTGTAGGCTGGCATCAATTACTTCTTGCAGTAACATCGTGTATGTTGTACAGCTCAGTGACTCTTGAGGCAGATTAAATGGGTTCCCTAAAGTAAAAATATAATCTACTTCATAATCTCCAAATAGCTTTTTGTTTGTCAAAGAAGCTGCTATTATTGTTGATATGTCTTTTAAAGCTGGTTTCAGATCTGCTTCTATGAGATTACGAAAAAAAATAACGACACCACAATCACATCCATCGCTGATTTGGAACTTTATACTGGAACCCATGTCTATACTCTCGTTGTTCATTGTCATCTAGTTACTGATTATTTAGTCATATGATAATCAATATATCCGAGTTTTAACCTACGAGTTCGACCACACATCGTTTAAAATTTTCGCTGATATTATTGTATGTTTGAAAAGAGTCAATATTATGTTGTTTGTTATGCTTTCTGTGTGTAACACAATAATCAATTTGACAGGCGGCCTGTAAACTCTTCCAAATTTCCTTACATACGGTGTCAAATACATCATTAATATGTATGATTTCATCTTGGATAATGATGGTAGCCGCATTTTCTCCAGATAATGCGAGTTTGACAACTTGATGCAGCGTAAGTTGAACATGCTTTGGGAATATTTGTGCGACAACAAAGTATGATTTGATCTTGAAGCACAAATATTCTAGTTTTATTTGAATAGCTGGGAGAATTTCCTCTCCATGAGTGCAGAATCTTGCTTTTCGAAGACCCTCTTCCTTCTGTAGTATTCCACTTGCAAAAAATAATTTTTCCAATTTGTTTTTTGAGCCGAATACATTATCTAATAAATTCTTATCGACAGAGACACCATACCAGATGTTATTGCTTTGCCAACCGTTTCCAAATTTATCTTCCAGCTTTTTTTCTAATAGCTTGTTGAGACTGTACAGATAAGCGATCTTAAAAAAAAGATGTAACCTGGATGGCAGGTAGTGAATATATTGCTGTCTTCTCCACAAGGTTCATCCCTCGATATGAAAAGATCGTCCATTTCGACGTTTTCTGCAAGCTGCTTAAGTAGGTTCGGATTCGAGGAAGCAATATATTTCTAATTTCCTTTGGCCAATCTGCACTTGTTTTTATCCTGAGGTAATTGCTTAAAGTAATCCCTGATTGCATTTTTTGTAAAATTCGATTTAGTAACTTGGATACAGGGTTACTTTGTCTTTCAGAATTGGAGTACATTGCAAGATAGCTTCCAAACATGTTATCTAAATGACGCTTCAGTCTACACAGTAAGGGTGTTAATTACAAGAAGTGCTCCCTTTGCCCATTTTTACCTGTTCGTTATATGTAGCATCGGCCTTTGATATAATTCTGACCGTACAATAAAGCTATCCAATGATTTCAAACCACTATCAAATCCCTCAAAAGTAAGCCAAAATTCAATTATAATAAACTATTAAGGGACCACATAAAAACTACCTTTCAAATGTTTCCGTTTGTTTAGTCTGTCTATTTTCATCCAAGTATGTGATAGTGGTCTTGATTTTTGTAGGTAACATATCTATTTAGTCGAAAGAATAGTTTAGTACGCAGTAGATAATAAAAATAAACTTATTTACCAATACTGATAAAATATGTAGGTTTCAAAAGGCTTTCGGATTGCCCAGTTTCTGTATCCTTAGGCAGTATAATTGGGTCTCTGTGCGTGTTAAACTCATGTAATTGCTCTTTTATCAACTTAGCAATTCCATATTCTCTAGTAAAAAACCGATGTATTGGGAAACTAAAGGTTCCATTGTTTTCGATCAATTTGTACGAATTTTCTTGCTCTTCACCATAAGTTTTCGACCATTTTTCAATTAACTTTAGTAAGCCATATGTATTAGAATTTTCAGAGATTCGGTCTGTATAGAAAATGACCATCGATCTAATCTTTTTATTGCCCATATCCTGGAATAAATTATTCATTTGATTTTTAAACTCGGTTTCAGCAGGACTAGACAAGTTTTCGTATATATCTTCCACAGTTATTAATCTAATGGCTTCGATTTCTATCTTCTTTAAACCATATTGTTTTTCAAAAAGATCTGCTAAGTCATAAAAAGGTCGATGTGATGAAATTTCGTACGAAATTGAACTGGGCCGTCCCTACAAAGAGATCAGAAACGAAAAAGTTTAATGCCTTTTCTTGATAAATCTCGACATCCCTCCCCCGCCTTTTTGTTTCTTTTTCTTACATGTTCGATGTCTTCTTCTACTAAATTCAATTTTGTTAGCATCATGTCAATAACTTCTGGTGCTAATATTATATTGGAATGCCCTTTTAGACGGGCTATGAGCGACAGTCTTAATTCTTCCAATTCAATGGCTATCTCGAAATGTGCCTTCTTTGATAATTGTGGGACAGACCTGCTATTTATTGCTGTCAAAGCAGGATACTGGGCTGTAACTAACTCTAGATCTACATTCATTCGGTTTTGAAAGTCTAATGAACAAATAACATACTGTCTGCCAGGCTGTATCCCCTCATTTTTAATGGGATTAATTGTTGATTGGATGTATCGAAAAGTCGACTCTAACTCTGTGAAAAAAACTAATCTGCCGCAGTTGCGATATTCATCAATAAGACCAGCCTTAATAAATAGATCCTGGATTAATTCTTCTCTAATTCTGTAGTCCCAGTTTGTAGGGAGAGTAAACTCATAATAGAAATCCATATTTGTACAATTTGACTTTTCTTTCCAATAATCAACTTCTTCCATCAATACTTTTATCACTTCCTCGAGAATAGTTTTGTCTTGTGCTTTACGTTCATAAGAATCTTGCTGTGACCTCCAATAGATATTGTGTAGTTCCATAAATATGTTGGGTACGTACACAAGATACTCCTGGTATTTTTTAAACTTTTTTATCAGTGCATCGGCTAAGTCACCTGTGGCTATAACGATTCCGGTATCAGAATAATATAAAAGCGAGGTTTTTCTTTGTTTTTCTTTCATTCTTTATTAAAGCATGTCTGTCAGAATAAGAAATGATATGCTGCTTGGATGTTGACTAACCTAAAATCTCCCACAGGGTTTTCATCATAAATGGACACAATTCTAGATGCGATGGAGTCATCGTCAACGTCTAATTGAAGTAAGCAACATTGTAACGTAAAAAAAAAAAAAAAGACTTACTGAAGCTAATACAGTACTTATGCCTAGAATAATCGTATTGTTTCCCCATTTTTCGTCCCCTTTGACAAGAATTAAAAGATTAGATTTATACACCTTTTGCCATAATGATGTCGCAAAAAAAAAAAAAAAAAATTTAAGTGTCGCACTTTTTTAAAAAACAGTGTCGCACAATTCAAGAAAAGAGTGTCGTGCTTTTTTAAAAGAAAGATGTCGCATACATAATTGTTTATTAAATAGGACGGCCTGCAAGGCAGTCATCAAAACGTCTATTGGAATAGCGCGCAAACCCTTCAAAGATGACTGGGCAACTTGGTTGCTAGCGTCTGCAATTATTTAAGGAATAGTACCTTTTTTAAATATAAACTCTTTTTTTACACTACTCTTAACGGAAGACCAAAATTGTTCTATTGGGTTGGGTTCTGGAGAGTAAGATGGCAAGTAAGAAAATGCGAAATTCGAAGAAGCATTCTTCGATGAGTGGGAGCTAAAGCTCAATGGAGCTAATTTCTTTTTGCTTGACGACGCAAGGCCACCATCCTTTGGTCAAGGGCAATTTGGTAATTTTCTGATGACAGAAAATATTATCACCGAGTTTAGTAAACTTTTCCACAAATTATGAGAAGCACTTATTGTTTGTACAAATTCCAGCACATAATAAATGTATTCAAAGTATTTTCAAAAAGTAAATTCATTGTTCACATATTTCTGGTCTCCACATAAATACAAGTATTATTATTGACTTCAATAAAATAATTAAATACTATTTTTCCATCTCAAAACATTTTCGAATGTTATTGCTCTTGATACATCGTAAACAACAAAAGCACCAACAGCACCTTTAAAGTATACTCTAGTAATATTACCAAATCGCTCTTGTCCTGCAATATCCCATAACTGTAAACTAATCATCATATCAGGCTCGTTTTGAATTATTTTCAGCGCAAATTCTACCCCAACAGTAGACTTATAGTGACAAGTGAATGTATTGTGAACAAATCGTCGTAAAATCAATGTTTTTCCTGTACTCAAATCTCCTACAACTAATATTTTAAACTGATACTCTCTCTACGAAGGAGATTGAAAAAAAAGAATGATTAAAAAACACATTTTCTTCGCTTCCCAGGTTCTCTTCTATACTGTGATTACCATTTGATTAATGATAAGCAAGAAATAAAAAAAAGAGGTAAATATGTCAAATAATTTTGTGTCTATTTGTGTATTGCACCATTTTTTTTATCTAATTGGATTAATCCTCAGTGCAAGTTAACCAATATGAATGCCTCAGTAAGGGCAACGTGGCTCTGTGCATTACACAAACATAGTATAAAAAATGATGATCTCCACTTGTAAGATAGCCTATAAAAAATAGCTTTTCCTTTGTTTGGAGACACATCGAAGAATATTTTAGCCAATAATATACAGAGACTGCAAAGAAGTATTAAAAAGCAAGTAGCCCTTTACTGTCTTTAATAAATTTTGCAATAAAATAATCAATAATAAGTATATGATCCAAGTTTTACTTGAAAGTTGTTGGCTTAAAGAAATATTATGTCTGTATCTCCAATGACATACTGCTAAAAAAAACCCTCAGTTCTGTTTTAAACAAGAACGTGTAAATTTCTAAGAATGAGATTCTAAAAGTGTTTGAAAACGCTTCAAAAAAGATATTCATCAAACGCACTGATGAGTAGCATCTCAGCATATAAGCTCAAGCGACTTTCTAATAACTTTTGCGGTACAAAAGAAGCGCATCATTAGTTTTTGAACTGTTAAGCAAAAATCTTTGACACTTCTGCCAAAATAGAGTTTTCTGGCTTGATGCTACGGAATCTATCGTACTGCTTTATTTAAATCACTAGTTTTCTACCGTCACTAGTGTTTATTTATCTTTGACAGAACAAACACTCTTTTTACGATATTGTACGATAACAATATTAATGGGTGTTGTATTATATTAACAGGTACATAGAAAAAAAGACGCTGGTTTTTACTTTATACGGCATGATGCTGTATGACGAAGAGGAAATAATATTTAATAAACTAATCAATAAGTAATACTATGAGGGATAATACTTTTTATGTTATGAATTTAAAATGAATAAGAACAATAAAAATTGAACATAGTGTAGGTATAATGACTATAGGTATTGGTTAATAATCATCGATGAATAAGAGTGTATAAAATGATAAAAAAAGCACCAGCTCATGCAGAGGAGGTCTTTCTTTTTTTTATGAGTCTTTTGACTCAGGTAAAAAGCTGTCCGGGAAGAAATAGTCGCTGTTTTTGAAAGGATTTAAGTTTACGTGCGTACTTTCATCCTTCAATAATTGTGCCGTTTCTTTGATTATTGAAGTACAGTTATAGACCAAAGCCAAGATTGGAGGAAGGAGAGCTGGTACTTGACTAATATTTTCGGGCATCTTCAAGCGAGGAGAGGAAAACAAAATACCAACGGAACCTTTGGTAAATGCCATAACTTGAGCTCTGATAAAAGAACCTATCGCAAGGTTAGCATAAGCTGATAATAATCTCATAATAATAATTTTTTTTTTGGCTTACCATTGATAATAAATGACACAATTTTGATTTTGTTCGATTTTATCTTGTATTGGTCAATCATTTGCTTGCAAAAGCTTCGCATCATTTTGGAACTTTTCAACTTCGATTCTTGCAATTCTTTTGTCCCATTTGCTCCATGGTTAACCAAACCTATCTCTACATAACCTAACTCCGAAGAAAGGGGCTTGAAGGTGAGACCGGAACAATCTCCGTTGGCTTGACGTACTAATTGTTGGTTGGTACCAAGCTCTCGTTGTGAATTTTTATTGCTATTGGAGGCACTACTTTGACAGCCACTATAGAGAAGCTATATTAGTATTCAGAAGCTGAAAAACAATATTCCTTTTTTTTTTACAACATAATATCTTACTGAAAAATTGTTTGTTTTAGGTCGATGAAGGGGTCGCCTTTGAAATTAATATTTTGGATTATCAAGTCTTTCATTATGAAGCAAAAATATTGCGCATAGAATAGATAATCAGATATATAAACAATCAATACTTTTGCGTGGATCAACTTCCTAGCCTGGGTCTAGGGATATCGTCTTTTTCCAAATATTTAAAGATGTATTGAGAAACATCAAAGTTTTTTTCAGTGTCAAACTGATAATAGGCAGTGTAGCTTGAGCTATAATGGTGTGTGGGATTTATGGATCATTGATGTATGTTAAGTTTGTCATTTCAAAAACAGGCCTGCGGCAGCACAAGGCTTATTCAAACCAAACCTCCGTTTCGGTAAAAATTTTGACCTTCGCTGCGCTGCGGTAAATTTTTGGCCTGCACTATGGTTCGGTACGCTACGCTTTGAAAAAGCCTTGTATCATTTAGAAGATCCTGCTGAGTGACAAAAGGAGTAAAATTATCGCTTTCAATAAATAAATCCAAATAGTTTAAAATGCTGTTGCGACACCAGTATTCTGCAGGTTGAGTTCTTCGGTCATAGCGCAGTTCTTGAAAAGTTTGATCTATTGATTCGAAGTCATTCTATACAAGAAGCTTAATTTCACGAGGTTAAAACATTAAAACATATGCCTGTTACCTTCCCTTTTAATTTCATTAAGATATTGACAAGTGATTCAGGTAAACTTTTGCTCATATCAGTAAATCCACTTTCCTTTTCAATTTCTTTAATTTAATCTGCAGTAAGCATAGAATTCAATTGATCATCAATACTAAGAATATATGAGTGAAGAGGGTTATTATTTTGTTAACTAAAAAAAGCTTCTGTTACTGCATAGATAGTTACTTACTGTTTGACTTTAAAACCTTTGGCGTGTTTATAAATTACATCTTCTACTACAGCGCCCGAACTTAAGACCCACTTGTGATTGATATTTTGATGAATGCTGCTTATTGAATTTTTGTCATTTTCGCTTAATAAACGTTGATAACTTAATGAAGATGTTGATGAAGTACGAGAACCGCTTTTTGAAGCACTTTTGTTTTTGAATAATTGACTGAAAATTTTCTCAGACCAAACATCCACATGTTCTTTGTCACGAATTATGGTAAGTCCTAACTTCTTAGAAACGTCTTTGAACTTTTTTTTTTCCAGTTTGAGCAATGAGTTGTTTTATGATCACCATTGTAACTGTCTATAATATGCGATGATATCTGTTCAACGAAGCTGCTCCACTGGACTTGTTTTACGCGATTTCTAATTGCAAACACATTATGTTAATTAAGTTTGGTTAATAAATGACATTAATGACTTACCATCATTCAGACTTTCTAAGCTCATTCTAACAAAGTATATTGCTATAGCAGAAAGAAAACGGTAATTTTTGACGGAAATGTCTAGACCTCCGTATTTTTTTCAAACGTATTTTTTTTAGCACTTACAGGAATTCCGGCCAGAAGACCAGCAGGCCAGTATGTTTGCATCTATCGAAAATACATCCCTGCTATTCACGGTTCGTGAGTTCCAAAAACTCAAGAACTCTGCCTAGGAAATCGCCCTCCTGTAGCAAAGACTAGCCGCAGCCGCCATATCACAATATATATCTTTTTCAATTTAGCTTCTTTTCAAAGAAACAAGAGTCACTACTAAACAAAACTTTTTACGTGATCCGTTATTTTTATACGATAAAAGAAGTATGTTAAGAGAAAAGAAAAGGAGAAGAATAAAGTGTGTGAACCAGCTTTATTTACAGATAAACAAGCTTATGTCAGGATGATTTTATTTATCTATTTTATCATCCATAATGTTTGAGCCTTTACTTAAAATAGAAACACTTGCAAAAACCTCCCAAGCAAGTCAGAGCTTGGTAATTGTCTATATGCGTTCCAGTAGTAGCTTGTAATGACAGTGAAGCAGATTTTATGGAAAACAGAAATCGATCATCCCTTGAAGTTTAGATGATATGGCATGTCAATCGACGTGTAGACCATCGCGTGATTCTAAAAAATTCGTTTGAAAAAAATACGGAGGTCTAGACATCTCCTAAAAAAAGCATGGCTATAAGTGAATTTACTTACCCTCTTAAAGAAGGAGTTTATATTCAAAAAAGACACCATTTGTTGTATACGCGCGACATCATTTTGGCAAAAGGTGTACCTTACATGACCGCGGCGTTTCATTTAATTCAAGTACACGGTAACACAACAATGTACATTATGAGTAAGGCGATGCTCATGACCCATTGCAAGCCTTCCCTTTATCATTCAAGCTTCACTTTGTAAAAACTTGTAGTTATTTAAGCGGTTTAGACAATGCCGCAAGAGAGTAATTTCGTGGTTCTCTTTGAATACTCGAAAAAGCCAGTTTTATTACCCATTAAACACCTCACTAATTCGAACAGAAGCAGAAAAGGTTGCCTCTTTAGTTGGCAATGTAAGTTGCTTTGTAAAAAACCTCTTTACTTTGTAATACGAGCAATAGGTAATCAACTCTTTCCCGTTCAGGTATTTTCAATTGTTAATCGACACCATTGTTTTTAAATGAAAAACATAATTCTTAAGCATAACGCATATTAAAGATTGCTACACAATTACTTCATCGTCGTCTCCGAGTTGTAAAAACTATTTTTTTCACAAGTAAACAACGCTATGTCTCCTCATGAAGCTCGTCTGATCTATACGCTTTGCGTAAAAGTGTTCCTGTCAATTGTGAAGCGCTAGTCGAAATAAATATGACTTTCAATTTAGATGCCTTGTGACACTCCCAATGCAGAAGACTGGATTTAGGTATGTATCTTATGAACATTAATCAAGCATTTGTCCGAATACCTTTATTTACGCTTTACTGAAAATATTTGCATCTGTCTGAAAGTACTTTATATTTAGCCTGAAAAAAAAAACCTCCCATTGTCTGATAATATTGTAATGATTTTACGCACTGTTTTTAATGAGAGCAATCATGTCAATAGACAACAATACAAGGGCTATTTTTATATAAAATATTCTGTCATGTTGTTTTCTCTATGCATGTTTGTACATTTCAGGTTTTATTTATATAAAATAAGGCATTATCATCATGATATATAGTGTCACTACTGAAGGCGTTTTTGCATAATAACAGATGTGTGTAAAAAAAAATAAAGTGATGATGCAGTGCGTGTTTGAGATGGATGATTAAAAAACTAATTGCGTTTCTAAAATGAGTTCTATTGCTACTGTAAAAAAAAATATTAAAATATAAGGGATTTGGCTACATCAAAATTAGAATGAGGGGTTGGTTGGTTGGTATTTAGCTAAGAAAAGTTTTTAACAAGCAAAGGTACTTGTGGGTACCACGACTTGAGGTTTAAATCCTCCATTTCCAATATAATCACGGACACACAAGATATCACTCATGATGACATATGGCCATCCAGCAGCCATTGCACTAATTATAAAGTAGATGAGTCTTTTGTATTCTAATACTTATATTATTTCTCTTACGGGGTCTCGGGTGTGGCAGGACGAAGTAAAAATGTACGATCGTATGAATAAGGTGAGGAGGATTGATCCTCCTTAAATTCACCGTGTAAACACACGAGTAATCCAGCGGGGGATTGATGTGCATCGACGACGAAATCCTGAGGTTTGTGTAAATCATGTATTGTTGGTGGTAATCTACAAATTGTACTTCCAATAACTTCAGGGCCAATCAAAAGACCTTTTCCTTCTTGCTCTATTTTAACGCATTCGTAAATTTTTTTACATATAAAATCCCCCTCCGAAAGAAACTTACTTTTGGATTTTCCCATCAGGTTTCGACTGATACCAGTCCATGTTAAACTCTCATCATCATCCATCAATTTTTTCTTGTCCTTTCTTCTGGTTTTTTGTTGAGCGCGAAGTTTGACGTTGGAAGTGACAGAAAAGATGGCATTTGTATCGTAAATGACGGATAAGGCGACTCTGTTTGTATCGAACAATTGGTAATATTTCGAAATGAAATCTGTGGCTGCTGCTTGACTGATTTCATTATCAAAGAAGTTGGGCATGTTATCAGCGGGTAAGACACGACCTGTTTTATGCACTGCAGCCACTTCTGACTCGGATAATTGGACGGGGACACCGTCCAAAAGGACAAGTGAAGGGAAACGTTTGACCATGTTACGAACATAGGCACGATCATTTCCTCGTTGTTTCATCTCAGCGTCACGAAGTGGGTTACCAGCCATCAAGAGTTCTCTGAGGTGTCTTAATTTACCTGTACCACTGAGGGCTTCTAAATTGGCGTAATCCTTGATGAGATTATCTTGGAAAGAAATGTTTTGAATGTTGGGGAGATATTGAGCCAAAGTCGAGATTTGTTGTACGTTTTTGAAATGGTTACGAGCAAAAGAAATGGTGACGATATCGGCAAACATTTCACCAGCCAGTTTCATCATGGCAGGACCAACGATAGCGTTGGAACCTGGTGAACCTGGTGGTTTAATGGCTGATTTCTTTAAGATGGTATCAGAATGCATATCATCCAAGTTTAAATATTTTAATTCGCTGTTCCATCGACTCAACAAGAAATTTCGGAGAATGTCGATGGTGGTTAACTTTTTGTTGCTCTCGACAACAGGTGTCATGGGAAGTGTTGGGTTGTTATAAAGTCGAATACGTAATTGTTGAGAACCGAAAATGTAACCATCTAAACGTACCAAGATACGAGCTACAATGGGATCGTTGACAGTGATTAACATTTGTCCTCCGTCTAATTTAACATCCACAGGTTCCCATTTCTTTTTGGATTTTTGGACAAGGAAAGGCACCACACCTGCTTCCATACCCGGTTCGAAACCTGCAATCTATACTTTACTGCTTTAGATGAATCCTTTTTTTTTTTTGCTTAATTCGTAATTTACCAAAATATCCACTCGTTTATCCGTGGTGTCTTCCATTTTCTCTACAGGTCTTGTTCTTCCTCTACCACCATAGGGTGTGCTATTGAAATAATAGGATTAGCATTTTTACGCTTTGCTAGCTGTCCAAAGAAGATTCTCTTACTATCGTTTCTTTTTCTTTCCCATACCACCCATGGCAACATCCTCGGGATCGAATTCGGGCACGACCGATTTATTTTCAGCAACGGTGACATTCTTCCCCATGGCTCTAGCCTTGAGTGCCAAACCACGAGGACCTCTCTTCTTTGCAGTTTTCCAAGCTCCTCCTCCACCAGCAGCACTCGTGTTTGCTGCTTCCTTTGCAATTTCTTCTTTGGTTTTGATATCTGCGGCCTTTTTGAAAGAAGGCATGACGATACCTGTTCCACCAAACATGGAGAATAATCCTTTGCTCTCTGCCATTATATGAGTTTTTTTTTTCTAGTATAAAGAGAGTGAAGGAAAAAAAAATGTTTTGTCGAAAAAAAAAAGGTCATGAAAATAAGCCACGGGCACGGTGTTTCAAAGGTCTTCAATGCAAAAAAAGTAAAATCCCGCAGTAAAAAAAAAAAAAAAAAAAAAAAAAAAAAAAAAAAGAGTTTTATAAATCAAATCATAAAAATAAGGTTTATTTAGGCCATGTATTCTGACATGGCAAAGGCAGAATAAACAATGGAAGAAACAATCAATGCCATAGCCATGATAAAATTGGCTTTTCCCCAAAAGGCTTCATAGGGGTTACGACTTCCTGCACAACAACAGGCGCCAATGACCCACAAGGGCGGACAAAACCTATCATAAGGTGTGTTAGAGATATGATTTCTAAATGAATCAGTAATTTTTCTTACCAGCCAAATAAAAAGAAGATGGCTGCCAAGGGAAACTTTCGGTCGTGGGTTCTTCGTGTGTTCACGTTGGCAGTATAGGGTATATCAATGGTTTGATAACGTGGTTGATAACGCTGTGGTTGTGGCGAGGGACTATACATATGAGGTGCAATAGGTTGTTGAGGAGGCGATGTGTAATGATGAGGTTGTGGGAATACGGGAGTCGAAGTAGGTATTTGAGGATACAAGGTTTGGCTACCTTCGGGAGGATGGTGTTGATAGTGGAGTTCAGGCGTATGAGGTGGTGAATGAGCATGTGAAACGAAGTTTGGATTAAAAGGTGGAGTGGCTACTTCTTGGTAAGCAGGTGGAGGTGCATCATCTGCATCCGGTGCATTGTTGTTATATTTGCTCATGGTGTTGGTTATTTTAAAAAAAGCAGAGAGAGCAAGAAATCAAGCGGCAAACTCTCTTGGCAAATAGTCACATGCGGCAAGTCCATTATGTCATCCACTAACAGACTTTTTTTAACTAGATATTAAAGCACCGACCATTGGGGCATGTTTCCACTTGGTTTTTCTTTAAAGACATTTTTGGGTTGTTAAAATGTCCATTCGACACCAAATCATATGTGTATTGTAGACGTTTAAACCTCCTATTTTGAACTGCTCGTATTAAATTACCTTGTCTTGTCTTCAAGATGAAGAGCTATAGGTCATTTTAGGATAAGTAATCGTCGATGACCCTGCTTTAAGCTCTGGGAACCTCTTATCTACTTAAGATCAAACACTTGGCTACCGTGTGGTGATACAGTGATCAAATTTCTTGTATATTCCTGCACAGTACTGTCTTATTTCGCTTTATTTTATAGATAATGGTACATTGCATTAGACGAGAAAAATAAATACATGTTATTAATACAGTTATCTCTTGCTCACTAGAAAAATCTAACGGCGGAAAGCAATTGGTCGCACATGTGCTGGTATCAATTCACGAACAGTCCAAAAAATTTCAATGTCCATATAAGAGGTAACTTATACAGTCATACTTCCCTTGCATTTGTCCCAAGTATGGAGCCACTGGGAAATAGGGTTATCTGGCTAATATGCTAGGTAGACGACACCTTCATTCTGGACCAACCCAAAAATTCTGCAAACAAAGCACAAGTCCCGTCCTCTACTGTGGCAGCCAGGAGATTATCGGTTTCAGTATCACAGTAATCGACTATTCAAACAAAGCGACAAGGTCTTTAACCAAAAAAAGTATATAGCCTTTTCCAGAAAAGTCAGCGTGATGAACTGTAGAAACTATGTCCTGTTGCAAGAAGCAGGCTAGTTGGGCACTAAATGCTAATACTGAGTCTTCCAGCAATTTTAACATTGTAATAATAAATTGAGAGGTAGCTACCAAGTGGCTTTAGCCCTCTTTTCTACATTTTCCCCTGAATATTGTGCTACAAGACATACACAGTTTAAAAATGAATGTTATTGTTATTGTTGTTGACATCTCATTATGGCCTTTCTATATGGGATCATTACATCCGAGTATTATCTGGATGAATCTACCCACGACCGTCATCAGCCCATCTGTGATCAATGTCTGAAATAATGTGTATATAAAGACCCCATTTTATTTGTTTAATAAAGCCTTAGTTTATTTTTGCAGTTTGATGATTTTACTTTGTTAAATTTCACATTTTTATTCTTAATTCGCTATTATCACTCTCGAATTTTTCAGTCCATGCTGGTAAAAAAGGGTAGTTATTTGAAGTAAAAAGTTGGGAGAAATACAAACAATGAAATTCGCATGAAGCAGTAATAAATGCAAAACCATCCCTTCTCCGTGAAAACAAAGTCGCTTTCATCAGTGTCGCTATCGTTCAGATCAATGATAGGTTCATCTTGAAAACGGACATCCTCGCTATCAACACTTGTGTCTGATGCCGTTTCATATATATCGATGTTCCTTTGTGGGATCTTGTAACGTGTCATATCATTTCGAGAGGAACCCTTCATTCAGATAACTGGTATTTGCGGCTAGTTGAAAGGCCGATGCCGCAAGGCGGTATATACTAATTTCCTGTTCCAGAGGCAGGCATGAGATGCCGAGGGGGAAATTGGAAATGACTACTTGCATGTATTCTTTGAGCTGCCTTTCCTTTACGATTTTTATTCCCTGCTGTCTTCTGTGCTGGCCACCAGTCTTCTTCTTCGAAATACACGGCACTTCTGGCCAATGGCTCCTGCTTGCTTTACAATATAATTCTTGTATTATAATATCAGCGCCAACACTTCTTCACATTCATCCATAGATTCATTGAAATCTACAGCATCGTCAGGGAGGTAAGTGTTGGCTTCTCTTGTTACAAAGACGACGCTTTCAAGATATTGCGCGCTGAATAAATTACCAGAGAGGCCGACAAAATCCAAACCGATTACTGGTTCACCAGAATTCAAGGTAGGGATACTTGAAAGTATACTCTTGCTAGTACGGATATATTTTTATTTTGTTGGATTGTAATAAAATCAGCGTTTGCATCTATTTTCTTGAATTCCACATTCGATAATTCAATTGCGATTGACTGATATTGTTTCGACAATCAAATCGATTTTTCTGCCAAAAATTCCCAAATTCTATTTCGTTGATCATTCAATCATATTTGGTTGATGCTGATGTACGTGCACGGTGTAGAGTAGTAGCTGGAACAGCTCATTTGGACCCTCTTTGAGCTGTTCTACCATATGCTTATAGGTCCACCAATCTTCTCTGTCACCCGCCTTCTTGAAAGTAAAAAGGTTTTGTAAACCATCAACAAAGGAATCAAGTTATCCGACGGTAGCTAGGTAAGCTCCATAGAACTATGGAATGACCACGAAGGAATCTTTACCAACATAAACAACTGTAGAAACGTACAAAGTTAATCCACAAGCTTGGATGATCCACGTATGCATAGAAGGCATATTTTCCGTCACATAGTACAAACTTGTTGTGTTAGTTTTGCCTTCCCGAATCAGTTTGCTGTGATCGTGCTGTGTCTTTTCTTCATCAGCATCTTCGAGACAGCATTCTAAACTACACAAATCGAATTCCTTATCCTCAAAATCATAAATGAACCTCAAATCAATTTTAAATCCAATTATATGCTTGTTATCGTAGTCTTCGTAAATGTACGCTTTTTCGCTTGTCGAATCATCAGGTACTGTTTCGGTGGGCTTCAATCGAATAATGTGTGAATCAATTTCAAACAGTTTTTTGAAAAATGGCATCCAAATCGTGTACGTATAATCGCCTTCAGGAATGTTGCTACTGTAGGTGGGGTTTAAAATGTGCTGGGAGTTTTGAATACTGTCAAGAATTACATCCAGAAACTTGTACGTATTGTATTCAGCATCTGAAACCTTCATCGATCCACATAGCCTGTCTAAATATCTTCTTCCATACGTGACGCTCCCTTTTTCCAAGCTTTTTGCACAGATATACTCCCATTTTTCTTTAATTGATGTGTCAATATCCACCGATTTAACTTGGTATTTTTTAACAAAATGGTGTTTAATGTTCTTCCAACTTCTTTTTTCAAACAAGGGTGCTTGGCCACACTTGTCGTCTCCCGTCAACTCCAGAATGCCTGAAAGACCAGCTGCCATCTGCCTCCTTTGTTTTGGTTCAAGCTTTGTACCTCGGACATATAGATCGTATAAGCGTTGTCCTTCTTGAAAAAAATAATTTTTAAGACCAAAAAATACTTTTGATAGACCAAACACAAAGTTTTGCAAACCAACCACCAACCAACGAAGTGGGAGTAACATTGTTGAGCCGATAGCACTAGTCAACCCAAACATGGAAGGTGATTCGGCGTAGCTAATTGTCGGCTGAATCTGTGACGTGCTGGCTTCTTCTTCGAGTTGGGATTCTAATTCCCGGTGCTATTCGATCCTAAGTCTCGTCTGGATTCTTTGCTTCACTTGATCTCCTTGTTGTTTAAGCCGTTTCATTTTTCTTTTATGAAACGAAGTTGTAAATTCATCAGAGCCAGGCCCATCCAAGTATTCTACTATTTTCCTGGCAAAAGACAGTACTCATTCATAAATTCCATCTTTGGCTTTCAGACGATGATGCTCGTTCTGGTGATGTTGCTGCTAACGATGCTACTAATGAAAATAATACTGGTAATGTTTCTGGTGAAGATTCATTAGACTTCCTTTCTAAGGTTTCGAAAATGAATTTCTACCTTTTCAAGGCTTGTCTTTTGCCTAGTTGTTTGTTAACACACAATTCCGGATTTTTCTTTTTTTTTTATAAATTGTACCTTGGTAGATATTTTATATTTCAGACCTTTTCTTTGAGGGACGCACTTTTTTATCTTCATGCAGCACTTGTTTTGTCTTTGTAACAAGTGCAACTTGAAGGTTATTGACCTTATAAGATAAAGTCTACGCACACGTCCAAAAGAAAATTCGCGTCCATGTCACGAGAATTTTCTAAGAGCTTCTATTTACATCTTCAATGTGGAGACGCTACATAGATAGGTAAATTTTGTTAGCATCCGTGATCAAAAACATAATATAAATTACGTTACCTACAGTAGTTTCAGAAGAAATCCCCATGGTATAGCCATGAATAGCCGCAGCCGTAATATCACCAATATCCTACAGAAATCGGAGCGTCTTTTTTTTATATATATAAGAGAAACAGCCATTGCTTTTAAAAAATCAAAAGGTATTATTAACTAACCTTTTCATCGTATTCTTTATTTTCTATCATGAAGATAGTGTACTTGTTGAACATGAATAAGTACTTATAAAAAAAAAAATAAAAAGGAAAGAAAAGGGAGGGGAAGAGAAAAGTGTGTGAACGAGTTTTATTTTAGGAACTGATAAACAAGATATGGCTTATGTCAGGATTATTTAATCAGTTATTAAAACGGCCATTATGTTTCAGCCTTTACTTATAATGGAAACATTTTTCTTAAGGATAGCCAAAGTGCACGTAGGCACGACGTAAGACGTGGATTCTTATCTGTTCTTGAGACTTGGAACGAAGAATATTCAGTTAAAAAACTGTGTAATAGTTATGAATGGACATACATTAGACTTTGTATGCTTCTTTTAAAAATTCGATTGTTACTCTTTCACCCTTACGCTGAATTGTCCTTTATCAGGAACAAACATCTTTTGGTTAATCCGAACCGAAACTTTAAAAGTGATCTATAAGACACGCAGAAATTTTTACTGTGTGTTTTATTGCATTTACCTTAAGATCAAGTTTAATTGACCTCTTGGTGTCAGTTGAGGTATCCGGTCCTCCATTATGACTACATGCACCCTAGCAACGCCTAAGAAAATTAATGTCCTAAAGAGGCCCCTAATTTATCACTAACAGAAAACTTTCAAAAAAAAAAAATACATGAAGGCAGAAGATCTGAATTACTCCAGGTAGGGCTGGGCAAGCTTGGCATTTAAGACTAGGTGCACTCCTTTGCGTTTCGTGCTTGCTGAGGGGAGGGCGTATAAAATGTCACGATGGTTTCTCCAAAAAGTTAGAACACGAATGGTAGGTTAAGAAAAGTCTGTGATGAGAAAGTTTGGATTTTCCACGAAAAAAATGACCTGTGTGGCTTTTTAAGATTAAAATTTGACGTATGTTTGACCCAAAGGGTTCCAGCATCAGTTGACATAAAAAAATTGAGTGTGTGTTTAATTTAACTGTAGAGATGTTTAGCTGCAAGTGGCTATCATCTATATATACATACACAACAAAATGAATTAACAAATAGGCAATAATAACAGCATTCCGCATATTATGAAACACCAGAAAGGAGGGCCTATCTATATCCATTTTCTCTTTCACTCTTATGAATAGAATAGGGTGGTATATCAGATATACGTTAAAAGTAAATAAATGGAGGGTCCCTTTTTTTTTTTATTGTAAAGGACAACAGTCACGGCTTAATGCAGTATGTGTTTATGTGTTATACATAATCGGGTACCAAATAAAAAGGGTTTAAAAAAAAATTGGGATTTTCATTTTCCATGATTTTCTTCTTTCTCTTTATATTTTTAAATTAATAACCTAAAAAAAAAAAAATATGATACCTCGACCTCTTTTATTGGTGCTTGTTTTATTTCCATTTATTGTATCAGCATCATTTCTAGTACCAATATCCTCTTCATTAGCGAAGCATCATAAAACAGTAAATTTTGAAAAAAAAAAAAAAAAAAAAAAAAAAGAAGGGGAAAGGGGAAGTACGGATGATTTATCTTTTTTTATTTTTCACAAAAAAATTAGTGTTCAGATATTGAATCACACGCAGATCAGTGTGCATTTGTTCAAACAGCTTGCCAGGGATTTAGCGGTGTGTTTCTAAAGTTCTATTACTGTTCCAGTTTATGGAAACCAGTTGTAGTAGGAATTATGGTATGTCTCTTTTACTTTATTGTTTACATCCATCTAAAAAATGCAACAATGTACATAGCTGTCTGGATTATTACTTTTATTTGGTGCAGTTAGTGTTGTTGCTGCCGACTTTTTTTGTAAATATAGATATATATACACACACATATGCAAACAAATTTCGGTTTTAAAATACTAAATATAGATAATTTATTATCAAAGGTCCAAATTTACAAACGATTTCTTCAAGACTTCAATTATCTGAAAGCATGGTAAAAAGGTGACATAATTCAAGATAAAAATAAAGACACTAAAACATTTTTATGGTAGGCTGGTGTAACCGTGCTTGCTTTTGGTAACGGAAGCCCGGATTTGTTTAGTACCTTTACGTATGTTAGGAGTTTTAGAGGAGGTAGAGTGTCGATCAAAGGGAAGATGATTAACTCTTTGTTTTATTATTATTATTATTATTAGTGCAATGAATAGTGGATCCGGATCATTGGCAATAGGTGAATTAATCGGAGCTGCTTTTTTTATTGTGTCTGTTGTATCTGGATGTATGGGTATTATCCGACCTTTTCAATCCAAGCGAATTACCTTTATGAGAGACGCGTCCTTTCTTACGGGAGCCATCATGATTCTGACCTGGATAGTGTATCATCAAAGGATTTGTTGGTATCATGGTATAATATTGATCGGATATTACATCACGTACGTAATTGTTGTGGTAATGGGTGCCTATCGATTTCCAGGGGCAGAAACACCCGCTTTGCGTGAACATAAATCAGTTGCTATGGAGCATTGTAATACTGAAGAACTCTTGACCGAGACCTCTCGCTTGCTAAGATCCCCCTCAGGTCCACTTCGTTTGGATATTCCCACTCATGGCTTTGGGGATCATCAAGGTCATATTATTCGACCCGTGTCTCCCAACTCATCTCATCTGTCTAGGCGCTCCTCTTTACATATTGCAGATTCTTACTTTCCCCGCACTACCAGTACCAATGGATCTATTTCCTCTCGTCTTTACAAGCATGCAATGTCGCCTCGTGTTGGTATCAGAACATCCGTCTTTGGCGCTATCGAGGTAATTATTTTCCTTATATACATTGCTTCAAACTCACCCCCCTTTTTTTCTACTCTCCCTAAATAATGTATATTGTTGTTGTTTTACTTGTAGTTTCAAGAGCAGGTGGCGAGTATAAAGCGAGCCAATAGTACGCATTCATATCAACCGGCAGCTCGTACTAGAGAAAACACATCTGAATTGAGACAACGGCCTACACAGGTATCAGTCCCGTGTATTACGTCTGCAAGAAGACAGGAGAGTGCAGATCATTTCCTGAACACGAACTATAACAATCATGTGCATTTGAAAGCAACTACTCCTGAGAGTTCACATAGTACGACACATGGTCTGAATGATTACTTTACCTACATTTGTGAAAACCAAAATAATCGACCCTCTACGCAAACCACGCATGAATATGAAGAGGATCCCCAAATTCCTCAGATTCGACTTGCACCGCCCATCTTGGATGACAATGAACAAAGTATCATGACGACACCTGGAGTGGAAGATAATGCGAGTCTTCATGTACACACGATACCTCAAGTGAATAAAACAAGTGATATCAAGGAAACCCTATCATCGTACGCATCCTTTTCTCTATTGTTGGATGAAATCTGTTTTGTCCTGTTCCCTACGTTATCAGGGTGGAGTAGTAAAACAACCTTTTCCAAGTTGAGTTCATTGGTGGCTGTCCCACTTGTGTTGATATTTACCTTGACTTTACCGATTGCAGAATCAGATGATGTCAAGGTAGATGACATTGAAGTGATGAACGGAGGAGCAACTGCTGCAGAAGACGAAGAAGTAGTGAATACAGTAGGAACGCCTCAAGTGGTTGTGATTGGATCAGAAGAAGACTATGCACGCCCACTTTGTCATCAAAAGAGCAGTTACTTGACGGTGCCATCATTACGTAGTTTATCTGAAATGATGATTACCGAAGAAGATGCAGGCGTACCACTTATTTGGTGTCGATGGTTAGTTGCAGTGCAAGCGATCTGTGCCACCACCTTTGTCACCAGCGTCATGGCATGTAAGTGACATCGCTGCTATTACATATATAAAAAAAAAACTAACAACAACAAAAAGTAAATGGGTTTGTTCCACCTGCGGCTATTTTAGTAGGTACATTGATTGGTTGCGTATTGGCAGGTGCTGTCTTCCATCATACAAGAGCTGATGAAGCACCTCAATGGCATTGGATGTTATCCTTTGTTGGGTTTGTGATTGCATTGAATTGGATATTTTTATTGGCCAATGAGATGGTAGGATTGTTACAAGCGTTAGGCACTATTTTTGATATCAGTGAAGCCATCATGGGATTGACCATCTTTGCATTGGTAGGAATTGAAATTTTTTTTTTAAAAATTATTGTGTATATTTACTAATTCATGTTCATGTGTGCGTTTTGATTAAATAGGGTAATAGTGTGGGTGATTTGGTAGCAAATACGGCGATTGCCAAGATGGGATTTCCTACCATGGCTATATCTGCGTGTTATGCAGGTCCATTATTAAGTAAAGAAAGACATAGGGGTTACTTTTAGTGATATATTATATTAATTTCCCATTTTTTTTTTATAGATATGGTGCTTGGTGTTGGTATTTCATCCACGTATCAGACATGGATCACGGGCAAACCTTATGAGTTGGATATTGCGCCCACTATTTTAATTTCCTCTGCTGGATTGATTACGGTGTTGCTGAGTACGTTGATTGTGGTGAATATCAATGGATATCATATTAATAAGGAACTTGGGTGGTGGATGATTATTGTGTATTCAACATGTACCATTGTCAATATCTTGTTGGAATTTCATGTATTCAAGTAAACTCAAAAAGTCTGTGACTCTCATTGGGGAAACGCCATCTGTCTTGTCTTGGTAGAATGATCATACATCCCTTTTTTTTTTCCTATTATAATTATTATTTTAAGCTTTATCCCCTTACTTTTTTTCTAAAAAAAAAAAAAAAAACAATTATGCTTTTCGTTGTATAAAAGGAGGTGTGTGAGCTATTTAGTTTATGAAAATGATGATTTATTGAAAACAGAAATTTTATTGGCCAAATGAGAAACGACCAGAACCTGAGCCACTTGAGGAAGGATTTTGACAACTACCAGAACAACAGCTACCCATTATTTATTTATTGAAGAGGAAAGAAAAGATGTAAATGGCAACTCAAAAAAAAAAGAAGTATATATATAAATAAGGTGCAATGTTTGATTGTTATTGACAACAAAGTAACATTTGTCTTATTATTACATTTCAAGACAAAAAAAAAAAAAAGGGGGGGGGGAAAATTTATTATTTTTTATCCTTTTTTTCCCGAAGTTTTCTGCCTAATCCCCAACGTGTCTTTTTCTCCTCTTGCGGAGGAGGAGGAGGATGATGGGCAATATTAGCTGTTGATTCTACAGTGGGAGGAATATCCATATGAGAAAACTCTTCTCTTCTTGGAGATCCTATCGATTCAAAATGATGATCATGAGCACTATCTACTCGAATCGGGCTCAAGGGCATAGTATTATTTGTTGTTGAGACAATGTTTGTCGGCCTGCCGTTACTAATTGTACTCTCTTCTTTTCCTCCACCGACAAATGATGATGATGATGTTGTCTCTAATCCTGTGGCTATATTGATACTATCCATGTCTAAATCCACTGCTTGATAAAAAAGAACGTAACCTGATCCACTACCTGGAAGATCACTGAAATACTTTTGAATATCTTCTTCTTGTATTTGCTATTATTAAAATACAAGTATGAATAAATGGGAGGGATTTGGTGGGTGGGTTGGTTGGATGGAATACTTACTGTAACTACGTCGTCATCAAACAACATCCAATGACCATTACTTTTAACAATGGCAACATAATGACCATGATGTGGTCCACTAAGATAAATAAAAGGTGTCAACTTTCCCTCACTCATCTGGAATAACACAATATTCTCGTTGAGAAATGGTTTTTTACCTTCCAATGTGTACAACAATACCCCAAAGTTCATACATTCTGTCCGCATCTTCCGTATCATCGCTCTAGGTTCGAAATCTGTTTTAATAATCCCATTCACTATGCATGAACTTAAAGAGAATAACTTACTGTGTTGAACAATCTTAATTCAAAGGGAAAGACGACTCTGTAGGTTAATTTGATGTACTTTTGTAATTGTTCCTGATACTTGAAACGTTTCAAATGAAGAGCCAAAATATTTGGCAATTTCTTGATCTTCATTCTTTAGCCCGCATGTGTAAGTTGGATTGTTTTCTTATTTTTCACTTTTCCTTATTTTACCTTCTTTCGGCTTCTTGAAGACCAGAACAAACATCACAAAAATACTTGTTCTTGTGACATAGAGTTTCACTTGCGGAGAATTGACGTAAACAAGAGGTGATGGAAGAATTCATTTCGACGTCGATGGATAGATCCATGAATGATTCATCTCGGCTTGTTACCTATTATTAAGAAGGAGTTAAAATTAAAGTTTGAAATGCGCCATAAAGTAAATGCTTTACAGTTTCACAGGATAAACATTTGGTCTCGTTGGAAAAGACACCTTCGAATAATTGATGGACCCAAGTGGGTTTTAATTTGGAAGGATTGGCTGAAGTTTCTGTATCATTTTGAGTACTACCGCTGTGAATACTTGATTGTTCGTTAGCGATTCTTTGTTGATATTTTTGAACGTCATCGGCAATTGTATTCAAAGTGTAATTCAAGAATTCATGAGCATCTTGATGCATACTCGACCGAAATAATTCTATTCAAACCCCCCAAAAAAGGATTAGAGTTGTTTTCCTCGATAGTTTCTTTATGACGATAACATACCATTCTCTTTCTTGACCTTGTTGATGAAATTGACGGGTGCAATTACGCCAGTTTTTTTCTTGTGTGTAGAAATCTTCCAAAACAAGTCCTTTAATGAAGAAAATAAAGTATCTTCCATGCCAGGAGCGATATTGAAATTATTCTGGTCTTTTTCGATAGGTATGGTAGGTGTACTAGGAACGTGGCCGTTGACACTACCACGCGATTTACTGTTATTATTGTTGGTGCTGGTGGTGGCGGTGGTATCTTTGCCTGGTGTACTTGTGCCATTGACTCTTCCTGTGCCATTAATGGCTGGAGAGGATGAGGTGGAGGAAGAGCTTGTGGATGGGAAATAAGAATGACCCACGGTATTGACCATGGGAGAACTGGCTGTCATGGGTGTGGATAGCTGAGCTGTACTTGCTTGTGGAAAGTTTAAAACACATTGTCGAAAAGGTTTACAGTAATAAAGTGCCTGTACTACAGAGTTGCTGTAACTGTTATGAAAGAAGAGGTTATTTCTCATTAAGGGGTCGAATGGTTTGTATTAGAGTTCTTACCAAGTGTTACCAAACTAATGAATAAAATATTAGTTATTATCGAATCCTTATTTTTGTTGAATAAAGAAAGACTTACGTTTTCTAGGCCGAAATAACGTTCTCCTTCGTCAATGGTATCATGTTCTGTTGTTGCTTTGCCTGCCTGTTGACCCTATAAAAAATAACAATTATGCTTGGCATTAATGAGAATGATCATTGACCACTATTTTTTTTATTTTTTGTTTTTTTTTACCAGGCCCATCCATTTAAAGAGAGAAGTACTTGACATTATTTTGTGTATGTAGAAAGAAAAGAAAAAAAAAAAGGAAAGAAAGGCAGATAATTGGATATCCCTTTTTTTTTTTTTTGCAAAAATAAATTAATTTCCAAGAGTGGGTTATTTGTGTATGAGTTTGGAAAAAGGGCCCACTAAATTTCTATAAATGGCGCCGAGCGTGTGGTACGGACGTCATGGGCGGGTGCAAAAAAAACATTGAGATTGCGGCTTTTCTTTTGGGGCAAAAAAAAAAAGTGACCAATTTTTTCTGTAAGGTGACCCAATTGATGCTGGAAGCACTGTACAGTTTTCCTTTTGTTGAGAAAGGTTGAGCAGTAATGACATAATTCCAGTTGTTATGGTGCTAATGGACGAAGAGCAGGTTTTACAATATTTTCAAAGTGGTTTTAAAGATTAAATACGATCTGCGATGAAAACTTGGTTGCCAACTTAAAGTCGATTGTAAGATGACTTTCTCAAATAGACAATTTTTCATAAAACGCAAGCTCCCTTTCCTTCTCTCAGCACGGGATTCCTGCACTACAGAATAACTAGAAATATTCCTCGATGTGCCTGACACAAATCTTTGTAACTATGTTGGTAAAAAATATACAATTTATTTTATTTAATGAGGTAGAGGGTTTATAATTAAAAAAAATGGGTGCGAGAAGGGGGTAAAAAGATGGGAATTTAACGCCACTTGGAATCATTGACAGCAGGTCTTTCAGGTTGAATTTCACGGTCTTCATATTCCTCTTCGCGCTCCTCTTCTTCTTCTTCACGACGTTCTTCTTCTTCCTCACGACGTTCCTCTTCTTCCTCAAGACGCTCTTCTTCTTCTTCGCGACGCTCTTCCTCTTCTTCTTCACGCTCCTCTTCTTCTTCTTCACGACGTTCTTCCTCCTCTTCACGACGTTCTTCTTCCTCTTCAAGACGTTCTTCCTCTGCTTCTTCACGCTCTTCTTCCTCTTCTTCACGACGTTCCTCTTCCTCCTCACGACGTTCTTCTTCCTCTTCAAGACGCTCTTCATATCTTTCCTCTTCTTCTTCACGACGTTCTTCCTCTTCTTCAAGACGTTCTTCGTATCTTTCTTGCTCTTCCTCAAGACGTTCTTCATGAAGTTCTTCTTCTCTTTCTCTACGTTCTTCATAAATTTCTTCTTGTTCTTCGTTGAAAGAACGTTGTTGCTCATAGGCTTGATAAGTCTCTTGTTCAGAACTTTGTTGACCTGCTTCAAAGGCTCTCTTTTCGGCCTCTGCTCTTTCTTCTTCTTCATCGGAACCAAGAGCATCTACGGCCCAGGCACCAAGACCTACAGCAGCAGCACCAGCAAGAGCAGCACCACCATATTTCTAATCATCGTTATTTAGCTTCACTTTTTTTTTTCTTTTCTTTCTCTTATTATAGTATATTTACCATCCATTCAGGAGCATTCTTCTTGGGCTTGGCAGTGGCACCTGTAGCACCATCAACAGGAGGAGTACCAGCAACAGGAGGGGTACCGGCGACAGGAGCATAAGTGTTTCCAGCACCATAGCTAGCAGCAGCACCAGCAACACCGGCAGCACCAGCGGCAGCACCAACGGGATATGGGCTAGGAGAACCGGTTTGGTAAGCCTGAGAAGGAGAAGCGTAAGCGGGTTGTTGTTCACCGTACAAGGCACGTTGCTCAGGTACGGGAGTATGGGGAGATTCTGTCTTTTGGTCATAGCCGCCATAAGCAGGAGCGGATTCAGGCTATATACATATTTTGCTCAATTGAGATTCTCTTTGCATATGTGGTTTTTATGTGGTAGTAACTTACAGTGAATGCTAATTTGATATAGATGTGACCAAGATGTTGACCAGTGGGGGCGGCAAGAGGGACCCAGTTTTCAAAGGTACCAGCAGTGAAAACAGAGGCCAAGGGTAATTTAGCAGAACCAACGGGTCCAGGGCGGGAAGGGTCTTCATTGATGACATCGAGGTAAAGGGTTTCATCATGTTCACCTACGTTACTATAGGTTGTTGTCAGTGGATGAGAAGATATGGGTATGTGTGTTGTGCGTGAAACTTACCACTTTAAAGTGTCTTGGAAATGAGGCTCAGGGCCACTAGCAGAATTTGTTCTTTGTTTCTCGGCTTGAGAGACGTAACAACCGATAAAGGTATGAGAAGCTACAGAGAGAGAAAAACGGTGATGAATAAAAGAGTGAAAACGTATACATTGGTTTCAAACTTACTGGGATAACCGTTTTCGGCAAGACCGTTAATGGTACCTGATTATTATAAACATGAATAAATTTGATTGTTTTTTTATACATGTATAAAACTCAAATGAACTTACAGGGAGTGACAGAAAGTTTACCAGCGGGCATGATGAGTTATTTTCGAGAGAAAGAAGAGATAGAAGGGGTCGAGTTTATAGCCACATCAGTCTATTTATACTCTTTTTTTTTTTCAAGGAATTAAACTTTTTTGCTGAACAGCCAGAAAAACATAAGGTGAGTAGCTTAATGAGGTAATACAATAATTCGGCCCCCTCACTATGACATGGCAAAACGGCAACATTTCATATCACTTTTTTTTTTTGCGTCAGCCTCCCTATTCTATACACAAAGTAAAATAAAAACTGAGAAGAGGGAGCACAACCACTTTAAGATTTTTATAATTTTTTGTATTTCTAAATTATGCATTGCATTTATTAGATATTTTTATATTTCTGTAATAAATGGCTTAATGTAAAAAAAAAATAACCCGGGTTAAAATAGATATCCTTTGTGTCTCGTTCTGAAATTTTATTTTTATTTATTAGAACACGTGTTATTGTGGAAAAAATACTCTGTATCATTTTATTCGCTTAGAATTATTATTCATTAATAATGGGATTTGTGTCTCCTTGCCCTTTCGCTGTTGAACGGGGTTGGGAGGGTGTCCCACCAATTTATTCATTATACTATTTCGTGTAACTGTAATTTGCCGGTAGCATACGCCACAGTAAACCGTCTTAGGTATTTAGCCACTCTCCTAAAAATGGGAAATACAATTTTTTATATTATTGCTGTCACTTTGGAGAAAATAAAACCACATGGTTAATATTTTCAGTTTACTTGAGAGTTACGGGGGGTTATAACTAACAATATTTTTTTATTTACAAACAGACTCTTAACAGTGCCATATACATTGCCTCTCTTTTTTACGAGATTTAATAATTCTTGACAACTGTTGTATCCTCCCCCCGCCCTTCCTTCTTTTTGTATGTCCTCGCAATAATGAGTACTAATTTAAGTGGACACAGTGAATAAATGTGAAGTTTAAAGCAAATAGAAATATCTACAGTGAATGGTTTCTCTGCGTGATATATAAAACAACTAGAAATGGTGTGCAATTTAAGCGAACGATTTTTTAAGCAATCAAATCCAGATACACGGATCAGCCTACATATATGCTTAAGACGTTTGTCACTATAACAGTGTGTCCAGTATGCATCAAAAATAAACATATGCGTTGCGACGTAAATGTATTATGTGAAAGATTGAAAGACAAAAAAAAAACAAAGTTATATCTGATGGTATTTTATCGATCGGTAGAAATGCGTATCCTGGAGTGCTTAGTGAACTACCAAAGGGATGAGATATTACTCTTCCTGCGTTTGTAGAGGTACATCTTCTTGAAGTGAAGGACATCGAAATAGAGGCGGAGAAGACAGGGGATGAGACATCTGGTATTGCAGAGATAACCTTGGAAATATTAAAAGCCACATCATACAAGAATTTGACAATTTCTCGCTTCCGCTTGAGTTTTCACATATCTTGGATATCCCCCGAATGAACATCCTTGGATGGCTCAGTACGTCTTTAATTATAAATGTATTTGATAGCAGGAAAATACGCTGTAGATGCCGTATCGAAATAAACCGACATTTTTAAGAACGGGATGCGGATTTATAACAAGAGGAAAAAAAAGTATTGTATTAGACATGATATAGCCGAAGTATTGAGGAAATAGATATGATAATTCAAGTATAAAAAAAGTAATTTGGGTAAGTTAGTGTATGTGACAATGTTAATTTGCGTTAAATAAAGTGTATATAATATATGATGTAAACGATGTTCTTTTTTTATTTGTTTCCATATGCTTAAAAGGAGAAGGATAGCAAAGGTCTCTTTTCCCAGACACTAGAGATTTTGAGACAGAAGAGTAGTCTATGTAGCAAAAACTAATATCGCGCTTCAATGTTAGTAGATGTTAGATAGAAAGTTTGAATGCATGCTTCAACGCCGTCATTGAGTTCATGGTCAAATAAGGTTTCGTACTACAAATAAACGGATTATACGAAACGCCGTGAACTCCTTATTTGTGCTTTCGACGCTTTTAACATCGTTGTAGAAGAAAGAAGATGGAAGAAGTCTATGACTATTCTCGGCATAGATATTGTATTAATATCGGTAAGCGACTTATTTTTTTAAATTACGGCGTTACTTACTTCGTATAGATTTGGGCTATGACATGATCACCTCTATAGCGGTAACCATTAATAGACCACTAGAGAATGATGAAAGGTTAGTCGACTTTGAAACAGCAGAATTTGTACGTGTATTTTTTTTTAACAAATTCCTTTTTTAAAAAAGATATAAAAAAAATTACCGTACCTCAATTTTATATGACACTACCGCGAGAAATATCATTGCCAGAGGCAACAAGGCTGACGAAGCGAATGAGAATCCGGAAGGCCTCCAAGAAGGCGTTATTTATGTACGCAACACCATAAGCGCGCTCGCTGACATTTATTTAAAATCAAAGCAACAATCCTTCGACACTACGGCACTGTACGCGCTCTTGTACGAGGAAGCTATAGACCTGTTACAAAAAATACTGGATCATTGTAAACAAGAATTGAATAGTGTAAATATGGATTTTTATTATTCTTTGAATCTTCCAACCAGTTGGGATTATGAAATAAGAGAAGAATTATTCCTGCCTCTATTCGTAAAAGCTGGTCTTCTCCATGAAAATGATGGTCCGGGCAGGCTGGTGTTTTTTACAATGTTAGAGTTAAATTTTCAGTGCATGCAAATGAATTCAACCTACCATAAAGCTAGAAACATAAAGTATGGTGATCAGCGCGTTATTTGTACAATAGATTATCAAGGTGCATACTCCGTGGATTTCAAATTAGTATCAGTTCAATATCCTGCTTTCAAATTAGAACGAAGAACATTGGTGCCACAATTGTTGAAACAAGCTCACTTTGTAATCCCATTTGGACTAAAGGAACTAAGATTGTCATTAATAGCATGTGTGGAAAAGCATTGTGATACTACGTTATCATCGGAATCTATCGACGACTTGCTTGAAAAACTCAGTCAACAGTTTGATGGATTTAGATATTTCGTAAGAGTTAATGGAAAGGAAATTGGGAAAATAATTAAAAACGTTTTTTTTTTTTTTTTTGCCAGGATATGCAAGATGAATTTTTAGATGATCAGCCATTGCCAGACTTGAAATCTCGCTGGGCGAATAGATTAATTACTTTAGAGGACATACTTGAACATTTTTCTGGTCAAGCAGAAAAAATCTTTAGGAGTGAAGTAGATAAATTTCTTGTAGGCAGGAGCAATACAGTACCCAGACCATTGGACATTTATTACACAAGTCGAATCCCGGAAACATTTTTTGCCATGGGGCTAATCTCATTATTTGATTGTTGGTCGAAAAAGTATTTCAGGGAACTAAAAGAATCATACATATCCGCGGAACGCGGTGCTGATTACCCCATATTCGAACCCTTTGACTATAATTACCGAAGATATGGAACTAAAAGGCTTATAAACTACCGAATGGAAGAATTTAACGTGCGCAGAAACTCAGTTATACTACCCAACGAAACAACAATGGAAGAACCCAAAAGTTTCTTAAAACCTATTATCTTCATTAATATCGGTAAATTGACTCTTTAGTAATATCGGCTTTGTATTAGTCTAACCTATTTTGAAACCAAACAGACGTATCGCCTACACGGATCCAGACTACTTTTACATACCTAGATAAAGGTAGACAAGTTGGACAGAGGCAAAATTTTGAATGGTAAAGGTGATAGGCGTCAAAATATCTATAAAATAATCCAACTAAGTTATATTGTATTGTATAATAGTAACATGCAACCTTTGAATTATTTCATCAAACAATCAGAAATATATCAGAGACCAGTACTACACATATCAAATAGGTAAAACTACTTAAAGAAACACTTATGATTGTCAATTCTAATTGTGCGTTTAGACTGAAGTTAGGTTTGGAAAAGATTTTCGGTGACTATCTTCAACTGTACTCAAGTTACAAAAGAAATGTGAAAAAAAGAATACCAGTGAGCCCAGCATCCAAATTACTTGGCAGGGCATTCCAAAATACGCGGAAGAGGAATACTTTAAGCATTGATGAAAGGATAAAATCAAAAGAAAATCGGTTAAAAAGAATTAGAAAATTATTTGTCTCCTTAGACCCGGACCTATTTAAAGAGCTTATGACAAACCTTGAAATGGACAATCTTTTTGCGTCGAAGGACGAATTTCCTGCTTCGGATAGCGAGTCATTTGCTACATGCCATCCAGGTTACATGTATTTTTTTATGATCACATATCTGCACTGTCTCAACACGCAAATAGAGGAAAAATTAAAAAGTAATGTAGGATTGAATTGGGGAACCAACAACATTTGGTATGGCGTTTCAATTGATAAAAGCATATTGGATACTGTGTTCGGCTCAATAAAAAACCTAGAAAAATCTTTCTTTGCAAGTGGAATACTTGGGAAGGACGACGAACTTCGAAAAGCAAAGTTCTGTACCCGTGGTGAAGAAATTCTACCAGCTATCCAACACAAGTATCAACATTTGGACTTTAGTTTGAAATCATACTTTGTTGTTGCACAGATATCTTCAAAACATATCCAACTTAGTTTGCATCAGGTGGTCAAACTGGCATCACCTGGAGAAGATCCGGCGTCCATGATTATTCAGGATGAAATAATACATATCGATGATGTATATGATACACTTTGTAAGAGTATTATGAAGAGCATACAAGTCAATTGTCAAGTTGATTACTGTACCGCGCATAAGAACGGGGAAGATGTCCAGTATGATTTCCAGTCATTTGAGATATATAGCAATGTCTATCGAAATTTGAAACCATGCGTTGTTGAACTTGTAATTTGGTATACCTATAATTAGCGTCTCATTGTATTAATTTTTTTTGATAGTTCGAAAAAAACAAGTCAAATTTGGACATGGATTCCAAAATACAGCTGAATATCAACACGAAATGCGATTGCAGTATCAGTATTTCTCTTCCTGACATTATTGAAGTAGGCCTTATGTCGGTAATAGAAAGTATAACAACAGATATATTGGCTTCTTTGGACAACAAAAGACTATTTGGAAACTTTATACCGAAATATATTTTCGTGTTTGGCGATCCGTTCAATCTGGGGCAGGGTTCAAAGATCTACATCGCATACACCATGCTTATGCAAAAATCGATTGATGACGGTGTTTATATGAAAGAAAAAGATACAAAGACATTTGTACTAAGAGAATCTATTTTCCAATTATTGGAGACGGTTTTATCTGGAAAAAAGCCTTACATGTTTGAAAGGTTTGTCACTGGAACTTTGTGCCAAGTGTCAAGCAAAACATACGGGATGCGGATTACAGCTGACTACAAACCGATCCCTTTCACCCGAATAAACGGTGATGGTGTTATCAAAAATACAATTACAGAAGTTGGTAGTTATTTAGTATTTATTCAGAAAGGGAAGCCAGTTCCAACAAGAGGGCTTATAATTCAAATCAATGAACCATATTGTAAGCTCGCTGCCATGATTGTTCTTCTTCGTTTGTGCTAATGTGACCCATACCTACTTATACATAGATATCAGATTAACAATTCTTCAATTAGAAAGTTCAACCAGTACTGTTCCGGACAAGTATACTCTATTGCACGGCGACACTCCTGGTGTTATTTATGATATATACTCAATTAGATTGACTGATATTTCTATTAATACATTTGTGGTAGAATATGAGCAGATTAGCAATAATTTATCTATCAAATTATCAGGAGGATGTATGGGTGATATTTATGACTATATTGATCGACCTTATTACTTAACCGAAAATATCCTGGAGCCATTGACACTCGCTTATATTTAACATATCACTGCCTTCAATAAAATCAACCTATTTTTAAACCACCGTTTTAAACCTACGTGACTTTCAATTTTAAAAATCCCCCTTCACTCTCCCCCGACCCCGACCCCCCCAGGGACACAATGGGCCCTTTTTTTTATTTAAAGAAGAAACACTTTTTCATAAACCATGCCTTTTGGATTAAAAATACCTTCCAAGAACACACTGATTTTTAGTGGTGTTGCAGGTGGCATTGCAGGTCTTGTCTATTCTAGTAATAAATATGCCCAAGATGCCAGAACAAGACTTGCTCAACGAGTTTCTTTTCTCGCTGACAGACCTTGTGGTGTCCATGTAAGTCTTTTTTCTCTCTTTTTTCTCTCTTTCTTGTCCACACCCCATAAGAAACTAGGAAATGCCTCGTAAAGTCACAGTGTATATTACTGCACCACCTGGTGATGGACTTGAAAAGAGTCGAACTTGGTTTCGTGAATATGTCAAGGTAATATAATACGCCTAACCCACCGACAAAAAATTAAACTGACACTTTTTTTACGTGCTTGCAGCCTATTCTTGTTGCAGGTGCTGTCGATTACGAAATTAAAGAAGCTAAATCACCTGGCCAAATCGAAACTTTTGTCTTGGAAGAAATCGTTCAACGTCGTCGTGAAGCCGTCGAAGCAAGTAATGCAAAATCAACCGACAATGAACAATTAGAACACAAGTCCAACACAGGTTTTACAACACCTGTGAATAACATGAGCAACAAGAAGAAAAGTGAAGTGGTATCCGATGGGATTTTAGGGATAGGTAGAAATGCGTATCGTGAAGTGCTTTGCGCATTAGGCAAGGGATGGGATTTTATTCTTGCTGTGTTTGTAGAGGTGCGTCTTCTAGATGTGTAAGGACATAGAGAAGACATAGTATGAGACATCTTTTATTGCAGAGGAAACCTTGAAAATGTTAAAAGCCACATCATTCAAGAATTTGACAATTTCTTGCTTCTGCTTGAGTTTTCACATATTATGGATACCCCCGAATGAACATCCTTAGATGGCTCAGTGCGTTTTTAATTATAAATGTATTTGGAAGCAGGAAAATACGCTGTAGATGCTGTATTGAACCAAATCGACATTTTTAAGAACGGGATGAGGATTTGTAGCAAGAGGAAAAAAGTATTGTATTAGACATGATATAGCATAAGTTTTGAGGAAAGAGATATGCTAATTCAAGTAGATACAAGTATTTTTGGTAAGTTAATGCATGTGACAATGTCAATTTGCGTTAAATAAAGTGTGTAATATACATATATAAAATATGATTTAACGATGTCTTTTTTTATTTGTTTCCATATGCTTAAAAAGGGAATGATAGCAAAGGTCTCTTTTCGCAGGCACTAGAGATTTTGCGACAGAAGAGTAGTCTAGCAAAAACTAATATCGCGCTTCAATGTAGTGGGTTTTAGATAGAATCTTTGAATGCATGCTTCAACCCCGTCATTGAGTTCATGGTCAAATATGGTTGTTGTACCACATTAAAATGGTTACATGAAACACTGTGTTCTCTTAAGCCTCTTCGTATTTGTGCTTTCGCCGCTTTTAGCATCGTGTTGTAGAAGAAGGTATATGGAAGAAGTCTATGACTATTCTCGGCATAGATATTGTATTGCTATCGGTAAGCGACTTATTTTTTTTAATTACGGCATTGCTTACTTCGTATAGATTTGGGCTATGACTTTATCACCTCTGTAGCGGTAGCCATTAATAGACCTGACTGGATTGTTGAAAGGTTAGTCGACATTAAAACAGCAGAATTTATACGTGTATTTTTTTTTGACAGAGATTCCTTTTTGAAAAAAGTCATGAACACGAATACCGCATCTCAATATTATATGACACTACCACCAGAAATGTCATTGCCAGAGGAATCAAGGCCGAGGAAGCGAATGAGGATCCGAAAGGGCTCCAGGAAGGCGTTATTTATATACACAACACCCTAAGCGAGCTCGCTGACATTTATTTAAAATACAATCAACAACCTTTCGATAATACGGCACTGTACGTGCTCTTGTACGAGGAAGCTATAGACCTGTTACAAAAAATACTGGATCAACATAAAAAAGAGTTGAATAGTGTAAATATAGATTTTTGTTATTCTTTGAATCTTCCAACCAGTTGGGATCATGAAATAAGAGAACAATTGTTCCTGCCTCTATTTGTAAAAGCTGGTCTTCTTCATGAAAATGATGGTCCAGACAGGCTGGCGTTTTTTTCAATGTTAGAGCTAAGGTTTCAAAACATACCGATGAATAGATTCGGGAAGGGTGGAAACATAAAGCATGGAGATCAGCACGTCATGTGTACAATAGATTATCAAGGTACATACTCTGTGGATTTGGAATTGGTATCAGCTCAATACCCTGCTTTTAGATTAGCAAAAAGGAAATTGGTGCCACAATTGTTGAAACAGGCTCACTTTGTAATCCCGTCTGGACCAAAGGAACTACGATTATCATTAATAGCATGTGTAGAAAAGCATTGTGATACTACGTTATCACCAGAATCTATCGACGACATGCTTTACACACTCTGCCAATACTGCGATGTATATTATTTAGTAAGAGTTAATGGAAAGGAAATTGGGAAGATAATTAAAACATTTTTTTTTGTTTTGCCAGGATATGCCATATGAATTTTTAGATGATCAGCCATTGCCAGACTTGAAATCTCGCTGGACGAATAAACCAATTACTTTAAAGGACATACTTGAACATTTATTTAGTCATGCAGAAGAAGTCTTTAGAAATGAAGTAGATAAATTTCTTGTAGGCAGGAGCAATTTAGTACCCAGACCATTGGACATTTTTTACACAAGTCGAATCCCGAAAACATTTTTTGCTTTCGGGCTAATCTCATCATTTGATTGTTTCTCGAAAAAGTATTTCAGGGAACTAAAAGAACTTTACATATCCGCGGAACTCGGTGATTTTTCCCCCATATTCAAACTCTCTGACTATCGTAGCCGAAGATATGCAACTCAAGAGCTTTTAGAAAACCGAATGGAAGAATTTATCGTGCGTAGAAACCCAGTTATACTACCCAACGAAACAACAACGGGAGAACCCGAAAGTTGCTTAAAGCCTATTATCTTCATCAATATCGGTAAATTGACTCCTCAGTAGTATCGGCTTCGTATTAACCTGACCTATTTGAAACCAAACAGCCATATCGTCTACACAAATCCAGATTGCTTATACATACCTAGATAAAGGTAGACAAGTTGGACAGAAGCAAACTTTTGAATGGTAATGGTCATAAGAGTCAGATTATCTTGTATAAGAAAGTCCAACTAAGTTCCATTTCATTGCATAATAGTAATATGCGACCATTGAATAGTTTCATCAAGCAATCAGAAATATATCAAAGACCAGTACTACAAATATCAAATAGGTAAAACTACTTGAAGAAACGCTTATGATTGTCAATTCTAATTGTGCGTTTAGACTGAAGTTAGGTTTAGAAAAGATTTTTGGTGACTACCTTGAATTATACTCAAGTTACGAAAAAAATGGGAAAAAAAGAATACCAGCATCAAAATTACTTGGCCGGGCTTTCCAAAATATGCGGAAGAGAAGGATTTCAAGTAATGTTGAATGGATAAAAACAAGTAAAAATCGACCAAAGAAAATCAGAAAATTATTTGTTTCCTCAAACCCAAACCTATTTAAACAGCTTACGGCAAACTTTGACATGGACGATCTTTTTGTGTTAAAGGACGAATTTTCTGCTTCGGATAGCAAGTTATTTACTACATGTCATCCAGGTTACATGTATTTTTTTATGATCACATATCTGCACTGTCTCAACAAGCAAATAGAGGAAAAATTAGAAAGTACTGTAGGATCGAATTGGGGAGCCAACAACATTTGGTATGGCGTTTCAATTGACAAAATGCTACTGGATACTGTATTCGGCACAATAAAGAAATTGGAAAAATCATTCTTTGCAAGTGGAATATTAGGGAAGGACGACGAACTTCGAAAAGCAAAATTATGCACCCGTGGCGAAGAAGTTCTACCAGCTATCCAACACAAGTATCAACATTTGGAGTTTAGGTTGAAAACACACTTTGTTGTTGCACAGATATCTTTAAAGCATATTCAACTCAGTTTGCATCAAGTGGTCAAACTGGCATCACCTGGAGAAGATCCAGCGTCCATCATTATTCAGGATGAAATAATACATATCGATGATGTATATGATACACTTTGTAAGAGTATCATGAAGAGCCTACAAATCAATTGTCAAGTTGACTATTGTACCACGCACAAGAACGGGGAAGATATACAATATGATTTTCAGTCATTTGGGATATATAGCAATATCTACCGAAATTTAAAACCATACGTTGTTGAACTTGTATGTTGATATAACTATAACTCGCGTCTCGGTGTATTAACTGCTTCTTGGTAGTTCGAAAAAAACAAATCAAATTTGGACATGGATTCCATTATACAGCTGAGTATCAACACGAATTGTGGTTGCAGTATAAGCATATTTCTTCGTGATATTATTGAAGTAGGCCTTATGTCAGTGATAGAAGGTATAACAACAGATATAGTGGCTTCTTTGACTGACAAAACGTTATTCGGAAACTATGTGCCGAATTATATTTTTGTGCTTGGAAATCCGTTCAATCTGGTGCAGCGTTCAAAAATTCACACAGCATACACCATGATAATGCAAAAAGCAATTGATGACGGCGTATATATCAAAGAAAAAGATACAAAGACATTTGTACCAAGAGAATCTATTTACCAATTACTGAAGACGTTTTCATCTAGAAAAAAGCCTTACATGTTTGATAGGTTTGTCACTGGAACTTTGTGCCAAGTATCAAGCAATACATACGGGATGCGAATTTCATTTAATTTTCCAGTCGAATGGAAGACTTTCACCCGAATAAACAGTGATGGCGATATCAAAAATACTATTGCAGATGATGGTAGTTATTTGGTACTTATACAGAAAGGAAAGCCAGTTCCTACAAATGGGCATATAATTCAAATCAATAAACCTGAAGGTAAGTTCGTTGCCATGATTGTTCTTCTTCGTTTGTGCTAATGAGACTCACTTCTACTTACACATAGGTATCTATTTAAATTTTCTTCAATTAGAAAGTTCAACCAATACTATTCCGAACAAGTATGCTCTATTGCACGGCGACACTCCTGGTGATACTTATAAAATATACGCCAGTGCTTTATCGCGTTATGGAATTGGAACAATTGTGGTAGAATATGAGCAGATTAGCAATAATTTATCTATCAAAGTGTCAAGAGGATGTATGGGTCATATTGAGGACTATATTGATAGACTTTATTACAATGCCGAAATTATCATGGAGCCATTGACACTCGCTTATATTTAACCTATCTTTCCTTCAATAAAATCATATATTATACACAACAAATTAAAACCATCTCTTATTTTGCATTGATTTACTTTAAACAACAACTCTGATAAACAAATTTGACTTCTCTGCATAAATAATTGTAATAAGACACCAAATTATCACCCAACATACAGTCTTTGATAGTTATGAGAGTAGAGTTTTTATTTTTATTTGGATAGCTAAATAAATCTTAAACAGAAGGAGCACCAGCTTTTGCACGAGCAGCAGAAATAAGCGCAGCATGTGACCAAGTAAGATCTCTTGCCCCCGTAGACTTTCCAGATCCCCGTTCATACTGTTCAGACATCGACCCATTGGTCAATGCATAATTTTTAACGGTAGAAAGAAACTTATCCGCACCCAACGCGACATTTTGTGTCATGGCATTAAAAGCAGCTGTACCGACCTTGTACACGGTCCCTTCCACAGCAGCCGTATCGAATTTCTTAAAAAAGGGTAAACTAATGGAGGAGACCTTGACTTGACCCGCTAGTGTCCATTCCTTGATAGCACGATAATAAAGTTCTGCATAGGCGCTGGTTGCCAAATACCAAGGGTTACCTTGTCCATTCCCGTTCCCATTGTACGTATCCTCGGGGTATCGACCGATGGCTGTACCCAAATAAGAAGGGGTATTGACATTGATATCATAGAGAGAACTAAATTTGCTTTCAACAACGACAGCGGTGGCTAAAATTTTATCGGATCCGGGTGTATAGAAACCGTCTGCGAGGGAACCTGAATTAGCAGCGATCAAGGTAGAGACATCGTAACCGGCTTTTTGAACACCCCCTGTGAGACTTTGAGTGACGGTAATGTAGGTACCGGACCAAAAGGTGTCGATTTTGGTTTTTAAGGTGTTGGCGGTAGTGGTGTAGGTGGAGGCACGTGTGGTGTCACCGTTACGTGTAGCGAAATTTGCACCGTGGATCAAACCTTTGCGCATGACCATGAGTGTGTAAAAGTGAACACCGTTGGCTTCCTCCCTACATTTTTTAATAATAGACAGTTTGTGTTAGATTTTTTTTTTGGGAGGGTTTTGTTTTGGTTTGGTTCATTACCAGAGATCGAAACATCCGTCGGACCAAGTACTCACTACATAATCCAAATCCTTGAAAATTGCTATAAAATATTTTTTTATATGTAAATTAATATGACCAATAAAAGTAGTGAGTGGGTTATTTCGATGCAGCCCTTACCAGGTTTAAGTGTTCCAGTAACATAGGTATCATCACCGGATTGTTTAAGAATACTATCTGCAATTAAAATAAACGACGAAGCACGTTCAGCCGGGCCATCATTTTGAGGTCTATTTTTTTTTTAAACCAAACATTTACAACATTAGTTATTTTCTTTCACGTTATTCAATTTAAGGGTACCTTCCCCAGGCTCCAGTGAAACTTGATCCATCCGCATTAAACTTGGGCTCTCCCAAACAATTACAAGCAGTACTTGTCGATTGTGCATTAATAGAGTACGTCACATAATCCTTCAAGAGACCCACAGTGGCAGCGTCTCCCTTAAGCGTCGTATTATAATCATTAGCCATGACATACGAGACCAAAGCCGAATCACGAGTCCAAGAGTAATAATAATCTGGGCCAGAAGTAGACAACGAGGCAGCGATAAAACCCTTGGCAGCTCCCGGTGGGTTAATGTTACGGATCATGGCAGCACGACTGATACCCTCTTGAGTTTTAATCCATGTGGAAATGGTAGAGTTACCCGAGGGAAAAGCGGTGGATGTGGATGTAGGGGGTGTTTCAGTGGCAGTGGAAGTGGGAGAGGAAGAAGTGGTCGTGGTGGGAGGGGGTGTTGTGACAACATAATTAGCGGATCCGTTGTTGTCATAGTAAGTCTTGCCACTGACATCGTACTAAAAAAAGAGACGATTTATTTATGTTGAAGACATGATGGGGGGGGACTTACCTTGATGTAGAATTCTTTAATACTAGAGATAGCGGTAGAAGAGAATGTCCAAAATTCATAACTGGTATCACTGATGCTTTCACTGAAAGCGGCTTTGACAAGATTAGCATTGTTGTTCCAATCACCTGTAGCGTCCGAGTAAATGACACTGACGACTTTGGTCAAATCAATATTTTTGACCTAGATAGAGGTTTGAGGGGGGATGAGATAGGCGAAAGAAAGAAAAAAGAGAGAGAGCTTACATAGATTTTACCAGTAAATGATTTTCCAGCAACGTAATCATAGGATTGAACCTTGACTTCAGAAGTAGGAGGAGAGGTACTGACAACCGTAGCAGAGACATAGGAGAAACCGACCAGGATGAATAAAACCTGTTTCTTGAACAAGGTGTGAAGACACTTCATTTTTTTGATGTAGTTAATTTGAGATAATAATAATAATAAAAAGATGTCTTGGGATATTTATAACTTTATTCAACTCTTGTGGCCAAGACACTTTTTTTAAATTCTGTAAAAAAGGATAAAGTTACATTTGCACAAAATCCATTTTGTTCCCCGGGACGGTTTCCCAAGTACAGATCTCTCTTAATTTTGCATGGTACATTTTTTTTTTTCATCCATGCGATCGTATGACAGCCAATGATTTGTGTGTACAAAAAATTGACACTAATATGAAAAGCGTCAACTATTACTGCATTTAGAATCAATCATTTGATTGGGTTTGGATTTTTTTTTTTTTTTTTTTTTTTTTATAAAGCCCCCTTTTTTTAAAAAAAGAAACACTTTTCATAAACAAGACATGCCTTTTGGATTAAAAGTACCTTCCAAGAACAAACTGATCTTTCGTGGTATACAGGTGGTATTGCAGGTCTTGTCTATTCCAGTAACAAATATGCCCAAGATGCCAGAACAAGACTTGCTCAAGGAGTTTCTTTCCCTTTCTTTGATCTCTCTTCATTGTCTCACGACATAGGAATCTAGGAAATGCCTCGTAAAGTCACAGTGTATATTACTGCTCTACCTGGCGATGGACTTGAAAAGAGTCGAACTTAATTCCGTGAATATGTCAAGGTAATATAATACGCCAACCCAACGAAAAAAAAAAAAAGCATGTATAAAAAAAAAAAAAAAAAAAAAAAACTGACACTTTTTTTTTGCATGCTACAGCCCATTCTTGTTGCAGGTGCTGTCGATTACGAAATTAAAGAAGCTAAATCACCTGGCCAAATCGAAACTTCTGTCATGGAAAAAATCGTTCAACGTCGTTGCGAAGCCGTCGAAACATCAGCAGACAATGCAGAATCAGCATACCACGACCAATTAGAAAACAATTGCAACACAGGTTTTACATCACCTATGGATAACATGAACAACAAGAAAAGCAAAGTGATTTCCGATGGTATTTTAGCGATTGGTAGAAATGCGTATCGTGAAGTGCTCAGCGCATTAGGCAAGGGATGAGATGATATTCTTGCTGTGTTTGTAGAGGTGCGTCTTCTAAAAGCGTAAGGACATAGAGAAGACAAAGGCTAAGACATCTTTTATTGCAGACGAAACCTTGGAAATGTTAAAACACACATCATTCAAGAATTTGACAATTTCTTGCTTCTGCTTGAGTTTTCACATATCATGTATATCCCCCGAATGAACATCCTTAGATGGGTTAGTCCGTCTTTGACTATAAATATATTGGGAAGCAGGAAAATACGCTGTAGATGCCCTATTGAACCAAATCGACATTTTTAAGAACGGGATCCAAATTTATAGCAAGAGGGAAAAAAAGGTATTGTATTAGACATGATATAGCCGAAGTATTGAGGAAATAGATATGCTAATTCAAGTAGATACAAGTATTTTTGGTAAGTTAGTGTATGTGTATATGTTAATTTGCGTTAAATAAAGTGTGTAATATACATATATAAGATATGATGTAAACGATGTACTTTTTTTATTTGTGTCCATATGCTTAAAAAGGGAATGATAGCAAAGGTCTCTTTTCCCAGGCACTAGAGATTTTGCGACAGAAGAGTAGTCTAGCAAAAACTAATATCGCGCTTCAATGTAGTGGGTTTTAGATAGATTCTTTGAATGCATGCTTCAACCCCGTCATTGAGTTCATGGTCAAATAAGGTTTCGTACTACAAATAAACGGATTATACGAAACGCCGTGAACTCATTTGTGCTTTCGACGCTTTTAACATCGTTGTGGAAGAAAGAAGACGGAAGAAGTCTATGACCATTCTCGGCATAGATATTGTATTTTTATCGGTAAGCGACTTATTTTTTTTTAAAAATTACGGCGTAGCTTACTTCGTTTAGATTTGGGCTATGACATCCTCACCTCTGGAGCGGTAGCCATTAATAGACCTCAATTAATTGTTAAAGGGTTAGTCGACATGAAAACAGCAGAATTTGTACGTGTATTTTTTTGACAGAGATTCCTTTTTTTAAAAAAAAGGTCTGAACACGAATTCCGCACCTCAATTTTATATGACACTACCACCAGAAATATTATTGCCAGAGACTACAAGGCTGATGAAGCGAATAAGAATCCGAAAGGGCTCCAGGAAGGCGTTATTTATATACACAACACCCTAAGCGAGCTCGCTGACATTTATTTAAAACCCAATCAACAACCTTTCTATAATATGGCACTGTACGTGCTCTTATGCAAGGAAGCTATAGACCTGTTACAAATAATACGGTATTATTATGAACTAGGATTGAATAGTGTAGATATGGATTTTTGCTATTCTTTGAATTTTCCAACCAGTTGGGATTATGAAATAAGAGAAGAATTGTTCCTGCCTCTATTCGTAAAAGCTGGTCTTCTCCATGAAAATGATAGTCCGGGCAGGCTGGTGTTTTTTTCAATGTTAGAGTTAAATTTTCAGAACATACAGGCAGGTAGATACAACTATGCTGATAGAAACTTAAAGTATGGTGATCAGCGCGTTATGTGTACAATTGATTATCAAGGTACATACTCCGTGGATTTGAAATTGGTATCAGCTCAATATCCTGCCTTCAGATTAGCACAAAGAAAATTGGTGCCACAATTGTTGAAACAAACTCACTTTGTAATCCCGTTTGGACCAAAGGAACTACGATTATCATTAATAGCATGTGTGGAAAAGCATTGTGATACTACGTTATCATCAGAATCTATCGACAACATGCTTGATAAACTCAGTCGAAAGTACGATGGAATTAATTATTTTGTAAGAGTTAATTAAAAAGAAATTGGGAAAATAATTAAAAACGTTTTTTTTTTGCCAGGAAGATATAGGTGATGTTTTACATGATCAGCCATTGCCAGACTTGAAATCTCGCTGGGCGAATAGATTAATTACTTTAGAGGACATACTTGAACATTTCTCTGGTTCTGCCGAAAAATTCTTAAGAAGTGAAGTAGATAAATTTCTTGTAGGCACGAGCAATACAGTACCTAGGCCCTTAGACATTTTTTACAAAAATCGAATCCCGTACACATTTTTAGCTATGGGGCTAATCTCATCAGTTTATTGCTGGTCGAGAAAGTATTTCGGGGAACTAAAAGAATCTTACATATCCGCGGAACTCGGTCATGATTCCCCCATATTCAAACTCGATGACTATCGTAGCCGAAGATTTGCAATTTTAGAGCTTTTAGAAAACCGAATGGAAGAATTTATCGTGCGTAGAAACCCAGTTATACTACCCAACGAAACAACAATGGAAGAACCCAAAAGTTGCTTAAATCCTATTATCTTCATCAATATCGGTAAATTGACTCCTTAGTAGTATCGGCTTCGTTTTAACCTAACCTATTTTGAAACCAAACAGACATATCGCCTACACAAATCCAGACTGCTTTTACATACCTAGATAAAGGTAGACAAGTTGGACAGAAGCAAAACTTTGAATGGTAATAGTGATAGGCGGCAGAATGTCTTGTATAAGAAAGTCCAACTAAGTTCCATTTTATTGCATAATAGTAATATGCGACCATTGAATAGTTTCATCAAGCAATCAGAAATATATCAAAGACCAGTACTACAAATATCAAATAGGTAAAACTACTTGAAGAAACGCTTATGATTGTCAATTCTAATTGTGCGTTTAGACTGAAGTTAGGTTTAGAAAAGATTTTTGGTGACTACCTTGAATTATACTCAAGTTACGAAAAAAATGGGAAAAAAAGAATACCAGCATCAAAATTACTTGGCCGGGCTTTCCAAAATATGCGGAAGAGAAGGATTTCAAGTAATGTTGAATGGATAAAAACAAGTAAAAATCGACCAAAGAAAATCAGAAAATTATTTGTTTCCTCAAACCCAAACCTATTTGAACAGCTTACGGCAAACTTTGACATGGACGATTTTTTTGTGTCGAACGACGAATTTCCTGCTTCGGATAGCAAGTTATTTACTACATGCCATCCAGGTTACATGTATTTTTTTATGCTCACATATCTGCACTGTCTCAACAAGCAAATAGAGAAAAAATTAGAAAGTAATGTAGGATCGAATTGGCGAGCCAACAACATTTGGTATAGCGTCTCTATTGACAAAAAGCTACTGTATACTGTATTCGGCTCAATAAAAAAATTGGAAAAATTATTCTTTGCAAGTGGAATACTCGGGAAGGACGACGAACTTCGAAAAGCAAAATTCTGTACCCGTGGTGAAGAAATTTTACAAGCTATCCAACACAAGTATCAGCATTTGGACTTTAGGTTGAAATCATACTTTGTTGTTGCACAGATATCTTCAAAGCATATTCAACTTAGTTTGCATCAAGTGGTCAAACTGACATCACCTGGAGAAGATCCAGCGTCCATCATTATTCAGGATGAAATAATACATATCGATGATGTATATGATACACTTTGTAAGAGTATTATGAAGAGCATACAAATCAATTATCAAGTTGACTATTGTACCACGCATAAGTACGGTAAAGATATACAATATGATTTCCAGTCATTTGAGATGTATAGCAATATTTATCGAAATTTAAAACCATGTGTTGCTGAACTTGTAAGATGGTATACCTATAATTAGCGTCTCATTGCATTAATTGCTTCTTGGTAGTTCGAAAAAAACAAATCAAATTTGGACATGAATTCCAAAATACAACTGAATATCAACACGAAATGCGGCTGCAGTATAAGCATATTTCTTCGTGATATTATTGAAGGAGGCCTTATGTCAGTGACAGAAAGTATTACAACTGATACAGTGGCTTCTTTGACTAACAAAAGATTATTTGGAAACTATGTATCGAATTATATTTTTGTGTTTGGAGATCCATTCAATCTGGGGCAGGGTTCAAAGATCCACATCATATACACCATGATTATGAAAAAAGCAATTGATGACGGCGTTTATATTAAAGAAAAAGACACAATGACATTTGTACTAGGAGAATCAATTTTCCAATTACTGGAGACGTTTTTAACTGGGAAAAAGCCTTACATGTTTGATAGGTTTGTCACTGGAACTTTGTGCCAAGTATCAAGCAATACATACGGGATGCGGATTCTATCATATCATTCACGCGATTCAATGCCTTTCACCCGAATAAACAGTGATGGTGATATCAAAAATACTATTGCAGGTACTGGTAGTTATTTGATATTTATTCAGAAAGGGAAGCCAGTTTCAACAAAAGGGCTTATAATTCAAATGAAATACGGATGTTGTAAGTTCGTTGCCATGATTATTCTACTTCGTTTGTGCTAATGTGACTCACTTCTACTTACACAAAGCTACCGAATTAAAAATTCTTCAATTAGAAAGTTCAACCAGTACTGTTCCGGACAAGTATACACTATTGCACGGCGACACTCCTGGTGATACTTATAAAATATTATCCGATGATTTGACGTCTCGTATTATCAGAAACGTTGTGGTAGAATATGAGCTGATTAGCAATAATTTATCCATCAAAATATCAAGAGGATGTATGGCCGATATTGAAGACTATATTGATAAACCTTATTACGCAACCGTAAATATCATAGAGCCATTGACACTCGCTTATATTTAACATATCATTGCTTCAATAAAATTATATATTACATACAACTGATTTAAACCATCTCTTATTTTCATTGTGTTACTTTATTCAACAACTCTGATAAACAAATTTGGCTTCTCTGCATAACTAATTGTTATAAGACATCAAATTATCACCCAACATACAGTCGTTGATAGTTATGGAAAACAAAGTTATTATTTTTATTTAAACACCTAAATAAATCTTAAGCAGAAGGAGCACCAGCTTTTGCACGAGCAGCAGAATTCAGCGCAGCATGCGACCAAGTAAGATCTCTGGCCCCCGTGGACTTTCCAGATCCCCGTTCATACTGTTCAGACATCGACCCATTGGTCAGTGCATAATTTTTAACGGTAGAAAGAAACTTATTCGCACCCAACGCGACATTTTGTGTCATGGCATTAAAAGCAGCGGTACCGACCTTGTACACGGTCCCTTCCACAGTAGCCGTATCGAATTTCTTAAAGAAGGGTAAAGTAATCGAGGAGACCTTGACTTGACCCGCTAGCGTCCATTCCTTGATAGCACGATAATAAAGTTCTGCATAGGCGCTGGTTGCCAAATACCAAGGGTTACCTTATGTCCATTCCCGTTCCCATTGTACGTATCCTCGGGGTATCGACCGATGGCTGTACCCAACAAATAAGAAGGAGCATTGACATTGATATCATAGAGAGAACTAAATTTGCTTTCAATAACGACAGCGGTGGCCAAAATTTTATCGGATCCGGGTGTATAGAAACCGTCTGCGAGAGAACCTGAATTAGCAGCGATCAAGGTAGAGACATCGTAACCGGCTTTTTGAACACCCCCTGTGAGACTTTGGGTGACGGTAATGTAGGTACTGGACCAAAAGGTATCGATTTTGGTTTTGAGGGTGTTGGCGGTAGTGGTGTAGGTGGAGGCACGTGTGTTGTCACCGTTACGTGTAGCGAAATTTGCACCGTGGATCAAACCTTTGCGCATGACGATGAGTGTGTAAAAGTGAACACCGTTGGCTTCCTCCCTACATTTTTTTTAAATAATAGACAGTTTGTGTTAGATTTTTTTTTGTTTTTTTGGGAGGGTTGGGTTTTGTTTTGGTTCATTACCAGAGATCGAAACATCCGTCGGACCAAGTACTCACTACATAATCCAAATCCTTGAAGATTGCTATAAAAAAAATGTTAATATGTATATTAATATGACCTATAAAAGTAGTGAGTGGGTTATTTCGATGCAGCCCTTACCAGGTTTAAGTGTTCCAGTAACATATGTATCATCACCGGACTGTTTAAGAATACTATCTGCAAGTAAAATAAACGACGAAGCACGTTCAGCTGGGCCATCATTTTGAGGTCTAGATTTTTTAAACCAAACATTTACAACATTAGTCATTTTCTTTCACGTTGCTCAATTCAAATAACTGGACTTCAAAACAATATCATACTTTGTTATGTACTGCACAAATATTTTAAAAACATATTCAGCTCACTTTGCATCAAATTGTCAAACTGGCATTACCTGGAGAAGATGCGACTACCATTGTTATTCAAGATGAAATAATTTACATAGATGATGTATATGATAGTCTATGTAAGAAAATTTTGGCGAAAACTCAAATCGACCGTGAAATCAATTATAGCCTCACACACAATGCATATGGTGCTTTTGACTCGCTCCAAACTTATACCAGTATACGTCAGAACCTAAAGTTATACGTTTCTGAGATTTTTAAGTTAAATGGGACTACACTATCACTTTTACTTGGAGGTTTATTGGTAGTTGAAGATGAGCGAAGAAAGTTTGGATTTGGATTGTAATAAGAAGTTAAATATGAACGACAACTGCGATTGTAATATCAGTATTTTTCTTCGTAACATTATTGAAGTAAGCCTCAAGTCAATTATAGAAGATATTGCAACAGTCATAGCGGCTTCTTTGACAAACAACAGAATATTTAGAAATTACGAAATGGAATATCTATTTGTTTTAGGAAATTCATTTCGCATGTCTTACAACCCAATTGTTTACACAATATACTATGATAATGAAACCAGCCATTAACAATTGTATGCAAGTCAAAGAAAAAGATACTCTATCATTTGTATTAGTTAAGAGAACCATTTATACAGTTATTGGAGTCAGTTACACGTATCAGACCATATATGTATGAGAGACTTGTAACTAGAACATTGTGCCAAATATCAGGGGACACATATGCGCTGCGACTTAGTTTTGGTGGGTCTGAGTTTCTCCCTTTCTTTCATATAGATAAACGATGACAATATAAGAAATACTATCGAGAACAATGGTAGCTACTCTGTATTTATTCGAAACGTGAAGCCGATCTCAACAAAAGGATGCATAGTGGAAGTCCCCCAAAACTACGGATACGGTCAAAGTTTCCATGTCCACACCCTTTTTGAATTGTTTAAATTACTTCATTCAAGCAAGTTAGTGTATGTGGCAATGTTTATTTGCATTAAGTAAAGTGGGTAATATTTAAAAAATATGATGTAAACGATGTCTTTTTTTATTTGTTTCCATATGCTTAAAAGGGGAAGGATAGCAAAGGTCTCTTTTCCCAGACACTAGAGATTTTGCTACAGAAGAGTAGTCTAGCAAAAACTAATATCGCGCTTCAATGTTAGTAGGTGTTAGATAGAAAGTTTGAATGCATGCTTTACCCCATCAATACCTGCATGGTCACACAAGGTTCTTGTGCCACAACAAAATAGTTACACGGAACAATGTATTCTCGTAAGCCTCTTCGTATTTGTGCTTTCGCCGATTTTAACATCGTGTTGTAAAAGAAAGAAGATGGAAGAAGTCTATGACTATTCTCGGCATAGATATTGTATTTTTATCGGTAAGCGACTTGATTTTTTAAATTACGGCGTTGCTTACTTCGTATAGATTTGGGCTATGACATGATCACCTCTATAGCGGTGGCCATCAATAAACCAACAGATGAAGATGAAGATGAAGATGAAGATGAAGATGAAGATGATGAAGATGAAACGTTAGTCGACATTAAATTAACAGATTTTATACGTGTATTTTCTTTTTTTGACAGATTCCTTTTTAAAAATAGATTACGAGACGAATACCGCACCTCAATTTTATATGACACTACCACGAGAAATATCATTGCCAGAGGCAACAAGGCTGTTGAAGCGAATGAGAATTCGAAAGGGTTCCAAGAAGGCGTTATTTATGTACGCAACGCCTTAGGCGGGCTTGCTGACATTTATTTAAAATCAAAGCAACAATCCTTCGACACTACGGCACTGTACGCGCTCTTGTACGAGGAAGCTATAGATCTGTTACAAAAAATACGGTATGATTGTAAACAAGAATTGAATAGTGTAAATATAGATTTTTATTATTCTTTGAATCTTCCAACCAGTTGGGATTATGAAATAAGAGAAGAATTGTTCCTGCCTCTATTCGTAAAAGCTGGTCTTCTCCATGAAAATGATGGTCCGGACAGGCTGGTGTTTTTTTCAATGTTAGAGTTAAATTTTCAGTTCATGTATACGAATAGTGGAAATCGGTACATTACAAAAATAAAGTATGGTGATCAGCGCGTTATGTGTACAATTGATTATCAAGGTACATACTCCGTGGATTTGAAATTGGTATCAGCTCAATATCCTGCCTTCAGATTAGCACAAAGAAAATTGATGCCACAATTGTTGAAACAAGCTCATTTTAAAATCCCGTTTGGACCAAAGGAACTACGATTGCCATTAATAGCATGTGTGGAAAAGCATTGTGATATTACGTTATCATCAGAATCTATCAAAGACATGTTTGAAAAACTAAGTCAAGAGTACAATGGAGTTGGTTATTCTGTAAGAGTTAATGGAAAAGAAATTGAGAAAATAATTAAAAACATTTTTTTTTTTTTTTTTTTTTTTTTGCCAGAGAATGACAGGTGATGTTTTATATGATCAGCCATTCCCAGACTTGAAATCTCGCTGGACGAATGAATCAATCACTTTAGGGGACATACTTGAACATTTTTCTGGTTTTGTTGAAAAATTCTTTAGAAATGAAGTAGATAAATTTCTTGTAGGCATGAGCAATATAGTACGCAGACCATTGGTCATTTTTTACACAAGTCGAATCCCGAAAACATTTTTTGCTTTGGGGCTAATCTCATCTGTTGATTGTTGGTCGCACAAGTATTCCATGGAACTAAGAAAAATTTATCCATCAGCGAAACTCGGTGATAATTTTCCCATATTCGAACTCTTTGACTATCGTAGCCGAAGAAATCCAACTCAAGAGCTTTTAGAAAACCGAATGGAAGAATTTAACGTGCGCAGAAACCCAATTATACTACCCAACGAAACAACAATGGAAGAACCCAAAAGTTGCTTAAAGCCTATTATCTTTATCAATATCGGTAAGTTGACTCCTTAGTAGTATCGGCATCGTATTAGTCTAACCTATCTTAAAACCAAACAGACATATCGCCTACACAAAGCCAGACTTTTATTACATACCTAGAAAAAGATAGACAAGGTGGACAGAAGCAAAAATTTGAATGGTAATAGTGATAGGCGGCAGAATGTCTTGTATAAGAAAGTCCAACTAAGTTCCATTTTATTGCATAATAGTAATATGCGACCATTGAATAGTTTCATCAAGCAATCAGAAATATATCAAAGACCAGTACTACAAATATCAAATAGGTAAAACTACTTGAAGAAACGCTTATGTGATTGTCAATTCTAATTGTGCGTTTAGACTGAAGTTAGGTTTAGAAAAGATTTTTGGTGACTACCTTGAATTATACTCAAGTTACAAAAAAAATGGGAAAAAAAGAATACCAGCATCAAAATTACTTGGCCGGGCTTTCCAAAATATGCGGAAGAGAAGGATTTCAAGTAATGTTGAATGGATAAAAACAAGTAAAAATCGACCAAAGAAAATCAGAAAATTATTTGTTTCCTCAAACCCAAACCTATTTGAACAGCTTACGGCAAACTTTGACATGGACGATTTTTTTGTGTCAAAGGACGAATTTTCTGCTTCGGATAGCAAGTTATTTACTACATGCCATCCAGGTTACATGTATTTTTTTATAATCACATATCAGCACTGTCTCAACAAGCAAATAGAGAAAAAATTAGAAAGTAATGTAGGATCGAATTGGCGAGCCAACAACATTTGGTATAGCGTCTCTATTGATAAAAACCAATTGGATACTGTGTTCGGCTCAATAACAAATTTGGAAAAGTCTTTCTTTGCAAGCGGAATACTCATGAAGGACGACGAACTTCGAAAAGCAAAATTCTGCACCCGTGGTGAAGAAATTCTACCAGCTATCCAACACAAGTATCAGCATTTGGACTTTATTTTGAAATCACACTTTGTTGTTGCACAGATATCTTCAAAGCATATTCAACTTAGTTTGCATCAAGTGGTCAAACTGGCATCACCTGGAGAAGATCCAGCGTCCATCATTATTCAGGATGAAATAATACATATCCATGATCTATATGATACACTCTGTAAAAATATTATGAAGAGCCTACAAGTCAATTGTCAAGTTGACTATTGCACCACCCACAAGAGTCAGAAAGATACACAATATGATTTCCAGTTATTAGAGATATATAACAATATTTATCGAAATTTAAAACCATGCGTTGTTGAACTTGTAAGTTGATTTATAAGTAACGTCTCAGCTTATTAATTACTTTTTGGTAGTTGGAAAAAAACAAATCAAATTTGGACATGGATTCCAAAATACAGCTGGATATCAACACAAAATGTGGTTGCAGTATTAATATATTTCTTCGTGACATTATTGAAGGAGGCCTTATGTCAGTGATAGAAAGTATGGCAACAGATATAGTGGCTTCTTTGACCAACAAAAAGTTATTTGGAAACTATGTACCGAATTATATTTTTGTGTTTGGAGATCCGTTCAATCTGGGGCAGGGTTCACCGATCCACAAAACACACACCATGCTTTTGCAAAAAGCGATTGATGACGGCGTATATATTAAAGAAAAAGATACAAAGATATGTGTACTAAGAGAATCTATTTACCAATTACTGGAGACATTTTTATCTGGAAAAAAGCCTTACATGTTTGATAGGTTTGTCACTGGAACTTTGTGCCAAGTATCAAGCAATACATACGGGATTAATATTTCACCATATGATATAGACGATTACATGCCTTTCACCCGAATAAACAGTGATGGTGATATCAAAAATACTATTTCAGATGACGGTAGTTATTTGGTATTTATTCAGAAAGGGAAGCCAGTTTCAACAAAAGGGCTTATAATTCAAATCAATGAACCTAAAGGTAAGTTCGTTGCCATGATTGTACTTCTTCGTTTGTTCTAATGAGACCCACTTCTACTTACACATAGATGTCAGATTAAATATTCTTCAATTAGAAAGTTCAGCCAGTACTGTTCCGGACAAGTATACTCTATTGCGCGGCGACACTCCTGGTGGTACTTATGATATACTCCAATATTGCGTCGTATAATTCTATTAGAACATATATGGTAGAATATGAGCAGATTAGCAATTACTTATCTATCAAACTATCGAGAGAATGTATGGGCAATATTGATGATTATATTCATAGATCTTATTACTCAACAGAAAATATAATCGAGCCATTGACACTTGCTTATATTTAACGTATCACTGCTTCAATAAAATCACATATTATACACAACTGATTAAAGCCATCTCTTATTTGCGTTGATTTACATTAAACAACAACTCTGATAAACAATAATTTGACTTCTCTGCATAAATAATTGTAATAAGACGTCAAATCATCACCCAAAATACAGTCTTTGATAGTTATGAGAACAGAGTTTTTATTTTTATTTAAACAGCTAAGCAGAAGGAGCACCAGCTTTTGCACGAGCAGCAGAAATAAGTGCAGCATGCGACCAAGTAAGATCTCTTGCCCCCGTAGGCTTTCCAGATCCCCGTTCATATTGTTCAGACATCGACCCATTGGTCAATGCATAATTTTTAACGGTAGAAAGAAACTTATCCGCACCCAACGCGACATTTTGTGTCATGGTATTAAAATCAGCTGTACCGACCTTGTACACGGTCCCTTCCACAGCAGCCGTATCGAATTTCTTAAAAAAGGGTAAACTAATGGAGGAGACCTTGACTTGACCCGCTAGTGTCCATTCCTTGATAGCACGATAATAAAGTTCTGCATAGGCGCTGGTTGCCAAATACCAAGGGTTACCTTGTCCATTCCCGTTACCATTATATGTATCCTCGGGGTATCGACCGATAGCTGTACCCAAATAAGAAGGAGCATTGACATTGATATCATAGAGAGAACTAAACTTGCTTTCAACAATGACAGCGGTGGCCAAGATTTTATCGGATCCGGGTGTATAGAAACCGTCTGAGAGGGAACCTGAATTAGCAGCGATCAAGGTAGAGACATCGTAGCCGGCTTTTTGAACACCCCCTGTGAGACGTTGGGTGACGGTAATGTAGGTACCGGACCAAAAGGTATCGATTTTGGTTTTGAGGGTGTTGGCGGTAGTGGTGTAGGTGGAGGCACGTGTGGTGTCACCGTTACGTGTAGCGAAATTTGCACCGTGGATCAAACCTTTGCGCATGACGATGAGTGTGTAAAAGTGAACACCGTTGGCTTTCTCCCTGCATTTTTTTAAATAATGGACAGTTTGTGTTAGATTTTTTTTTTGTTTTTTTGGGAGGGTTGGGTTTTGTTTTGGTTCATTACCAGAGATCGAAACATCCGTCGGACCAAGTACTCACTACATAATCCAAATCCTTGAAAATTGCTATAAAATATTTTTATATGTAAATTAATATGACCAATAAAAGTAATGAGTGGGTTTTTTTCGATGCAGCCCTTACCAGGTTTAAGTGTTCCAAAAACATAGGTGTAATCACCGGATTGTTTAAGAATACTATCTGCAATTAAAATAAACGACGAAGCACGTTCAGCCGGGCCATCATTTTGAGGTCTAAATTTTTTAAACCAAACATTTACAACATTAGTCGTTTTCTTTCACGTTGTTCAATTCAAATAACTGGACTTCAAAACAATATCATACTTTGTTATGTACTGCACAAATATTTTAAAAACATATTCAGCTCACTTTGCATCAAGTTGTCAAATTGGCATTACCTGGAGAAGATGCGACTACCATTGTTATTCAAGATGAAATAATTTACATAGATGATGTATATGATAGTCTATGTAAGAACATTTTGGCGAACACACAAATCGAGCGTGAAATCAATTATTGCCTCACACACAATGCATATGGTGCTTTCGACTCGCTCCAAACTTATACCACTATTAGTCAGAACCTAAAGTTATACGTTTCTGAGATTTTTAAGTTAAATGGGACTACACTATTACTTTTACTTGGAGGTTTATTGGTAGTTGAAGATGAGCGAAGAAAGTTTGGATTTGGATTGTAATAAGAAGTTAAATATGAATGACAACTGCGAATGTAATATCAGTATTTTTCTTCGTAACATTATTGAAGTAAGCCTCAAGTCAGTTATAGAAGATATTGCAACAGTCATAGCGGCTTCTTTGACAAACAACAGAATATTTAGAAATTACGAAATGGAATATCTATTTGTTTTAGGAAATTTCATTTCGCATGTCTTACAACCCACTTGTTTACACAGTATATACTACGATAATGAAACCAGCCATTAACAATTGTATGCAAGTCAAAGAAAAAGATACGCTATCATTTGTATTAGTTAAGAGAACCATTTATACAGTTATTGGAGTCAGTTATACGTATCAGACCATATATGTATGAGAGGCTTGTAACTGGAACATTAAGCCAAGTATCAGGGGAAACATATGCGCTGCGACTTGGTTTTGGTGGGTCTGAGTTTCTCCCTTTCTTTCATATAGATAACCGATGACAATATAAGAAATACTATCGAGAACAATGGTAGCTATTCTGTATTTATTCGAAAAGTGAAGCCGATCTCAATAAAAGGATGCATAATGGAAGTCCCCCAAAACTACGGACATGGTCAAAGTTTCTATGTCCACACCCTTTTTGAATTGTTCAAATTACGTCACTGAAGCAAGTTAGTGTATGTGTCAATGTTGATTTGAGTTAAATAAAGTGGGTAATATATAAAAAATATGATGTAACTAAACGATGTCTTTTTTTTTTGTTTCCATATGCTTAAAGGCGGAAGGATAGCAAATATCTCTTTTCCCAGACACGAGAGATTTTGCTACAGAAGAGTAGTCTAGCAAAAACTAATACCGCGATACAGTGTTAGTAGGTGTTAGACGGAAAGTTTGAATGCATGCTTCAACGCCGTCACTGAGTTCATGGTCAAATAAGGTTTCGTACTACAAATAAACGGATTATACGAAACGCCGTGAACTCCTTATTTGTGCTTTCGACGCTTTTAACATCGTTGTGGAAGAAAGAAGATGGAAGAAGTCTATGATTATTCTCGGCATACATATTGTATTCTTATCGGTAAGCGACTTATTTTTTTTAAATTACGGCGTTGCTTACTTCGTATAGATTTGGGCTATGACATCATCATCTCTGGACTGATAAACATTAATAAGCCAAAAGAGTTTTATCAAAGGTTAGTCGACATTAAAATAGCAGAATTTATGCGTGTATGTTTTTTTTGACGAATTTCTTTTTTAAAAAGATCTGAAAAAAAGTACCGTACCTCAATTTTATATGACACTACCACCAGAAAGGTCATTGCCAGAGGCAACATGGCTGATGAAGCGAATGAGAATCCGGAAGGTCTTCAAAAAGGCGTTATTTATGTACGCAACACCTTAAGCGAGCTTGCTGACATTTATTTAAAATCTAAGCAACAATCTTTCGATAATACGGCACTGTACGCGGTCTTGTACGAGGAAGCTATAGACCTGTTACAAAAAACACTAAAGCATTATAAACAAGACTTGAATAATGTAAATATGGATTTTTGTTATTCTTTGAATCTTCCAACCAGTTGGGACTTTAACATAGGAGAAGAATTATTCCGGCCTCTATTCGTAAAAGCTTGTCTTCTCCATGAAAATGATGGTCCGGGCAGGCTGGTGTTTTTTTCAATGTTAGAGTTGAAGTTTCTATACAGGCAGATAAATAGAGTATCACGGAACCATACGAACATAAAGTATGGTGATCAGCGTGTTATGTGTACAATAGATTATCGAGGTGCGTACTCCGTGGATTTGGAATTGGTATCAGTTCAATATCCTGCTTTCAGATTAACAGGAAAAGAATTGGTCCCACAATTGTTGAAACAGGCTCACTTTGTAATCCCGTTTGGACTAAAGGAACTACGATTATCATTAATGGCATGTGTAGAAAAGCATTGTGAGACTACGTTATCATCAGAATCTATCGACAACATGCTTAAAAAACTCAGTCAAGTTTACAAAAGATTTAACGACTTTGTAAGATTTAATGGAAATGAAATTGGGAAGATAATTAAAACCATTTTTTTTTTCTTTTGCCAGAAATATATAGGTGTTTTTCTAGATGGTCAGCCATTGCCAGACTTAAAATCTCGCTTGACGAATGAATCAATCACTGTAAGGGACATACTTGAACATTTTTTTGTTCATGCAGAAAAATTCTTTAGAAATGAAGTAGATAAACTTCTTGTAGGCAGGAGCAATACAGTACCTAGGCCATTAGACATTGTTTACAATAATCGAATCCCGTACACATTTTTAGCTATGGGGCTAATCTCATCAGTTTATTGCTGGTCGAGAAAGTATTTCGGGGAACTAAAAGAATCTTACATATCCGCGGAACTCAGTGACGATTCCCCCATATACGAGTCTTTTGGCTATGATGCCCGACAATATCTAACTCAAAAGCTTTTAAAAAACCGAATGGAAGAATTTAACGTGCGCAGAAACCCAATTATACTACCTAAAGAAACAACAATGGAAGAATCCAAAAGTTTCTTAAAGCCTATTATCTTCATTAATATCGGTAAATTGACTCCTTAGTAGTATCGGATTTGTACTTACCTATTCTATTTTGAAACCAAACAGACATATCGCCTACACAAATCCAGACTGTTTTAAAGTACCTAGATAAAGGTAGACAAGTTGGACAGAAGCAAAATTTTGAATGGTAATGGTGATAGGCCGCAGAATATCTTTTATCAGAAAATTCAAACTAAGTTTTGCTTCGTTGTATAACAGTAATATGCAACCATTGAATAGCTTCATCGACCAATCACAATTATACCAAAGGCCAGTACTACACATATCAAATAGGTAAAATTACTTAAAGAAACGCTTATGATTGTCAATTCTAATTGTGCGTTTAGGCTAAAGTTAGGTTTAGAAAAGATTTTTGGTGATTATCTTCAATTGTACTCAAGTTACAAAAGAAATGTGAAAAAAAAATTGCCAGTGAGCCCAGCATCCAAATTACTTGGCAGGGCTTTCCAAAATACGCGGAAGAGGAGTTCTTTAAGCAGTGATGAAAGGATAAAATCAAGCAAAAATCGGCTAAAGAGAATTAGAAATTTATTTGTTTCCTTGGATCCAAACTTATTTAAAGAGCTTATGGCAAACTTTGAAATGGACGATCTTTTTGCGTCAAAGGATGAATCTTGTGGTTCGGATAGCAAGTTATTTACTACATGCCATCCAGGTTACATGTATTTTTTTATGATCACATATCTGCACTGTCTCAACAAGCAGATAGAGGAAAAATTAGAAAGTACTGTAGTATCAAATTGGAGAGCCAACAGCATTTGGTATGGCGTCTCTATGAATAAAAGCATATTGGACACTGTGTTCGGCTCAATAACAAATTTGGAAAAGTCTTTCTTTGCAAGCGGAATACTCATGAAGGACGACGAACTTCGAAAAGCAAAATTCTGCACCCGTGGTGAAGAAATTCTACCAGCTATCCAACCCAAGTATCTACATTTGGACTTTAGGTTGAAATCATACTTTGTTGTTGCACAGATATCTTCAAAGCATATTCAACTTAGTTTGCATCAAGTGGTCAAACTGGCATCACCTGGAGAAGATCCAGCGTCCATCATTATTCAGGATGAAATAATACATATCGATGATGTATATGATACACTTTGTAAGAGTATTATGAAGAGCCTACAAATCAATTGTCAAGTTGACTATTGTACCACGCACAAGAACGGGGAAGATATACAATATGATTTTCAGTCATTTGGGATATATAGCAATATTTATCGAAATTTAAGACCATGCGTTGTTGAACTTGTAAGCTGGTATACCTATAGCTAGCGTCTCATTGTATTAATTACTTCTTGGTAGTTCGAAAAAAACAAATCAAATTTGGACATGGATTCCAAAATACAGCTGGATATCAACACGAAATGTGGTTGCAGTATAAGCATATTTCTTCGTGATATTATTGAAGTAAGCCTTATGTCAGTGATAGAAAGTATGGCAACAGATATAGTGGCTTCTTTGACCAACAAGAGACTATTTGGAGACAATATACCGAATTACATTTTCGTATTTGGAGATCCGTTCAATCTGGGGCAGGGTTCGAAGATCCACATCGCATACACCATGATTATGCAAAAAGCGATTGATGGCGGTGTATATATGAAAGAAAAAGATACAAAGATATTTGCACTAAGAGAATCTATTTTCCAATTACTGGAGACGTTTTTATCTGGAAAAAAGCCTTACATGTTTGAAAGGTTTGTCACCGGAACTTTGTGCCAAGTATCAAGCAATACATACGGGATACGGACTTCATATGCTTATCCATACCGATTTTTGCCTTTCACCCGAATAAACAGTGATGGTGATATCAAAAATACTATTGCAGGTGATGGTAGTTATTTGGTATTTATTCAGAAAGGGAAGCCAGTTCCAACAAAAGGGTTTATAATTCAAATCAATGAACCTGAAGGTAAGTTCGTTGCCATGATTATTCTGCTTCGTTTGTGCTAATGAGACCCACTTCTACTTACACATAGATATCGATTTAGGAATTCTTCAAATGGAAAGTTCAACCAGTACTGTTCCGGATAAGTATACTCTATTGCACGGCGACACTCCTGGTGTTACTTATGAAATATTCTCCACTAATTTGACGTATGATTGTATAAGTACATTTGTGGTAGAATATGAGCAGATTAGCAATAACTTATCTGTCAAATTATCAAGAGGATGTATGGGCAATATCCATGATATTTATAGACCTTATTACGCAACCGAAAATATAATCGAGCCATTGACACTCGCTTATATTTAACCTATCACTGCTTCAATAAAATTATATATTATACACAACAAATAAAAACCATCTCTTATTTGGATCGATTTACTTTAAACAACAACTCTGACAAACAATAATTCGACTACTCTAAATAACTAATTGTAATAAGACATCAAATTATCACCCAAAATACAATCTTTGATAGTTATGGAAAACAAAGTTTTTATTTTTATTTAAACAGCTAAATAAATCCTAAGCAGAAGGAGCACCAGCTTTTGCACGAGCAGCGGAAATAAGCGCAGCATGCGACCATGTAAGATCTCTTGCCCCCGTAGACTTTCCAGATCCCCGTTCAAACTGTTCAGACATCGACCCATTAGTCAATGCATAATTTTTAACAGTAGAAAGAAACTTATCCGCACCCAACGCGACGTTTTGTGTCATGGCATTAAAAGCAGCTGTACCGACCTTGTACACGGTCCCTTCAGCAGCAGCCGTATCGAATTTCTTAAAGAAGGGTAAACTAATGGAGGAGACCTTGACTTGACCCGCTAGTGTCCATTCCTTGATAGCACGATAATAAAGTTCTGCATAGGCGCTGGTTGCCAAATACCAAGGGTTACCTTGTCCATTCCCATTCCCATTGTACGTATCCTCGGGGTATCGACCGATAGCTGTACCCAAATAAGAAGGGGCATTGGCATTGATCTCATAGAGAGAACTAAATTTGCTTTCAACAACGACAGCTGTGGCCAAAATTTTATCGGATCCGGGTGTATAGAAACCGTCTGCGAGGGAACCTGAATTAGCAGCGATCAAGGTAGAGACATCGTAACCGGCTTTTTGAACACCCCCTGTGAGACTTTGGGTGACAGTAATGTAGGTACCGGACCAAAAGGTATCGATTTTGGTTTTGAGAGTGTTGGCGGTAGTGGTGTAGGTGGAGGCACGTGTGGTGTCACCGTTACGTGTAGCGAAATTTGCACCGTGGATCAAACCTTTGCGCATGACCATGAGTGTGTAAAAGTGAACACCGCTGCGTTCCTCCCTGGGTTTTTTTTTAAATAATAGACAGCTTGCGTTAGATTTTTTTTGTTTTTATGGGAGGGTTGAGTTTGTTTGGGTTCATTACCAGAGATCGAAACATCCGTCGGACCAAGTACTCACTACATAATCCAAATCCTTGAAAATTGCTATAAGATATTTTTATATGTAAATTAATATGACCAATAAAAGTAGTGAGTGGGTTATTTCGATGCAGCCCTTACCAGGTTTAAGTGTTCCAGTAACATAGGTATCATCACCGGACTGTTTAAGAATACTATCTGCAATCAAAATAAACGACGAAGCACGTTCAGCCGGGCCATCATTTTGAGGTCTAGATTTTTTAAACCAAATATTTACAACATTAGTCATTTTCTTTCACGTTGTTCAATTCAAATAACTGGACTTCAAAACAATATCATACTTTGTTATGTACTGCACAAATATTTTAAAAACATATTCAGCTCACTTTGTATCAAGTTGTCAAACTGGCATTACCTGGAGAAGATGCGACTACCATTGTTATTCAAGATGAAATAATTTACATAGATGATGTATATGATAGTCTATGTAAGAAAATTTTGGCGAAAACACAAATCGACCGTAAAATCAATTATTGCCTCACACACAATGCATATGGTGCTTTCGACTCGCTCCAAACTTATACCACTATTAGTCAGAACCTAAAGTTATACGTTTCTGAGATTTTTAAGTTAAATGGGACTACACTATTACTTTTACTTGGAGGTTTATTGGTAGTTGAAGATGAGCGAAGAAAGTTTGGATTTGGCTTGTAATAAGAAGTTAAATATGAACGACAACTGCGATTGTAATATCAGTTTTTTTCTTTGTAACATTATTGAAGTAAGCCTCAAGTCAATTATCGAAGATATTGCAACAATCATAGTGGCTTCTTTGACAAACAACAGAATATTTAGAAATTACGAAATGGAATATCTATTTGTTTTTGGAAATTCATTTTGCATGTCTTACAACCCAATTGTTTACACAGTATATACTACGATAATGAAACCAGCCATTAACAATTGTATGCAAGTCAAAGAAAAAGATACTCTATCATTTGTATTAGTTGAGAGAACCATTTATACAGTTATTGGAGTCAGTTACACGTATCAGACCATATATGTATGAGAGACTTGTAACTGGAACATTGTGCCAAGTATTAGGGGAAACATATGCGCTGCGACTTGGTTTTGGTGGGTCTGAGTTTCTCCCTTTCTTTCGTATAGATAAACGATGACAATATAAGAAATACTATCGAGAACAATGGTAGCTACTCTGTATTTATTCGAAAAGTGAAGCCGATCTCAACAAAAGGATGCATAGTGGAAGTCCCCCAAAACTACGGATATAGTCAAAGTTTCCATGTCCACACCCTTTTTGAATTGTTTGAATTACGTCATTCAAGCAAGTTAGTGTATGTGTTAATGTTGATTTGTGTTAAATAAAGTGGGTAATATATAAAAAATATGATGTAAACGATGTCTTTTTTTTTGTTTCCATATGCTTAAAGGCGGAAGGATAGCAAATATCTCTTTTCCCAGGAACTAGAGAGTTTGCCACCGAAGAGTAGTCTAGCAAAAACTAATATCGCGCTTCAATGTTAGTAGTTGTTAGATAGAAAGTTTGAATGCATACTTTTTCCCATCATTACCTTCATGGTCATACAAGATTGATGTGCCACAAAAAATTGGTCAAGTGAAACACTGTGTTCTCGTATTTGTGCCTTTTTCTCTTCTAACATCCTGTTGTAGAAGAAAGAAGATGGAAGAAGTCTATGACTATTCTCGGCATAGATATTGTATTAATATCGGTAAGCGACTTATTTTTTAAAATTACGGCGTTGCTTAATTCGTATAGATTTGGGCTATGACATGATCACCTCTATGGCAGTGGCCATCAATAAAACATCAGATGAAGATGAAATGTTAGTCGACATTAAATTAGCAGAATTTATACGTGTATTTTTTTTTTTTTTTTTGACAAATTCCGTTTTTAGGGATAGATTTGAATACGAATATCGCACCTCAATTTTATGTGACACTTCCACAAGAAATATCATTGCCAGAGGCTACAAGGCCGATGAAGCGAATGAGGATCCGAAAGGGTTCCAAGAAGGCGTTATTTATGTACACAACACCTTAAGCGAGCTTGCTGACATTTATTTAAAATCCAAGCAACAATCCTTCGACACTACGGCACTGTACGCGCTCTTGTGCGAGGAAGCTATAGACCTGTTACAAAAAATACTGGATCGTCATAAACAAGAATCGAATAGTGTGAATATGGATTTTTTTTATTCTTTGAATCTTCCAACCAGTTGGGATTATGAATTAAGAAAAGAATTGTTCCTGCCTCTATTCGTAAAAGCTGGTCTTCTCCATGAAAAAGATGGTCCGGGCAGGCTGGTGTTTTTTTCAATGTTGGAGTTAACGTTTCGTGACATACAGGGATATAGAACCTGGGATGATGATGATAGAAACATAAAGTATGGTGATCAGTGCCTTATTTGTACAATAGATTATCAAGGTACATACTCTGTGGATTTGAAATTGGTATCAGCTCAATATCCTGCTTTCAGATTACCACAAAGAAAATTGGTGCCACAATTGTTGAAACAAACTCACTTTGTAATCCCGTTTGGACTAAAGGAACTACGATTCTCACTAATAGCATGTGTGGAAAAGCATTGTGATACTACGTTATCATCAGAATCTATCGACGACATGCTTACAGAACTCAGTCAAGAGTACGATGGAATTAATTATTTTGTAAGAGTTAATTAAAAAGAAATTGGGAAAATAATTAAAAACGTTTTTTTTTTTGCCAGGAAGATATAGGTGATGTTTTACATGATCAGCCATTGCCAGACTTGAAATTTCGCTGGGCGAATAGATTAATCACTTTAGAGGACATACTTGAACATTTTTCTGGTTCTGCCGAAAAATTCTTAAGAAGTGAAGTAGATAAATTTCTTGTAGGCACGAGCAATACAGTACCTAGGCCATTAGACATTTTTTACAAAAATCGAATCCCGTACACATTTTTATCCGTGGGGATAATATTATCAGCTGATTGTTGTTCGAAAAAGTATTTCAGGGAACTAAAAGAATCTTACCCATCCGCGGAACTAGATTTATATTCCCCAAAATTTAAACTCTTTAATTATGATTACCGAACAGATGCAATTCAACAGCTTATGGAGAACCGAATGGAAGAATTTAATGTGCGTAGAAACCCAGTTATACTACCTAAAGAAACAACAATCGAAGAACCCAAAAGTTGCTTAAAGCCTATTATCTTCATCAATATCGGTAAATTGACTCCTTGGTAGTATCGGCTTCGTTTTTGACCTAACCTATTTTGAAACTAAATAGAGATATCGCCTGCACAAATCCAGGCCGGCTTTACATACTTAGATAAAGGTAGACAAGTTGTACAGAAGCAAAATATTGAATGGTAAAGGTGTTAGGCGACAAAATATCTTTTTAAAGAAAATCCAACTAAGTTTCATTTCATCGTATAATAGTAATATGCAACCGTTGAATTATTTTATCAAGCAATCAGAAATATATCAAAGACCAGTACTACAGATATCAAATAGGTAAAGCTACTTAAAAAAACGCTTATGATTGTCAATTCTAATTGTGCGTTTAGACTGAAGTTAGGTTTAGAAAAGATTTTTGGTGACTATCTTCAATTGTACTCAAGTTACAAAAGAAATGTGAAAAAAAGAATACCAGTGAGCCCAGCATCCAAATTACTTGGCAGGGCATTCCAAAATACGCGGAAGAGGAATACTTTAAGCATTGATGAAAGGATAAAATCAAAAAAAAATAGGTTAAAAAGAATTAGAAAATTATTTGTCTCCTTAGACCCGATCCTATTTAAAGAGCTTATGGCAAACATTGAAATGGACGATCTTTTTGCGTCGAAGGATGAATCTTGTGGTTCGGATAGCAAGTTATTTACTACATGTCATCCAGGTTACATGTATTTTTTTATAATCACATATCTGCACTGTCTCAACAAGCAAATAGAGAAAAAATTAGAAAGTGATGTAGGATCGAATTGGAGAGCCAACAACATTTGGTATGGTGTCTCTGTTGATAAAAAACTATTGGATACTGTATTCGGCTCAATAAAAAATCTGGAAAAATCTTTCTTTGCAAGTGGAATACTCAGGAAGGACGACGAACTTCGAAAAGCAAAATTGTGTACCCGTGGTGAAGAAATTCTACCAGCTCTCCAACACAAGTATCAGCATTTGGACTTTAGGTTGAAATCATACTTTGTTGTTGCACAGATATCTTCAAAGCATATTCAACTCAGTTTGCATCAAGTGGTAAAACTGGCCTCACCCGGAGAAGATCCAGCGTCCATCATTATTCAGGATGAGATTATACATATTCATGGCGTATATGACATACTTTGTAAGAGTATCATGAAGAGCATACAAGTCAATTGTCAAGTTGACTATTGTACCACGCACAAGAGTCAGGAAGGTACACAATATGATTTTCAGTCATTAGAGATATATAACAATATTTATCGAAATTTAAAACCATGCGTTGTTGAACTTGTAAGCTGGTATACCTATAACTAGCGTCTCATTGTATTAATTGCTTCTTGGTAGTTCGAAAAAAACAAATCAAATTTGGACATGGATTCCAAAATACAGCTGGATATCAACACGAAATGCGATTGCAGTATCAGTATTTCTCTTTGTGACATTATTGAAGTAGGCCTTATGTCAGTGATAGAAAGTATGACAACGGATATATTGTCTTCTTTGACCAACAAAAGACTATTTGGAAACTATGTCCCAAATTATATTTTTGTGTTTGGAGATCCGTTCAATCTGGCGCAGGGTTCAAAGATCCACATCGCATACACCATGATTATGCAAAAAGCGATTGATGACGGCGTATATATTAAAGAGAAAGATACAAAGATATTTGTACCAAGAGAATCTATTTTCCAATTATTGGAGACGTTTTTATTGGGAAAAAAGCCTTACATGTTTGAAAGGTTTGTCACTGGGACTTTGTGCCAAGTATCAAGCAATACATACGGGATACGGATTTCATATTCATACTGTTTGATCCCTTTCACACGAATAAACAGTGATGGTGATATCAAAAATACTATTCCAGATGATGGCAGTTTTGTGGTATTTATTCAGAAAGGGAAGCCAGTTCCAACAAAAGGGCTTATAATTCATATCAATGAACCAGAATGTAAGTTCGTTGCCATGATTGTACTTCTTCGTTTGTTCTAATGAGACCCACTTCTACTTACACATAGATATCATATTAGAAATTCTTGAATTAGAAAGTTCAACCAGTACTGTTCCGGACAAGTATACTCTATTGCACGGCGACACTCCTGGTGTTACTCATGAAATATTCTCCACTAATTTGACGTATGATTGTATAAGTACATTTGTGGTAGAATATGAGCAGATTAGCAATAACTTATCTATCAAATTATCAAGAGGATGTGTGGGCGATATCGATGATTATATTGAAAAACCTTATTACGAAACCGAAAATATAATCGAGCCATTGACACTTGCTTATATTTAACCTATCTGCTTCAATAAAATTATATATTATACACAACAAATAAAAACCATCTCTTATTTGCGTTAATTTACTATAACTAACAACTCTGATAAACAAATTCGGCTTCTCTGCATAACTAATTGTAATAAGACACCAAATTATCACCCAGCATATCTACAGTCTTTGAAAGTTATGAGGACAGAGTTATTATTTTTATTTAAACAGCTTAATAAATCTTAAGCAGAAGGAGCACCAGCTTTTGCACGAGCAGCAGAAATAAGCGCAGCATGTGACCAAGTAAGATCTCTTGCCCCCGTAGACTTTCCAGATCCCCGTTCATACTGTTCAGACATCGACCCATTGGTCAATGCATAATTTTTAACGGTAGAAAGAAACTTATCCGCACCCAACGCGACATTTTGTGTCATGGTATTAAAACCAGCTGTACCGACCTTGTACACGGTCCCTTCCACAGCAGCCGTATCGAATTTCTTAAAGAAGGGTAGACTAATGGAGGAGACCTTGACTTGACCCGCTAGTGTCCATTCCTTGATAGCACGATAATAAAGTTCTGCATAGGCGCTGGTTGCTAAATACCAAGGGTTACCTTGTCCATTCCCATTCCCATTGTACGTATCCTCGGGGTATCGACCGATAGCTGTACCCAAATAAGAAGGAGCATTGACATTGATATCATAGAGAGAACTAAACTTGCTTTCAACAACGACAGCGGTGGCCAAAATTTTATCGGATCCGGGTGTATAGAAACCGTCTGCGAGGGAACCTGAATTAGCAGCGATCAAGGTAGAGACATCGTAGCCGGCTTTTTGAACACCCCCTGTGAGACTTTGGGTGACGGTAATGTAGGTACCAGACCAAAAGGTATCGATTTTGGTTTTTAAGGTGTTGGCGGTAGTAATGTAGGTGGAGGCACGTGTGGTGTCACCGTTACGTGTAGCGAAATTTGCACCGTGGATCAAACCTTTGCGCATGACCATGAGTGTGTAAAAGTGAACACCATTGGCTTCCTCCCTAGATTTTTTTAATTGGAAGTTTAGCTTTTTTTTTTTTTTTTAAAAAAAAAAAAAAAAAAATGTCATTTTTGTTTGGGTTCATTACCAGAGATCGAAACATCCGTCGGACCAAGTACTCACTACATAATCCAAATCCTTGAAAATTGCTATAAAAAAAAAATGTCAATATGTAAATTAATATGAGTGGGGGGTTTTTTTTTTCGATGCAGCCCTTACCAGGTTTAAGTGTGCCAGTAACATAGGTATCATCACCGGATTGTTTAAGAATACTATCTGCAATTAAAATAAACGATGAAGCACGTTCAGCCGGGCCATCATTTTGAGGTCTAATATTTGATTTAAACAAACAAACAAAAAAAAAAAAAAATACATCAGTATACATTTTTTTTCACGTTATTCAATTCAAATGTTACCTTCCCCAGGCTCCAGTAAAACTGGATCCATCTGCATTAAACTTGGGCTCTCCTAAACAATTACAAGCAGTACTTGTCGATTGCGCATTAATAGAATAAGTCACATAATCCTTCAAGAGACCCACAGTGGCAGCGTCTCCCTTAAGCGTTGTATTATAATCATTAGCCATGACATACGAGACCAAAGCAGAATCACGAGTCCAAGAGTAATAATAATCTGGGCCAGAAGTAGACAACGAGGCAGCAATAAAACCCTTGGCAGCTCCCGCTGGGTTAATGTTACGGATCATGGCAGCACGACTGATACCCTCTTGAGTTTTAATCCATGTGGAGATGGTAGAGTTACCCGAGGGGAAAGCAGTGGATGTGGATGTAGGGGGTGTTTCAGTGGCAGTGGAAGTGGGAGAGGAAGAAGTGGTCGTGGTGGGAGGGGGTGTTGTAACAACGTAATTAGCGGATCCGTTGTTGTCATAGTAAGTCTTGCCACTGACATCGTACTAAGAAAAGAGACGATTTATTTATGTTGAAGACATGATGGGGGGGGGACTTACCTTGATGTAGAATTCTTTAATACTAGAGATAGCGGTAGAAGAGAATGTCCAAAATTCATAACTGGTATCACTGATACTTTCACTGAAAGCGGCTTTGACAAGATTAGCATTGTTGTTCCAATCACCTGTAGCGTCCGAGTAAATGACACTGACGACTTTGGTCAAATCAATATTTTTGACCTAGATGGTGGTTTCAGGGGGGATGAGATAGATGAAAGAAAGAGAGAAAGAAAGAGAGAGAGAACTTACATAGATTTTACCAGTAAATGATTTTCCAGCGACGTAATCATAGGATTGAACCTTGACTTCAGAAGTAGGAGGAGAGGTACTGACAACCGTAGCAGAGACATAGGAGAAACCGACCAGGATGAATAAAACCTGTTTCTTGAACAAGGTGTGAAGACACTTCATTTTTTTGATGTAGTTAATTTGAGATAATAATAATAATAAAAAATATAGAAGATGTCTTGGGATATTTATAACTTTATTCAACTCTTGTGGCCAAGACACTTTTTTTAAATTCTGTAAAAAAGGATAAAGTTACATTTGCACAAAATCCATTTTGTTCCCCGGGACGGTTTCCCAAGTACAGATCTCTCTTAATTTTGCATGGTACATTTTTTTTTTTCATCCATGCGATCGTATGACAGCCAATGAAAGATATATTGATTTGTGTGTACAAAAAAATTGACACTAATATGAAAAGCGTCAACTATTACTGCATTTAGAATCAATCATTTGATTGGGTTGGGAGTTTTTTTTTTTTTTTTTTTTTTTTTTTTTTTTTTTTTTTTTTTTTTTTTTTTTTGCCCCCTTTTTTTAAAAAAAGAAACACTTTTCATAAACAAGACATGCCTTTTGGATTAAAAGTACCTTCCAAGAACAAACTGATCTTTCGTGGTATGCAGGTGGTATTGCAGGTCTTGTCTATTCCAGTAACAAATATGCCCAAGATGCCAGAACAAGACTTGCTCAAGGAGTTTCTTTCCCTTTCTTTGATCTCTCTTCATTGTCTCACGACTTAGGAATCTAGGAAATGCCTCGTAAAGTCACAGTGTATATTACTGCACTGTCTGGCGATGGACTTGAAAAGAGTCGAATTTGGTTCCGTGAATATGTCAAGGTAATATAATACGCCAACCCAACGAAAAAAAAAAGCATGTATAAAAAAAAAAAAAAAAAACTGACACTTTTTTTTTGCATGCTACAGCCCATTCTTGTTGCAGGTGCTGTCGATTACGAAATTAAAGAAGCTAAATCACCTGGCCAAATCGAAACTTCTGTCATGGAAAAAATCGTTCAACGTCGTTGCGAAGCCGTCGAAACATCAGCAGACAATGCAGAATCAGCATACCACGAACAATTAGAAAACAATTGCAACACAGGTTTTTACATCACCTATGGATAACATGAACAACAAGAAAAGCGAAGTGGTTTCCGATGGTATTTTAGCGATTGGTAGAAATGCGTATCGTGAAGTGCTCAGCGCATTAGGCAAGGGATGAGATGATATTCTTGCTGTGTTTGTAGAGGTGCGTCTTCTAAAAGCGTAAGGACATAGAGAAGACAAAGGCTAAGACATCTTTTATTGCAGACGAAACCTTGGAAATGTTAAAACACACATCATTCAAGAATTCGACAATTTCTTGCTTCTGCTTGAGTTTTCACATATCATGTATATCCCCCGAATGAACATCCTTAGATGGGTTAGTCCGTCTTTGACTATAAATATATTGGGAAGCAGGAAAATACGCTGTAGATGCCCTATTGAACCAAATCGACATTTTTAAGAACGGGATCCAAATTTATAGCAAGAGGGAAAAAAAGGTATTGTATTAGACATGATATAGCCGAAGTATTGAGGAAATAGATATGCTAATTCAAGTAGATACAAGTATCTTTGGTAAGTTAGTGTATGTGTATATGTTAATTTGCGTTAAATAAAGTGTGTAATATACATATATAAAATATGATGTAAACGATGTCCTTTTTTATTTGTGTCCATATGCTTAAAAAGGGAATGATAGCAAAGGTCTCTTTTCCGAGGCACTAGAGATTTTGCGACAGAAGAGTAGTCTAGCAAAAACTAATATCGCGCTTCAATGTAGTGGGTTTTAGATAGAATCTTTGAATGCATGCTTCAACCCCGTCATTGAGTTCATGGTCAAATAAGGTTTCGTACTACAAATAAACGGATTATACGAAACGCCGTGAACTCATTTGTGCTTTCGACGCTTTTAACATCGTTGTGGAAGAAAGAAGATGGAAGAAGTCTATGACCATTCTCGGCATAGATATTGTATTTTTATCGGTAAGCGACTTATTTTTTTTTAAAAATTACGGCGTAGCTTACTTCGTTTAGATTTGGGCTATGACATCCTCACCTCTGGAGCGGTAGCCATTAATAGACCTCAATTAATTGTTAAAGGGTTAGTCGACATGAAATCAGCAGAATTTGTACGTGTATTTTTTTGACAGAGATTCCTTTTTTAAAAAAAAGGTCTGAACACGAATTCCGCACCTCAATTTTATATGACACTACCACCAGAAATATTATTGCCAGAGACTACAAGGCTGATGAAGCGAATAAGAATCCGAAAGGGCTCCAGGAAGGCGTTATTTATATACACAACACCCTAAGCGAGCTCGCTGACATTTACTTAAAACCCAATCAACAACCTTTCTATAATATGGCACTGTACGTGCTCTTATGCAAGGAAGCTATAGACCTGTTACAAATAATACGGTATTATTATGAACTAGGATTGAATAGTGTAGATATGGATTTTTGCTATTCTTTGAATTTTCCAACCAGTTGGGATTATGAAATAAGAGAAGAATTGTTCCTGCCTCTATTCGTAAAAGCTGGTCTTCTCCATAAAAATGATGGTCCGGGCAGGCTGGTGTTTTTTTCAATGTTAGAGTTAAATTTTCAGAACATACAGGCAGGTAGATACAACTATGCTGATAGAAACTTAAAGTATGGTGATCAGCGCGTTATGTGTACAATTGATTATCAAGGTACATACTCCGTGGATTTGAAATTGGTATCAGCTCAATATCCTGCCTTCAGATTAGCACAAAGAAAATTGGTGCCACAATTGTTGAAACAAACTCACTTTGTAATCCCGTTTGGACCAAAGGAACTACGATTATCATTAATAGCATGTGTGGAAAAGCATTGTGATACTACGTTATCATCAGAATCTATCGACAACATGCTTGATAAACTCAGTCGAAAGTACGATGGAATTAATTATTTTGTAAGAGTTAATTAAAAAGAAATTGGGAAAATAATTAAAAACGTTTTTTTTTTTTGCCAGGAAGATATAGGTGATGTTTTACATGATCAGCCATTGCCAGACTTGAAATCTCGCTGGGCGAATAGATTAATTACTTTAGAGGACATACTTGAACATTTTTCTGGTTCTGCCGAAAAATTCTTAAGAAGTGAAGTAGATAAATTTCTTGTAGGCACGAGCAATACAGTACCTAGGCCATTAGACATTTTTTACAAAAATCGAATCCCGTACACATTTTTAGCTATGGGGCTAATCTCATCAGTTTATTGCTGGTCGAGAAAGTATTTCGGGGAACTAAAAGAATCTTACATATCCGCGGAACTCGGTCATGATTCCCCCATATTCAAACTCGATGACTATCGTAGCCGAAGATTTGCAATTTTAGAGCTTTTAGAAAACCGAATGGAAGAATTTATCGTGCGTAGAAACCCAGTTATACTACCCAACGAAACAACAATGGAAGAACCCAAAAGTTGCTTAAATCCTATTATCTTCATCAATATCGGTAAATTGACTCCTTAGTAGTATCGGCTTCGTTTTAACCTAACCTATTTTGAAACCAAACAGACGTATCGCCTACACAAATCCAGACTGCTTTTACATACCTAGATAAAGGTAGACAAGTTGGACAGAAGCAAAACTTTGAATGGTAATGGTGATAGGAGGCAGAATGTCTTGTATAAGAAAGTCCAACTAAGTTCCATTTTATTGCATAATAGTAATATGCGACCATTGAATAGTTTCATCAAGCAATCAGAAATATATCAAAGACCAGTACTACAAATATCAAATAGGTAAAACTACTTGAAGAAACGCTTATGATTGTCAATTCTAATTGTGCGTTTAGACTGAAGTTAGGTTTAGAAAAGACTTTTGGTGACTACCTTGAATTATACTCAAGTTACAAAAATAATGGGAAAAAAAGAATACCAGCATCAAAATTACTTGGCCGGGCTTTCCAAAATATGCGGAAGAGAAAGATTTCAAGTAATGTTGAATGGATAAAAACAAGTAAAAATCGACCAAAGAAAATCAGAAAATTATTTGTTTCCTCAAACCCAAACCTATTTGAACAGCTTACGGCAAACTTTGACATGGACGATTTTTTTGTGTCGAAGGACGAATTTCCTGCTTCGGATAGCAAGTTATTCACTACATGCCATCCAGGTTACATGTATTTTTTTATGCTCACATATCTGCACTGTCTCAACAAGCAAATAGAGAAAAAATTGGAAAGTAATTTCGGAAAGAACTGGCAAGCCGACAAAATTTGGTATGGTGTCTCTATTGATAAAAATCTATCGGACAATGTATTCGGTACAATAAAGAAATTGGAAAAATCATTCTTTGCAAGTGGAATAATCAGGAAGAACGACGACCTTCGAAAAGCAAAATTCTGTACCCGTGGTGAAGAAATTCTACAAGCTATCCAACACAAGTATCAGCATTTGGACTTTAGGTCGAAATCATACTTTGTTGTTGCACAGATATCTTCAAAGCATATTCAACTTAGTTTGCATCAAGTGGTCAAACTGGCATCACCTGGAGAAGATCCAGCGTCCATCATTATTCAGGATGAAATAATACATATCGATGATGTATATGATACACTTTGTAAGAGTATTATGAAGAGCATACAAATCAATTATCAAGTTGACTATTGTACCACACATAAGTACGGGAAGGATATACAATATGATTTCCAGTCATTTGAGATGTATAGCAATATTTATCGAAATTTAAAACCATGTGTTGTTGAACTTGTAAGATGGTATACCTATAACTAGCGTCTCATTGCATTAATTGCTTCTTGGTAGTTCGAAAAAAACAAATCAAATTTGGACATGAATTCCAAAATACAACTGAATATCAACACGAAATGCGGCTGCAGTATAAGCATATTTCTTCGTGATATTATTGAAGGTGGCCTTATGTCAGTGATAGAAAGTATTACAACTGATATAGTGGCTTCTTTGACTAACAAAAGATTATTTGGAAACTATGTATCGAATTATATTTTTGTGTTTGGAGATCCGTTCAATCTGGGGCAGGGTTCAAAGATCCACATCATATACACCATGATTATGCAAAAAGCAATTGATGACGGCGTTTATATTAAAGAAAAAGACACAATGACATTTGTACTAAGAGAATCAATTTTCCAATTACTGGAGACGTTTTTAACTGGGAAAAAGCCTTACATGTTTGATAGGTTTGTCACTGGAACTTTGTGCCAAGTATCAAGCAACACATACGGGATGCGGATTCTATCATATCATTCACGCGATTCAATGCCTTTCACCCGAATAAACAGTGATGGTGATATCAAAAATACTATTGCAGGTACTGGTAGTTATTTGATATTTATTCAGAAAGGGAAGCCAGTTTCAACAAAAGGGCTTATAATTCAAATGAAATACGGATGTTGTAAGTTCGTTGCCATGATTATTCTACTTCGTTTGTGCTAATGTGACCCACTTCTACTTACACAAAGCTACCGAATTAAAAATTCTTCAATTAGAAAGTTCAACCAGTACTGTTCCGGACAAGTATACACTATTGCACGGCGACACTCCTGGTGATACTTATAAAATATTATCCGATGATTTGACGTCTCGTATTATCAGAAACGTTGTGGTAGAATATGAGCTGATTAGCAATAATTTATCGATCAAAATATCAAGAGGATGTATGGCCGATATTGAAGACTATATTGATAAACCTTATTACGCAGCCGTAAATATCATAGAGCCATTGACATTCGCTTATATTTAACATATCATTGCTTCAATAAAATTATATATTACATACAACTGATTTAAACCATCTCTTATTTGCATTGTTTTACTTTATTCAACAACTCTGATAAACAAATTTGGCTTCTCTGCATAAATAATTGTAATAAGACATCAAATTATCACCCAAAATACAGTCTTTGATAGTTATGAGAACAGAGTCTTTATTTTTATTTAAACATCTAAATAAATCTTAAGCAGAAGGAGCACCAGCCTTTGCACGAGCAGCAGAAATAAGCGCAGCATGCGACCAAGTAAGATCTCTGGCCCCCGTGGACTTTCCAGATCCCCGTTCATACTGTTCAAACATCGACCCATTGGTCAATGCATAATTTTTAACGGGCAACATTTTGTGTCATGGCATTAAAAGCAGCGGTACCGACCTTGTACACGGTCCCTTCCACAGCAGCCGTATCGAATTTCTTAAAGAAGGGTAAACTAATGGAGGAGACCTTGACTTGACCCGCTAGCGTCCATTCCTTGATAGCACGATAATAAAGTTCTGCATAGGCGCTGGTTGCCAAATACCAAGGGTTACCTTATGTCCATTCCCGTTACCATTATACGTATCCTCGGGGTATCGACCGATGGATGTACCCAAATAAGAAGGAGCATTGACATTGATATCATAGAGAGAACTAAACTTGCTTTCAACAACGACAGCGGTGGCCAAAATTTTATCGGATCCGGGTGTATAGAAACCGTCTGCGAGGGAACCTGAATTAGCAGCGATCAAGGTAGAGACATCGTAACCGGCTTTTTGAACACCCCCTGTGAGACTTTGGGTGACGGTAATGTAGGTACCCGACCAAAAGGTATTGATTTTGGTTTTGAGAGTGTTGGCGGTAGTGGTGTAGGTGGAGGCACGTGTGGTGTCACCGTTACGTGTAGCGAAATTTGCACCGTGGATCAAACCTTTGCGCATGACCATGAGTGTGTAAAAGTGAACACCGTTGGCTTCCTCCCTAGATATTTTTTTAAGAATAGACAGGTTGTGTTAGGTTTTTTTATTGTTTTTTTTTGGGAGGGTTGGGTTTGTTTGGGTTCATTACCAGAGATCAAAACACCCGTCGGACCAAGTACTCACTACATAATCCAAATCCTTGAAAATTGCTATAAGATATTTTTATATGTAAATTAATATGGCCAATAAAAGTAGTGAGTGGGCTTTTTTTTCGATGCAGCCCTTACCAGGTTTAAGTGTTCCAGTAACATAGGTATCATCACCGGACTGTTTAAGAATACTATCTGCAATCAAAATAAACGACGAAGCACGTTCAGCCGGGCCATCATTTTGAGGTCTAAATTTTTTAAACCAAACATTTACAACATTAGTCGTTTTCTTTCACGTTGTTCAATTCAAATAACTGGACTTCAAAACAATATCATACTTTGTTATGTACTGCACAAATATTTTAAAAACATATTCAGCTCGCTTTGCATCAAGTTTTCAAACTGGCATTACCTGGAGAAGATGCGACTACCATTGTTATTCAAGATGAAATAATTTACATAGATGATGTATATGATAGTCTATATAAGAACATTTTGGCGAACACACAAATCGACCGTAAAATCAATTATTGCCTCACACACAATGCATATGGTGCTTTCGACTCGCTCCAAACTTATACCAGTATACGTCAGAACCTAAAGTTATACGTTTCTGAGATTTTTAAGTTAAATGGGACTACACTATTACTTTTACTTGGAGGTTTATTGGTAGTTGAAGATGAGCGAAGAAAGTTTGGATTAGGATTGTAATAAGAAGTTAAATATGAACGACAACTGCGATTGTAATATCAGTATTTTTCTTCGTAACATTATTGAAGTAAGCCTCAAGTCAGTCATAGAAGATGTTGGAACAATCATAGTGGCTTCTTTGACAAACAACAGAATATTTAGAAATTACGAAATGGAATATCTATTTGTTTTAGGGAATTCATTTCGCATGTCTTACAACTCAATTGTTTACACAGTATATACTATGATAATGAAACCAGCCATTAACAATTGTATGCAAGTCAAAGAAAAAGATACGCTATTATTTGTATTAGTTAAGAGAACCATTTATACAGTTATTGGAGTCAGTTATACGTATCAGACCATATATGTATGAGAGGCTTGTAACTGGAACATTAAGCCAAGTATCAGGGAAAACATATGCGCTGCGACTTGGTTTTGGTGGGTCTGAGTTTCTCCCTTTCTTTCATATAGATAAACGATGACAATATAAGAAATACTATCGAGAACAATGGTAGCTACTCTGTATTTATTCGAAAAGTGAAGCCGATCTCAACAAAAGGATGCAAAGTGGCAGTTCCCCAAAACTACGGATATAGTCGAAGTCTCCATGTCCATACCCTTTTTGAATTGTTTAAATTACGTCATTCAAGCAAGTTAGTGTATGTGTCAATGTTGATTTGCGTTAAATAAAATGGGTAATATATAAAAAATATGATGTAAACGATAACTTTTTTTTATTTGTTTCCATATGCTTAAAGGGCAGGGATAGTGAAGGTCTCCTTTCCCAGAAACTAGAGATTTTGCTACAGAAGAGTAGTCTAGTAAAAACTAATATTGCGCTTGAATGTTAGTAGGTGTTAGACGGAAAGTTTGAATGCATGCTTCAACGCCGTCATTGAGTTCATGGTCAAATAAGGTTTCGTACTACAAATAAACGGATTATACGAAACGCCGTGAACTCCGTACTTGTGCTTTCGACGCTTTTAACATCGTTGTGGAAGAAAGAAGATGGAAGAACTCTATGACTATTCTGGGCATAGATATTGTATTTTTATCGGTAAGCGACTTATTTTTTTTAAAAAATTACGGCGTAGCTTACTTCGTTTAGATTTGGGCTATGACATCCTCACCTCTGGAGCGGTAGCCATTAATAGACCTCAATTAATTGTTAAAGGGTTAGTCGACATGAAAACAGCAGAATTTGTACGTGTATTTTTTTGACAGAGATTCCTTTTTAAAAAAAGTTCTGAACACGAATACTGCACCTCAATTTTATATGACACTACGACGAGAAATATCATTGCCAGAGGCAACATGGCTGATGAAGCGAATGAGAATCTGGAAGGCCTCCAAGAAGGCGTTATTTATGTACGCAACACCTTAAGCGATCTTGCTGGCATTTATTTAAAATCAAATCAACAATCCTTCGTCACTACGGCACTGTACGCGCTCTTGTACGAGGAAGCTATAGACCTGTTACAAAAAATACTGGATCGTTATAAACAAAAATTGAATAGCGTAAATATGGATTTTTATTATTCTTTGAATCTTCCAACCAGTTGGGATTATAAAATAAGAGAAGATTTGTTCCTGCCTCTATTCGTAAAAGCTGGTCTTCTCCATGAAAATGATGGTCCGGGGAGGCTGCTGTTTTTTTCGATGTTAGAGTTAAATTTTCAAAACTTGCAGATGAAAAGAGGAATTCGGGACGCCACAAACTTAAAGTATGGTGATCAGCGCGTTATGTGTACAATAGATTATCAAGGTACATACTCCGTGGATTTGAAATTGGTATCAGCTCAATATCCTGCTTTCAGATTAGCACAAAGAAAATTGATGCCACAATTGTTGAAACAAACTCACTTTGTAATCCCGTTTGGACCAAATGAACTACGATTGTCATTAATAGCATGTGTAGAAAAACATTGTGATACTACGTTATCATCAGAATCTATCGACAACATGCTTGATAGACTCAGTCGAATGTACGATAGAATTGATTATTTTGTAAGAGTTAATTAAAATGAAATTGGGAAAATAATTAAAAACGTTTTTTTTTTCTTTTTGCCAGAGAACAACAAGTGGTGTCTTAAATAATCAGCCATTGCCAGACTTAAAATCTCGCAGGACGAATAGATCAATCACTTTAGGAGACATACTTGAATATTTTTCAAGTTATGCAGAAAAATTCTTTAGAAATGAAGTAGATAAGCTTCTTATAGGCAGGAGCAATATAGTACCCAGGCCATTGGACATTTTTTACACAAGGCGAATCCCGAGAACATTTTTAACCCTGGGGATAATCTCATCAGTTAATTGTTGGTCGAAAAAGTATTTCAGGGAACTTAAAGAATTTTACATATCCGCGGAACTCGGTGGTGATTTCCCCATATTCGAACTCTTTTACTATCGTTTCCGAAAATATGCAACTCAAGTGCTTTTAGAAAACCGAATGGAAGAATTTAACGTGCGCAGAAACCCAATTATACTACCCAACGAAACAACAATGGAAGAACCCAAAAGTTGCTTAAATCCTATTATCTTCATCAATATCGGTAAATTGACTCTTTAGTAGTATCGGATTCGTACTTACCTATTCTATTTTGAAACTAAACAGACATATCGTCTACACGAATTCAGACTGCTTTTACATACCTAGATAAAGGTAGACAAGTTGGACAGAATCAAAATTTTGAATGGTAATCGTGATAGGCGTCAAAATATCTTTACAAAATAGTCCAATTAAATTATATTGTATTGCATAATAGTAATATGCGACCGTTGAATAGTTTCATCGAGCAATCAGAAATATATCAAAGACCAGTACTACAAATATCAAATAGGTAAAACTACTTAAAGAAACGCTTATGATTGTCGATTCTAATTGTGCGTTTAGACTAAAGTCAGGTTTAGAAAAGATTTTTGGTGATCACCTTAAATTATACTCAAGTTACAAAAAAAATGTGAAAAAAAGGGAACCAGTGAACCGAGTATTCGAATTGCTTGGTGGGGCTTTCCGAAGCATGCGGAAGAGAAGTATTTTAAGGATAAAATCAAGTAAAAATCCCCAGAAGGAAATCAGAAAATTATTTCTTTTAAAACGAAAATTATTTGAACAGCTTTTACGGTAAACTTTGACATGGACGATCTTTTTGCGTCGAAGGATGAATCTTGTGGTTCGGATAGCGAGTCATTTACTACATGCCATCCAGGTTACATGTATTTTTTTATGATCACATATCTGCACTGTATCAACAAGCAAATAGAGGCAAAACTAGAAAGTGATGTAGGATTGAATTGGCGAGCCAACAACATTTGGTATGGCGTCTCTGTCGATAAAAACCTATTGGACACTGTATTCGGCTCAATAAACAATTTGGAAAAAATATTCTTTGCAAGTAGAATATTAAAGAAGGACGACGACCTTCGAAAAGCAAAATTCTGCACTCGTGGTGAGGAAATTCTACCAGCTCTCCAACACAAGTATCAACATTTGGACTTTGGTTTGAAATCATACTTTATTGTTGCACAGATATCTTCAAAGCATATTCAACTCAGTTTGCATCAAGTTGTTAAACTGGTATCACCCGAAGAAGATCCAGCGTCCATCATTATTCAGGATGAAATGTTACATATCGATGATGTATCTGATACACTTTGTAAGAGTATTATGAAGAGCCTACAAGTCAATTGTCAAGTTGATTATTGTACCACACACAAGAGTCAGGGAGATACACAATATGATTTTCAGTCATTAGAGATATATAGCAATATTTATCGAAATTTAAAACCATGTGTTGTTGAACTTGTAAGTTGGTACACCTATAACTAACGTCTCAGTTTATTAACTGCTTCTTGGTAGTTCGAAAAAAACAAATCAAATTTGGACATGGATTCCATTATACAGCTGAGTATCAACACGAAATGTGGTTGCAGTATAAGCATATTTCTTCGTGATATTATTGAAGTAGGCCTTATGTCAGTGATAGAAGGTATAACAACAGATATAGTGGCTTCTTTGACTGACAAAACGTTATTCGGAAACTATGTGCCGAATTATATTTTTGTGCTTGGAAATCCGTTCAATCTGGTGCAGCGTTCAAAAATTCACACAGCATACACCATGATAATGCAAAAAGCAATTGATGACGCCGTATATATCAAAGAAAAAGATACAAAGACATTTGTACCAAGAGAATCTATTTACCAATTACTGAAGACGTTTTCATCTAGAAAAAAGCCTTACATGTTTGATAGGTTTGTCACTGGAACTTTGTGCCAAGTATCAAGCAATACATACGGGATGCGAATTTCATTTAATTTTCCAGTCGAATGGATGACTTTCACCCGAATAAACAGTGATGGCGATATCAAAAATACTATTGCAGATGATGGTAGTTATTTGGTACTTATACAGAAAGGAAAGCCAGTTCCTACAAATGGGCATATAATTCAAATCAATAAACCTGAAGGTAAGTTCGTTGCCATGATTGTTCTTCTTCGTTTGTGCTAATGAGACTCACTTCTACTTACACATAGGTATCTCTTTAAATTTTCTTCCATTAGAAAGTTCAACCAATACCATTCCGAACAAGTATGCTCTATTGCACGGCGACACTCCTGGTGGTACATATAAAATATACGCCAGTGCTTTATCGCGTTATAGAATTGGAACATTTGTGGTAGAATATGAGCAGATTAGCAATAATTTATCTATCAAAGTGTCACGAGGATGTATGGGTCATATTAGGGACTATATTGATAGACTTTATTACGTAACCGAAAATGTCATGGAGCCATTGACACTCGCTTATATATAACCTATCTTTCCTTCAATAAAATCATATATTATACACAACAAATTAAAACCATCTCTTATTTTGCATTGATTTACTTTAAATAACAACTCTGATAAACAAATTTGACTTCTCTGCATAAACAATTGTAATAAGACACCAAATTATCACCCAACATACAGTCTTTGATAGTTATGAGAATAGAGTTTTTATTTTTATTTGGATAGCTAAATAAATCTTAAAGAGAAGGAGCACCAGCTTTTGCACGAGCAGCAGAAATAAGCGCGGCATACGACCAAGTAAAATGTCTTGCCCCCGTGGACTTTCCAGATCCCCGTTCATACTGTTCAGACATCGACCCATTGGTCAATGCATAATTTTTGACGTAAAAAGAAACTTATCCGCACCCAACGCAAAATTTTGTGTCATGGCGGTGCCGACCTTGTACGCGGTCCCTTCCACAGCAGCCGTATCGAATTTCTTAAAGAAGGGTAAACTAATTGAGGAGACCGTGACTTGACCCGCTAGTGTCCATTCCTTGATAGCACGATAATAAAGTTCTGCATAGGCGCTGGTTGCCAAATACCAAGGGTTACCTTGTCCATTCCCATTCCCATTGTACGTATCCTCGGGGTATCGACCGATAGCTGTACCCAAATAAGAAGGGGTATCGACATTGATCTCATAGAGAGAACTAAACTTGCTTTCAACAACGACAGCGGTGGCCAAAATTTTATCGGATCCGGGTGTATAGAAACCGTCTGCGAGGGAACCTGAATTAGCAGCGATCAAGGTAGAGACATCGTAGCCGGCTTTTTGAACACCCCCTGTGAGACTTTGGGTGACGGTAATGTAGGTACCAGACCAAAAGGTATCGATTTTGGTTTTTAAGGTGTTGGCGGTAGTAATGTAGGTGGAGGCACGTGTGGTGTCACCGTTACGTGTAGCGAAATTTGCACCGTGGATCAAACCTTTGCGCATGACCATGAGTGTGTAAAAGTGAACACCATTGGCTTCCTCCCTAGATTTTTTTAATTGGAAGTTTAGCTTTTTTTTTTTTTTTTAAAAAAAAAAAAAAAAAAATGTCATTTTTGTTTGGGTTCATTACCAGAGATCGAAACATCCGTCGGACCAAGTACTCACTACATAATCCAAATCCTTGAAAATTGCTATAAAAAAAAAATGTCAATATGTAAATTAATATGAGTGGGGGGTTTTTTTTTTCGATGCAGCCCTTACCAGGTTTAAGTGTGCCAGTAACATAGGTATCATCACCGGATTGTTTAAGAATACTATCTGCAATTAAAATAAACGATGAAGCACGTTCAGCCGGGCCATCATTTTGAGGTCTAATATTTGATTTAAACAAACAAACAAAAAAAAAAAAAAAATACATCAGTATACATTTTTTTTCACGTTATTCAATTCAAATGTTACCTTCCCCAGGCTCCAGTAAAACTGGATCCATCTGCATTAAACTTGGGCTCTCCTAAACAATTACAAGCAGTACTTGTCGATTGCGCATTAATAGAATAAGTCACATAATCCTTCAAGAGACCCACAGTGGCAGCGTCTCCCTTAAGCGTTGTATTATAATCATTAGCCATGACATACGAGACCAAAGCAGAATCACGAGTCCAAGAGTAATAATAATCTGGGCCAGAAGTAGACAACGAGGCAGCAATAAAACCCTTGGCAGCTCCCGCTGGGTTAATGTTACGGATCATGGCAGCACGACTGATACCCTCTTGAGTTTTAATCCATGTGGAGATGGTAGAGTTACCCGAGGGGAAAGCAGTGGATGTGGATGTAGGGGGTGTTTCAGTGGCAGTGGAAGTGGGAGAGGAAGAAGTGGTCGTGGTGGGAGGGGGTGTTGTAACAACGTAATTAGCGGATCCGTTGTTGTCATAGTAAGTCTTGCCACTGACATCGTACTAAGAAAAGAGACGATTTATTTATGTTGAAGACATGATGGGGGGGGGGGACTTACCTTGATGTAGAATTCTTTAATACTAGAGATAGCGGTAGAAGAGAATGTCCAAAATTCATAACTGGTATCACTGATACTTTCACTGAAAGCGGCTTTGACAAGATTAGCATTGTTGTTCCAATCACCTGTAGCGTCCGAGTAAATGACACTGACGACTTTGGTCAAATCAATATTTTTGACCTAGATGGTGGTTTCAGGGGGGATGAGATAGATGAAAGAAAGAGAGAAAGAAAGAGAGAGAGAACTTACATAGATTTTACCAGTAAATGATTTTCCAGCGACGTAATCATAGGATTGAACCTTGACTTCAGAAGTAGGAGGAGAGGTACTGACAACCGTAGCAGAGACATAGGAGAAACCGACCAGGATGAATAAAACCTGTTTCTTGAACAAGGTGTGAAGACACTTCATTTTTTTGATGTAGTTAATTTGAGATAATAATAATAATAAAAAATATAGAAGATGTCTTGGGATATTTATAACTTTATTCAACTCTTGTGGCCAAGACACTTTTTTTAAATTCTGTAAAAAAGGATAAAGTTACATTTGCACAAAATCCATTTTGTTCCCCGGGACGGTTTCCCAAGTACAGATCTCTCTTAATTTTGCATGGTACATTTTTTTTTTTCATCCATGCGATCGTATGACAGCCAATGAAAGATATATTGATTTGTGTGTACAAAAAATTGACACTAATATGAAAAGCGTCCACTATTACTGCATTTAGAATCAATCATTTGATTGGGTTGGGTTTTTTTTTTTTTTTTTTTTTTTTTTTTTTTTTTTTTTTTATAAAGCCCCCTTTTTTTAAAAAAAGAAACACTTTTCATAAACAAGACATGCCTTTTGGATTAAAAGTACCTTCCAAGAACAAACTGATCTTTCGTGGTATACAGGTGGTATTGCAGGTCTTGTCTATTCCAGTAACAAATATGCCCAATATGCCAGAACAAGACTTGCTCAAGGAGTTTCTTTCCCTTTCTTTGATCTCTCTTCATTGTCTCACGACATAGGAATCTAGGAAATGCCTCGTAAAGTCACAGTGTATATTACTGCTCTACCTGGCGATGGACTTGAAAAGAGTCGAACTTAATTCCGTGAATATGTCAAGGTAATATAATACGCCAACCCAACGAAAAAAAAAAACTGACACTTTGTTTTTGCATGCTACAGCCCATTCTTGTTGCAGGTGCTGTCGATTACGAAATTAAAGAAGCTAAATCACCTGGCCAAATCGAAACTTCTGTCATGGAAAAAATCGTTCAACGTCGTTGCGAAGCCGTCGAAACATCAGCAGACAATGCAGAATCAGCATACCACGAACAATTAGAAAACAATTGCAACACAGGTTTTACATCACCTATGGATAACATGAACAACAAGAAAAGCGAAGTGGTTTCCGATGGTATTTTAGCGATTGGTAGAAATGCGTATCGTGAAGTGCTCAGCGCATTAGGCAAGGGATGAGATGATATTCTTGCTGTGTTTGTAGAGGTGCGTCTTCTAAAAGCGTAAGGACATAGAGAAGACAAAGGATGAGACATCTTTTATTGCAGAGGAAACCTTGAAAATGTTAAAAGCCACATCATTCAAGAATTTGACAATTTCTCGCTTCCGCTTGAGTTTTCACATATCATTTATAACCCCCGCATGAACATTATTAGATGGCTCAGTGCATTTTAATTATAAATGAATCCGGAAGCAGGAAAATACGCTTTAGATGCTGTATTGAACCAAATCGACATTTTTAAGAACGGAATCCAAATTTATAGCAAGAGGGAAAAAAAGGTATTGTATTAGACATGATATAGCCGAAGTTTTGAGGAAATAGATATGCTAATTCAAGTAGATACAAGTATTTTTGGTAAGTTAGTGTATGTGTATATGTTAATTTGCGTTAAATAAAGTGTGTAATATACATATATAAAATATGATGTAAACGATGTCCTTTTTTATTTGTGTCCATATGCTTAAAAAGGGAATGATAGCAAAGGTCTCTTTTCCCAGGCACTAGAGATTTTGCGACAGAAGAGTAGTCTAGCAAAAACTAATATCGCGCTTCAATGTAGTGGGTTTTAGATAGAATCTTTGAATGCATGCTTCAACCCCGTCATTGAGTTCATGGTCAAATAAGGTTTCGTACTACAAATAAACGGATTATACGAAACGCCGTGAACTCATTTGTGCTTTCGACGCTTTTAACATCGTTGTGGAAGAAAGAAGATGGAAGAAGTCTATGACTATTCGCAGCATAGATATTGTATTAATATCGGTAAGCGACTTAATTTTTTTTAAAATTATGGCGTTGCTTACTTCGTATAGATTTGGACTATGACATCCTTACCTCTCGAGTGTTAACCCTTAATAGACCTGACAAGATTGCTGAAAGGTTAGTCGACATCAAAACAGCAGAATTTGTACGTGTATTTTTTTGACAGAGATTCCTTTTTGAAAAAAAGGTCTGAACACGAATTCCGCACCTCAATTTTATATGACACTACCACGAGAAGTATTATTGCCAGAGGCAACAAGGCTGATGAAGCGATTGAGAATCCGGAAGGCCTCCAAGAAGGCGTTATTTATGTACGCAACACCTTAAGCGAGCTTGCTGACATTTTTTTAAAATCCAAGCAACAAACCTTCGACAATACGGTACTGTACGCGCTCTTGTACGAGGAAGCTATAGACCTGTTACAAAAAATACTGGGTCGTTATCAACAAAAACCGAATAGTGTAAATATGGATTTTTGTTATTCTTTGGGTCTTCCAACCAGTTGGGATTATAAAATAAGAGAAGAATTGTTCCTGCCTCTATTCGTAAAAGCTGGTCTTCTCCATGAAAATGATGGTCCGGGCAGGCTGCTGTTTTTTTCGATGTTAGAGTTAAAGTTTCAGAGCGTGCAAATAAAAAATTACAACCCTAATCATAGAAAGATAAAGTATGGTGATCAGCGCGTTATCTGTACAATAGATTATCAAAGTACATTCTCGGTGAATATGAAATTGGTATCAGCTCAATATCCTGCTTTCAGATTAGCAAAAGGAGACTTGGTGCCACAATTGTTGAAACAGGCTTACTTTGTAATCCCGTATGGACTAAAGGAACTACGGTTGTCATTAATAGCATGTGTGGAAAAGCATTGTGATACGACGTTATCATCAGAATCTATCGACGACATGCTTGAAAAACTTAGTCAAGAGTACAATGGAGTTGGTTATTCTGTAAGAGTTAATGGAAAAGAAATTGGGAAAATAATTAAAAACATTTTTTTTTTTTTTTGCCAGAGAATAACAGGTGATGTTTTATATGATCAGCCATTCCCAGACTTGAAATCTCGCTGGACGAATGAATCAATCACTTTAGAGGACATACTTAGTCATTTTTCTGATTTTGTTGAAAAATTCTTTAGAAATAAAGTAGATGAATTTCTCGTAGGCAGGAGCAATACAGTACCCAGACCATTGGACATTTTTTACACAGGTCGAATCCCGCTAACATTTTTTGCTATGGGGCTAATGTCATTAGTTTATTGTTGGTCGAAAAAGTATTTCAGGGAACTAAGAGAATCTAACATATCCGCGGAACGCGGTGTTAATTTCCCCATATTCGAATTCTTTCACTATCCTAGACGAATAATTGTAATTAAAGATCTTTTACAAAACCGAATGGTAGAATTCAACGTGCGCAGAAACCCAGTTATACTTCCCAATGAAACAACAATGGAAGAACCCAAAAATTGCTTAAAACCTATTATCTTCATCAATATCGGTAAATTGACTCTTTAGTAGTATCGGATTCGTACTTACCTATTCTATTTTGAAACTAAACAGACATATCGCCTACACGAATCCAGACTGCTTTTACATACCTAGATGAAGGTAGACAAGTTGGACAGAAGCAAAATTTTGAATGGTAATAGTGATAGGCGTCAAAATACCTTTTAAAAGAAAACTCAACTAAGTTCTATTTTATTGCATAATAGTGATATGCAACCATTAAAATGTTTCATTACGCAATCAGAAATATATCAAAGACCAGTACTACAGATATCAAATAAGTAGAGCTACTTAAAGAAACACTTATGATTGTCAATTCTAATTGCGCGTTTAGACTGAAGTTAGGTTTAGAAAGGATTTTTGGTGACTATCTTCAATTGTACTCAAGTTACAAAAGAAATGTGAAAAAAAGAACACTAGTGAACCAAGTATCCAAACTACTTGGCCGGGCTTTCCAAAACATGCGGAAGAGGAGAACTTTAAGCAGTGATGGAAGGATAAAATCAAGTAAAAATCCGCCAAAGGAAATCAGAAAATTATTTGTTTCCTCAAACCCAAACCTATTTGAACAGCTTACAGCAAACTTTGACATGGACGATCTTTTTGCGTCGAAGGACAAGTTGTGTGCTTCGGATAGCGAGGCATTTACTACATGCCATCCAGGTTACATGTATTTTTTTATGATCACATATCTGCACTGTCTCCACAAGAAAATAGAGGAAAAATTAAAAAGTATTGTAGGAACGAATTGGCGAGCCAAAAACATTTGGTATGGTGTCTCTATTGACAAAAAGCTACTGGATACTGTATTCGGCTCAATGAAAAATTTGGAAAAATTATTCTTTGCAAGTGGAATACTTGAGAAGGACGACGAAATTCGAAAAGCAAAATTCTGTACCCGTGGTGAAGAAATTCTACCCGCTATCCAACACAAGTATCAACATTTGGAATTTGGGTTGAAATCATACTTTGTTGTTGTACAGATTTATTCAAAGCATATTCAACTCAGTTTGCATCAAGTTGTTAAACTGGAATCACCCGGAGAAGATCCAGCGTCCATCATTATTCAGGATGAAATGATACATATCAATGATGTATATGATGCACTCTGTAAGAGTATTATGAAAAGCCTACAAGTCAATTGTCAATTCAATTATTGTGCCACGCACAAGAGTGAGGAAGATGTGCAATATGATTTCCAATCACTTGAGATATATAACAATATTTATCGAAATTTAAAACCATGCGTTGTTGAACTTGTAATTTGGTATACCTATAATTAGCGTCTCAGTGTATTAATTACTTCTTGGTAGTTCGAAAAAAACAAATCAAATTTGGACATGAAATCCAAAATACAGCTGGATATCAACACGAAATGCGATTGCAGTATTAGCATATTTCTTCGTGATATCATTGAAGTAGGCCTTATGTCAGTAATAGAAAGTATAACAACAGATATATTGGCTTCTTTGCACAACAAAGAATTATTTGGAAATTATGTACCGAATTATATTTTTGTGTTTGGAGATCCGTTCAATCTGGCGCTGGGTTCAATGATCCACATCGCATACACCATGCTTATGCAAAAAGCGATTGATGACGGCGTATATATTAAAGAAAAAGATACAAAGATATTTGTACTAAGAGAATTTATTTTCCAATTATTGGAGACGTTTTTATCTGGAGAAAAGCCTTACATGTTTGAAAGGTTTGTCACTGGAACTTTGTGCCAAGTATCAGGCAATACATACGGGATGCGGATTCCATATCTAAGCCGTTTTACCCCTTTCACACGACTAAACAGTGATGGTGATATCAAAAATACTATTGCAGATGATGGTAGTTATTTGGTATTTATTCAGAAAGGGAAGCCAGTTCCAACAAAAGGGCTTATAATTCAAATTAATAAACCAACAAGTAAGTTCGTTGCCATGATTGTAGTTCTTCGTTTGTTCTAATGAGACCCACTTCTACTTACACATAGATATCAGATTAGAAATTCTTCAATTGGAAAGTTCAACCAGTATTGTTCCGGACAAGTATACTCTATTGCACGGCGACACTCCTGGTGTTACTTATAAAGTATTCTCCGCTGATTTGACGTATGTTTCTCTGAATACATTTGTGGTAGAATATGAGCAGATTAGCAATAATTTATCTATCAAAATATCAAGAGGATGCATACGCGATATTGTTGACTATGTTGATAAACCTTATTACGTAACCAAAAATATCATGGAGCCATTGACACTTGCTTATATTTAACCTATCTTTGCTTCAATAAAATCATATATTATACACAACTGATTAAAACCATCTCTTATTTGCATTGATTTGCTTTAAACAACAACTCTGACAAACAATAATTTGACTTCTCTGAATAACTAATTATAATAAGACATCAAATTATCACCCAAAATATAGTCTTTGAGAGTTATGAGAACAGAGTTTTTATCTTTATTTAAACAGCTAAATAAATCTTAAGCAGAAGGAGCACCAGCTTTTGCACGAGCAGCAGAAATAAGCGCAGCATGCGACCAAGTAAGATCTCTTGCCCCCCGTGGACCTTCCAGATCCCTGTTCATATTGTTCAGACATCGACCCATTGGTCAATGCATAATTTTTAACAGTAGAAAGAAACTTATCCGCACCCAACGCAACATTTTGTGTCATGGCATTAAAAGCAGCGGTACCGACCTTGTACACGGTCCCTTCCACAGCAGCCGTATCGAATTTGTTAAAGAAGGGTAAACTAATTGAGGAGACCGTGACTTGACCCGCTAGCGTCCATTCCTTGATAGCACGATAATAAAGTTCTGCATAGGCGCTGGTTGCCAAATACCAAGGGTTACCTTGTCCATTCCCGTTACCATTATACGTATCCTCGGGGTATCGACCGATGGATGTACCCAAATAAGAAGGGGTATTGACATTGAATCATAGAGAGAACTAAACTTGCTTTCAACGACGACAGCGGTGGCCCAGATTTTATCGGATCCTGGTGTATAGAAACCGTCTGCGAGGGAACCTGAATTAGCAGCGATCAAGGTAGCGACATCGTAACCGGCTTTTTGAACACCCCCTGTGAGACTTTGGGTGACGGTAATGTAGGTACCGGACCAAAAGGTATCGATTTTGGTTTTGAGAGTGTTGGCGGTAGTGGTGTAGGTGGAGGCACGTGTGGTGTCACCGTTACGTGTAGCGAAATTTGCACCGTGGATCAAACCTTTGCGCATGACCATGAGTGTGTAAAAGTGAACACCGTTGGCTTCCTCCCTACATTTTTTTTTTAAATAATAGACAGTTTGTGTTAGATTTTTTTTTTGTTTTTTTGGGAGGGTTGGGTTTGTTTGGGTTCTTTACCAGAGATCGAAACATCCGTCGGACCAAGTACTCACTACATAATCCGAATCCTTGAAAATTGATATAAAATATTTTTATATGTAAATTAATATGACCAATAAAAGTAATGAGTGGGTTTTTTTTCGATGCAGCCCTTACCAGGTTTAAGTGTTCCAGTAACATAGGTAATCACCGGATTGTTTAAGAATACTATCTGCAATTAAAATAAACAACGAAGCACGTTCAGCCGGGCCATCATTTTGAGGTCTAGATTTTTTAAACTAAACATTTACAACATTAGTCATTTTCTTTCACGTTGTTCAATTCAAATGACTGGACTTCAAAACAATATCATACTTTGTTATGTACTGCACAAATATTTTCAAAACATATTCAGCTCACTTTGCATCAAATTGTCAAACTGGCATTACCTGGAGAAGATGCGACTACCATTGTTATTCAAGATGAAATAATTTACATAGATGATGTATATGATAGTCTATGTAAGAACATTTTGGCGAACACACAAATCGACCGTGAAATCAATTATTGCCTCACACACAATGCATATGGTGCTTTCGACTCGCTCCAAACTTATACCAGTATACGTCAGAACCTAAAGTTATACGTTTCTGAGATTTTTAAGTTAAATGGGACTACACTATTACTTTTACTTGGAGGTTTATCAGTAGTTGAAGATGAGCGAAGAAAGTTTGGATTTGGATTGTAATAAGAAGTTAAATATGAACGACAACTGCGATTGTAATATCAGTTTTTTTCTTTGTAACATTATTGAAGTAAGCCTCAAGTCACTTATCGAAGATATTGCAACAATCATAGCGGCTTCTTTGACAAACAACAGAATAATTAGAAATTACGAAATGGAATATCTATTTGTTTTAGGAAATTTCATTTCGCATGTCTTACAACCCAATTGTTTACACAGTATATACTATGATAATGAAACCAGCCATTAACAACTGTATGCAAGTCAAAGAAAAAATACGCTATCATTTGTATTAGTTAAGAGAACCATTTATACAGCTATTGAAGCTAATTACACGTATCAGACCATATATGTATGAGAGGCTTGTAACTGGCAGATTATGCCAAGTATAATGGGAAACATATGCGCTGCGACTTGGTTTTGGTGGGTCTGAGTTTCTCCCTTTCTTTCATATAGATAAACGATGACAATATAAGAAATACTATCGAGAACAATGGTAGCTGCTCTGTATTTATTCGAAAGTGAAGCCGATCTCAACAAAAGGATGCATAGTGGAAGTCCCCCAAAACTACGGATATAGTCAAAGTTTCTATGTCCACACCCTTTTTAAATTGTTTAAATTACGTCATTCAAGCAAGTTAATGTATGTGACAATGTTAATTTGCGTTAAATAAAGTTGGTAATATATAAAAAATATGATGTAAACGATGTCTTTTTTTAATTGTTTCCATATGCTTAAAGGGGGAAGGATAGCAAAGGTCTCCTTTCCCAGAAACTAGAGATTTTGCTACAGAAGAGTAGTCTAGCAAAAACTAATACCGCGATACAGTGTTAGTAGGTGTTAGACGGAAAGTTTGAATGCATGCTTCAACGCCGTCACTGAGTTCATGGTCAAATAAGGTTTCGTACTACAAATAAACGGATTATACGAAACGTCGTGAACTCCTTATTTGTGCTTTCGACGCTTTTAACATCGTTGTGGAAGAAAGAAGATGGAAGAATTCTATGATTATTCTCGGCATAGTTATTGTTTGGCAATCGGTAAGCGACTTAACTTCTTAAAATACGGGATTGCTGAATTCAAGTAGATTTGGGCTTTGACACCATCAACGCTCAGCTCATATACATTATTGAATCCGCAAAGGAAGTTGCAAAGTTAGTCGACATCGAAATAGCAGAATTTATATGTGTTTTTTTTTTGACAGAGATTCCTTTTTAAAAATAGTATCAGCAAGGCATACCGCACCTCAATGTTATATGACACTACCACGAGAAATATCATTGCCAGAGGCAACAAGGCTCGTGAAGCGAATGAGAATCCGAAAGGGCTCCAGGAAGGCGTTATTTATGTACGCAGTACCTTAAACGAGCTCTCTGACATTTATTTAAAATCCAAGCAACAATCTTTCGATAATACAGCATTGTACGCGCTCTTGTACGAGAAAGCTATATACCTGTTACAAAAAATAGTGGATCATTATAAAAAAAAATTGAATAGTGCAAAGGATTTCTGTTATTCTTTGAATCTTCCAACCAGTTGGGATTATAAAATAAGAGAAGAATTGTTTCGACCTCTATTCGTAAAGGCTGGTCTTCTTCATGAAAATGATGGTCCGGGCAGGCTGCTGTTTTTTTCGATGTTAGAGTTAAATTTTCAAAACTTGCAGATGAAAAGAGGAATTCCGGACGCCACAAACTTAAAGTATGGTGATCAGCGCGTTATGTGTACAATAGATTATCAAGGTACATACTCCGTGGATTTGAAATTGGTATCAGCTCAATATCCTGCTTTCAGATTAGCACAAAGAAAGATGGTGCCACAATTGTTGAAACAAACTCACTTTGTAATCCCGTTTGGACCAAATGAACTACGATTGTCATTAATAGCATGTGTAGAAAAGCATTGTGATACTACGTTATCATCAGAATCTATCGACGACATGCTTGATAAACTCAGTCGAAAGTACGATGGAATTTATTATTTTGTAAGAGTTAATTAAAATGAAATTGGGAAAATAATTAAAAACGTTTTTTTTTGTTTTTGCCAGAGAACAACAGGTGGTTTCTTAAATGATCAGCCATTGCCAGACTTAAAATCTCGCAGGACGAATAGATCAATCACTTTAGGAGACATACTTGAATATTTTTCAAGTTATGCAGAAAAATTCTTTAGAAATGAAGTAGATAAGCTTCTTGTAGGCAGGAGCAATATAGTACCCAGGCCATTGGACATTTTTCACACAAGGCGAATCCCGACAACATTTTTTGCTATGGGGTTAAACTCATCAGTTGATTGTTGGTCGAAAAAGTATTTCAGGGAACTAAAAGAATCTTACATATCCGCGGAACTCGATGATGATCCCCCCATGTTCGTACTCTTTGACCATGATCACCGAAAACATGCAACTCGAGAGCTTTTAAACTACCGAATGGAAGAACTTAACGTGCGCAGAAACCCAGTTATACTACCCAAAGAAACAACAATGGAAGAACCCAAAAGTTGCTTAAAGCCTATTGTCTTCATCAATATCGGTAAATTGACTCCTTAGTAGTATCGGCTTCGTATTAACCTGACCTATTTGAAACCAAACAGACATATCGCCTATACGAATCCAGACTGCTTTTACATACCTAGATAAAGATAGACAAGTTGGACAGAAGCAAAATTTTGAATGGTAATGGTGATAGGCGGCAGAATATCTTGTATAAGCAAGTCCAACTAAGTTCCATTTTATTGCATAATAGTAATATGCGACCATTGAATAGTTTCATCAAGCAATCAGAAATATATCAAAGACCAGTACTACAAATATCAAAGAGGTAAAACTACTTGAAGAAACGCTTATGATTGTCAATTCTAATTGTGCGTTTAGACTGAAGTTAGGTTTAGAAAAGATTTTTGGTGACTACCTTGAATTATACTCAAGTTACATCGGACAGAGTATGATAATGGAGACAACTAAAACATCTGATCAAGTTTTAAGAACAGGGAAAACAAGGAGTGCTTTTAACGATTATATTAGGATAAAAAGTATCAAAAATCGATCGAAGGAAATCAGAAAGTTATTTGTTTCCTCAAACCCAAACCTATTTGAACAGCTTACGGCAAACTTTGACATGGACGATTTTTTTGTGTCGAATGACAAATTTTCTGCTTCGGATAGCGAGGGATTTACAACATGCCATCCAGGTTACATGCATTTTTTTATGATCACATATCTGCACTGTCTCCACAAGAAAATAGAGGAAAAATTAAAAAGTATTGTAGGAACGAATTGGCGAGCCAACAACATTTGGTATGGTGTGTCTATTGACAAAAAGCTACTGGATACTGTATTCGGCTCAATGAAAAATTTGGAAAAATTATTCTTTGCAAGTGGAATACTTGGGAAGGACGACGAACTTCGAAAAGCAAAATTCTGTACCCGTGGTGAAGAAATTCTACCCGCTATCCAACACAAGTATCAACATTTGGAATTTGGGTTGAAATCACACTTTGTTGTTGCACAGATACATTCAAAGCATATTCAACTCAGTTTGCATCAAGTTGTTAAACTGGAATCACCCGGAGAAGATCCAGCGTCCATCATTATTCAGGATGAAATGATACATATCAATGATGTATATGATGCACTCTGTAAGAGTATTATGAAAAGCCTACAAGTCAATTGTCAATTCAATTACTGTACCACGCACAAGAGTGAGGAAGATGTGCAATATGATTTCCAATCACTTGAGATATATAACAATACTTATCGAAATTTAAAACCATGCGTTGTTGAACTTGTAATTTGGTATACCTATAATTAGCGTCTCATTGTATTAATTGTTTTTTGGTAGTTCGAAAAAAACAAGTCAAATTTGAACATGGATTCCAAAATACAGCTGAATATCAACACGAAATGCGATTGCTGTATCAGTATTTCTCTTCGTGAAATTATTGAAGTATGTCTCATGTCAGTGATAGAAAGTATATCAGGAGATATAACGGCATCTTTGACCAACAAAAAACTATTTGGAAACTATGTACCGAAATATATTTTCGTGTTTGGTGATCCGTTCAATCTGGGGCAGGGTTCAAAGATCCACATCGCATACACCATGATTATGCAAAAAGCGATTGATGACGGTGTATATATGAAAGAAAAAGATACAAAGACATTTGTACTAAGAAAATCTATTTTCCAATTACTGGAGACGTTTTTATCTGGAAAAAAGCCTTACATGTTTGAAAGGTTTGTCACTGGGACTTTGTGCCAAGTATCTAGCAATACATACGGGATGCGGATTACAAATTTAAGCCGTTCGGTCTCTTTCACCCGAATAAACAGTGATGGTGATATCAAAAATACTATGGGATATGTTGATTATTATTTGGTATTTATTCAGAAAGGGAAGCCAGTTCCAACAAGAGAGCTTATAATTCAAATCAATAAACCAAATAGTAAGTTCGTTGCCATTATTGTACTTCTTCGTTTGTGCTAATGAGACCCACTTCTACTTACACATAGATATCAAATTAGAAATTCTTCAATTAGATAGTTCAACCAGTACTGTTCCGGACAAGTATACTCTATTGCACGGTCGCACTCGTGGTGTTACTCATGAAATAGACTCCAGACGTTTGACGGATATTTATATTAATACATTTGTGATAGAATATGAGCAGATTAGCAATAATTTATCTATCAAATCATCAAGAGGATGTATGGGCAGAATTAGTAACTATATTAGTAAACCTTATTACTTAACCGTAAATATCATGGAGCCATTGACACTTGCTTATATTTAACGTATCACTGCTCCAATAAAATTATATATTACATACAACTGATTTAAACCATCTCTTATTTGCGTCGATTTACTTTAAACAACAACTCTGATAAACAAATTTGACTACTCTAAATAACTAATTATAATAAGACATCAAATTATCACCCAAAATACAGTCTTTGATAGTTATGGAAAACAAAGTTTTTATTTTTATTTAAACAGCTTAATAAATCTTAAGCAGAAGGAGCACCAGCCTTTGCACGAGCAGCAGAAATAAGCGCAGCATGTGACCAAGTAAGATCTCTGGCCCCCGTAGACTTTCCAGATCCCCGTTCATACTGTTCAGACATCGACCCATTGGTCAATGCATAATTTTTAACGGTAGAAAGAAACTTATCCGCACCCAACGCGACATTTTGTGTCATGGCATTAAAAGCAGCTGTACCGACCTTGTACACGGTCCCTTCCACAGCAGCCGTATCGAATTTCTTAAAGAAGGGTAAACTAATGGAGGAGACCTTGACTTGACCCGCTAGTGTCCATTCCTTGATAGCACGATAATAAAGTTCTGCATAGGCGCTGGTTGCCAAATACCAAGGGTTACCTTGTCCATTCCCGTTCCCATTGTACGTATCCTCGGGGTATCGACCGATAGCTGTACCCAAATAAGAAGGGGTATCGACATTGATCTCATAGAGAGAACTAAACTTGCTTTCAACAACGACAGCGGTGGCCAAAATTTTATCGGATCCGGGTGTATAGAAACCGTCTGAGAGGGAACCTGAATTAGCAGCGATCAAGGTAGAGACATCGTAACCGGCTTTTTGAACACCCCCTGAGAGACTTTGGGTGACAGTAATGTAGGTACCCGACCAAAAGGTATCGATTTTGGTTTTGAGAGTGTTGGCGGTAGTGGTGTAGGTGGAGGCACGTGTGGTGTCACCGTTACGTGTAGCGAAATTTGCACCGTGGATCAAACCTTTGCGCATGACCATGAGTGTGTAAAAGTGAACACCGTTGGCTTCCTCCCTACATTTTTTAATAATAGACAGTTTGTGTTAGATTTTTTTTTTTTGGGAGGGTTGGGTTTTGTTGGGGTTCATTACCAGAGATCGAAACATCCGTCGGACCAAGTACTCACTACATAATCCAAATCCTTGAAAATTGCTATAAAATATTTTTTTATATGTAAATTAATATGACCAATAAAAGTAGTGAGTGGGTTATTTCGATGCAGCCCTTACCAGGTTTAAGTGTTCCAGTAACATAGGTATCATCACCGGATTGTTTAAGAATACTATCTGCAATTAAAATAAACGATGAAGCACGTTCAGCAGGACCATCATTTTGAGGTCTAATATTTGATTTAAACAAACAAAAAAAAAAAAAAAAAAAAAATACATCAGTGTACATTTTCTTTCACGTTATTCAATTTAAGGTTACCTTCCCCAGGCTCCAGTAAAACTGGATCCATCGGCATTAAACTTGGGCTCTCCCAAACAATTACAAGCAGTACTTGTCGATTGCGCATTGATAGAATAAGTCACATAATCCTTCAAGAGACCCACAGTGGTAGCGTCTCCCTTAAGCGTGGTATTATAATCATTAGCCATGACATACGAGACCAAAGCAGAATCACGAGTCCAAGAGTAATAATAATCTGGGCCAGAAGTAGACAACGAGGCAGCGATAAAACCCTTGGCAGCTCCCACTGGGTTAATGTTACGGATCATGGCAGCACGACTGATACCCTCTTGAGTTTTAATCCATGTGGAGATGGTAGAGTTACCCGAGGGAAAAGCAATGGATGTGGATGTAGGGGGTGTTTCAGTGGCAGTGGAAGTGGGAGAGGAAGAAGTGGTCGTGGTGGGAGGGGGTGTTGTAACAACGTAATTAGCGGATCCGTTGTTGTCATAGTAAGTCTTGCCACTGACATCGTACTAAGAAAAAGAGACGATTTATTTAAGTTGAAGACATGATGGGGGGGACTTACCTTGATGTAGAATTCTTTAATACTAGAGATAGCGGTAGAAGAGAATGTCCAAAATTCATAACTGGTATCACTGATACTTTCACTGAAAGCGGCTTTGACAAGATTAGCATTGTTGTTCCAATCACCTGTGGCGTCCGAGTAAATGACACTGACGACTTTGGTCAAATCAATATTTTTGACCTAGATGGTGGTTTGAGGGGGGATGAGATAGGCGAAAGAAAGAAAACAGAGAGAGAACTTACATAGATTTTACCAGTAAATGATTTTCCAGCGACGTAATCATAGGATTGAACCTTGACTTCAGAAGTAGGAGGAGAGGTACTGACAACCGTAGCAGAGACATAGGAGAAACCGACCAGGATGAATAAAACTTGTTTCTTGAACAAGGTGTGAAGACACTTCATTTTTTTTTGATGTAGTTAATTTGAGATAATAATAATAATAAAAAGATGTCTTGGGATATTTATAACTTTATTCAACTCTTGTGGCCAAGACACTTTTTTTAAATTCTGTAAAAAAAAAAAAAAAAAAAAAGTTACACTTGCACAAAATCCATTTTGTTCCCAGGACGGTTTCCCAAGTACAGATCTCTCTTAATTTTGCATGGTACATTTTTCATCCATGCGATCGTATGACAGCCAATGAAAGATATATTGATTTGTGTGTACAAAAAATTGACACTAATATGAAAAGCGTCAACTATTACTGCATTTAGAATCAATCATTTGATTGGGTTGGGATTTTTTTTTTAATAGAGTCACAGTTTACCCCTCGCGTCTAGGGGGGGGGGGAGAGAAAGGCTTTTGTTTATTCCCTTTTTGTGTTATATCCTTTTTGTAAAAAAAATTAAAAAAAAAAAAATGACTTCTGTTGCTGATATATTTGAAGACTATGTAGAAAGTAAAAAACAGAAATAGCATGGACAGATAAAAAGTATGAAACTAAACGTTCCTTTGTAGGTTTACAAAACTTGCCGTCTGAAATCGATCAAAATATGCATGAATTACGTAGCATGGATGAAGAATTTCAACGTATTGTGTACATGATTGGGACTTCCCCCTTCCTTCTATCCTCCCATTCAATAAACTAAAAATATAATGTAGGCTTTCGAGAGATTTACACCAAACATCGACGATCGTATACGAAATTGTGTCGTTTGGCGCACCATGGGACACCAACGACACCTACACCCTCCCAGAATTTGACGAGCTCACGACTCCAATTAGAGAAAGATTACAAACTAGCAGTACAAAAGCAAGATCAAAAGATTGACTTGACAAAACGCATGTACGATTTAGTGTCACGCCATATTGAGCGTATTGATTCGCAAATGGCCAAGAGCGACATTGCTGATTTGGACTGGATGGGACAGGCCACGCGTAAGAGTCATGCCATGGAGGATACAAGTTGGCGTTTAGATGCACCTAGTCATGGACGTAAACGACCTTCACCTCATGGTGCTCTTTCCGTCCGCAAAAGGTTTAGATGAAAAAAAAAAAGATAGATTTATGTATTTTTTATACTGATCACACTACCCAAAAAAAAAAGTAGAACACTTCATTCGTCGCGACCTAACCCAGCGATGGGACAAAATGGTACCTTGACAGAAATTGAAATTGATCCCAATGAACCCAAGTATTGTTATTGTAACCAAGTTTCATTTGGTGATATGGTTGCTTGTGATGGTGAAAACGTAAGTTTTTGATTTCATGGTTAGTTCATGTATGTTATTCACATTTTTTTGGGTGAGAGAACAGTGTGAGAAGGAATGGTTTCATTATGCTTGTGTAGGATTAGCAGAACCTCCTGTTGGAAAATGGTATTGTGATGATTGTGCAGCTGAGGAAGGGTATCGAAAGAAATTGAAACGTTTTACAGATGAAATGTTTTAAGATTTTTTTTTTTGGCATGGATTAAGAAAAGAGAAAAGAAATACCCCCCACCACCAACACACACATATATGAATTACAACCGTCCATCTTTTAGATGTTCACATAAATAAAATATATAAAAATATATTTCTATATCAATTTAACGGTTCCATGACATTTTGGATGATACACACCTAACTGTGTATACTTTCATGCCCGTTTTTTTGATAAATAATAAAAATCATGCATGAGTGATTTAAAAAAAAGTATTTGTGTTACAAAACTTGAATTCATGCAAGTGGGACCAGTAAAAGCGAAATGAACAGTTTACACACAGATATATAAAAAACGTTAGATCTCTCTATGGTAAACAGGGGGCGGGGGAGAAATGATATAGCGTTCTATCATTTTTTTTTTTTTTTTAATTTGAAAAAAAAAAATTAGTTAGCGCGTGTGTGATGTATATTTGATTAATTTTAAATGAGTGTAAATTACAATTTAAATAAAATACATCATTATTCCATTGGGCTGCATCACACACGCACGCATCCGATCATGCTTTCCTCGCTTCTTTTTTTTTGTTTATCCCTCTCTCTTTTTAGATATAGATATATATATATAAAAGGTGCATTAAAAGAAAAAGGAATGATCATGAATGATGATGTTACAGATAAAATAAATTGTATTAGATGGACCACTATATAAATCGTCCCTTTTTTTTTTTTTTTTTTACAAGCTACGACTTAAATAGACTAAGCTCCCTCTCCTCCCTCACCGCGGTTCCCTGCTGGTAATCTACACTGAAATTCTCGGGTTAAAATTCTAACAACATTCCTAAATGTAAGTTTGTTTTGCACACATGATTACAAACTTAAAACATATCAGAGGTTTTGTGGTGTATGTAGTGACCCCAAGTGCGCGTGGTCCCAACCTCATCTCGCGTACCCCGCGTACTAAAAAAAAAAGTGTGGTTTCTTTTAAAAAAAAACCTTTCAAAAAATAAAATGCTTCCTGGTGAAGACGCCTTGTGAGTTACAATAAAAAATTATGAGGGAGTATGACTGACCGAGACCCCCCCCCCAAAAAAAGTCTACCCACCGATGATGATCGAATGAAAGCCCAAATTAATGAGTTACAAGTTCGTTGTAAGTAGTAATAGTAGTAGCATGGCAAACAAAAAAAAAAAAAAGGAAAAACAATTGACTATCAAAAATAGTGAATGTGGCGACAGAAAAACGACGTCAACTTCGACGTGCTTTAATCGAAGAAGATTTATCGCATGTCGTTGTATCACGATTAACAGACATGATTAAAGGTAATACCCCCCTTAAAACGAAAAAGCCCCATCAGCAACCACAAAAGCAATTAAAAAAACAGTAAGGTAGATCCCACACGTACAAAGGCATCCGAATTAGAAGGCATGCAAAAAGAGATATTTGATCAATTGGTCCGTGTAGCGGAACAATGTACGTCCAAGGAGATCTTTAGTTATTATCGGTTAGCCGGTAGCAGTGTATTCAGCTATAACGAGAACATGCAAGTAGTGACATTGGAGACGTTTTATAACAAGGTCTATCGTGAGTCATTCAAGATTTGTATGGATAAGGAAGCACAACAAGTGCTTTATCATTCGTTACCACAGTTTATTCCCGTGGATGAATTAGTTGAACAGTTTTTACCACACGATCTCGAGGTAAAAAAAAAAAAAAAAAAAAAAAAAAAAAAGTTTGAAGATATGTAAAACCAACAACATAAAAAAAAAAGGATAGACGTTTCTTCGTCTAGTACATGATGCGGCACAGGCGTTTGTGGTACGACGTGAATTGTGGAAGGATCTGGAAAGAACCTTCAAGATACAGGATTTGAATGTATCATTTACGCATGGTGTGGTGGAAGTGACTGTGGCTCCGGAAAGAGTCTTACTTGTGACTTTAACCTTTAGTAACTACCAGTCATCGTTTCCGACGGATATATTGGTGCGTCCGTTGTTCCGTGTGGCGGATGAAGGAAGGGAGGCCTTTCGAGAATTACAGCGTGATTTAATGATGGGTGATATTCAAGGTGTTTTAACTGCTTTACAACGACAAACGGAGTTTTGATTTGAGGGGGGTGGGTGTAAGTTGAACAAACCTGAAAAAAAAAATAAACTTTTTTTTTTCTTCTTTTTTACATTTTTATTTTTTCATTGAAAAAAAACATTTTGAAATGGCTCGTGGTCAACAAAGAGAACAAGCGAGGTAAAAGCGAGTGGGGTGTTTAGTTGAGAGGGAAAGTAAAGTTAAAAAAAAAGATAAAAACATTCTTAGAGCAAAAGCACAAAAGGAAGCAGCGAAACGAGCTGGAGGTGTATCTCAATTAGGTGCTCGTGCAGCAGGACTTCAGGTATAAACCTAAAAAAAAGAGAAAGATAAGAGAGATTCTAAGAAAAAGGAATAATCTATCTAGATCAAGTGTCCAAAGTGCTTTATCGCTATTGCCAATTACAACCTTTTAAAACAACATATGGAAGTAAGTTTCTAAAGAAAATTTCTCGCTTCCCATCTTATTTATTTATTTTTTTTAAATTATGACAGGCCAAACATCCCAAGGAAACCGTACCTCCAGAGAGCGATTTCCAAGCCAAAGCATAGATTTTTATTATATATATAGAGGGAGAGAGAGTAGCCCATACACTACATTACCATTTTTTGAAAAAAAAAAAAAAAAAAAAAAAAAAAAACTATTAAAAAAAAAAGTGTAAGCACATCATGTCACAAAACAAAAAAAAAGTGCCAAAATGGCGATTCTCTTTGTGTTAAATAGTAAAGGAGGGACCCCTTGTTACACCGAGAGATCATGAATATATAATAATAAAAAAAGTGCTCTTTTTTTTTTTATAGCCCAGATTGAATAACTCCTCTTCCCTACTTACAAAAAAAAAAAAATGGCGTGTTGTTCTGTAGGTAAAAAGAAGGAGTGTATATTTTGTCATATCGGAGACTCCGTAGGTGCTAGAATTGTGATTGAGGTATTTATATAATTATGTAAAGACAAAAAGGGGGAAGGGGAAAAAAACTGATAAGAGGTAGACGGAACATTTGGTTGCTTTTCGAGATCGTTCACCATCATCGCAAGTTCATTTACTCGTGATACCGAAACAACATGTGCGTACTGTGAAAGATTTGGATGAAGGTCATGTTGCATTAGGTGAGTTTAACCCACTGATTTATAAATGTTATGTGTCAACTGACAGAGGAAGAGAAAAAAAAAAGTGCAGGAAATGGTGGATTTGGGTAAACGTTTGTTAAAAGAACAAGGATATAATCCAGAGGATACAACGCAAACACGGTAAAAAAAGGAAAAAAAAAAGAAAGCAAGAAATGATTTAATATATAAATGTATTTAGACTTGGATTTCATGTGCCTCCATTTAATTCGGTGGATCATTTACATTTACACGTCATGGGGTTACCATTTCGAGGCTGGAAGGGATTGAAATATAATCAAAAGTATCCATGGTTTGTGAATGCGGGCACAGTATTACGTCGATTAGGTGAAGGCATGAGTCCTGTTTAGATGATATCATCTCTCTTTTTTTTTTTTTTTTTTTTTGGTCCCTTGATTTTTTGGCACATCTATAAAAAGCTAAAACATTTTTTTTTTTTTAGACTTAATTTTCTGCTTTAAATTTTTTTTTTTTTTTTTTTTATATTATTCTTTCTCTCTCTTTTATATAATTTATTTTATTTTTTTTATTAAAAAAAGAATGTCTGTATTTCATCAGCTTAAAAATATATTCCGTAACCATGTGGATGATCATCCCCGTAATCATAATAAATCCGATCAATACCAAGCAGCCGCCACCCAATTAGTGCAAGAGGAAAGCAAAGCCAAATCAAAATTACCAGAATATGAAGGTTTAACAGAAAAATTCAATCTCATCAAAAAATTAGGAGAGTATGTTCTAAAAAAACCAAAGGGGTGCTCCATCTTAGATGACTAACATTGATTTAAACAGAGGTGCTTTCTCTCATGTATATAAAGCCGTGAATAAAACGACGGGTGAATGCGTGGCAATAAAAATTGTTCGTAAATTTGAGTTGAGCCAAATTCAGGTAAAACCCATTTTTTTTTAAAAAAAAAAAAAAGTCTAATCGCATCATGGGGACATTTTTTGTATAACCTTCTAAACACAAACATTATAATTTAGAAAGCAAGTGTATTAAAAGAGGTACAAATCATGCGTACATTAAATCATCCTTCCGTCATTAAAATGCTAGACTTTATCGAAACCAAAGAAGTAAGAACCTTTTTTTTTCCCCTCTCTTTCTGTTTGACCGTGTACTAATAAAAGAATGCATTCTTTATAGTACTTCTTCTTGGTATTGGAATTGATGGATGGCGGAGAGATCTTTCATCAAATTGTGCAGCTGACCTACTTTAGTGAGGATTTATCTCGTCATTGTATACGACAAGTGGCAGAGGGTATTCGTTACTTACATGAAGAACGTGGGGTAGTCCATCGAGACATCAAACCCGAGAACATCTTATTTCAATCCATCCCATTTATGGAACGTAAATCAACGACAGCACCCACCGTAGCGGACGAAGAAGAAGAAAAGGAAGATGAAGGCGAATTTGTGGTGGGTCAAGGAGGCGGTGGTATTGGCCGAGTGAAATTAGCCGATTTCGGTCTTTCCAAAGTGGTTTGGGACAAACATACCATGACCCCTTGTGGTACCGTTGGTTATACAGCGCCAGAAATCGTACGCGATGAACGTTACTCCAAGTCCGTTGACATGTGGGCGTTGGGCTGTGTACTTTATACCATGTTATGTGGGTTCCCTCCCTTTTATGATGAAAGCATCTCTACCTTGACACAAAAGGTGGCAAAAGGACATTATACTTTTTTGAGTCCTTGGTGGGATCATATCTCGGAAGAAGCCAAACATTTGGTCAAACATTTATTAAATATTAATCCCAAGAAACGGTATACCATTGATCAGTTCTTGGCGCATCCTTGGATGAAGACTTCAGAGGAACCTACCGTCATGACAACGACGGCAGGTTCACCAGCGATTTTGAACCCTCCTTCTACTACCACGTCTGTAGCGGTAGAAACCATTTCCATCACTCCTTCATCTACAACACCCAGTCAGACGATACCGATTGCTGCATCTGGAAAGAATCATAAACGAAAAGATTTGTTCATGTCGGGTATTTCTTCCATGAAGGAAGTATTTGATGTTTCGTATGCTGTGCATCGCATGGGAGAAGAACGAGCACAACGTAAAGAAAATAAAAAGAAACCAGTACAAGAAACGAGTCGATTGAAGGTATTTCATGCGCCTTTAAATGATGATGATGATGAGGAGGAGGAGGAGGAGATGGTGCAGGATGATTCATCGAATACGAGTTCATCGGATGATAATATTGATTCGTTATGCACGCATTTGGAAGATGCACAGATAAAGAAGAAACCGAATGATAATTTGTTGATCAAGAAATTAGCGGGACGGTTGAATGATGCACCGCCTGTGGTGAATCGTAAAGCTAAAAAATCCTTTGAGTTGAATATGGGAAAAGCGACCTTGTTAGGAAGAAGAAAAAATGTGCCTACACTGTAGTTTTTTTTTTTTTTAGTTATTATTATTCCCCCCCTCACTTATTGTATATCTTTTTTTTTTTTGAAACATATTCTTATTGTCTAAAACCCTTTCCCCCCCTCTCTCTCTTTTTTTAATGATTACATCATATTTTGCAGAAAAAAATAAAAAGGGGCACGGAAGGGGATTGCTCCCCCCCTTTTTTATAAAAAAAAAAAAAATCGTTCAAGCTTTACCCATGATGCAACTTCATCCCATGTCAAACAGAGTGTTACAAGTCCTTTTTTTTTTGGATATGCACACTATTCAACGTGATCTTTTTTTTTTTCTAATCGTGCGCATTTAAGAAATAAAGATGAAAGTCACTTTTTTGTAAGAGAAAAAAGAGGTGTTTCAAAAAGATGTTTGCGGGGAAAAGGGACGATTTGGTATAAAAGATATGAACCCTTTTTTTAAACTGTTTGAAAAAAGATGAAACGTAATTCTTTTTTTTTTTTGTTTATACTAAAAAGGGGGCGGGGTTACTTGCGTATGTCAAAAAGGACATGCAAAAAAAAAAAAAAAGAATAAGCTTTTTTTTCTTGTGTAGAGAAATAAGATATGCTGACGGAGTTGTCATAAAAAAAAAAAGGAACAAACGTTTCTAGTTGTAGCAGCGACTCTGCTCATGAGACGCCATGAGGCTAAGAAAGAAAGAGAGACGGATATAAAGAGTAAAAGAGAGAGAGAGAAAGAGAGAGTGATTGTTAACTCTATTCTCGTCCCCCCCTTCTTTTTTTTTTTTCGATGTTTCAGCAAATGAGATTTTAATCTTGACGTCATCTACGAGAAGCTCGCCCAAAAAAATAAAAAAAAATTGGTTGTTTTCTTTTTTGTCTCTTTCCACTAAAAAAAAATCTTTTTTTCTTCTTCCTCTTTTTCCCCCCTTTATTTTTTAAAAAGAAACCGTTTATACCGTAAGTTCAGGTTTTTCTTTTCAAGGACAACTTCATCTCGTACTTACTCTCTTTTAAAAACAGTTTTTTTTTTTCAACAATGAGTGAATATTGGTAAGTTTCATCTTTCAGATGAGAATTGTTATATTCCCTTTTTTTTTCATCTAAGCTAACACGAACTTTTTTTCTATAAAAGTCCTGTTTATGCACCTTTCTTCGGTACCATGGGTTGTGCTGCTGCCATCGTCTTCAGTTGTAAGTGCTCTCTTTATATTATTTTCGCGTTTTTTTTATACTGTTAGCTGACAAGGATATATATAAAAAAAAAAGGTCTCGGTGCTGCTTACGGTACTGCCAAATCCGGTGTTGGACTTTCCGCTATGGGTGTCTTGCGTCCTGATTTAGTTTTAAAGTGTATTGTTCCTGTTGTCATGGCTGGTATTTTAGGTATCTATGGTGTTGTTGTCTCCGTTCTTTTGTCCGGTGGTCGTAAGTTATATCTCCGTGTTATACACACACATGACGCGTCCCCTTCACTCACTAACCAACTTTTTTATAATAGTCGCCATGAAGCAAACTCTTTTCAGTGGTTTCATCCAATTGGCCGCTGGTCTCTCTGTCGGTCTTTCATGTCTCGCCGGTAAAGTTGTGTGAGAGAGAAAAGAGAGAGAGAGGGAGACTAATCCTTAAATGTAAATTTTTATAGCCGGTATTGCTATTGGTATTACTGGTGATGCTGGTGTTCGTGCTACTGCTCAACAACCCAGAATGTTTGTCGGCATGGTATGTTTTGACTTTTTACTTTTTTAGGACGCGTCATCCTTTAGGAACTCACACTTTTCCTTTTTAGATTTTGATCTTGATTTTCGCTGAAGTTTTAGGTCTTTATGGTCTTATTGTTGCCTTGATTCTTAACACCAAGGCATCTGGTCAAGAGAACGTCTGTAACTAAAAAAAAAACTTATATTTCCGCCACCTCTTCGTATACACACACACATATAAATATTAAAAAAAAAGAAATCGAAAAAAAAAAAAAAAATAGAAAGAGGAAGATGTCTTATCTTTTCATTTTTATTTTTATTTTTTTAAATTTCTAGCAGTTTATATATAAAAAAAATAATGTGGTATAAAAAAAATATTTTTTAGTTTGACTTGTTTTTGAAATCATCATTCAGGGCTTGACAAGCCGAGATGGTACCAAAGATCAAACCGACCACGCCTAAAAGGACAGTTAAAAAGGCCAAGATGTATTCGTACCATGGTTTACCACGTACACCTGTCAATTTATAATAAAACGCGACCGGGAAAATAAACACCAGTGCACAATTGGAGAAAGCTCCCAAAAGGGACATAAAGTCACCAAAGAACGGTACAAAGATCGCAATAGCCGCAATAGCCACAATAAGCGAACCACGAAACAAGAAACGCAACGTCCATTCCGTCACAAACGAACGGTGTTCTGGGTTAATCTTTAACATCTTTTCCACATCAATCGCAAACGATGTCAAGAGAATGGGCGTAGCCAAAATTAAATGAATGGTGATAATAATAATCGACGCAGCTTTCGGTCCTCCCTCCGGTAAATTATCATAGATGGGTGAAAGTGAGGTGGTGCCATAGACGTAATAACCAGGTACAGCTGTCAAGAAATAAAGGACAACACAAAAGGTCAAACCAGCAATAATCACTTTATTCCAGTCCTTGGGTTTGCGCATACTGGCTTCCACATGCGCGTACACGGGGTTACCACCAAAACTGAAGGAAATCGAACTAAGTGCGATAGGAAACATGTTCCAAATCACGGGATCGTGATGGATGTGGGATTGATCCGGAGCTTCCTTGACAGCCACGGCCAAGACGATCAAGATGACAACGACAGTGGATAACATACCAAAGGCACTCAGTACACCAATTTCTTTGAGTGAACGAAAGAAGAGGAAAGGAATAGCCACAATACAGGTACAAATGATGACCCAGATAGGAAAAGTTAATTCGGCAGAAGAACCTTTTGCGACATTATGTAAGTTTAAACCGGATAAGAGGAGATACAATACAGGTACACCGACTAAAGTAATGGCTGTAAAAAAGAAAGCAACCCAGCCTCCAATCGAACCAAATGCAGCTGTGGCTACTTCTTGGTAAGAGGATAAACGGTTTTTACCATCATAGTATAAAGATCGAATTAATAGAATACCGGTATCTATAGGTTTTTAAAAAAAGAAAAGGGCATGAGTTTGATGGAGATGGGGGGTTGGTTTAGAAGAAGTAAGTGACTTACAGATGGAAAGGATCCAACTAAGTGCCAAAATGAATAAACCGATCCAACCACCTTGAGCAAGGGCATAAGGTAAACCCAAGGCACCTGTACCTGCCACTACACAAACAACACTAAAGAAAGCTGTGAAACTAGAAGCTTGTTTAGATCGATCAATGCCGAATTCTGGACTATCACATTCTGTATTTTCATAATGAGAGGTTGTATCTTCAGATACTAATATGAAATATGTTAGCTGTCAAAAAAAAATTGGGTGGGATGTAACCATGATTTAAAAAAAAAAATGGGGGGTTTACCGGAAGGGATGATTTCTTTGTTGTGAAGACGGTCACTACGAATCGTGGAACCAGAATAACTGGGTGTAGAAGCTGTTGCCTTCAAGTATTGATCTTCACTCATCCTCAAAGTAAAGAAAGAGAAAGAGAAAAGAAAGAAAAAAAAAGGTGAAAATTAAAAAATGGAAGGGAAAGAAAAAAAGAAAATTTTTCTTTCCCTTTTTGTCGGATCGGAACATGTCCCAAAAAAAAAACCGGGAAGAAATATACAAGTTATACGCGTGATTTCTCTTTTTTTTTTTTACCTTGTATTTTATCACTCATCTCTTTTATAAAGAGTTAAATAATGTGCAGGAAAATGGGTTTGTTTTGATTAGACATCCATGTTCCTATTTATCACCTCTTGTTAAAATCAGATCAGGAAAATAGGCCGGTGTTTGAATTAATGTTCCCACAATTATGAACAGCGCTCTCCTCCCCCACTTTAGCGTTGGTCCGTGGCGCTCCCTCCCCAAGGTCCAATCGTATCCTTGCTGCGATCCAAGTTTTGAAGGGAGTCGATAATTTTACGTTGTATTAGAAAGGTATTGTAGGTACAATGTTAATTTCAATGCTATGTGTAAAAAAAAAAAAAGAAGATCCAATGGCATAAAACAATGATTGGAGGTTATGATCAAACTTTACTAAAAAAGAGAGACAGCCATTGAGAGAAGAAAAAAAATGACAGAACTATGATCGAATGTAAATCCAAAACTCCTCAGTTACACAGAGCTGTTGACCAAATTCTCTACTACAGTGGTCCGCGGAGAGATGAATTATATAATAAAGCTGCCTTCCATGTGTATGAATGACGTTTGAGCACATGCAAATACCACAAAGTGTCCTTCAAATTAAAATAAATCACCCAACAACACAAGATTAACCACACAACCATACCCACTACCCATGACAACATGATACACATCAACGTCTATCTATATATTTTTTATTTTTCAAGGCAAATCATCGCTGGTATAAGTACTCAACTTATCAAAAATTCTTTCATCCACTTGAATCGGTGTATCATTTTCCTTCAACACTTCAGCGGTTTCATGTCCAATCCAGTACTTCTTTTCATCCTGTCCTAAATCCGCATCCCGTTCCTCAAAGGGTCTCGTTTGGTTCAAGACAGCAGCTACAGCATATTTTCCTACTTCCTCAATACGTTTATAATCAGCATACCACATGTAAAGTCGATAAGGGATATTGGTCCATCCAATGATATTGACATGAGGGATATACATGACGGGTGAAAACTTGGGTGGTAGTGAGAAATGGTCAAGTACTTCCATGGGTTCCAACATCTCCAAGGTTTCCTCTACAATCACAGGGTCCTTCATGTTCTCAGGGGTCTTTGATTCCTCCTCCACCTTGATCTCTTCGAGAGCAGGTTCCTCTACCACGACAGCAAGACTAGCATCACATCCCTTGGCTAATCCACTTAATACTTCACGATACGCATTTCTACCAATGGCTAAAATACCGTCGGATACCACTTCACTTTTCTTCTTGTTGTTCATGTTCTCTACAGGTGATGTAAAACCTGTGTTGGACTTGTTTTCTAATGGTTCGTGGTCGGTTGATTCTGCAATGGTTGCTGCTTCAGCGGCGGCTTCACGACGACGTTGAACGATTTCTTCCATGACAGAAGTTTCGATTTGGCCAGGTGATTTAGCTTCTTTAATTTCGTAATCGACAGCACCTGCAACAAGAATAGGCTACAAGCACGTAAAGCGTGTCAGTTTAATTTTTTTGTCGGTGGGGTTGGCAGTATTATATTACCTTGACATATTCACGAAACCAAGTTCGACTCTTTTCAAGTCCATCACCAGGTGGTGCAGTAATATACACTGTGACTTTACGAGGCATTTCCTAGTTTCTTATGGGGTGAGGACAAGAAAGAAGAGATCAAAGAGGGGAAAGACTTACATGGACACCACAAGGTCTGTCAGCGAGAAAAGAAACTCGTTGAGAAAGTCTTGTTCTGGCATCTTGGGCATATTTATTACTAGAATAGACAAGACCTGCAATGCCACCTGCAACACCACTAAAAATTAGTGTGTTCTTGGAAGGTACTTTTAATCCAAAAGGCATGGTTTATGAAAAAAGTGTTTCTTCTTTGAAAAAGGGGGCCCATTGTGTCCCTGGGGGGGTCGGGGGAGAGTGAAGGGGGATTTTTTAAAATTGAAAGTCACGTAGGTTTAAAACGGTGGTTTAAAAATAGGTTGATTTTATTAAAAGCAGTGATATGTTAAATATAAGCGAGTGTCAATGGCTCCATGATATTATCGGTTTCGTAATAAGGTTTATCAATATAGTCGTCAATATAGCATATGCATCCTCTTGATAATTTGATAGATAAATTATTGTTAATATGCTCATATTCTACCATAAATGTTCCAATACCATAACGCGACAAAACTCTAGGGCTTATGCTATAAGTAACACCAGGAGTGTCGCCCTGCAATAGAGCATACTTGTCCGGAACAGTACTGGTTAAACTTTCTAATCGAAGAATTTCTAATTTGATATCTATGTGTAAGTAGAAGTGGGTCTCATTAGCACAAACAAATAAGAACAGTCTTGGCAACGAACTTACGGTAGGGTTTATTGACTTGAATTATGAACTCTTTTGTTGGAACTGGCTTCCCTTTCTGAATAAATACCAAATAAGTGCCACCATCTTCAATAGTATTTTTGATATCACCATCACTGTTTATTCGGGTGAAAGGGATCAACTGGTTTCTACGATTGATTGAAACCCGCATCCCGTATGTATTGCTTGATACTTGGCACAAAGTCCCAGTGACAAACCTTTCAAACATGTAAGGCTTTTTTCCAGATAAAAACTTCTCCAGTAATTGGAAAATAGATTTTCTTAGTACAAATGTCTTTGTATCTTTTTCTTTAATATATACGCCGTCATCCATCGCTTTTTGCATAATCATGGTGTATGCGATGTGGATCTTTGAACCCTGCCCCAGATTGAACGGATCTCCAAACACAAAAATATAATTTGGGACATAGTTTCCAAATAGTCTTTTGTTGATCAAAGAAGACAATATATCTGTTGCCATACTTTCTATAACTGAAATAAGGCCTGTTTCAATAATGTCACGAAGAAATATACTAATACTGCAACCACATTTTGTGTTGATATCCAGCTGTATTTTGGATTCCATGTCCAAATTTGATTTGTTTTTTTCGAACTACCAAGAAGCAGTTAATACAATGAGACGCTAATTATAGGTATACCAGCTTACAAGTTCCACAACGCATGGTTTTAAATTTCGATATATATTGTTATATATCTCAAATGACTGGAAATCATATTGCACATCTTCCTCACTCTTGTGCGTGGTACAGTAATCGAATTGGCAATTGACTTGTAGGCTTCTCATAATACTTTTACAGAGTGCATCATATACATCATTGATATGTATCATTTCATCTTGAATAATGATGGACGCTGGATCTTCTCCGGGTGATGCCAGTTTAACCACTTGATGCAAACTGAATTGAATATGCTTTGAAGATATCTGTGCAACAACAAAGTGTGTTTTCAACCTAAAGTCCAAATGCTGATACTTGTGTTGGATAGCTTGTAGAATTTCTTCACCACGGGTACAGAATTTTGCTTTTCGAAGGTCGTCGTTCTTCCTGATTATTCCACTTGCAAAGAATGATTTTTCCAAATTTTTCATTGAGCCGAATACAGTATCCAGTAGCTTTTTGTCAATAGACACACCATACCAAATGTTGTTGGCTCGCCAATTCGATCCTACAATACTTTTTAATTTTTCCTCTATTTTCTTGTGGAGACAGTGCAGATATGTGATCATAAAAAAATACATGTAACCTGGATGGCATGTTGTAAATCCCTCGCTATCCGAAGCAGAAAATTTGTCATTCGACACAAAAAGATCGTCCATGTCAAAGTTTGCCGTGAGCTGTTTAAATAGGTTCGGGTTCGAGGAAACAAATAACTTTCTGATTTCCTTCGATCGATTTTTGCTACTTTTTATCCTAATATAATCGTTGAAAGTACTCTTTGTTTTCTCTGTTCTTAAAACTTGATCAGATGTTTTAGTTGTCTCCATTATCATACTCTGTCCGATGTAACTTGAGTATAATTCAAGGTAGTCACCAAAAATCTTTTCTAAACCTAACTTCAGTCTAAACGCACAATTAGAATTGACAATCATAAGCGTTTCTTCAAGTAGTTTTACCTCTTTGATATTTGTAGTACTGGTCTTTGATATATTTCTGATTGCTTGATGAAACTATTCAATGGTCGCATATTACTATTATGCAATAAAATGGAACTTAGTTGGACTTGCTTATACAAGATATTCTGCCGCCTATCACCATTACCATTCAAAATTTTGCTTCTGTCCAACTTGTGTATCTTTATCTAGGTATGTAAAAGCAGTCTGGATTCGTATAGGCGATATGTCTGTTTGGTTTCAAATAGGTCAGGTTAATACGAAGCCGATACTACTAAGGAGTCAATTTACCGATATTGATGAAGACAATAGGCTTTAAGCAACTTTTGGGTTCTTCCATTGTTGTTTCTTTGGGTAGTATAACTGGGTTTCTGCGCACGTTAAATTCTTCCATTCGGTAATTTAAAAGCGGTTTAGTTGCTTCTATTCGGGTATAACTGTCAAAGAGTCCGAATATGGGGTAACCATAATGTAGTTCCGCGGATATGTAAAATTCTTTTAGTTCACTGAAATACTTTTTCGACCAACAACCAACGGATGAGATTAGTCCCAAAGCAAAAAATGTTTTCGGGATTCGACTTGTACGAAGAATGTCCAATGATCTGGGTACTATATTGCTCCTGCCTACAAGAAATTTATCTACTTCATTTCTAAAGAATTTTTCAACAAAACCAGAAAAATGTTCAAGTATGTCCCCTAAAGTGATTGAGTCATTCGTCCAGCGAGATTTCAAATCTGGCAATGACTGATCATATAAATCAGGACGTATATATTCCTGGCAAAATAAAAAAAAAAAAATGTTTTTAATTATTTTCCCAATTTCTTTTTAATCAACTCTTACGAAATCATTAAATCCTTCGTACTTTTGATTGAGTATTTTAAGCATGTCGTCGATAGATTCCGATGATAACGTAGTATCACAATGCTTTTCCACACATGCTATTAATGACAATCGTAGTTCCTTTAGTCCAAACGGGATTACAAAGTGAGCCTGTTTCAACAATTGTGGCACCAAGTCTCTTCCTGTTAATCTGAAAGAAGGATATTGAGCTGATACCAATTTCAAATCCACGGAGTATGTACCTTGATAGTCTATTGTACACATAACGCGCTGAACGCCATACTTTGGCATTTTAATATTATACAGGTATCTATTTACTTCCATGTTTTGAAAATTTAACTCTAACATTGAAAAAAACACCAGCCTGCCCGGACCATCATTTTCATGAAGAAGACCTGCCTTTACGAATAGAGGCAGGAACAATTCTTTTCTTATTTCATAATCCCAACTGGTTGGAAGATTCAAAGAATAAAAAAAATCCATATTTACACTATTCAATTCTTGTTTACAATCATAGCGTATTTTTTGTAACAGATCTATAGCTTCCTCGTACAAGAGCGCGTACAGTGCTGTATTGTCGAATGATTGTTGCTTGGATTTTAAAAAAATGTCAGCAAGCTCGCTTAAAGTGTTGCGTACATAAATAACGCCTTCTTGAAGCCCTTTCGGATTCTCATTCGCTTCATCAGCCTTATCGCCTCTGGCAATAATATTTCTCGTGGTAGTGTCATATAAAATTGAGGTGCGGTATTCGTTTCCTAATCTATTTTTGAAAAGGAATCTGTCAAAAAAAGAAAATACACGTATAAAATCTGTTAATTTAATGTCGACTAACCTTTCATTAAACTTTATATTATTATTGATGGCCACCGCTGTAGAGGTGATCAAGTCATAGCCCAAATCTATACGAAGTAAGTAACGCCGTAATTTAAAAAAATAAGTCGCTTACCGATAATAATACAATATCTATGCCGAGAATAGTCATAGAGTTCTTCCATCTTCTTTCTTCTACGACACGATGTTAAAAGGGGCGAAAGCACGAATACGGAGTTCACGGCGCTTCCTCTAATCCATTTATTTGTAGTACGAAACCTTATTTGACCATGAACTCATTGACGGGGTTGAAGCATGCATTCAAAGATTCTATCTAATACCCACTAACATTGAAGCGCGATATTAGTTTTTGCTAGACTACTCTTCCGTGGAAAAATCTCTAGTGTCTGGGAAAAGAGACCTTTGCTATCCTTCCCCCTTAAAGCATATCGAAACAAATAAAAAAAGACATCGTTTACATCAAATTTTATATATGTATATTACAAACTTTATTTAACGCATATTAACATTGGCATATTCATGTACTTACCAAAAAAATACTTGTATCTACTTCAATTAGCATTTCTATTTCCTCAATACTTCGGCTATATCATGTCTAATACAATACTTTGTTTCCTCTTGCTATAAATCCTCATCCCGTTCTTAAAAATGTCGATTTGGTTCAATACAGCATCTACAGCGTATTTTCTTGTTTCCAGATACATGTATTATTAAAAACGCACTCATCCATCTAAGGATGTTCATTCGGGGGTATCCATAATATGTGAAAACTCAAGCAGAAGCAAGAAATTGTCAAATTCTTGAATGATGTGGCTTTTAACATTTTCAATGTTTCCTCTGCAATAAAAGATGTCTCATCCTTTGTCTTCTCTATGTCCTTACACTTCAAAAAGACGCACCTCTGCAAACACAGCAAGAATAAAATCTCATCCCTTGCCTAATGCGCAAAGCACTTCACGATACGCATTTCTACCTATCCCTAAAATCCCATCGGATACCACTTCACTTTTCTTCTTGTTGCTCATGTTATTCACAGGTGTTGTAAAACCTGTTTTGGACTTGTGTTCTAATTGTTCATGGTCGGTTGATTTTGCATTACTTGCTTCGACGGCTTCACGACGACGTTGAATGATTTATTCCATGACAGAAGTTTCGATTTGGCCAGGTGATTTAGCTTCTTTAATTTCGTAATCGACAGCACCTGCAACAAGAATAGGCTGCAAGCACGTAAAGCGTGTCAGTTTAATTTTTTTTTTATACATGTCGGTGGGTTAGGCGTATTATATTACCTTGACATATTTACGAAACCAAGTTCGACTCTTTTCAAGTCCATCACCAGGTGGTGCAGTAATATACACTGTGACTTTACGAGGCATTTCCTAGTTTCTTATGGGGTGAGGACAAGAAAGAAGAGATCAAAGAGAGAAAAAAGACTTACATGGACACCACAAGGTCTGTCAGCGAGGAAAGAAACTCGTTGAGAAAGTCTTGTTCTGGCATCTTGGGCATATTTATTACTAGAATAGACAAGACCAGCAATGCCACCTGCAACACCACTGAAAATCAGTGTGTTCTTGGAAGGTACTTTTAATCCAAAAGGCATGGTTTATGAAAAAGTGTTTCTTCTTTAAAAAAGGGGGCCCATTGTGTCCCTGGGGGGGGGGGGTCGGGGGGATTTTTAAAATTGAAAGTCACACATGTAAAACGGTGGTTTAAAAATAGGTTGATTTTATTGAAGGCAGTGATATGTTAAATATAAGCGAGTGTCAATGGCTCCAGGATATTTTCGGTTTCGTAATAAGGGTTATCAATATAGTCATCAATATTACGCATACATCCTCTTGATAATTTGATAGATAAATTATTTCTAATCTGTTCATATTCTACCACAAATGTACTCAGAGAACGAATCGTCAAAAGAGTGGAGTATATTTTAAAAGTAAAACCAGGAGTGTCGCCGTGCAATAGAGTATACTTGTCCGGAACAGTACTGGTTGAACTTTCCAATTGAAGAATGTTTAAATTGATATCTATGTGTAATTAGAAGTGGGTCTCATTAGAACAAACGAAGAAGAACAAACATGACAACGAACTTACCTTCAGGTTCATTGATTTGAATTATAAACCCTTTAGTTGGAACTGGCTTCCCTTTCTGAATAAGTACCAAATAACTACCATCATCTGCAATAGTATTTTTGATATCACCATCACTGTTTATTCGGGTGAAAGGCCACAAATCGTGTGTATTAAATGATGAAATTCTCATCCCGTATGTATTGCTTGACACTTGGCACAAAGTTCCAGTGACAAACCTATCAAATATGTAAGGCTTTTTTCCAGATAAAAAAGTCTCCAATAAATGAAAAATATATTCTCTTAGTACAAATATCTTTGTATTTTTCTCTTTAATATATACGCCGTCATCAATCGCTTTTTGCATAAGCATGGTATATGCTATGTGGATCTTTGAACCCTGCGCCAGATTGAACGGATTTCCAAACACAAAAATATAATTCGGTACATAGTTTCCAAATAATTCTGTGTTGTCCAAAGAAGCCAATATATCTGTTGTTATACCTTCTATTACTGACATAAGGCCTACTTCAATAATGTCACGAAGAAATATGCTAATACTGCAACCACATTTCGTGTTGATATCCAGCTGAATTTTGGAATCCATGTTCAAATTTGACTTGTTTTTTTCGAACTACCAAAAAACAATTAATACAATGAGACGCTAATTATAGGTATACCATCTTACAAGTTCAACAACGCATGGTTTTAAATTTCGATAAATATTGTTATATATCTCTAATGACTGGAAATCATATTGTGTATCTTTCTGACTCTTGTGGGTGGTACAATAGTCAACTTGACAATTGACTTGTAGGCTCTTCATTGTACTTTTACAAAGTGTATCATATACATCATCGATATGTATCATTTCATCCTGAATAATGATGGACACTGGATCTTCTCCGGGTAATGCCAGTTTGACCACTTGATGCAAACTGAGTTGAATATGCTTTGAAGATATCTGTGCAACAACAAAGTATGATTTCAACCTAAAGTCCAAATGTTGATACTTGTTTTGGAGAGCTGGTAGAATTTCTTCACCACGGGTACAGAATTTTGCTTTTCGAAGTTCGTCGTCCTTCCCAAGTATTCCACTTGCAAAGAATGATTTTTCCAATTTCTTCATTGTACCGAATACATTGTCCGATAGATTTTTATCAATAGAGACACCATACCAAATTTTGTTGGCTTGCCAGTTCTTTCCGAAATTACTTTCCAATTTTTCCTCTATTTGCTTGTTGAGACAGTGCAGATATGTGAGCATAAAAAAATACATGTAACCTGGATGACATGTAGTAAATAACTTGCTATCCGAACCACAAGATTCATCCTTCGACGCAAAAAGATCGTCCATTTCAATGTTTGCCATAAGCTCTTTAAATAGGATCGGGTCTAAGGAGACAAATAATTTTCTAATTCTTTTTAACCTATTTTTTTTTGATTTTATCCTTTCATCACTGCTTAAAGTATTCCTCTTCCGCGTATTTTGGAATGCCCTACCAAGTAGTTCGGATGCTGGGCTCACTGGCAATTTTTTTTTCACATTCCTTTTGTAACTTGAGTACAATTGAAGATAGTCACCAAAAATCTTTTCTAAACCTAACTTCAGTCTAAACGAACAATCAGAATTGACAATCATAAGCGTTTCTTTAAGTAGTTTTACCTATTTGATATTTGTAGTACTGGTCTTTGATATATTTCTGATTGCTTGATGAAACATTTTAACGGTTGCATATCACTATTATGCAATACAATATAACTTAATTGGATTTTCTTTTAAAAGATATTTTGCCGCCTAACACCTTTACCATTCAAAGTTTTGCTTCTGTCCAACTTGTCTACCTTTATCTAGTCTGGATTTGTGTAGGCGATACGTCTGTTTGATTTCAAAATAGGTTAGGTTAAAACGAAGCCGATACTACTAAGGAGTCAATTTACCGATATTGATGAAGATAATAGGATTTAAGCAACTTTTGGGTTCTTTCATTGTTGTTCGGTTGGGTAGTATAACTGGGTTTCTACGCACATTAAATTCTTCCATTCGGTTTTCTAAAAGCTCTAAAATTGCATATTTTCGGCAACTATAGTTAAAGAGATCGAATATGGGGGAGTCCTCACCGAGTTCCGCGGATATGTAAGATTCTTTTAGTTCCTCGAAATACTTTCTCGACCAGCAATAAACTGATGAGATTAGCCCCATAGCTAAAAATGTGTACGGGATTCGATTTTTGTAAAAAATGTCTAATGGCCTAGGTACTATATTGCTCCTGCCTACAAGAAATTTATCTACTTCACTTCTTAAGAATTTTTCGGCAGAACCAGAAAAATGTTCAAGTATGTCCTCTAAAGTAATTAATCTATTCGCCCAGCGAGATTTCAAGTCTGGCAATGGCTGATCATGTAAAACATAACCTATATCTTCCTGGCAAAAAAAAAAAAACGTTTTTAATTATTTTCCCAATTTCTTTTTAATTAACTCTTACAAAATAATCAATTCCATCGTACTTTCGACTGAGTTTATCAAGCATGTTGTCGATAGATTCTGATGATAACGTAGTATCACAATGCTTTTCCACACATGCTATTAATGATAATCGTAGTTCCTTTGGTCCAAACGGGATTACAAAGTGAGCCTGCTTCAACAATTGTGGTGCCAATTTTGTTTTTGCTAATCTGAAAGCAGGATATTCAGCTGATACCAATTCCAAATCCACAGAGTATGTACCTTGATAATCTATTGTACACATAACGCGCTGATCACCATACTTTATGTCTCTAGTTCTACGATTGTATCCTTTCATTTGCATGCTCTGAAAATTCAACTCTAACATTGAACAAAACACCAGCCTGCCCGGACCATCATTTTCATGAAGAAGACCAGCTTTTACAAATAGAGGCAGGAACAATTCTTCTCTTATTTCATAATCCCAACTGGTTGGAAGATTCAAAGAATAATAAAAATCCATATTTACACTATTCAATTTTTTTTTACAATCATACCGTATTTTTTGTAGCAGGTCTATAGCTTCCTCGCACAAGAGCACGTACAGTGCCGTATTATTGAAAGGTTGTTGCTTGGATTTTAAATAAATGTCAGCGAGCTCGCTTAGGGTGTTGTGTATATAAATAACGTCTTCTTGAAGCCCTTTCGGATCCTTATTCGCTTCATCAGCCTTGTTGCCTCTGGCAATAATATTTCTCGTGGTAGTGTCATATAAAATTGAGGTGCGGAATCCGCGTACAATACTTTTTTTAAAAAGGAATCTCTGTCAAAAAAAATTGCACGTATAAATTCTGCTGATTTGATGTCGACTAACCTTTCAACAATCATGTCAGGTCTATTAATGGCTACCGCTGCAGAGATGATGATGTCATAGTCCAAATCTATATGAAGTAAGCTACGCCGTAATTTTAAAAAATAAGTCGCTTACCGATACTAATACAATATCTATGCCGAGAATAGTCATAGAGTTCTTCCATCTTCTTTCTTCTCTAACACGATGTTAAAGCGGCAAAAGTACAAATAAGGAGTTCACGGCGTTTCGCTTAATCCGTTTATTTGTAGTACGAAACCTTATGTGACCATGAACTCCATGACGGGTTAAAGCATGCATTCAAACTTTCTATCTTACACCTACTAACATTGTATCGCGATACTAGTTTTTGCTAGACTACTCTTCCATGGAAAAATCTCTCGTGTCTGGGAAAAGAGACCCTTGCTATCCTTCCCCTTTTAAGCATATGGAAACAAATAAAAAAAGACATCGTTTACATCATATTTTATATATGTATATTACACACTTTATTTAACGCAAATCAACATTGTCACATACATTAACTTACCAAAAAAATACTTGTGTCTACTTGAATTGGCATATCTATTTCCTCAATACTTCGGCTATATCATATCTAATACAATATTTTTTTCCATTTGCTATAAATCCTCATCTCGTTCTTAAAAATGTCGATTTGGTTCAATACAGCATTACCAGCGTATTTTCCTGCTTCCAGATACATTTACAATTAAAAACACACTGAGCCATCTAATGATGTTCATTTGGGGGTTATCCATGATATGTGAAAACTCGAGCGGAAGCGAGAAATTGTCAAATTCTTGAGTGAGGTGGGTTTTAACATTTCCAAGGTTTCGTCTGCAATAAAAGATGTCTCATCCTTTGTCTTCTCTATGTCCTAACACTTCTAGAAGACGCACCTCTACAAACACAGCAAGAATAGTATCTCAACCCTTGGCTAATCCACTCAGTACTTCACGATTCGCATTTCTACCAATCCCTAAAATACCATCGGATACCACTTCACTTTTCTTCTTGTTGTTCATGTTATCCACAGGTGTTGTAAATCCTGTGTTGGACTTGTTTTCTAATTGTTCATGGTCGGTTGATTCTGCATTACTTGCTGCTTCGGCGGCTTCACGACGACGTTGAACGATTTCTTCCATGACAGAAGTTTCAATTTGGCCAGGCGATTTAGCTTCTTTAATTTCGCAATCGACAGCACCTGCAACAAGAATAGGCTGCAGCAAGTAAAGAGTGTTAGTTTATTTTTTTATACATGTTTTTTGTCGGTGGGTTGGCAGTATTATATTACCTTGACATATTCACGAAACCAAGTTCGACTCTTTTCAAGTCCATCACCAGGTGGTGCAGTAATATACACTGTGACTTTACGAGGCATTTCCTAGTTTCTTATGCGGTGAGGACAAGAAAGAGAGATCAAAGAGAGAAAAAGACTTACATGGACACCACAAGGTCTGTCAGCGAGAAAAGAAACTCGTTGAGAAAGTCTTGTTCTGGCATCTTGGGCATATTTATTACTAGAATAGACAAGACCTGCAATGCCACCTGCAACACCACTAAAAATTAGTGTGTTCTTGGAAGGTACTTTTAATCCAAAAGGCATGGTTTATGAAAAAGTGTTTCTTCTTTAAATAAAAAAGGGGGCCCATTGTGTCCCTGGGGGAGGGGTCGGGGGAGAGTGAAGGGGGATTTTTAAAATTGAAAGTCACACATGTAATAAAATAAGCTTGAGGACGGTGCTTAAATACCGAGTCAGAAGGGTTAGGTCTGTCTTGACTTATGTGAATAACTTCTTAGAGGAGAATAAAGATCATGTTTATTGATTGATAATTGAAGCTATTTATATGTTTTACAATTGTCAATCCGGAGTAACTACAATTGTATTGGTTCGTAAGGTAGTAAATACGATTGCTGCGGTTGGTTATGTGTATTAAGTTACAATCGCCGATTAGCGGATTGATGACATAATGGACTCACGACAGTAAAACGGTGGTTTAAAAATAGGTTGATTTTATTGTATCAGTGCTATGTTAAATATAAGCAAGTGTCAATGGCTCCAGGATATTTTCGGTTTCGTAATAAGGTCTATCAATATAGTCACTAATTCTGCTCATACATCCTCTTGATAATTTGATAGATAAATTATTGCTAATCTGCTCATATTCTACCACAAATGTATTAATAGAAATATCAGTCAAACTAATTGAGTATATTTCATAAATAACACCAGGAGTGTCGCCGTGCAATAGAGTATACTTGTCCGGAACAGTACTGGTTGAACTTTCCAATTGAAGAATTTCTAATCTGATATCTATGTGTATGTAGAAGTGGGTCTCATTAGAACAAACGAAGAAGTACAATCATGGCAACGAACTTACCTTTTTTTATATTGATTTGAATTATAAACCCTTTTGTTGGAGCTGGCTTCCCTTTCTGAATAAATACTAAATAACTACCATCATCTGAAATAGTATTTTTGCTATCACCATCACTGTTTATTCGGGTGAAAGAGATCGAACTCCGTATATTTGAAATCCGCATCCCGTATGTTTTGCTTGATACTTGGCACAAAGTTCCGGTGACAAACCTTTCAAACATATAAGGCTTTTTTCCAGATAAAAACGTCTCCAGTAATTGGAAAATAGATTCTCTTAGTGCAAATATCTTTGTATCTTTTTCTTTCATATATACACCGTCATCAATCGCTTTTTGCATAATCATGGTGTATGCGATGTGGATCTTCGAACCCTGCCCCAGATTGAACGGATCTCCAAATACGAAAATGTAATTCGGTATATTGTCTCCAAATAGTCTCTTGTTGGTCAAAGAAGCCACTATATCTGTTGCCATACTTTCTATCACTGACATAAGGCTTACTTCAATAATATCACGAAGAAATATGCTTATACTGCAACCACATTTCGTGTTGATATCCAGCTGTATTTTGGAATCCATGTCCAAATTTGATTTGTTTTTTTCGAACTACCAAGAAGTAATTAATACAATGAGACGCTAGCTATAGGTATACCAGCTTACAAGTTCAACAACGCATGGTCTTAAATTTCGATAAATATTGCTATATATCTCAAATGACTGGAAATCATATTGTGTATCTTTCTGACTCTTGTGGGTGGTGCAATAGTCAACTTGACATTTGACTTGTAGGCTCTTCATAATACTCTTACAAAGTGTATCATATACATCATCGACTTGTATCATTTCATCCTGAATAATGATAGACGCGGGATCTTCTCCGGGTGATGCCAGTTTGACCACTTGATGCAAACTGAGTTGAATATGCTTTGAAGATATATGTGCAACAACATAGTATGATTTCAAACTAAAGTCCAAATGTTGATACTGGTGTTGGATAGCTGGTAGAATTTCTTCACCACGGGTGCAGAATTTGGCTTTTCGAAGGTTGTCTTCCTTCCCTAATATTCCACTTGCAAAGAATGATTTTTCCAATTTCTTTATTAATCCGAATACATTGTCCGATAGATTTTTATCAATAGAGACACCATACCAAATTTTGTTGGCTTGCCAGTTCTTTCCGAAATTACTTTTGAATTTTTCCTCTATTTGCTTGTTGAGACAGTGCAGATATGTGATCATAAAAAAATACAAGTACCCTGGATGGCATGTAGTAAATGACTCGTTATCCGAAACAGGAAATCCGTCCTTCGACACAGAAAGATCGTCCATGTCAAGGTTTGCCGTAAGCTGTTTGAGTAGATTTGGGTTTGAGGAGGCAAATAATTTTCTGATTTCCTTTTGCTGAATTTTTTTACTTGATTTTATCCTTCCATCACCGCTTAAAGTTCTTCTCTTCCGCATGTTTTGGAAAGCCTTGTTAAGTAATTTGGGTGTCGAGTTCACTAGTATTCTTCTTATCATACTTCGTCTTTTGTGATTTGAATAAATTTTGAGATAGTAACCAAAAATCTTTTCTAAACCTAACTTCAGTCTAAACGGTATCTGTAGTACTGGTCTTTGATATATTTCTGATTGCTTGATGAAACAATTCAATGGTTGCATATCACTATTATGCCATAAAATAGAACTTAGTTGGGTTGTCTTTTAAAAGATATTTTGACGCCTAACACAATTACCATTCGATATTTTGCTTCTGTCCAAGTTGTCTATCTTTATCTAGGTATGTATAAACAGTCTGGATTTGTGTAGGCGATATGTCTGTTTGGTTTCAAAATAGGTTAGGTTAATACGAAGTTGATACTACTAAGGAGTCAATTTACCGATATTGATGAAGATAATAGGTTTTAAGCAACTTTTGGGTTCTTCCATTGTTGTTTCTTTGGGTAGTATAACTGGGTTTCTGCGCACGTTAAATTCTTTCATTCGGTTTTCTAAAAGCTTTTCAATTGCATATTGTCGGTTATCATAGTTAAAGAATTCGAATATGGGGGAATTATAACCGATTTCCACGGATTCTTTTAGTTCCCTGAAATACTTTTTCGAACAACAATCAGCCGATAATATTATCCCCACGGATAAAAATGTTTTCGGGATTCGACTTGTGTAAAAAATGTCCAATAGCCTGGGTGCTATATTGCCCGTGCCTACAAGAAGTTCATCTACTTCATTTCTAAAGAATTTTTCTGCATGACCAAAAAAATGTTCAAGTATGTCCTCTAAAGTGATTGAGTCATTCGTCAAGCGAGATTTTAAGTCTCGCAATGGTTGCTCATTTAAAAAAAATCTTATATCTTCCTGGCAAAAAAAAAAAAAAAAAAAAAAAAAAAAATGTTTTTAATTGTATTCCCAATTTCCTTTCCTTTAACTCTTACGAAATCATTAAATCCTTCGTACTCTTGACTGAGTTCTGTAAGCATGTCGTCGATAGATTCTGATGAGAACGTAGTATCACAATGCTTTTCCACACATGCTATGAATGACAACCGTAGTTCCTTTAGTCCAAACGGGATTACAAAATGAGCTTGTTTCAACAACTGTGGCACCAAGTCTTCTTTTGCTAATCTGAAAGCAGGATATTGAGCTGATACCAATTCCAAATCCACAAAGTATGTACCTTGATAATCTATTGTACACATAACGCTCTGATCACCATACTTTATGTCTCTAGTTCTACGACTGTATCCTTGCATTTTCATGCTCTGAAAATTCAACTCTAACATCGAAAAAAACAGCAGCCTGCCCGGACCATCATTTTCATGAAGAAGACCAGCTTTTACGAATAGAGGCAGGAACAATTCTTCTCTTATTTCATAACCCCAACTGGTTGGAAGATTCAAAGAATAGCAAAAATCCATATTTACACTATTCAATTTTTGTTTACAATCATGCCGTATTTTTTGTAACAGATCTATAGCTTCCTCGTACAAGACCGCGTACAGTGCCGTAGTGTCGAAGGATTGTTGCTTTGATTTTAAATAAATGTCAGCAAGCTCGCTTAAGGTGTTGCGTACATAAATAACGCCTTCTTGGAGCCCTTTCGGATCCTCATTCGCTTCATCGGCCTTGTTTCCTCTGGCAATGACATTTCTGGTGGTAGTGTCATATAAAATTGAGGTGCGGTATTTGTTTTCAGACCTTTTTTTTTAAAAGGAATCTCTGTCAAAATAAATACACGTATAAATTCTGCTGTTTTGATGTCGACTAACCTTTCAACAATCCTGTCAGGTCTATTAATGGCTACCGCTCCAGAGATGGTGAAGTCATAGCCCAAATCTATACGAAGTAAGCAACGCCATAATTTTTTAAAAAAAGTAAGTCGCTTACCGATATGCATACAATATGTATGCCGAGAATAGTCATAGACTTCTTCCATCTTCTTTCTTCTACAACACGATGTTAAAAGGGGCGAAAGCACAAATAAGGAGTTCACGGCGTTTAGTATAATCCGTTTATTTGTAGTACAAAACCTTATTTGACCATGAACTCAATGACGGGGTTGAAGCATACATTCAAACTTTCTGTCTAACACCTACTAATACTGAATCGCGATATTAGTTTTTGCTAAACTGCTCTTCCATGGAAAAATCTCTAGTGTCTGGGAAAAGAGACCTTTGCTATCCTTCCCCCTTAAAGCATATGGAAACAAATAAAAAAACATCGTTTACATCATACTTTATATATGTATATTACACACTTTATTTAACGCAAATTAACATTGTCACATACATTAACTTACCAAAAATACTTGTATCTAATTGAATTAGCATATCTCTTTCCTCAATACTTCGGCTATATTATGTCTAATACAATACTTTTTTCCTCTTGCTACAAATCCGCATCCCGTTCTTAAAAATGTCGATTTGGTTCAATACAGCATCACCAGCGTATTTTCCTGCTTCTAGATACATTTGTAATTAAAAACGCACTGAGCCATCTAATGATGTTCATTCGGAGGATATCCATGATATGTAAAAAGTCAAGCAGAAGCGAAAAAACTGTCAAATTCTTGAATGATGTGACTTTTAACATTTCCGGGGATTCCTCTGCGATAAAAAATATCTCATACTTTGTCTTCTCCATGTCCTTACACTTCTAGAAGACGCACCTCTACAAACACAGCAAGAATAAAATCTCATCCCTTGCCTAATGCGCTAAGCACTTCACGACACGCATTTCTACCAGCCGCTAAAATATCATCGGATACCACTTCACTTTTCTTCTTGTTGTTCATGTTATCCACAGGTGTTGTAAATCCTGTGTTGGACTTGTTTTCTAATGGTTCGTGGTCGGTTGATTCTGCATTACTAGCTTCAGCGGCTTCACGACGACGTTGAACGATTTCTTCCATGACAGAAGTTTCGATTTGGCCAGGTGATTTAGCTTCTTTAATTTCGTAATCGACAGCACCTGCAACAAGAATAGGCTGTAGCAAGTAAAGAGTGTCAGTTTAATTTTTTTTATACATGTCGGTGGGTTGGGCGTATTATATTACCTTGACATATTCACGAAACCAAGTTCGACTCTTTTCAAGTCCATCACCAGGTGGTGCAGTAATATATACTGTGACTTTACGAGGCATTTCCTAGTTTCTTATGGGGTGAGGACAAGAAAGAGAGATCAAAGAGAGAAAAAAGACTTACATGGACACCACAAGGTCTGTCAGCGAGAAAAGAAACTCGTTGAGAAAGTCTTGTTCTGGCATCTTGGGCATATTTATTACTAGAGTAGACAAGACCTGCAATGCCACCTGCAACACCACTGAAAATTAGTGTGTTCTTGGAAGGTACTTTTAATCCAAAAGGCATGGTTTATGAAAAAAGTGTTTCTTCTTTTTAATAAAAAAGGGCCCATTGTGTCCCTGGGGGGTGGGGGGAGAGTGAAGGGGGATTTTTAAAATTGAAAGTCACACATGTAAAACGGTGGTTTAAAAATAGGTTGATTTTATTGTAGCAGTGATATGTTAAATATAAGCAAGTGTCAATGGCTCCAGGATATTTTCGGTTGAGTGATAAGGGTAATAAATATAGTCACTAATACCTCCCATGCATCCTCTTGATAATTTGATAGATAAATTATTGCTACTCTGCTCATATTCTACTACAAATTTATTCATAACAGTATTCGTCAAAGCAACGGAGTATATATTATAAGTAACACCAGGAGTGTCGCCATCCAATAGAGAATACTTGTCCGGAACAGTACTGGTTAAACTTTCTAATTGAAGAATTTTTAAATTGGTATCTATGTGTAAGTATAAGTGGGTTTCATTAGAACAAACGAAGAAGAACAATCATGGCAACTAACTTACGGCCTAGTTCATTGATTTGAATTATAAGCCCTTTTGTTGAAACTGGCTTCCCTTTCTGAATAAATACTAAATAACTACCATTATCTGCAATAGTATTTTTGATAACACCATCACTGTTTATTCGGGTGAAAGGGGTCGAATGGTTTAAATTTTTAATCCGCATCCCGTATGTATAGCTTGATACTTGGCACAAAGTTCCAGTGACAAACCTTTCAAACATGTAAGGCTTTTTTCCAGACAAAAACGTCTCCAGTAATTGGAAAATAGATTCTCTTAGTACAAATGTCTATGTATCTTTTTCTTTAATATATACGCCGTCATCAATCGCTTTTTGCATTATCATGGTGTATGCGATGTGGATCTTTGAACCCTGTCCCAGATTGAACGGATCTCCAAACAAAAAAATGTAATTCGGTATATAGCCTCCAAATAGTCTCTTGTTGGTCAAAGAACCCATTATTTTAGTTGTTATACTTTCTATTACTGACATAAGGCCTACTTCAATAATGTCACGAAGAGAAATACTGATACTGCAATCGCATTTCGTGTTGATATCCAGCTGTATTTTGGAATCCATGTCCAAATTTGATTTGTTTTTTTCGAACTACCAAGAAGTAATTAATACAATGAGACGCTAATTATAGGTATACCAACTTACAAGTTCAACAACGCATGGTTTTAAATTTCGATAAATATTGTTATATATCTCTAATGACTGGAAATCATATTGTATATCTTCCTGACTCTTGTAGGTGGTGCAATAGTCAACTTGACATTTGACTTGTAGGCTCTTCATAATATTCTTACACAGTGTATCATATACATCATCGATTTGTATCATTTCATCCTGAATAATGATGGACGCTGGATCATCTCCAGGTGATGCCAGTTTGACCACTTGATGCAAACTGAGTTGAATATGCTTTGAAGATATCTGTGCAACAACATAGTATGATTTCAACCTAAAATCCAAATGTTGATACTTGTGTTGGATAGCTGGTAGAATTTCTTCACCACGGGTACATAATTTTGCTTTTCGAAGTTCGTCGTCCTTCCTGAGTATTCCACTTGCAAAGAAAGATTTTTCCAGATTTTTTATTGATCCGAATACAGTATCCAATAACTTTTTATCAATAGATACGCCATACCAAATATTGTTGGCTCGCCAATTCGATCCTACATCACTTTTTAACTTTTCCTCTATCTGCTTGTTGAGACAGTGCATATATGTGATCATAAAAAAATACATGTAACCTGGATGGCATGTAGTAAATAACTTGCTATCCGAAGCAGAAAATTCGTCCTTCGGCACAAAAAGATCGTCCATGTCAAAGTTTGCCGTAAGCTGTTCAAATAGGTTTGGGTTTGAGGAAACAAATAATTTTTTGATTTCCTTTAGCGGGGTTTTGCTTGTTTTTATCCCTTCATCATTATTTGAAGTTCTTCTCTTCCGCATGTCTCGGAAAGCCTGACCAAGTAGTTCGGATGCTGGGCTCACTGGCGATCTTTTTTTCACATTTCTTTTGTAACTTGAGTACAGTTGAAGATAGTCACCGAAAATCTTTTCCAAACCTAACTTCAGTCTAAATGCACAATTAGAATTGACAATCATAAGCGTTTCTTTAAGTAGTTTTACCTATTTGATATGTGTAGTACTGGTCTTTGATATATTTCTGATTGCTTGATAAAAAAATTCAACGGTTGCAGGTTACTATTATGCAATACAATAAAACTTGGTTGGATTTTCTTTTAAAAGATATTTTGACGCCTATCACCATTACCATTCAAAATTTTGCTTCTGTCTAACTTGTCTATCTTTATCTAGGTATGTAAAATCAGTCTGAATTTGTGTAGGCGATATGTCTGTTTAGTTTCAAAATAGGTTAGGTCAATAAGAAGCTGGTACTACTAAGGAGTCAATTTACCAATATTGATGAAGATAATAGGCTTTAAGAAACTTTTGGGTTCTTCCATTGTTGTTTCGTTGGGTAGTATAATTGGGTTTCTGCGCACGTTAAATTCTTCCATTTGGTTTTGTAAAAGCATTTGAGTTAGATCTTTTCGGGGATCATGGTCAACGGGTTCGAATATGGGGAAATCATCACCCAGTTTCGCTGATGTGTAAGATTGTTTAAGTTCCCTAAAATACTTTTTCGAGAAACAATCAACTGAGGACATTATCCCCAGGGATAAAAATGTTTTTGGGATTCGACGTGTGTAAAAAATGTCCAATGGTCTGGGTACTATATTGCTCCTGCCTACAAGAAATTTATCTACTTCATTTCGAAAGAATTTTTCAACAAAACCAGAAAAATGTTCAAGTATGTCCCCTAAAGTGATTGAGTCATTCGTCCAGCGAGATTTCAAATCTGGCAATGGCTGATCATCTAACCATTTATCTAGGAGTTCCTGGCAAAACAGAAAAAAAAATGTTATAATTATCTTCCCAATTTCCTTTCCATTAACTCTTACAAAATTATTAAATCCTTCGTACTTTTGACTGAGTTCTTCAAGCATGTTGTCGATAGATTCTGATGATAACGTTGTATCACAATGCTTTTCCACACATGCTATGAATGACAACCGTAGTTCCTTTAGTCCAAACGGGATTACAAAGTGAGCCTGTTTCAACAATTGTGGCACCAAGTCTCTTCCTGTTAATCTGAAAGAAGGATATTGAGCTGATACCAATTTCAAATCCACGGAGTATGTACCTCGATAATCTATTGTACACATAACGCGCTGATCGCCATACTTTATCATTTTAGCATCATGTATGAATCTATTTACTTGCATGTTTTGAAAATTTAACTCTAACATTGAAAAAAACACCAGCCTGCCCGGACCATCATTTTCATGGAGAAGACCAGCTTTTATGAATAGAGGCAGGAACAATTCTTTTCTTAATTCATAATCCCAACTGGTTGGAAGATTCAAAGAATAAAAAAAATCCATATTTACACTATTCAATTCTTGTTTACAATCATAGCGTATTTTTTGTAACAGATCTATAGCTTCCTCGCACAAGAGCGCGTACAGTGCCGTATTGTCGAAGTATTGTTGCTTAGATTTTAAATAAATGTCAGCAAGCTCGCTTAAAGTGTTGTGTACATAAATAACGCCTTCTTGGAACCCTTTCGGATTCTCATTCGCTTCATCAGCCTTATCGCCTCTGGCAATAATATTTCTCGTGGTAGTGTCATATAAAATTGAGGTGCGGTATTCGTTTCCTAATCTATTTTTGAAAAGGAATCTGTCAAAAAAAGAAAATACACGTATAAAATCTGTTAATTTAATGTCGACTAACCTTTCATTAAACTTTATATTATTATTGATGGCCACCGCTGTAGAGGTGATCAAGTCATAGCCCAAATCTATACGAAGTAAGTAACGCCGTAATTTAAAAAAATAAGTCGCTTACCGATAATAATACAATATCTATGCCGAGAATAGTCATAGAGTTCTTCCATCTTCTTTCTTCTACGACACGATGTTAAAAGGGGCGAAAGCACGAATACGGAGTTCACGGCGCTTCCTCTAATCCATTTATTTGTAGTACCAAACCTTATTTGACCATGAACTCAATGACGGGGTTGAAGCATGCATTCAAAGATTCTATCTAATACCCACTAACATTGAAGCGCGATATTAGTTTTTGCTAGACTACTCTTCCGTGGAAAAATCTCTAGTGTCTGGGAAAAGAGACCTTTGCTATCCTTCCCCCTTAAAGCATATCGAAACAAATAAAAAAAGACATCGTTTACATCAAATTTTATATATGTATATTACAAACTTTATTTAACGCATATTAACATTGGCATATTCATGTACTTACCAAAAAAATACTTGTATCTACTTCAATTAGCATTTCTATTTCCTCAATACTTCGGCTATATCATGTCTAATACAATACTTTGTTTCCTCTTGCTATAAATCCTCATCCCGTTCTTAAAAATGTCGATTTGGTTCAATACAGCATCTACAGCGTATTTTCTTGTTTCCAGATACATGTATTATTAAAAACGCACTGATCCATCTAAGGATGTTCATTCGGGGGTATCCATAATATGTGAAAACTCAAGCAGAAGCAAGAAATTGTCAAATTCTTGAATGATGTGGCTTTTAACATTTTCAATGTTTCCTCTGCAATAAAAGATGTCTCATCCTTTGTCTTCTCTATGTCCTTACACTTCAAAAAGACGCACCTCTGCAAACACAGCAAGAATAAAATCTCATCCCTTGCCTAATGCGCAAAGCACTTCACGATACGCATTTCTACCTATCCCTAAAATCCCATCGGATACCACTTCACTTTTCTTCTTGTTGCTCATGTTATTCACAGGTGTTGTAAAACCTGTGTTGGACTTGTGTTCTAATTGTTCATGGTCGGTTGATTCTGCATTACTTGCTGCTTCGGCGGCTTCACGACGACGTTGAACGATTTCTTCCATGACAGAAGTTTCGATTTGGCCAGGTGATTTAGCTTCTTTAATTTCGTAATCGACAGCACCTGCAACAAGAATAGGCTGCAAGCACGTCAAGCGTGTCAGTTTAATTTTTTTTTATACATGTCGGTGGGTTGGGCGTATTATATTACCTTGACATATTCACGAAACCAAGTTCGACTCTTTTCAAGTCCATCACCAGGTGGTGCAGTAATATACACTGTGACTTTACGAGGCATTTCCTAGTTTCTTATGGGGTGAGGACAAGAAAGAGAGATCAAAGAGAGAAAAGACTTACATGGACACCACAAGGTCTGTCAGCGAGAAAAGAAACTCGTTGAGCAAATCTTGTTCTGGCATCTTGGGCATATTTATTACTGGAATAGACAAGACCTGCAATGCCACCTGCAACACCACTGAAAATTAGTGTGTTCTTGGAAGGTACTTTTAATCCAAAAGGCATGGTTTATGAAAAAGTGTTTCTTCTTTAAAAAAGGGCCCATTGTGTCCCTGGGGGGTCGGGGAGAGTGAAGGGGGATTTTTAAAATTGAAAGTCACGCAGGTTTAAAACGGTGGTTTAAAAATAGGTTGATTTTATTGAAGGCAGTGATATGTTAAATATAAGCGAGTGTCAATGGCTCCAGGATATTTTCGGTTTCGTAATAACGGTTATCAATATAGTCATCAATATGGCCCATACATCCTCTTGATACTTTGATAGATAAATTATTGCTAATCTGCTCATATTCTATCACAAATGTATTAATAGAAATACCCGTCAACAAATAAGAGTTGATTGTATACGTAGCACCAGGAGGGTCGCCGTGCAATAGAGTATACTTGTCCGGAACAGTACTGGTTGAACTTTCTAATTGAAAAATTTCTAATACGATATCTATGTGTAAGTAGAAGTGGGTCTCATTAGAACAAACGAAGAAGTACAATCATGGCAACGAACTTACCTTTAAGTTCATTGATTTGAATTATAAACCCTTTTGTTGGAACTGGCTTCCCTTTCTGAATAGATACCAAATAACTATCATCACCTGCAATAGTATTTTTGATATCACCATCACTGTTTATTCGGGTGAAAGGGAACGAATTGCCAAAATTTGTAATCCGCATCCCGTATGTATTGCTTGATACTTGGCACAATGTCCCAGTGACAAACCTATCAAACATGTAAGGCTTTTTTCCAGTTAAAAACGTCTCCAATAATTCGAAAATAGATTCTCTTAGTACAAATATCATTGTATCTTTTTCTTCCATATATACGACGTCATCAACCGATTTTTGCATAATCATGGTGTATGCTATGTGTATCTTTGAACCCTGCGCCAGATTGAACGGATCTCCAAACACAAAAATGTAATTCGGCACGTAGTTTCCAAATAATTCTTCGTTGTCCAAAGAAGCCAATATATCTGTTGTTATACCTTCTATTACTGACATAAGGCCTACTTCAATAATGTCACGAAGAAATATGCTAATACTGCAACCACATTTCGTGTTGATATCAAGCTGTATTTTGGAATCCATGTTCAAATTTGATTTGGTTTTTTCGAACTACCAAGAAGCAATTAATACAATGAGACGCTAGTTATAAGTATACCAACTTACAAGTTCAACAACGCATGGTTTTAAATTTCGATATATATTGTTATATATCTCTAATGACTGGAAATCATATTGTATATCTTCCTGAATCTTGTGCGTGGTGCAATAGTCAACTTGACAATTGACTTGTAGGCTCTTCATAATATTCTTACACAGTGTATCATATACATCATCGATTTGTATCATTTCATCCTGAATAATGATAGACGCTGGATCTTCTCCGGGTGATGTCAGTTTGACCACTTGATGCAAACTGAGTTGAATATGCTTTGAAGATATCTGTGCAACAACATAGTATGATTTCAACGTAAATTCCAAGTGTTGATACTTGTGTTGGAGAGCTGGTAGAATTTCTTCACCACGGGTACAGAATTTTGCTTTTCGAAGTTCGTCGTCCTTCCTGAGTATTCCACTTGCAAAGAAAGATTTTTCCATATTTTTTATTGAGCCGAATACAGTATCCAATAAATTTTTATCAATAGAGACGCTATACCAAATGTTGTTTGCTCTCCAATTCGATCCTACAGTACTTTCTAGTTTTTCCTCTATTTGCTTGTTGAGGCAGTGCAGATATGTGATTATAAAAAAATACATGTAACCTGGATGGCATGTAGTAAAGGACTCGCCATCCGAACCACAAGATTCATCCTTCGACGCAAAAAGATCGTCCATGTCAAAGTTTGCCGTTAGCTCTTTAAATATGTTTGGGTCTAAGGAGACAAATAAATTTCTAATTCTCTTTAGCCGATTTTTACTTGATTTTATCCTTTCGTCACTATTTGAAGTTCTTCTCTTCCGCGTACTTTCGAAAGCTCGCCCAAGTGGCTCGGATGCTGGGCTCACTGGTAATCTTTCTTTCCCATTGCTTTTGTAACTTGAGTATAATTCAAGATAGTCACCAAAAATCTTTTCTAAACCCAACTTCAGTCTAAACGCACAATTAGAATTGACAATCATAAGCGTTCCTTTAAGTAGTTTTACCTATTTGATATGTGTAGTACTGGTCTTTGATATATTTCTGATTGCTTGATGAAAAAATTCAACGGTTGCATATCACTATTATGCAATAAAATAGAACTTAGTTGGATTTTCTTTTAAAAGATATTTTGCCGCCTAACACCTTTACCATTCAATATTTTGCTTCTGGCCAACTTGTCCATCTTTATCTAGGTATGTAAAATCAGTCTGAATTTGTGTAGGCGATATGTCTGTTTAGTTTCAAAATAGGTTAGGTCAATAAGAAGCTGGCACTACTAAGGAGTCAATTTACCAATATTGATGAAGATAATAGGCTTTAAGCAACTTTTGGGTTCTTCCATTGTTGTTTCGTTGGGTAGTATAACTGGGTTTCTGCGTACGTTAAATTCTTCCATTCGGTAGTTTAAAAGCTTTTCAATTGCATTTGTTCGGTGATCATAGTCAAAGAGTACGAACATGGGGGGATCATCATCGAGTTCCGCGGATATGTAAGATTCTTTTAGTTCCCTGAAATACTTTTTCGACCAACAATAAAATGATGAGATTAGCCCGATAGCAAAAAATGTTTCCGGGATTCGACTTGTATAAAAAATGTCCAATTGTCTGGGTACTATATTGCTCCTGCCTACAAGAAATTTATCTACTTCATTTCTAAAGAATTTTTCAACAAAACCAGAAAAATGTTCAAGTATGTCCCCTAAAGTGATTGAGTCATTCGTCCAGCGAGATTTCAAGTCTGGGAATGGCTGATCATATAAAACAATACTTGGATATCTCTGGCAAAACAAAAAAAAATGTTTTTAATTATTTTCCCAATTTCTTTTCCATTAACTCTTACGAAATTATCAAATCCATCGTACTTTCGATTGAGTTTTTCAAGCATGTCGTCGATAGCTTCTGATACTAACGTAGTATCACAATGCTTTTCTACAGATGCTATTAATGACAAACGTAGTTCTTTTAGTCCAAACGGGATTACAAAGTGAGCTTGTTTCAACAATTGTGGCACCAATTCTCTGTTTGCTAATCTGAAAGCAGGATATTGAGCTGATACCAATTTCAAATCCACGGAGTATGCACCTTGATAATCGATTGTACACAATACGCTCTGATCTCCATGCTTTATGTTTCTACCCTTCCCGAATCTACTCATCGGTATGTTTTGAAACCTTAGCTCTAACATTGAAAAAAACGCCAGCCTGCCTGGACCATCATTTTCATGAAGAAGACCAGCTTTTACGAATAGAGGCAGGAACAATTCTTCTCTTATTTCATAATCCCAACTGGTTGGAAGATTCAAAGAATAATAAAAATCCATATTTACACTATTCAAATCTTGTTTACAATGATTCAATATTTTTTGTAACAGGTCTATAGCTTCCTCGTACAAGAGCGCGTACAGTGCCGTATTATCGAAAGGTTGTTGCTTGGGTTTTAAATAAATGTCACCGAGCTCCCTTAAGATGTTGCGTACATAAATAACGCCTTCTTGGAGCCCTTTCGGATTCCCATTCGCTTCGTCGGCCTCGTAGCCTCTGGCAATGACATTTCTGGTGGTAGTGTCAATTAAGATTGAGGTACGGCGTTTGTTTTTATATCTTTTTTTAAAAAGGAATCTGTCAAAAAAAAAAAAAAAAAAAAAAAAAAAAAAACGCGTATAAACTCTGCTGTTTCGATGTCGACTAACCTTTCATTATTTGTAAATCTAGTAATGGCTACCGCCACAGAGGTGATCATGTCATATCCCAAATCTATACGAAGTAAGCAACGCCGTAATTTTAAAAACTAAGTAGCTTACCGATGTTAATACAGTATCTATGCTGAGAATAGTCATAGAGTTCTTCCATTTTCTTTCTTCTACAACAGGATGTTAAAAGCGACGAAAGTACAAATACGAAGAGGCTTACGAGTTCACGGCGTTTCGCTTAATCCGTTTATTTGTAGTACGAAACCTTATGTGACCATGAATGACAGGGTAAAGCATGCAATTAAATTTTCTATCTAATACTTATTAACATTGAAGCGCAGTATTCCTTTTTGCTAGACTACTCTTCGGTAGCAAAATCTCTAGTGTCTGGGAAAAGAGACCTTTGCTATCCTTCTCGCTTAAAGCATATGGAAACAAATAAAAAAACATCGTTTACATCATACTTTATATATGTATATTACACACTTTATTTAACGCAAATTAACATTGTCACATACATTAACTTACCAAAAATACTTGTATCTACTTGAATTAGCATTTCTATTTCCTCAATACTTCGGCTATATCATGTCTAATACAATATTTTTTCCTCTTGCTATAAATCTTCATCCCGTTCTTAAAAATGTCGATTTGGTTCAATACAGCATCACCAGCGTATTTTCCTGCTTCCAGATACATTTATAATTAAAGACACACTGAGCCATCTAAGGATGTTCTTTTGGGAATTATCCATGATATGTGAAAACTCAAGCGGAAGCGAGAAATTGTCAAATTCTTGAATGATGTGGCTTTTAACATTTCCAGGGTTTCCTCTGCAATAAAATATGTCTCATCCTTTGTCTTCTCTATGTCCTTACACTTCAAGAAGACGCACCTCTGCAAACACAGCAAGAATAAAATCCCATCCCTTGCCTAATGCGCAAAGCACTTCACGATTCGCATTTCTACCTATCCCTAAAATCCCATCGGATACCACTTCACTTTTCTTCTTGTTGTTCATGTTCTCTACAGGTGATGTAAAACCTGTATTGGACTTGTTTTCTAATGGTTCGTGGTCGGTTGATTCTGCAATGGCTGCTGCTTCAGCGGCGGCTTCACGACGACGTTGAACGATTTCTTCCATGACAGAAGTTTCGATTTGGCCAGGTGTTTTAGCTTCTTTAATTTCGTAATCGACAGCACCTGCAACAAGAATAGGCTGCAAGCACGTAAAAAAATGTCAGTTTAATTTTTTTTATACATGTCGGCGGGTTGGGCGTATTATATTACCTTGACATATTCACGGAACCAAGTTCGACTCTTTTCAAGTCCATCACCAGGTGGTGCAGTAATATACACTGTGACTTTACGAGGCATTTCCTAGTTTCTTATGGGGTGAGGACAAGAAAGAAGAGATCAAAGAGAAGAAAAAAGACTTACATGGACACCACAAGGTCTGTCAGCGAGGAAAGAAACTCGTTGAGAAAGTCTTGTTCTGGCATCTTGGGCATATTTATTACTAGAATAGACAAGACCTGCAATGCCACCTGCAACACCACTGAAAATTAATGTGTTCTTGGAAGGTACTTTTAATCCAAAAGGCATGGTTTATGAAAAAAGTGTTTCTTCTTTAAAAAAGGGGGCCCATTGTGTCCCTGGGGGGTCGGGGGAGAGTGAAGGGGGATTTTTAAAATTGAAAGTCACACATGTAAAACGGTGGTTTAAAAATAGGTTGATTTTATTGAAGGCAGTGATATGTTAAATATACGCGAGTGTCAATGGCTCCAGGATATCTTTGGTTGAGTAATGAGGTCTATCAATATAATTATCAATATAAACCATATATCCTCTTGATATTATGATAGATAAATAATTGCTAATCTGCCTATATTCTACAACAATTGTATTAATAGAATTATCCGTCAAAAGTTCCAAGTATATTACATAATTAGCACCAGGAGTGTCGCCGTGCAATAGAGTATACTTGTCCGGAACAGTACTGGTTGAACTTTCTAATTGAAGAATTTCTAATTTTATATCTATGTGTATGTAGAAGTGGGTCTCATTAGAACTAACGAAGAAGAACAAACATGGCAACGAACTTACTTTTAGGTTCATTGTTTTGAAGTATAAGCCTTTTTGTTGGAACCGGCTTCCCTTTCTGAATAAACACGAAATAACTACCATCATCTGCAACAGTATTTTTGATATCACCATCATCTGCAACAGTATTTTTGATATCACCATCACTGTTTAGTCGTGTGAAAGACATGCATTCGTATGATAATTCTTTTTTAATCCGTAACCCGTATGTATTGCTTGATACTTGGCACAAAGTTCCGGTGACAAACCTATCAAACATGTAAGGCTTTTTTTCAGATACAAACGTCTGAAGTTGTTTGAAAATAGATTCTCTTAGTACAAATGTCTTTGTATCTTTTTCTTTAATATATACACCGTCATCAATCGTTTTTTGCATAAGCATGGTGAATACGATGTGGATCTTTGAACCCTGCCCCAGATTGAACGGGTCTCCAAACACAAAAATATAATTCGGTACATAGTTTCCGAATAACTTTTTGTTGGTCAAAGAAGCCACTATATCTGTTGCCATACTTTCTATCACTGACATAAGGCCTGTTTCAATAATGTCACGAAGAAATATACTAATACTGCAACCACATTTCGTGTTGAAATCCAGCTGTATTTTGGAATCCATGTTCAAATTTGATTTGTTTTTTTCGAACTACCAAGAAGTAATTAATAAAATGAGACGCTAGTAATAAGTATACCAACTTACAAGTTCAACAACGTATGGTTTTAAATTTCGATAGATATTGCTATATATCTCAAATGACTGGAAATGATATTGTGTATCTTCCTGAATCTTGTGCGTGGTACAATAGTCAACTTGACAATTGACTTGTATGCTCTTCATAATACTCTTACAAAGTGTGTCATAAACATCATCGATATGTATAATTTTATCTTGAACAATGATGGATGCGGGATCTTCTCCAGGTGATGCCAGTTTGACCACTTGATGCAAACTGAGTTGAATATGCTTTGAAAATATCTGTACAACAACAAAGTATGATTTCAACCTAAAGTCCAAATGTTGATACTTGTGTTGGATAGCGGGTAGTATTTCTTCACCACGGGTACAGAATTTTGCTTTTCGAAGTTCGTCGTCCTTCCTGAGTATTCCACTTGCAAAGAATAATTTTTCCAATTTTTTTATTGAGCCAAACACAGTATCCAAAAACTTTTTGTCCATAGAGACGCTATACCAAATGTTGTTGGCTCGCCAATTCGATCCTACATTACTTTTTAATTTTTTCTCTATTTCCTTGTTGAGACAGTGCAGATATGTGAGCATAAAAAAATACATGTAACCTGGATGGCATGTAGTAAATAACTTGCTATCCGAAGCAGGAAATTCGTCCTTCGACACAAAAAAATTGATTATGTCAAAGTTTGCCGTAAGCTGTTCAAATAGGTTTGGGTTTGAGGAAACAAATAATTTTCTGATTTTCTTTGGTCGATTTTTACTTGTTTTTATCCATTCAACATTACTTGAAATCCTTCTCTTCCGCATATTTTGGAAAGCCCGGCCAAGTAATTTTGATGCTGGTATTCTTTTTTTCCCATTTTTTTTGTAACTTGAATATAATTCAAGGTAGTCACCAAAAATCTTTTCTAAACCAAACTTCAGTCTAAACGCACAATTAGAATTGACAATCATAAGCGTTTCTTCAAGTAGTTTTACCTATTTGATATTTGTAGTACTGGTCTTCGATATATTTCTGATTGCTTGATGAAACTATTCAATGGTCGCATATTACTATTATGCAATAAAATGGAACTTAGTTGGACTTGCTTATACAAGATATTCTGCCGCCTATCACCATTACCATTCAAAATTTTGATTCTGTCCAACTTGTCTATCTTTATCTATGTATGTAAAAACAGTCTGGATTTGTATAGGCGATATGTCTGCTTAATTTCAAAATAGAATAAGTAAGTACAAAGCCGATAGTACTAAGGAGTCAATTTACCGATATTGATGAAGATAATAGGTTTCAAGCAACTTTTGGGTTCTTCCATTGCTGTTTCGTTGGGTAGTATAACTGGGTTTCTACGCAAGTTAAATTCTTCCATTCGGTAGTTTAAAAGCCGTTGAGTTGCATATTCTCGGTAATTATTGTGAACGTGTTTTGATACGGGTAAATCATAACAGATTTCCGCGGATGTGTAAGATTCTGTTAGTTCCCAGAAATACTTTTCCGACCAACAATCAACTGATGACATGAGCCCGTTAGCTAAAAATGTTTCCGGGATTCGACTTGTCCAAAAAATGTCCAATGGTCTGGGTACTGTATTGCTCCTGCCTACAAGAAATTTATCTACTTCACTCCTAAAGAATTTTTCTGCATGACCAAAAAAATGTTCAAGTATGTCCTCTAAAGTGATTGGTTTATTCGTCCAGCGAGATTTCAAGTCTGGCAATGGCTGATCACCTAAAAACCTACTTCGACTTCCCTGGCAAAGCAAAAAAAAAAAAAAAAAAAAAAAAAAAAAAATCATTTTAATTATCTTCCCAATTTCCTTTCCATTAACTCTTACGAAACTATAAAATCTTTTGTACTCTTGATTGAGTTTTTCAAGTATGTCGTCGATAGATTCTGATGATAACGTAGTATCATAATGCTTTTCCACACATGCTATTAATGACAATCGTAGTTCCTTTAGTCCAAATGGGATTACAATGTGAGCTTGTTTCAACAATTGTGGCACCAATTCTCTGTTTGCTAATCTGAAAGCAGGATATTGAGCTGATACCAATTTTAAATCCAGGGAGTATGTATCTTGATAATCTAATGTACACATAACGCGCTGATCACCATACATTATGTTTCTACTATCATGTTGGTCTGCTTCCATCTGCATATTTTGAAAATTGACATCTAACATTGAATAAAACACTAGCCTGCCTGGACCATCATTTTCATGGAGAAGACCAGCTTTTACGAATAGAGGCAGGAACAATTCTTCTCTTAATTCATAATCCCAACTGGTTGGAAGATTCAAAGAATAAAAAAAATCCATATTTACACTATTCAACTCTTTTCTATGTTGATCCAGTATTTTTTGTAACAGGTCTATAGCTTCCTCGTACAAGAGCACGTACGGTGCCGTAGTGTCGAAGGATTGTTGCTTTGATTTTAAATAAATGTCAGCAAGCTCGCTTAAGGTGTTGCGTATATAAATAACGCCTTTTTGGAGATCTTCCAGATTCTCATTCTCTTCATCAGCCATGTTGCCTCTGGCAATGATATTTCTCGTGGTAGTGTCATATAAAATTGAGGTACGAAATCTGTTTGCTGACCTTTTTTTTTTAAAGGAATCTCTGTCAAAAAAATACCCGTACAAATTCTGCTGTTTTCATGTCGACTTACCTTTCAACAATCAGGTGAGGTTTATTAATGGCTTCCGCTTTAGAGGTGATGATGTCATAGCCAAAATCTATACGAAGTAAGCTACTCCGTAATTTAAAAAAAAATAAGTCGCTTACCGATTAGAATACAATATCTATGCCGAGAATAGTCATAGACTTCTTCCATCTTCTTGCTTCTACAACACGATGTTAAAAGCGACGAAAGCACAAACACAAAGAGGCTTACAAGAACACAGTGTTTCACTTGACCTACTTATTTTGTTGCACAACAACCTTGTGCGACCTTAAAGGTAATGATAGGGTAAAGCATGCATTTAAACTTTCTATCTAACACTCACTAAAATTGAAGGGCGATATTAGTTTTTGCTAGACTACTCTTCTGTAGCAAAATCTCTAGTGTCTAAGAAAAGAGACCTTTGCTATCCTTCCGCTTTTAAGCATATGGAAACAAAATAAAAAAAAAGACATCGTTTACATCATATTTTATATATGTATATAACACACTTTATTTAACGCAAATTAACATATACACATACACTAACTTACCAAAAATACTTGTATCTACTTGAATTAGCATATCTATTTCCTCAATACTTCGGCTATATCATATCTAATACAATATTTTTTTCCTCTTGCTACAAATCCGCATCCCGTTCTTAAAAATGTCGATTTGGTTCAATACAGCATCTACAGCGTATTTTCCTGCTTCTAGATACATTTGTAATTAAAAACGCACTGAGCCATCTAATGATGTTCATTCGGAGGATATCCATGATATGTAAAAAGTCAAGCAGAAGCGAAAAAACTGTCAAATTCTTGAATGATGTGACTTTTAACATTTCTAAGGTTTCCTCTGCAATAAAAGATGTCTCATACTATGTCTTCTCTATGTCCTTACACTTCTAGAAGACGCACCTCTACAAACACAGCAAGAATAAAATCTCATCCCTTGCCTAATACGCAAAGCACTTCACGATACGCATTTCTACCTATCCCTAAAATCCCATCGGATACCACTTCACTTTTCTTCTTGTTGCTCATGTTATTCACAGGTGTTGTAAAACCTGTGTCGGACTTGTGTTCTAATTGTTCATGGTCGGTTGATTTTGCATTACTTGCTTCGACGGCTTCACGACGACGTTGAATGATTTATTCCATGACAGAAGTTTCGATTTGGCCAGGTGATTTAGCTTCTTTAATTTCGTAATCGACAGCACCTGCAACAAGAATAGGCTGCAAGCACGTCAAGCGTGTCAGTTTAATTTTTTTTATACATGTCGGTGGGTTGGGCGTATTATATTACCTTGACATATTCACGAAACCAAGTTCGACTCTTTTCCAGTCCATCACCAGGTGTTGCAGTAATATACACTGTGACTTTACGAGGCATTTCCTAGTTTCTTATGGGGTGAGGACAAGAAAGAGAGAAAAAAGAGAGAAAAGACTTACATGGACACCACAAGGTCTGTCAGCGAGAAAAGAAACTCGTTGAGAAAGTCTTGTTCTGGCATCTTGGGCATATTTATTACTGGAATAGACAAGACCTGCAATGCCACCTGCAACACCACTAAAAATTAGTGTGTTCTTGGAAGGTACTTTTAATCCAAAAGGCATGGTTTATGAAAAAAGTGTTTCTTCTTTAAATAAAAAAGGGCCCATTGTGTCCCTGGGGGGGGGGGGTCGGGGGAGAGTGAAGGGGGATTTTTAAAATTGAAAGTCACGTAGGTTTAAAACGGTGGTTTAAAAATAGGTTAGCAGTGATATGTTAAATATAAGCGAGTGTCAATGGCTCCAGGATATTTTCGGTAGAGTAATAAGGGTAATAAATAAAGTAATTAGTATCGCCCATACATCCTTTTGATAATTTTATAGATAAATTATTGCTAATCTGCTCATATTCTACCACCCATTTATTCATATTAGCATACGACAATTTAGAGGAGCTTATGCTACAATGAGCTCCAGGAGTGTTGCCGTGTAATAGAGTATACTTGTCCGGAACAGTACTGGTTGAACTTTCTAATTGAATAATTTCTAATTCGATATCTATGTGTAAGTAGAAGTGGGTCTCATTAGAACAAACGAAGAAGTACAATCATGGCAACGAACTTACTTTTAGGTTCATTGATCTGAATTTTAAACCCTTTTGTTGGAACTGGCTTCCCTTTCTGAATAAATACCAAATAACTACCATCATCTGCAATAGTATTTTTGATATCACCATCACTGTTTAGTCGTGTGAAAGGGATCAACTTGCCTAAAAAATATGTTGAAATTCGCATGCCATATGTTTTGCTTGATACTTGGCACAAAGTCCCAGTAACAAACCTATCAAACATGTAAGTCTTTTTTCCAGATAAAAACTTCTCCAGTAATTGGAAAATAGATTTTCTTAGTACAAATGTCTTTGTATCTTTTTCTTTAATATATACGCCGTCATCAATCGCTTTTTTCATAATAATGGTGTATGCTATGTGGATCATTGAACCCTGCGCCAGATTGAACGGATCACCAAACACGAAAATATATTTCGGTACATAGTTTCCAAATAGTTTTTTGTTGGTCAAAGATGCCGTTATATCTCCTGATATGCTTTCTATCACTGACATAAGACATACTTCAATAATGTCACGAAGAAATATGCTAATACTGCAACCACATTTCGTGTTGATATTCAGCTGTATTTGGAATCCATGTTCAAATTTGATTTGTTTTTTTTCGAACTACCAAGAAGTAATTAATAAAATGAGATGCGAGTTATAAGTATACCAAACTTACAAGTTCAACAACGCATGGTTTTAAATTTCGATAAATATTGTTATATATCTCTAATGACTGAAAAATCATTGTGTATCTTTCTGACTCTTGTGCGTGGTACAATCAGTCAACTTGACAATTGACTTGTATGCTCTTCATAATACTCTTACAAAGTGTGTCATATACATCATTGATTTGTATCATTTCATCCTGAATAATGATGGACGCTGGCATCTTCTCCAGATGATGCAGTTTAACAACTTGATGCAAACTGAGCTGAATCTGCTTTGAAGTATATGTGCAACAACAAGTAGGATTTCATCCTAAAGTCCAAGTGTTGATACTTGTGTTGGATAGCTGGTAAAATTTCTTCACCCACGGGTGCAGAACTTTGCTTTTCGAAGTTCGTCGTCCTTCCCAAGTATTCCACTTGCAAAGAATAATTTTTCCAATTTGTTTATTGAGCGAATACAGTATCCAGTAGCTTTTTGTCCATAGAGACACCATACCAAATGTTGTTGGCTTGCCACTTCTTTCCTACATTACTTTCTAATTTTTCCTCTATCTGCTTGTTGAGACAGTGCAGATATGTGATTATAAAAAAATACATGTAACCTGGATGGCATGGTAGTAAAGACTCGCCATCCGAACCAAAAGATTCCTCCTTCGACGCAAAA